TCAGAGCGGTGAGGCGGCAGGAGGCCCGAAGCCATGCGATCTCTTATCTTATCAGCATAGCCACAGAATGCAGCAAACAACTTACGCCTGCATGCGAGTTCTAGATACAAAAGTGGTTACGGTTCTGTAAAGCACTCTGCTTGATTTCAAAACTCGGGCAATCCCGAAGAATTTGTGTTGGAAAAGGAGTTAGAAATTCCAGATCGTTAAGGAAAGTCATCCAATTGTACATGATCGGTCGTTTGGACACTTTTAGCATCCAGATATCTCCATCTCCCTTTCGCTTTTCATCACCTAAATAATATTCTCATAAACCGGTGCTTATGAACTCAAGATTAATGCAAAATTTGATAGACATACTGTACGTAACCGGTCACTCGGTCACACCAGCTACTCGGTCATTGCCTTTGTAGATGGCACAGTTGCTCGTTTCACTCCGTTCTTTTTGTGCACTCATGTATAATAGTATCAGAGCAATGTAACTGCATTTTTTGGCGGACAGAGCACCATTCCTCGCGGAGAAATGAGCCTCCCTTTGTGTCTGGTGACGTGTGACGCCCAATTTCCTTATTTGATACCGTGTTTCTGGTGGTCCCGGAGGGCTTTTCTCGATGACATGACACACTGCCAGGAAGATACTTCGGACTTAAGAATTTCATAGTGACTACTGTATAATTAAGCAAGTTTCTCTTATATTGAAGGATTGCTGCACTTCCAACCTTGAAAATTGGAGAGTGTGTCATTTTGGAGGTGGATTGGACTGTTCCTGCTGATTTCTCTTAGTATAAAGCATCCATTGTGTAAACAAAGAGGTGAAATGAATTTTGAGGCGAATATGTGTGCATGAAAGAAGACCCCTCAATTTTTACAATTTTCTTCCGAACATAAGACACCAAGCAATTGAAAATTCTTGTTTTGAGTGATGAGAAATGTCAAATTAAATAACTGAAAGGAAAACATCAGAAATCACAAAATAAGAAGACCAGAATATGATAGAGGTGTCTAACTTTCACCGGAAGCATTTTTTCGTCAAGGTCAGACCAACTTTGAAGAGTAATTCAAGGTGGCCGAGTACTGTCCTCATATTCTGAGGTTATCTTATCATCAGCTTACTAAGCATAACTGACCCTGGTTACAACCGGTGTACGGGACCAATACAAATCGGTCTAGTCTTGGGGCCTGGCCGACTTCCTGGTTTTGACCGATTTTGACCTATCGAAATAAAATATTTGTGGAGGTCTCAAACCCTCCCTTAAATTTCTGATAATTGGTACACAAGTACTTCAGATGCTTGCCTATTGAGTAGTACTGTTAGTTTTTTTGACACCCCCAAACCAAGCACGCAAATTTTAGGAGACTGTAGAGTGACCGAGATGCCGGTCATCTACAGTAGAGGTGTTTTGACCCCGCAATTGAGGACATGAAAATGGGTAATTTCGAGCGGAGTCCGAATTTCCTTTGATCGGTAGTTTGTACACCTGTAATTTGCCAGCGGACGCTTCATATGTCGTTAGATAAACTTAATAACATACACAGGCACTGAAAAGTGTAATGAGAGTGTGTATGCCAAGTTTCAAACCGAGACATTGCGCCCTTCATAAGATATTTAAAATTCATCTTTTCGGCGTCCAAATGACCGTTTATAGACTGTATGGTACACACGTGATCCACTCTAAGTACAGCGGCCGAAACCTCTGCTAGATAACAAGCGAAATACGAAGCCGCAAAGCCCATTAGACTTGCTCTGCCCACGTAAGGACGTCATTAACAGTTACATCACTGGACTAACAAGAGAGGAAGTCAATCGGGAATAAAGAAATGTAAGGTGACATCATTACCGCGTCCGCGTTGCAGCTCTGGGTGTTCGCATCTTTGTCTTTGGAGGCCTAACCAGATATAAGCATGATGATGATGGACTTGGATAAGCGTCGTCCCATACAGAAAGCTGTGTATCCTTTAGCATCTGGTTTACAGACGTGCGTAACTCTTGGAGCTTCACATCTAGTGCATCGCATTTTCTGCGACGCGTGAGGAGGGACATGAGTGAATGGGAAAGCTTCGCAGATAGACGCACTGGTGCAGAGTTTTGGTTTCTTCTCTTCGTAGGTCGAGTTGACGCTTCATCATAGATTCGAGATGACCCCGTGCCTACGGGTGAAATGAATATGCGACGTATATTGGAAGAGCAAACTCTGACCTGCACAGGCCGCAAGTCGTTGGCAGCCGCCATGAGGTTCTGACTGAGAATATTGATCCAGTCGACGTGTCTCTGCCATTCTGGAGGTATCTCAGGCTTAGTGGGTGGGGGCAGCAGAAGCGAACCAGTCAGCGCTGAGTAGGTGACCAAGAGAGAGCGCAGGACAGATCGAAGGGCTGGTCGCCGATCTGCGAAGGGATCGCACCGTATAAGTCGAAAGATGTCGATTTGATGAGATGACAAACCTATTGTGGGGTCAGCCGGATACAATTGGTTTCCTCCTGACTCTGCTAGAGAGGGGATCGTTTCCTTGACCTGAAGAAATCCTGAGCACAGGCCGGGAGTCGGGGAAGCGATATGCGCACAAACCACCTATCGCCGTAAACTTCATAGTAAGCGTCGGGTTCTTCCAGAATCCAATCTACCCGTGGTTTCTCAAGCTGTGTGAGTGGCCAATCGGGGACATCGTTCTGGTCGCTGAGAAGTTCCTGCTGGTTTGGATTCGGATTATCCGAGGCTCTCTCCTTTAGGAGTGCGAGGAGGTTGAGATTGTGGGTGGTGTACTTTGTGTAGTGGGAGGGCGGGGAGGGGAAGGGGTTCCTGAGCTCGGCGGTGTCTTCGCCCTCCATGGTGAGAGCAGCTTGTGAAGAAGGGACGACACATGATCGTGGCGACAGGACGACAGCGTCGGACGGCCATTTTCCCTTCCTTTTCCGGACACTACAAGATCCGCCATTCAACTCCTGCACACAGAATACTGCGAACATGCCCCATATATATAAGACACCCCGTTCTTACTGTCCCCCCACCCCTCACCATGACTCTCTTTGGCCCCAAGGTCCCCCTTCCTCCAATTCCCGACGATGTCTCCATACCACAGTTCATGCTACGCGCCGCTGGCCGATTGCGGCCCCTAAGACCAAGCAATGTCCCCTTCTTCATCGAGGACAAGACCGGTCGCGCCGTATCTTTCGAAGAAGTGGGTAGTTGCATTCCCCGCTCGCCACTCTTACGTGACGTGCTCATAGGTCCACTATCGCACATATGGTCTCGCAAACGCGTTGAGTATCAAATGGAACATCGGTGAGTTTCTTGTGCGTTGGTCCGGGCTTATCTGACTCTTTCCAGGTGTAAAAGACGTTGGTGCGTTGCTCGTATCAATTGTGTATCGACCGAGAAGCAAACCATCGCCCAGTCTGTCTCTTCACGCCCAATCACGTCGGTTCGTTCCAATCTCACTTCGCTCAAATACATGGCCTAATGGAGTCCGGTAGATTACGCCCCAGCTATCTGGGCGGTCCATACACTGGGCGGCATCATCACGCAAGTTCTATTCTGTTCTCGTCTAACTCTGATAGCTCTGTTCTAATGTTACGTCTGATGCAGGCCCGCAAATCCAAACTATACATCTGACGAACTCAAGTACCAACTCACGACATCGAAGGCCAAGCTGCTCATCACTCACCCGAATTGCCTCGACACTGCGCGATCCGCCGCTCATGCTTATGGCCTCACCGACGCGTCTATCATCCTTCTGGACCCGTCGCCAACGCCAGGGATAACGACTGCGGAAGAGTTGATATCATTTGGAGCTTCGAGACCAGAGAATTACAAAGCAATCGTATACAAACCAGGAGAAACCAAGAAGACGCTTGCCTTCCTGTCATTTTCCAGTGGAACCACAGGTCAGTCAGACCACTTCCCGTTGCTCGACCGACGTTCATCCCTCGACGTGCAGGAAAGCCTAAAGCAGTTGCTATTACCCACTTCTCCGTTGTTGCCAATATATCTCAAATGTCTGCCCATTATCATATGGATGATCCTTCTTACCCTCACAAACGTATCATACCTGGGGATGTTATTATGGGAGGCAAGTGATGCCTCGGGTTGTTCCGTTCAACTGCTCATCGTACATGCATCCAGTCCTTCCATTCTTTCGTGAGTTTCTGACCATTCTCCCTGTTCCCGGCGGTTATAACGTCGTTTCAAGACATCTACGGTCTAGTGGTGATAGTACGTCTAATTCAACTTGTCAGTTTCCTCAGGTTGGGCTTACAGATTGTTGTAAATAGTTGCATTTTACACTTTGGGCTGGTGTGAGTGCATTTAATTCGGGCAGTCCTTTCCTAGACCGACGGTTCCCCTCAGACCTCGATTGTCGTTGTGCCGAAATTTAATTTCACCGACTTCCTGAACACTATCTCCCGTCACCGAGTAACTCACCTATAGTGAGCTGTGGTCCATATATTGTTTGCCTTGACTGATACTGATCATCTTGTCTACCTGCAGCCTAGTACCACCCCAGATTGTTCTTCTCACAAAGGTCACATACCGTGGTTCGACAGTTCAGGACCGTCTTCCCTGACCGTTTTTTCAGCACCCTGCCGTAAAGGGCAGAGACTTCAGCCATGTCAAGTTCTGCATGTCTGGCGCGGCTCCTCTGAGCGGGGATCTCATGAAGCAGCTAACGAAGATTCTTCCAAACGCATCAATTGGGCAGGGTTACGGTATTTGGACCGTGTCTTCGAAGAAGTACTTTCTCTCATGCTACTGTAGGTTTGACTGAGACGTGCACCACGATCAGCCAGCTCCAACCTGAGCGCATGCTTGGCACTATTGGAAGCGCTGGCGCTCTGATTCCCGGAGTTGTGGCAAAGGTCGTCAAAGCGGACGGTACTCTGGCTAAGGAAGGAGAGCAGGGTGAATTGATCGTAACAGGCCCATGGATGCCTCGCGAGTACTACGGCAACCCCACAGCGTAAGTTATTAGCTCAAAGTGTCGCATACAGTCGCTGAAGTTTCACCTAGGACCGCCGAGACGTTTGTCGATGGATGGGTCCGCACTGGTGACGAGGTTATCATTAGGGACAACGAGATCTTTGTTGTTGATCGCCTAAAGGTTTGCCCATCCTCTAAGAATATTTCTACTTCCTGCTGACCAACAATCTTGCGCAGGAAATCATGAAAGTTCGAGGCTTCCAGGTCGCCCCAGCTGAGCTCGAAGGCCACCTGCTTCTCCACCCGGACGTTGTAGACGTGTGCGTTGTAGGAGTTCCGGACGACTACAGCGGGGAAGTGCCCATGGCTTTCGTCGTTCCCAGTTCGAACGCCCTGAAGCGGATAAACCAAGGCCAAGGCCAAGCGGTAAAGAAGATGATAGAGAAGGTAGGCTCTGCCCTCTAACGAGTTTCGCCGTTACTGATGTCTCTTTATCTAGCATGTGTCCGATGCAAAGATACAATACAAATGGCTTGCTGGAGGTGTAGAATTTATCGACGCTATACCGAAGAACCCGTCGGGGAAGATCGTAAGTGTTATATTTCTCCGCACCTGTACGTAGCAGAGTTCTTATTTCTCCCAGCTTCGTCGCGTTCTGCGCGAGAAAGCAAAGACTTTCGTCAGGCCTCAGAGAGTGATCCAGCCCAAACTTTAGGTTTGAATGTATGGCACACTCTTCCCAGGTCTACACCTACCATTACACTCCACGTATCTACAGTTGAATATACAGTAACTGACCTCTTCTAAAGTGGGTGAGAGCACCCGGCATATCGGGCCGCTTGACCGACTTTGCTGCTGTTTGCTAAGAGCACCCGAAATTTCTGAAAGTGACAACGCGACTGAGTCTGTTACACCTCTCACAGCGTCAATATGGTTCGAAGAATAGCGTCCCAGGTGCACCAGCAGGTCTCCAGGCTGATGCGCGGGAATTACATCAAGAAAGAGCCCGCCTGGTACCAAGCTGTTCTCGACAACCCACCGCTTGCGCTTCCCCCGAAGGCGCCTCCTCCGCGTACTCCCTATGACCAGAAACCAGCGACTTCGAGTAAACTCCGGCCACATAGCGTCCGGCCGCTATCTATCTACTACATTGAAGATGATATTCGCCGTCAGTTCTTCCGCGACCATCCATTCGAGGCGTTCCGACCAACTACGCTTGTGGAGAGTGACCGGATAGAGGACCCCCACCCAATTGCAGGAGAAACGTGGACGCGACTACGGCAGCGAGGGCGGAATCCCACACCGGAAGAGTGAGTACTGGTAATTATTCTGTAATGATTATATTCACATCGCGTCTCGTGAACAGTGCCGTTCAATTCTGCCTGAATCTGTACCAATATCATGGGATGTCCTTGAGCGACGCGTACGGCCGCGCAGTCGCGCAATTCCGGGCACTGCGCTCAGAACACCACATCATGACCTCTTTCGCCGCCCAGGAGGCCGAGGAGCTGGGTTCGACGTTTGGTGAGAGCGAGGTAGAGAGCATTTTCGAGGCTAGCAAGAGAAGTATTGCGACATGGGAGAGGAAAGAAGAGATGGATGAGGGTATTGCTGCAGCTCGCAAGCGGTGGAAGGCGATAGTCGGGCGCAGCCATGGACCAAATCAGTGGACGAAGGGAGTGGAGTACGTCAGGCTGTGGCAGGAAGGCAACAAACCCAACTATATGCCTGCCTTGACGGATCCTGTACAAGAAGTCCAAGCACCTCCAGTTGTTCAACCTCCACCCCCACCTACCACGAACAAGAAGGGACCCGGAGCAAAACCAGCGGGATCGATGGAAAGCGACCCTTTAAACCTGGGACGTCGCATTTAGTCAGCCCAGTATCGTATCCTCTGATAATTTCTATCCGTCTAATTGCAGTCGATTATTGGTTGGAAGAAATATGGTAAGTATGTATAACGCGAAACGAAGTGCTACGATTTAACGCGAGACTGTGCAGCTTGGGCAGCATTCATACCCATCCATGTCTTTTCAACCAACCCTAGCAGCTTCTGCATGTCAGAACTCCAGTCATTCATCACATCTTCTGCACTGCGCTTGCTCCTAAAGTTCACGATACCAGCAGGTCGATCAATTTTAGCCCATATTGTGCCCGAAACGACGAGTCTTGCTAGTGTCTGTTCGGTTTGCTTGGGCGTAAGGTCTAGCAATGAGGTGAGGCGAGGTATCGTGATGCGTGTATAGTATTCAGCAACAACGCGAATATTCTGCAACCAAGAATTGAGTTGAGCTTTCGAGAGTGAATTGAGGGGCTGACGTACATGCTCGATGACACGGGTATGCAGGTCTTCCCATCGTTTAGGTGAACTGAAGACGGGTGTTTTCCGTAGGGCCTGACCATAAATAGCCTCGATTCCGGGCCACCGCATGAGTTCTTTTGTCACGAAGCATTTGACCAGGTTACTGGAAGAGGTCAGGTTCTTGTAAACATGAAATAACAATGAAGACGCACTAATGAAGCTCCAATTTCAAGAGTGCAGGGTCAACATAAAGATGATGCAGCATATCCGATTGTTCATTCGTATGAGGGGCAAGAACAATGTAATAGACAATATGCTCAAGGGCCTGTAGAAAAAACTCAGATATAAACTGTCTAACAGAAGTGCAGATACACGCACCGCCTTCCCTTTGTCGCCCACATCTTCCTTAATTGACGGAGTCTCCCAGACCTTGTAGTAATATTTCGCAACGTCAAGGTATGAATCGTGATGGAGGGCGTGTTGTATCATTAGGTCGTAGTACTTGAGTTTCAGGTCCTGTATTCCAAGGATTCACGCGATGCATCATTGATTGACAGAGTAAGGATAGAACATACCTCGTTGTCCTTCTCCTTCAAGAACTCCTCGTTGACCTTTCGACCGCCAACGCGCACTTTAACCCATTCAGCCTCCCCATCACCTAGCGACTCTTTGCCTTCCTTCTTCTCCACGGCGGCATCCTTCTGGCGTGCAACTGCAACGAGAAGCCGCATTTGCTCCAAAATAAATTCAATCTTTTCTCTCCGCTCCATGGATGAATAGGTTTCTACTTGCAGGTCGGAAAGTAGTTCAGACGCAGTTTGCAGAGACTCCTTGGGATCTTTAGCTTTCCCGGATATAGAGAGACCTTCGTGATAATGCGAAAGAAGGAGAGTCACTCGCGCTCTGGGAGTTTCTAAGAAGATCTGATAGACAGTCAAATGTGAACGGAAATCCATATAAACGGCTCCTAACCTTTCCCTCTGTAACCCCACGCAGAGTTTCAAGAAGCTCTAGCCATCGTTCAAGACCATCGCGTTCCTTGACTTCAGGCAGCCATGAGATCGTTGATTCGACAATGGCTTGAACAGCAGCCTTCAGTTGACCATGTTTCTTGCTCAAAACGGAGATGGTGGAATTAAGGAGTGGGTAGTCTCGAGCATCATAGCAGTGCTGAATTGCTGTTTTCACCAAACGAGTGGTTGAAGCAAGATCGGCAGCCTAAATCATCGATTAGACATCGGTAATGAGCATTGGTTTACAACGCACATTTCGTGTTTGCTTCTCAAGAGTAAATAATTTGTCGAGACCGTCTTGTAGCTTGCCAGACTTCAATTACCGCGACAGTCAGCACCTTGGAGGCTTGTTGGACGGCGCGGGAGGGAAATACCTTGATCGTTGCTTCCGCCTCTGGAAGAAGGGCATCAACCTCCTTGGTGAAGTCTTTCTCTTGCTTTTTGTTATCGGCCATGATGTACTTCGACGAAGGTGAGTTGTGAGTTCTGGTGATCCAATCGCGGTGACGCGTCGCGACTTTGTTGTGCCCTGTTTGCAGACTATTTCCCCACGTGCCTACACTGACCTCAGGCACCTTCCCCTCTTCGAGTCCTAAGTCTTCACTCGGGTCGCACTTGTACCTGGTGGGCACTGGAGAGAAAAAGTGGATTGCATGTGTGTCATACGCATAATCATATGGGGCATAGGTGTTCGCATAGGTGGGTATCTGAGTTTTTATGCCAGCACAAGTACGTAGTATAAGTGTCAATTCCTCGATAACGAAATAATTAGTGACGGACTGGAAAAGAATCCAGAGGGATCGGGTCGGACGACTCAGAGGCAGGTGCAGGCAGCTCGTCATCTATTTTGGTGGGCTTCGGAAGAGCACCTGGGCTCTCTGTGTTCCACTTTTGAGTTGGGAAGCGAGAAAGGAGGAGCTGGAGAATTCGAGAGCTGAATGCGAGGGGAAGGGTAGAGCAGCGGTAGGCGAACGAAAGGAAGCCAAGGATGGAGGAGAGAAGGTACATGGCTGTTTGAGAGTGAGGGATGGGCGAACGTTCCGATTTATAGGTGGGGGAGAATGGGCTCACACCCCCGTTTAAGGAAGGGTGTATCATTGCAGAGACCGCAGTCGATACAGTCACAGGGCGTGCCTCTACGGCAACTTCTTCGCTGGGTGGAACAGCGTCGACAGATGCTTCTGAGGTTTCAACGATGGCCTCCACCTCGCGGCTGACCAGAACGGGGGAGGATTGGATGGACGCGTCAGCGGTTTGCACCTGAGCAAGAACGCCGCGGCTGGTCGTCTCAACAGTTGCATCAATGGACTTCTCAGACATCTGGCGCGGTTCGATGACAGGTGCTTTGATGAAGGACTTTTCTACTGATCGTAAAAGCTGGAGGTGAGGGAGCGTGTCGGACACGGTTTGCCAATTCTTCGCATGTGTTTCGATGAAACCGGCCCTATTCTTCTCTTGGAACCACTTCAGTAGTTCAAGGCGGGGCATGAGGTGGCTGAGAAGAATAGAAATCCGGAGAGGATCTTGGATCCACGAGTGGCCAACATGGAGTCGAAGGAGCGAGTTGGAGGTGGCCTCCTGCGATCTCAAAATGTTCTCGCTGGCTGGGGTGGCGTTGCAGACGGCAGCAAGAGTGTGAAGCCTCTTGCACTGCTTCGTCAGAGGAGACAGGGATTCGAGAGTCAGCTTTGGGCTGTGAGGCGTTGGGAACCGTGCCAAAGGGCACAGCCTGGCGGATTCGAGGCTTGGGCAAGCTCTTGCGAGGCATTCTATGTCAGAAGGTGTGAAAACAACGGATTCTGGAAGATCAATGTCGAGTCGTGTAAGACTTGTGAGATTCGTCAGCTTTTCGAGAGAGAGCCTGCCAGTGGGCGGCTCCGCCCGAGACGTGGACCGTACGAGGTCGACGAACTTAGATGATGGGGTAGCGGTGATGCGGAGCGACTGAAGGGAGTCTGCGAATCGCTCGCAGATCAGTTCTGACAAATCTTGCCAGTCAGCGTTGTCCGGTGGGTCTTCAATGACAAGTTCTAAGTTGATGAGGTCGCTCTCGAGGTGCTTGAGGAAAACTGCGATATTGGCAACCTCGCCTGTCAGTTGCAACTTGCGCAACTTGCCAAAAGAGCCTTTGCGGGGCAAATCTCCTGTAAGTCGAAGGGCGGATTTACGAATCTCGGTGAAATCAAGCTCCTCACCAGAGAAGACGCCGCTGTCTCTGGACCCGATTGAACTTGGAGTGGAGTCTCCGGAACGAGGAAGGAGCTCGTCGAAGAAACCCTCCACGGCGATGGGAGACCTGCCCGTGAGGTCGAGTTGAAGCTGCTTGAGGCGGGGTAACGAGGCGATCCAACGGCCGACACCGGGCGCCAACGCGCCTGGAGCCACGAGGACCACCTTCTCAAGGTCATCCTGACGTCCAAGGAGGTCGGTGAATGCGTCCGGTAGATTAGTGGGCGAAATGAAGGAGAAGCCCTTGAGGCTGGTGCGGCGTGACATATCTGCGAGGAAGTCGTCCAATTTCGGGAGCTTCGCTCCGACCTCGAGGTTGATGACCTGAAGACCTGGGTGAAGGAAAAGAGCGCAGCGCTCCAACGCAGCAGGCGTCTCCACTTTCCAAGTCAATTCTTGCAGACGAGGGAGTAGGTAGAGCATCGGCCGCTCTTCTAAAACGGGAAAGACGGAAGTCGCGACGCTGTTCGCAGCCTCGTCGTATGTGATGCGCTGAATGCGCTGGCTGTACTTGATGATAGTGCTCCAGTCTTCGTCACGAGGGGTTCTCGCCTGCACGAATACAAAAACTTAGCTACATGACAAAGTCTATGGCAAATAACGCACCAATCCCAATCCTGGCTTTCGAGACTTCTTCAACAGTTGGCCAGGGAACAGGCCAATAACGGGCACGATAGAGTCCAATTCCCCCAAAGGATGTCGAGAGCGGGCTCGCAGAGAGCGTGGCAGGTACGAGCAAGCCTGGAAAGGGAGCGTCGACCTCCGGAGGTATCAAGGATGGCCTCCAGAAGCTTGTTAGTGGCCTCGGGGTCGCGAAGGATAATCGGAGCCATGGTTTGTTCGTAAACGGCGTATGGGTGGTACGAAGAAGATCCCCTCTTGCCAGATTTCGTGGATTTGATACTGTCTTTAGAGGACGTGCGGAAAAGGCGAATGCTTTCACGAATGCTTGTTCGACGGCGAAGAGTGGTAAGAGCGTTGTCAAGCAGAGAGGTTTGGGACATGAGTGGTACTATGTTTAGGGGATGGTACTTAACCAGCGGACTGCGCGGTATACACGCCGTCTCGTGTTGCGGTATGGGCGTTTCTTGACACACTATGTGCTGTCTTCTTGTGTGATATATGATCGGTCTCATGTCCATGAGCAGGACGTGATTAGAGCAATCTACGCGTGCAAGTCAGTTGAACATGCCTCGAGAGCAAGGCTGAATGCAGTAAAGGGAATTATTAACTGCACGATGCCGCAGTGCAGTGCAATTCGCGATCCATGTAGCCTGTGATGAAGCCATTTCTGTGATGGACTTGGTGTCAGTCGATCCGGCACATCAACCAAGGAGGGAATGAGCGAACTAAGTGGAATATCCGTCCCCAAGTGCTTGATGGCAGGCAGGGCAGCTCAGCCGAACTGGAGGTGAAGATAGCCGCATTAACTCGAGATAATTGCTACAAGTCTAATCACGAAAGTATCAAGAAGGCATCAGGACGAAAGGACACGGGATGGTATACACGTTAAAGACTTCCACATACTGGTCACAACTCGCCCACTTCCCATGGCACCGGTTCTCCTTCCCAGTCATCTTCCTCCACCACGTTGCTTTCCGTATCTCCAGCCGATACGGCGTGATTATCCTCCCCAACGTCCCATATCTCGCCTCCTTTGTCGGGGTTGTAGGGTCCTACTCGACGGCCGTACATTAAGCCCTGGACGAGTCGGTCCTCTGACACATGACCGCTCGACACGACCTGGAATGCGAGCACGCGTCGAAGTTCGTCTGGAAGGTCGATTTCGACATGCCCGTCTTCTTGCTGGGCAGCATTTGGCAGGGGTCCTCGAGGCACAGCAAAACGTGCATATCCTAAAATGGGGTCAGAATCAAACAGGATGTCATCCTCCACTACTTCTGCAGCTGCGCGTTGAGAGTGCATGGTACTCCGGGTGACTACTTTCAGCTTCGCTCCGATTTCTAGTTCATCACTGCCGTCGGTAAGTGACTCTCCTTCGACTTTCGCCTTCTTCTTGCCCTTGGTGGTTACTTTCGCCTTTGAGGCATTCTTGCCTGGCCTGTTGAACGATGAAATAGCACTGGAGGGAGGGGGGGATGGAGGGATCAGCGGTGATTTGGATCTCAGGATGGGTTGAGGATCTATTTCATCGGCTTCATCATCCGACAGCGGGCGTTTCGTCGATGAACGGCTGCTTGATGCCTCTGATACCAATGAACTGTCGTTGGCGTGAATCGCTGTTGATTTGAGTTTGGAAACTGAAGCAGCATTTGTCGATGCTTTAACAACAGACTTAGATGAGTCGGTCCTGCGTGTGGTTGACTTCGTTGGTTTGATACCGTTAATAGCCTGGGCTGGCTTCAATAAGCCATCGACTTCCATATCCATATCCACGTCGCCCTTCGACCCCGTGCCTTCTGCAAGGGTCTGACTCTCCTCGAATAATTGTGGGAAGAGCTTGCCGGCCCTTGACACCTTTACTGGGGAGTTGTCCACGAACGATGAGTCCGCTTCTGCAACGTCGGCATCATCACCCTCATCATCGCTACCCGGAGCTTCTAGGTTGAGTCGAGGGAAAGGGAGAGTGGTCTGCGAAGTAACGCGTCTTCTTTTATCCTTGTTGGGTGAAGGAGACACAGGTTCTCCGCGGAGTCGTTTACGTGCTCGGGATACAGCACTTGTCGGAGCAGGTGGCAGTGCGAGAGAAAATATCGACATCGAAGCAGTGGACGACTTGGGTTCTGGCCGAATAGGAGGAAATGGGTCGGGCGACAGACCACGCTTCCGGCGGGGGGTTGACTGAAGCTTGCCAAACAGGTTGGTACGAGGGAGTTCCGCTAGGTTGTTACTATTCTTTTCCTTTTCCTTTCCCTTCTGCTTCTTCTGAGGCGAGAAGGGGTTGAAGGCGGCTAACGGCGCGGTGGGTTGTATGGCGCGTGGTTTGGAGAGGAGGAGAGTGTGGGCATCTTTAGGACGCGTCGATCTTGGAGGCGTGGAAGGTGGAGTGGAGGATTTCGATTTCTCTGGCGCATTCACAGTCGAGGGTGGAGCAGCCTTGGAGAGCTTCTTGTAAAGCTTATATTTGGCAGCTATATGAGCTTGTGAGCGGGGCGTTCGTTAGGAAGGTATCACTTACCAATGTCATTGTTCTGCCTGATGTCGTCGACTGTTGCAGCTCTCCCATTGATGTCCTTGAACGACCGTTCCCATGTCTTGATCTCTGCGCGAACTGTGGCCAGTTCCGCCATTCGAAGATTATGGTCGTTGAACGAGTTGGACGTCGGCGCGACGATCGTGACCTAGCTGTCGCGTACACAAAGCCAAACACACAGCGGTTCAACTCGGCCCACGAGGCTGTCCCTTCACCAACTCAATTACACCTTGGGTTTCAGAAATGGACGCCACACGCCCTCGACCAAGCATTCTTTCGCTCTTCGACCCGCTGTCGACCCAGTCTGAACGCCCACTCTCACCCGACTCTGACAAGGAGAACCATGGTGAAATATCCTTCTTCCACCCCACCAAGACCTCCAAGGTTGCCCACCCTCCTGTCTACAAACTCAGGCGTCGCCTCATCGATGTTGGAGATATGACCGTAGATGAACCCGATATTCGCGATCTCCTGGCGGATGAAGTCGAAGAGCTCGGGGAAGAACTCAACCAGCAGGTCGCGAACGATGATGAGAACGCAACGCTGACGTTCAAGGACATGGCCAAGGCGGCTACTCCAAAGTGGTCTGGGAGACATGCTTCGACGGTGAATACACCGAAATCGCCTGTCACTCCACGGACTCCCCTTGCAGATATATCCTTCAAGGAGGAGACAACTCCCATGGCTCGCAAGAAACCGTACAAGCGTCAGATTGCCCCTGTGGCATCGAAATTAGCTCAAACAATCGAGCCATCTATTTCCAAGAAGGATGGACTAATTGAGCCTTCTTCGACTCATCCCACAACCCCGGAGCATCTGGTGCAACCTTCATCTCCGACCATCGAGATTTCCTCCGACAAAGAGCAATTGCTAACCGACTGTCAAGGCCAGCTTTTAGCTGGAGCCTCTCACCTAGGATCCTCAGTATGCACCTTGGATTTACCGACGTCGTCGGACGCGCTACTGAACGACATGCCAATTTCTGTCCTCATTTCACCTTCGTCGCCGCCTCAAACCACCCGAGAAACATCTCCATTTCTTTCACCCTTGGAGGGCACAAGGCTGAAACCTCGAAGCCCAATTAACAAATCTCACCGTCATTCCATCGATTTGCAAGCATCATTCCAACTTCAACTCAATGCAGACACGACCTTTGATTTACTGAACGATAAAATATCATTCTTTGCATCCAAGAACGGCCACGACTCCTTCCTGAAGAACTTGGAGGAAGAGGCGAGCTTTGACGAAGAAGAATTTGAACGCGTTTCGTCCAAGTCTCCTCCGCCTCTTAAAGAACTTCACATAACGAGCGAGAAGCGGCTTTCTCTAGTTGAGGACGAAAAGACTGGTGAGCCACCTGCTTGCCCTTCCTTTGTACCGCCTTTTGACATTTGGATTAGACCTTCTGCTTGAACGCCGAGCTGACTCGCTTACTGGCAACGTATCTGGTATGTCTGCTTCTCCATGTTAAATACTTACCTTGCCTGAACCTTGCCCTGTAGGTACTACAGCTCCAGAGAAGCCGCCCAAATTGGTTGACATTGAGTCACCTCCTGTAAGACAACCGAAAAGTAGGACGCCTACCAGTCCGGTCTTTTCCTATGATGAGAAACCCTCCAACGCCATATCGACTCCATATTGTTCCAATACCGCTTTGCAGCAGCCCCCTCGTCCAGTCCCGGCCTTGAAAATCGTGAAAAGGTCGAGAACGCTTCTCAGCCAACAAGCAGGTTCTGCATCTACGGCGATCGCTCCTTCTAGGCGAAGATCAAGCATCGCATCAGCTCAATTGCCCTTGCGTCGAACTACAACAGATACTTCATCTGAAACAACATCCATTATTACCTCAAAGAAACGCCTGGAACCTCCTTTGGAAAATAAAACGGCACAAAGGGTCTCTACTGCGCCGGCCTTTTCGAACCCTTTGCAGTCAGGGGATGGGCCACGACGTGTCTTGATATCAGAAGGACCCAAACTTGCACCGGCTTCGAGGACTGTTACGCATAGCGAACAGGGCAAATCGACGGGCAGCGGACCACGTCGGATTGCATTAATTCCTCCGACGAACGTAACAGAGAGAACAGATGTGCCAGCGAAGCCAGTTGTGCCAGCTAGCAGTGGCAGCGGACTAAGGCAGCCGGTCAAGTACGCGACGATTGGGCCCTCATTAGCATCAGCGATCCCGAAGCCAATTGGGCGACCTGCAGGCTCGAAGCTGCCAGCACCTTCGGGTAACAGCAAGCAACGATTTGGGGTGTCGAGTCGGCGTATTCTATAGGTGGAGATGGAGGCGAGGCAGAAGCGAAGGCGTCGGCAGACGTCGGTTCTGGGACAATCAGTAACGCGGATAGGAACATAGACCTCATGGCATTACATTTTCTGTTAACATTCAGCAATTTTATGATTTCCACGTAAAGGAAGATAAGCCAGGCATTGTCTCGGTTGCCTAGGAGCGTTGAGCCCTCTGTGGCAGACTTTTTTTTTTATGTGGATATCGATGATGCACGTTGACATCAAAAATAGAACTCGTCGGGGAATAGACGAATCCAATTATCTATATATGCCACCCTAACCGGACTGCGCGCACTGGCTCCTCTTTGACCTCTCCCCTCTGCATGGACTGACCTCTATGAAATTTCGGATTACTGCACAGCCGAAGGCGAAGAAAGCAGAGCGCGAGCCCAAGTCGCTGGCTCCTTCTCTGCTCGACGATCCAGCCTTCTCAGCTGACCCTCATTCTCACCCGGATTTCGTCACAAGTCACGAACCTGAATGGACCACTTCTCCTCCAGTAGGACACCCACCTCTCAAGAAAACAAGACGTCGCCGCATCCTAGTAACTGATGAAAACCTGACGGACACCGAGTTCCCTCTTATCCAGCCTCCAAACACTCCCGCACCGCCCTCCAGCGCCCCCACAGATCCTCCCAGCCTTCCTGTTCCCCCCGATGTTCTCAGGCAGGTCCCAGCATTGAACAACCACCACCCACCTGCTGCATCGACTGCGCCTTCATCATTGCCTAAGCGAGCACCTACTTCTATCCTCTCAATAGACCCTGATCCTGCACCCCAACCACCGAAGCACGAGAAGAAGGGCGGCCTGATGACTTTCTTGACTCGCCGCAAGACGACACCCTCCCCGGCGGCACCCCCAGCGGCGACGCCCAGGTCGAAGAAATTGCAAGCACATCGCAGCCTGGTGCCCGACTTGCCCAATGATGTCACTCGACCCCCCGCCCCCCGCCAGATATCCGAACCGATTAAACCGCCCACACAAGGACGGCCTCCTATGGCTGTATCGACTGCGGCTTCTGCAGCTGGTTCTTCGGCCTCGAAACGCCATGCAGGTGGAGCGAACAGCCGCCTCCAAGACCTTGACAAGATTGACGAGCTGGACGAGACCAATCCCTGGGGGATTTCATTGCACCACAAGGGTCCATATGAAGCGGCAGTCCAAGCTATCAAACAGAATAGCAAAAGAGGACCTCTCGGGCTTGCGGATAACCCCAACGACCATCATCTACGTGCGATGCATGCTAACGGACGGGTACTTCCATCTTTCCTGCTCCCCCTGCCGCTTTCGTTAATTTCCTGTTTTAACAGCCTTATGTACCTCCTCAAGCTCCCATCGGCGTCTCGTTGAATCTGTCGCCAGGGCAAATTCTTCCTCGGAATTTCCATCTGCAGCACAACCAACACCCGAGGCAACGAGATAAGCCGGAGCCCCAGATCAGGCCGTTGATCGTCCAACAGGCAGCATCTTCGCTCAAGAATGCCTACCAACAACCGAAGTCTTATGTTGCCAACTCCAGCAGCTTCGGTGACCAGCCTGCTGCCCCACCCACCTCCCCAGATGCGCGTGGAAGTCTATGATGATCCTGCCAGGCCGGCGCCAGTGCCGGAAAAGTCTGTCGACGATGATACATCGAATCCTTTCGATATTGGTATGGCCATGTTGCAGGCTGATCTGCCTGACGTGCCCACTCCCCTACCGTCTCCCCGCGTATTCGTCGAGCCCGGTTTGCCAGCGGAGGAGAACGAGTTTGATCCATATGATCCAGCCCATCTTGAGGTACATCATTCACGAACGCCATCCCCTGCTGTCGTACCCCGTTCCACAAACGGGTCTCGTGAAGCGTCTCGTGAATCTTCTCGTGTACCTTCTCGTGCTCCGTCGCGTGCCGGCCGAGAGAACCTCGGGTCCAACCTTTCAGTGAGCCAACCTGAGGCCTCAGAGTTTCACAAGGGGTCAACATCGTCACTTCCTCAAGCATTCCCTGATCCGCCTCCATACAGCAGTCCGATTCACGAGTTCTTCCCTGCTGAGCCTATTCCCCCTCGCCAATCTCCCGGTCACTCTCGCGCCTCTTCACGGAATCCTAGTCCTCCGCGTTCGAGCCACTCGAATGAAATGGTACGACCTGTAGACGTTGACCGTTCAAGACCGCCACCGAACGCAACACCACCTGTCAATGTTCATCACAATGTCCCTTCACAGCTGCCACCGATGTCATCGGTGCCTCCTGCCCAGATAAACCGAGACCCTCCTCAAGTCCCACCTTCAATGTACACTAACGACCGCGATGCTCGAAGCACGCATCAATCAGTCTCTACTGGTTCCTCTAGTCAGACTCGAACGGGAAGGCCACCTCCGCACCGACACCTACCCAAACGACTTGTGATGCCTGCACCTCTGAACAACGCTGCCTATGGTCAAATACCTAACCAGATGCGCTCTCCTCCTGCTACTGCTTCGTTCCTTCCACCTATGACTGCATATCTTCCCCCCGAACAAGCCCGAGCATCCTTCCGACCTCAGCCATCGGCGTATCCCCCTCCAGTGATGACTGCGCCGAGACCACCCAGACCCATGCCTCCTCCGCAAGCACCCATAAAAGCAGAAGACATCCCCATGGCAGCAAGCCGCAAGTTGAAGAAAAGGGCAAGCATGATCAACCCACCTAAACCCGAACTTTCAGCGCCACCAGCTGTACCAACACCACCCGTTGTTGCCACTGTTTCTTTCGCGCCGCCCATCATAGGCTTTGATCGTTCCATCCCGCGTGAAAAAATACTTGCGCGTTCTCAAACTGAGAAAATCCCATCGAAGAAGCTGCTGAGCAAGCGCAGGGTGCTATGATCACGATTACGATGCTTCAGCTTCAGGACTGAACTGTTCCTATACACTTACTCCATTTTGCTATCATTTCATGCTCTCCATATTACTCATATCACACGGACTTTCTACTGCAGTAATGGCTTTCATGATGTTATTCTTCTCTATGGGATTCACGTAATTGTTGTATTCATCTTTAGAAACATACCATATGCATATCCGCGCGCAGAACAGCAAAAAATGTATTAAACTACAAAATCGGGATAGTGTTACAATATCAATAAGCCAATCTGAACATGAACTGGAAGCTGTACTGTTTTGTGTCGGGATCCCAGTGTGACCAGTTCCAATAGCCCGCATCATCCGCTTCATCCTCGATTTCGCGAGCAGGGATGCGGAAGGCGATGGTCTCGTAAGGCTCGGCGGCAACCTGGAGATGTTTCATCAGCTTCTCGAGCCTGTAAATTTATTATCAATGACACTTACAATGAGATATTGGAAAGCTTTGTTCGGTGGCTCCCTCTTTTGCTCCCAAGCGCTCATGAATCGTCGACGAGGTTGGACACCCTCCTTGATTTGGGGCAGGTGCACCTGGACCATCATACCCTCCTTTCCGGTGTCTCTGTCCCGAACTTTGGTCACCCGGTATCCGGGTCGTCCAATTTTGAGGAAGACCTTCCGTTGCACGCTCGACTGAGCGGGGGCGATCATGAGCTGCGTGTCTTTTGCATCTCGGGCAGCACGACGAGCAAGGTTGGTCTGATGCTTTTTGCCTTGTGTATGAGCAAGGTACGAGCCTTCGTTTGTGTGCAAGGTCAAACATAGTCGACATTCGAGGGATCCGAGATGGTTGCGTAGAATGTAGGGATCCTGGGCACAACACGGCTCGGCAAGGGGTTATCAGAGTTATTGTTGGTTAGGCGCACCTTGGCCAAGTCAATCGTCTCAAGAGCAAGTTTTCGCAGACGTTCTCGTCTGTCGACGTTCGTTTCTGACGCCCCTGCGACACCCCCACCACCGAACTTGGATCCAACTCGATTCTACGACAAACGCTTGAGAAGCACGTCCTGACGCGGTAGTCTCTGTGTTCGCACCTGATAGTCTATGGTAGATTATTGAGATGCATGCAGGTGTTTGAACGATGTAAATACGTACCCATTTTCAAGCTCGAGAAAGCGAGCGAGGTAAGTATCCCTGGAAGAGTCTCTGAAGATGGTCGCGTCAGACCCAACTACTTTGCTGATGGCATTAGGTAAGCCAGATTTGCGTGCCCGATCCTCTCAAAAATTCAGCGAAGTCTGAGGTTGGCATAAGGTTGCGTTTTCTCTCTTCCAAGTCAGGTCTACCGGGGACCTTCTCATTCACGAGCTACGATGGCTGCACAGAAAAGAGGACTCGGTGACTCTTCATCTACCCATAAACCCAAAAAGTCGAGGACGGACCCGAAATCGCAGCCTCAACCTACTTCTACTCTTCTGGCTGAAGAGGTCGACTTCCCGCGTGGTGGAGGAACATCACTCACACCACTTGAAGTGAAAGCTATTCGCGCAGAGGCGGTCAAAGAAGCCGATGCTGAATTGTTCGCAGTGTGTAATTTACTTTGTCTCTCCAGATCTGTTTCTTACGGTTCACAGGAAGCCTCGACAGAAAAGATGAGTAAAAAGAGAAAGCGCAAGTCAGAGGCTGTTCCTGCAGCGTCTTCTGGTCACAAGGAGGGAAAGGATAGAATACGCATTGAACATCTCAATTACAAGGTGAGCCTTGCTGCCTTGTGACAAGCTATAGTGTCTAATTGAACTCCATGATCAGCGTATAAATGTCGGAATGAAGATTTTTGGACAGATTGCTGCTATCCTACCACTGGCTCTCATCGTCTCGCTTCCGAACCAACTCTACGCCCATGTACCGATTACCAATATATCGACGCAATTTACAGAAGCACTCGAACGGATAGAGGCTCAAGAATTTAGCGCTGAGGAAGACGAGAGCGAAGACGAGGATGAAGAAAACAAACCTCCGAAGTCGTATATTCCTGAACTGACAGAGCTGTTTCGTGTCGGGCAGTATGTCCGTGGAGTTGTTTCTGCAATCCATGAACCTGGCACAAGTGATATTTCTGGTATAGGAAGGTCGCGAGACGAGGTTAGCAGAGCGAGCAAACGCGTCGAGTTGACACTAGTACCAGATCGTGTCAATACAGGCGTCCAGAAGTCGGGTTTGAAGGCAGGATTCGTAAGCCTGTGTGCCCTCTCTTTCGAATGCCACTCTGACGAAGACTTCACAAGACCTTGACTGCCTCAGTGAAGAGTCGTGAAGACCATGGATATATTTTGGATCTTGGGGTCGAGAATGTGTCCGGGTTTTTGAACCCCAAGAATGCAGAACAACCGAATTTACAAAGGAAACTACATGTTGGCTCATTGCTAGACGTCACTATCACCAAATTATCCTCCAATGGTCGGACGTGCACCGTTAGTTGTGATCCGGCAACTTTTGCATCGTCGCATGTATGTGTTTCAGTAACTTCAACTGTGTTGCGTTGATTTAACTGGAACGTGAAGCTCTCAGATATATCTTCAGTGACTTCCATGCTTCCTGGGACATTGGTCCAGGGGCTTATCACCGCCGTTAATCCAACTGGCCTTAACGTTCAAGTTCTTGGTTTTTTCGATGGCACAGTGGACCAATCCCATCTCGTAAAAGCCACCAGCGAGTACAAGATAGGCAAGAAGATCAAGGCGAGAATTCTATACAACTACTCATCCTCTCCGCCAAAGTTTTCTCTAAGTCTGCTCGATCACATCATCAAGCTGGAAGGTCGTTTGACGGCGGATGAGCACGAAGAGCTCAAGGAGAGGACCGTGCAGGAAACGTATCCTGTTGGGACAGTGCTAGAAGCAGTGAAAGTGAAGAGATTAGAGGGAGAGCGAGGTATCATTGTCGAGATCTCACCGACGTTGGAAGGATTTGTCCATGTGTGTCATATCCAGCTCATCCTCTCCTCTGAATTGACGTTTCTATGCAGATATCTCACTTATCGGACGACCACGTCCCGTCGCTTTCATCATCGGGTCCTTGGAAAATTGGCTCCACCCACCCAGCACGCGTCACGGGCTATTTTGCGTTCGATGGCGTCCTCCAACTGTCTCTAAAGTCTTCTGTTGTCCAACAAAAATACTTCCAAGTTGCCGATCTTGAAGCTGGAGAATTGGTCAAGGGAACGATCAAGAAGCTCACGGATACTGGACTGTTCGTATCGCTGTCAGGAGGTCTTGACGGCGTAGTCTGGCCCAAGCATTACGCCGACATTACCTTGAAGCATCCCTCCAAGCGGTTCAAAGAGGGGGCTAACATAAAGTGTCGCGTACGCTCTCACAAATCCTTCCATAGATAGCGGAACTGATCCATGCAACAACAGGTCCTCTCAGTAGATCCCGACCGAAAACGAATCGCTCTCACAGCTAAAAAAACTCTCGTAGATTCCACTTTACCTATCGTGTCAAAGCCAGAGGACGTTACATCAGGCTTGTTAACGCACGCTGTTGTTTTCAAGGTATCTGAGAAGCATCTCCTAGTTGAGTTCTACGGCAACATGAAAGCTGTGGTCCCGGCAAAGGAAATCAGGTTGGTTTCTTCCTGGACAGTACGCCGTGTCTTACTCAAATGCCATGCAGTGATACCTCCAAAGGCCGGCTCGTAGATGCATTTCCACTAGGACGAGTTGTCAAAGTTCGCATTCTAAGCATCGATGACGGACGCATTGTTGCAAGCATCAAACAAGCTGCGCCTAACTTTGACGCTCCTGGCGACATCAACACAGTTGAAATCGGGCACACGGTAGAAGGAACTTTGTCGGAAGTACACAAAGACCACATTCTGCTCACTCTCCAGCCGTCCAATGTCCGCGCACTTCTCTCTTTGAAAAATCTTGCCAATCACTGTGGCTTGGCTGTTTCTCAGCTTCGAACTAGTCTCCAGGTCGGTGAAAATTTCGATGAGCTCGTCGTAGTCACTCGAAATCCAGAGAAGGGAATTGTCATTGTGGCCAACAAGCCGAAATCAAAACCTACAGTTTTAGCGAAGGGTTCTAATATCACAATAGAATCCGTTGCTGTTGGCCAGCTTGTCGGCGGACGAGTGACTCGACATACTAGTCATGGTGCTTTGGTCAAGATTACTTCCCACATTGGTGGCATCCTCCACCTGACTGATATTTTGGACAATTTCGACTCCACGGTATCGCTACCAGCTGTCGACAGCATCATCAAAGCCACGGTGGTGGCGATAGATGTAGCTAAACGACAGCTCATACTTTCTACTCGCCAGTCAAGAATGAGCCCACTTCAAAGCCAAGAGGTCGCTGATCCAGAGATTAGCAGTATGTCCGATTTGCAAATCGGACAGACTATTCGCGGGTTCGTGAAAAACATTATTAATCATGGCCTTTTTGTTACCATTGGCCGGGAGATCGATGCTCGAGTGCAGATCAAGGAGTTGTTTGACGAAGTTCGTCCTTTCAGTCTCCTTGTGGAGCAGCTCCTTGCTTATCATATACTTCCATCAGTATGTCAAAGACTGGCAAAGTCGCTTCAAAGTGCAGCAGGTTGTGAAGGGTCGAATTCTCAGGTAAGGTCTCCTGGGCTTGTACTCGATGCTTTATTGACTCTGTAATAGCATCGACCTTTCCAGTAAGAAGGTGGAGCTTTCCTTCAGATCGGGGGATCTGTCCCAAAAGCGGCCTGCCACCCTCTCTGTAGGTGATTTGAAGGCAGGCCAGAAAGTCAATGGGACGGTGAAGAAGATTGAAGATTACGGGCTCTTCGTCCAGATCGAGAATTCAAAATTCAGCGGTCTCTGTCACAAGTCGCAGGTGGGATTCTCGAGTCCTTGGTCTTATGCGTTCTTACATTCGTGCATAGTTATCTGACAATCCGGATGCTGATGTTGCCATCGCGCTTCGAGGGTTCCGCGAAGGCGACCGTGTCAAAGCCGCCATCCTCAAGATTGAGAACGGCCGCATTTCTCTTAGCTTGAAACCCTCTAATTTCAGCAAGGAGGAGCTCGAGGAGGACAGTGGAGCTGAGGACGAAGAAGATCAAATAAACCATGATGATGCAGAAGGGATCGAACTGCATGAGGCTTCTGGTAGCGAATCTGCAGATGATCCTGACGCCGGCATGCGCTCTCCCGACGAAAGTGAAGATGAAATGCAGGTTGACGTGGACAATGCCCAACTTGAATATCAAGCACCCAGGGTATCGACATCGAAAGCCCTAGGTCTCACCTTATCCTCTGTTGGTGGGTTTCAGTGGCCAGGTATTTCGAAGCCTGAGGACGAAGAGGAATCGTTCTCTGAGGATGAAGATGAAGCCGGCCAGCCTAGCAAAAAGAAGCGGAAACGCAAGGAGATCGAACAGGATTGGACTGCTGATATGCATTCCAAGGCCCCAGAATCGAATGCTGACTTCGAACGCCTGCTTCTTGGGTCGCCCAATTCTTCCTATCTCTGGATCCAGTACATGTCCTTTCAACTTCCCCTTTCTGAAGTTGACAAAGCACGAGAAATCGCTCGCCGCGCTATCAAGACCATCAACTTCCGAGAGGAAAAGGAACGTCTAAATGTTTGGATTGCTCTGCTCAACCTCGAGAACGTTTATGGGACAGATGAAACTTTGGAAGCGACCTTCAAGGAGGCTGCAAAGGCCAACGATTCCAAGACAATCTATCTACGTCTTGCCTCGATCTCTGAGCAATCGTACAAAAACGAGGCAAGCTTTTTCACCCAACGCCTTGTTCCAACTCTGATACTTCATATAGAAAGCGGAAGAACAATACAAACGAACGTGCAAAAAGTTTGGTCAAAGCTCTAAGGTCTGGACGCTTTTCGGAGAGTTCCTGCTCAAGCGAGGAGAGCTTGAAGAGGCGAGAAAGCTACTTCCTCGTAGCTTGCAGAGCCTGGAAAAGCGGAAACGTACGCGCATGCTTGACCCGCCGTGCTATTCTGACTAATGGGGCCTACAGATTTAAAGACGATCGCGCGGTTTGCTCAGCTCGAGTATAAACATGGGGATGCAGAACGTGGAAAGACCTTGTTTGAAGGCATCGTGGATTCCCATCCAAAAAGATGGGACATGTGGTCAATATATATGGACATGGAAGCTACGCAGGGCAACATCCAAGGCCTTAGGTATGTGCCTTCAGTGCAGTGCCTGCACGAGTTTATGGACGTCTTTCAGGAATCTGTTCGCTCGTGTTTTGACACACAAGATGACAAGCCACAAAGCGAAGTAAGACTTGCAATATCTTGCTTCAGCTACTAGGACCTAATCCAGTATTCCCAGGTCCTTCTTCAAGAAATGGCTTGAGCTAGAGAGACGAATAGGTGACGAGGAGGGTGCTGAAATGGTCAAGCAACGAGCCGTTGAATGGACACAGAGGGCGTCAAATGGGTCATAATTATTAGTCAGTGTACTTTACTGACAGCGCCAACTGAGGCAGATCGTAAGAAAAATAATATTTACGAGAAGGGCAGCATAGTATCAGAGCAGAGCAATGAAGAGCCAAGTAGTGTGAGAGGATCCAAGCGAGTGTGAGTGGTGACAAATATTGACAAAAGGAGAGATACGAAGGGTATATGCAAAATTTACATAGATTAGTGAAGGAGAGGAAGAGATACTATGACCGAGGCAACCGTGACTGCTCTGCAACAGGTGGCTCGAGTTCGCTGATTGGCCGTCGACTGCTCATAGAGCCCGCAAGTTGTCGTCGCCAGTCGTCCAATTCGCTGGATAAATTTTCAAAGGCAATCGCATTCTCTGAGCTAGACGTGCTCATACGTCCCGACATTGGTCTGCGGGCAAATGCTGGCTCGTCGACCTCTAGCAGTAGAGCAATTTTATGTGATAGCTGGTCGTTTTCTCGGCGAAGGGCTGTGTTTTCGTTATGTAGTTTCTCCATGAGCGTCTCATCCGGACCACCACGAGCAATAACAAGTGATTGCTGTAGCCGTTCGATGTCCATTTGGAGTTCCTCAACTTGAGCATAGCGATCGTCTGCCTCCTGCTGTGAAGCCTGTAAGTTGCTGCGAAGAAGCTCAAGCTCTTTCTCAAGATTCTCCAGGCGCAGACGAAGCTCCTTATTCTCGCCAGTGAGGCGTTGGGCTTGTCTCTGAGCATCAACGAGATGCGAGCGCTCGTCGTCTGATGGTGTGCTACGCCCATTAAGACTGCGGAGGAGTCGTGGGTCGACAGCCTTGCCGTTCCGGACTGCGTCGAGCTGATCTTGCAGGGCGGTGTTCGTGATCTTGTACTTGTTCACTTCTTCCCGCATGCGACGCATCATCTTGTCTGTGCCCCTGCAGCCGATCCATCAGCGTCGGTCTCTTGACGTTTTGATACAACTTACTTTACGTAGTGCACGGCAATGTTGTAGTCGTCCTCAAGCTGCTTGAGCTTGGCAGCATGCGCCTGCTCAACCATTTCGAGCTTCTCTTCAGCCTCTTGTGCACGAGCATCAGCATCGCTGTTGCTTCCAGGCGTCTGAGTAGACCGCAGGGTGTCAAGTTGAGAGCTGAGTTGCGTCACTTGCACCTCCACGTCTCGCTTCCTGCGGAGAGCCTGGGCCAACTCTCGCTCGGCATTCTCATGCAGCCGGGTACGTTCAGCAAGCCTGCTTTCAAGGTCGGCGACCATCTCGGAAGAAGCATGGCCATTTGACCTCGACGAAGGACGAAGATCGTTCTCGTCAACACTGATGCCGCTTTCTCCCAGATAGTTGTACAGCATGCCAATTTTGGTGGTGAGATCGGTGACTTCCTTTGACTTGTCGCGGAGATTGCTTTCGACGCTAGAAAGATCTTTGCGCAGACGTACAGTGTCGGTGACAGCATTTGCCAGCTGACCGCGGAGAACGATGATTTGGGCCTGGAGATGAGAAGCTTCTGTCTGGTGCTCTTGGCCGCGCTTTCGCTCCTCGGCGAGCTGTTTCGTGGACTCGTCAGCTCGCTGAGTTGCCTCTCGTAGCATCAGGCGCAGTGACTGGGCCTCGGCTTCCACAGCTTGGATCTTCTCAGAGTGCCCGCGGAGTACTCTGTCCTCATCCGCCTTCAGGTCACGATGTGTGTCGAGCAGCTCGCCGAGACTCGTCGTGGTGAGCGCACGGAAGGCATCTGCCTCTTCGCGAGACTTCGCCCACGAATTTTCGACGTCTGTTAGTCTGGCTCTCGCAGCATCGGCCTCCGCCGTCCGTGTCTCAAGTTCGCCACGAAGCTCGGCGACATCGGCCTCTAGCCGCTTGATGGTGTCAAGTGCTCGTTCGTGCTGCAGGTCGACTTCCGTGGCCCGTGCCGACGCGGATTCCAAGGCTATTCGCGCCTGGTCCAATGCCCGAATATGCTGATCCCGCGATTGTGTCAGCTCGTCCACCTGAGCACGCAGGCTGACCTCGTCCGCTTCCCGTTGCTCAAGGAGCGAACTCTGGCTAACGAGTCTGTCCTGATGGTCTCTGAACCTGACCTCCATCGTCTCATACTTCTCCAGGAGGTCATTGTAAAGCTGCGCGGTACGCGTATGGGCCTCATCCATCTTCTCATGCCGCTTGATGGCATCAGTAGCACGTGCCTCTGCTTGGTCATACAACATGGTCTGGAGAGCGATCGAATCGTTGAGCTCATTGACCTTGCGATCTTGAGCCCATCGCTCGTTCATGAGAGCGGACATGTGGTTCTCCAGCTCCGAAATACGGGTGCGCTCCAATCGCTGCGCCTCCGAGTCGTTTTTGGCCTCCAAAGCAGCAGCTTTAGCGCGATAATACGCCACCTCTTGTGTCGCGCCCGACTTGATACGCTCGGCCTCCGCGACCCGTTCCGAAGCCTGCTTCGCTTGCTCTGCCATAGCCGTCTAGCCAAAAAGAAGTTAATTAGCAGACAAGCGAGGTTTACGCGTCGACTAACCTGGACCTGAGCCCGGAACTGCTTAAACTTGAGCGCCAACTCGGCATGCTTGCTATCCTGACCCTCATCCGACCCACCCACACCGCCGATCTCGGGACTGCCCTCCCTATCCGTCTGCACGAAGCCCGCACGTGTCGCCTTTGCCAGCGCTTCCTTCATCCACGCGACCTGCCGCTTCACGCTATCCAGCTCCACATCCTTCGCCTTGATGTCCCTGATCAGGTCAGCAGTGACGTTGCCCACCGAGCCGTTGCCCGTCCGCGACGACGGCCGCACGAAGCCGTTTATTGTCGGCGAGATGTTATTCGGGTTTCGGTAACTCTCCGTGCTGCCCTCGCTCGGTCGCGAACGCTCGACCACCGGCGAAGCGCGACCTGTGAGAGGCGACGACCGTCCAGCAACTGCAGGGGACGACCGCCCGGTGACCCCGTTGATACCCATAGAAACACCGACCATGTTGGGTGCCTGCCCACCGTTCATCGAAGGCGAGACGGCACGGTTCCCACCGCCTGTCTGCGCGGGACTCTTCGCTCGCGACTGGGGCTGATATGATTCGCTGCTGCCCACGTCAAAGCCGTCATCTGCACCATCGATCAGCTCGTCCTCTCTTCTTGGTCGTAGAGGCGTTTTGCCAGGTGGCGTGCCCGTAGCTGAAGAGAAAGTCTGTTGCTGGAGACCGTTGGCCCGGCCTGAAGGCGATATGGCGCGCTGAGGTGTAACAGTAGGTGACATTGAACGAGGATTTTGCGCTGCCTGGGGAGGTGGGCCTTGCTGCTGGTTCTGAACATTTTGGCCAGTCATCGAAGGCCTTCGCAGGTTGTTTTGGCTACCCAGAGGCACTGCTTGAGGGGCTGGTCCTCGGTTGTCTTCCGGATACTTGATGTGCTCTATACTACTAATGAGCTCATTTACCAATCCAATTTCGAACACAACGCACTTGTATCCAAAACATGGGTGATATTGGCATCGTCGCCTTTGGAGGGCGAGAAGGATTCACCTCCAAGGACGAAGACTCTGGTGCCTATGGATGCCATGGCATGTCCAGAACGCCCGCTGGGTGATGGACCCATGTTCTGGAACATGTACCATCGTTGATCTGATTTTCCAAGTGCGTTAGTTCGTGCATGAATCCCGAGTGGCGCGTTACCAACTTGATATCTTGAAGGCGGCAAGGTCGTCCAAGTCCTTGCCATCAACGCCCCGCCCTCCAAAGACATATATCACATTGCCAACGATGGCAGCTGCATGGCCCTCTCGTGGCGAAGGAATAAAGCCTATGCACTGCAGCTCTGTCCATCTCCTCGTTTGCAGGTTGAACGACCATGTGTCGTTGTAGTGATATTTACCGTCAGTGCCTCCGAACCTACAAAAAAGCCCGGTTAGCTTTCGAATTTGCGACACGACTTGTGCGTCCTGCGTACACGATGATTTGGTCTTCGAATGTTATACACACGTGGCCTGTCCGTTGTGCTGGTCGTTCGCTCGTCACAGGCTCCCATTGTTCCCAAGCAGATCTCGTTTTCACTTGAAATAGTTAGACTGAGAAAAACCTAACATGAGGGAAATGCACAGCGTACGTGAGTTGAGGTCGAAAGCCCAGAGATCGTTCAAGAACTCTCCGTCCACCTGACCACCGAATACGAAGAATTTTGTGCCGACCATTGTCACGGCGTGGCCATATCGGCCCACCGGTGCCGGCCCAGAGACCTCAAGCAGATTCCACTCTTGCGTTTCTTTGGGGAGGGGATGGTTAGAAGCCAGGAAGCAGGAGGAACACATCGGCACGCACTTAGATTCAAGAGGTACAGCCCGTTATCATGTCTATCAGTCGCTTTCGAGTTTGGGTCCGTATTTGTATCCCCACCCCACACAATCACCACATTGGCGACCAGAGCGCTCGCATGACCCATTCGGGGACTTGGAGCCACGCCGGTCGTGTGGAAGAGGCTCGCAGAGTTGGTCGTCGTCGAGAATTGGTAGACATCGTTCCGTGGACTTTCGCGGACGAGACCACCGAAGAGGTAGAGTTCGCCCTTGGAGTTGGCGGTAGCGGGCAGTGCATGGCCGTATCGCGGAAAAGGTGAGGGCGAGGGCGAAGTGGGAGGCGCGACGCCTGGCTTGGGGAGGACGGTTGGTGGGAGGAGGTTTAGGCGCTGGGCTGACCATGGAAAAGCAGGCGGTGGACGAGAGGGCTGCGTTGAATTTGGGGGTTGCCCGCCGGTGGTGGGGCCATTGCTGCGATTTTGGGGCCGGGGCTGCTGCTGCTGCTGCTGCTGTTGGGGTTGCAGCATGGGCGCGGGGCTGCTGCTTCCGGCAGCATTTCCGGCTCTGTTCACCAGACGGTCAGAAAATGGCGCGAGGGCAACATCCGATGGGTGACCCAAGACGATACTTACAGGACGCTATCCCCACGCAAACTCCCGGACTGCTGTTGAGGGAGGACATCTCTTGGGCCCACGTTGGATACCTGTGCGAGTGCCTGGCTCGGGGATTGGGCGACAGTGACGGAGGCGGGAGGCTGGGCCGCTGGCTGTTGCTTCTTCCTCGAGAAGAAGGACATTCTCCTTGTGCGTGAACCTAAGAACGACGGTATGGTTGTTGACTGTGGAGGATTGTTTGACCAAAAATTGGGTTCTTGAGGGAAGTCGGAAGAGAATTGGGGGGCGGAGCCAGGATATTAAAGGGAGAAAAGGGGGAGATTTAGGAATGGAAGGCGGCGAAGGCGTCGAAGTTGGAGGGAACTCGCTCGGTCAATGGACCTGACTGGCAGATTTGTGTCCGATTTGTGCGTGTTTGCCTTTGGCATTATATTTCACCAGACCGCTCCCTCGTCTCTCTTTTCATCAAGTCAAACGCTCGGATTTGATGGAGACCCCAATTACCTTCGCAACGATGGAGTGCACGGTGTGAGAAGAGAAGTGCATACACAGTGCATTGAAGATAGGTATCAGAGACATAGTACATGGTTTAGCTATGAGATGGTTGGGACGGCGCGGGGCTGTTCCAAGTAATAATATTAGAGTCATCATCGGTGTCGTGGTCCTTCCTGCGGTGTGCCATAAGGGCTCGATGGCTAGGAAGAAGACGATAACAGTCTGTAGACGGATAAGAGTCGGAGACGGAAGCAAAAGTGCACGATGCTGACTCTCAAAGGCGCATATGCATATCGGGGTCCTATCCGGGCGTCAACGATGCCGGCTTTGATTTGAGGAAATACGAACAGGTCAGGATTTGTTACTTTTCCAAAAGGTTGGCTGATCTGCTCTGGTGTGGATGTGACTGCCAAAAATAAGCGCCGAAGAATGTGTGATGAGTTGAACTTACCATCTTGGATGGCAGGCCTGGCCGGGAGGATGGAGGGGAGTGAGGCCATGGGAGAGTAGAAAGTGGAGAAGAGTGTGACGTCACAGCACGCCCATGAACGAAGACAGCCATGGTCGAGTGCGTCTGGGAGACAGAATCGACGCCCTGCTAGCGAACAGCTCCCCCCGCTCAAGCTCAGACTCGGCCTCTTCCCTCGACAGCCCGACCGCGCGCACGACGAACATGCGGCGCGCCCTCCCGACCGCATCGCAGTCCAAGGCGCCTGTGCTGCGCTGGCTCAGCAACCTCACAAACAGTAACAGCCAGCCCCCGTCCCCAGCCCGCTCCTCCCTCAGTCTCAATCTCCAGCCGCCCTCTCCCAGTCTGTCTTTGCTCAACGAAGCACTAAACACGCCGCTGATCCTCCCGTCGCCCATCATTCCACGGCCACCACTCGCAAAGCTACCACCGTCCTTTCGCGCCGCCCACAATGTCACCCATCCACCGCCCTTCTTCGATAACCTCACCCGCTCAACTCTCCCAACATCCTCGCTCTCCCCTCCTCCAACTGTGTCCACCCATCCTGTACCCCAAGTCGACCTCGCACGACCACCACCTATTGTCCTCAACCACTCACCTCCGTCGCGTACGTCTCTCGACTCTCTACGGTCCCTCCATACACGCTCGATGACCACCTACTCCATAACATCCATAACATCCCTCGACTCAGTCTCCCAGAAGTCCTCGACGACAACGTCCGCGTCCTGGTGGTCATTCCAGCAATTTACCAAGTCCAATAAGGACGCTCTGCTTGCAGATGAGGATCGTCCACAAACTCAGCAACAGCAGCAGGATCTGAAGAATAAATGTGCGTTGCATATCATCTATCTCTTTCACTTACGCTCAATCCCAACTAGACATCTCTCCAAACAACCCCATCGTCTTCTGTCATGGTCTACTCGGTTTCGACTCCGTCACCATCGGGCCCACAATAGCTCCTCTCGAGGTCACCCACTGGCGCGGAATAAAGGAAGTCCTGGAGGAGAACGGTACAGAGGTCCTGATAACGCGCGTGCCGGCCACGAGTAGCCCTGCGGACAGAGCGAAGGTCCTGGAAGAAAAGATATCATCGGTATACCCTGGACGGAGCGTTCATCTAATCGGTAGGTTAATTTCAATTACGGGATACTAAACGCCTAATTGACGTGGGTGTAGGTCATAGCATGGTCTGTATTTACCCCCCGCTTTCATATTCCACGCCCTGAAATTGACTCTCAAGGGCGGCCTCGACTGCCGCTACCTAACCACCCACCTCACCCACCGCAAGTTCAAAGTCCTCTCCATAACCACCATCGCCACCCCGCACCGCGGGTCCTCCTTCGCCGACCACTTCCTCTCCACCGTCGGGCGCACCAACATGCCCTCCGTCCTCTCCCTTCTCGACCTCCTACCCAACGGCGGTGGGGATGGGAAGGCGTTCGAGTGCCTGACCCTCGCGAGCATGCGTAGATTCAATGAGGAGACCCCGGATGTGGAGGGCGTGCGGTATTTCAGCTGGGGGGCGGTGTATGAACCGGGGTTGATCGATACTTGGAAGTGAGTCTGGACATTTGTGCGGCGTTTTGTTGTTCTGAACGCGTTTCTTTAGGTGGCCACATACCGTTATCCTCGAGCGCGAAGGTCCAAACGACGGCTTAGTCTCTGTAGAGTCATCCAAATGGGTACGCACCAGAAAGTATGCTCATCTTATTAACACGTGCTAACCTTCCCCGCATATCATTTCCCTCCCCCCAGGGCACATACCTCGGCACCCTCTCTCAAGTGAACCACCTCGACCTCGTCGGGTGGATCAACACCGCACGGTACAAATGGGCAGAGATGATGGGCAAGGAGATCAAGTTCCGCCCTGCGACGTTTTATATGGGTATTGCGGATATGCTGGCACGGGAGGTGGAGGGGTTGGATGAGGGTGAGGGTGAGATTGTGGGTAGGGAGGAGGGTGCAGATGGGAGGTTGACGGACTCGCCGAAAGTTGGGGCTGGGGCCGATCTTGAGGGGAGTGAGCTTGGGGAGTCGGCGCAGACTGTGGTGCCGAAGAAGGAGAAGGAGGCGTCGAAGGAGCCACGGGAAAAGGTGGTGGATAAGGTGGACAAGGAGCGCGCGCAGATGGTCGACAGCTTGGACGCTGCAGGCGCAGAGATACAGCAGCCTAGCAGCGGCAGCAGTCGTACCGCTACTGCCAGCAATGGACGGCCTTTGGGATCGCAAGCAAAATCGGCATCGGCATCGACATCGCAATCGCAAACACGGACAGCATCGTGATCCATCGACCCAGCACTAGACGTTACAGTAGATAATGATCGTTTCTGACCAAACCACACATTTCACATTCCTATCTATACTATCTTTCGCTCTATTGTGTGTATCTTAACTGGAAGGAATAATTGCATGTACGAGAGTATATATTATTAACAGAGCAGTAAACTACAGACAGCAGTGGTTGTTAGTACAGTGAGCTAGGTAGTAGGATGTGCATAGCGTCGACAGCAATTGAGTCATGACAGAGTAGAGCAGAACAGACAAAGATCCCAAAACTTCCTGGCACATATCATCTCTTCCTAAACAGAACCCTTGCCCTCGGGTTCGGCACCCTCCTTGCACCATCCACCACATCCTCAGGCCTCATCCCATCCTCAAACCGCACATCATACCCCAAAACCACATGCGCGAGGAGCATTTTCAGTACCACGGCAGCGAAGAACCGCCCCGGGCACGCGTGCCGGCCGTACCCCCACGCGAGGTAGTCCGGCGTCGCTGTGGTGAGCTGGAAGCGCGTCGACCCGCCCGTGCCGCCTGTGCCCCAGCTGGCGCCGCTCGTGGGCGTAGTGAAGGAGGGGGAGGAGTCCCCGTAGTGGTGTTCGTATAGGCGGGAGTGGCGGAAGCCGTCGAAGACTTCGGGAGAGGAAGAGGAGGAAGAGGAAGAGGAGAGGTGTGGGTCGAGGTGCCGAGCGTCGGAAGCTACACAGAGGACGGTGCCGGTGGGCAGAGTAGTCCCGTCAGAGAACATAAAGGGTTGGAGAGTCTTGCGTATCATTGTTACTGTGCGTTCGACACATTTATATTCCAGGTAAGGGAAATGTATGACAAGAGGACAGGACTTACCACACGATACGCCGCTCACTCTCATCGATTCCTTCACGAAGCCGTCCACCTTTCGCATCTTCTCTAATGATGCCTTGGTCCAGCCCTCCCGACTCGCGATGCTCTCGATTTCCTTCCTCATTGGCGATGCGTACTTCGGGTTCGCTGCGAGGTGGTATAGAACGTGCAGGAAAGTCTGACAACGAAACGGCGTGAGTCGAGCTTCAAGGACCCGAGGACGACATGCTCACCAGTGATAACGATTCGTTGGCATTAAGGCTCAACTCGAAGAGGGAATTGAAAATCGACGAATCCAGCGGAGAGTCTTGCAGGATACTTGAAAGTATATCGTTCTGCACTTTCACCTTTCGGGGACTGGGAGGTTCGATGCCTACAGTCAGTGCCTTCCGCTCCTTGAGCATCGTCATGAATATCCTTCTGAGTCGTTTCTTGTTGCGGTAGGATTTGCTGAAGAACCGAATAACTCTTGAACCGAGAGCTCGTTGCGATGGGCATGCATTCTGGACGACGAGCTACTCACCTCTTGAAGAATCCAGGAACCAGCAGCGGGAGAACATGGGAGCGCCGTTCGAATGCGAGACGAGTTACCTCGACGCAGAGGTGCTTGTAGTCGGTGGCACGGCCTAGAGGCGAAGGTAAGTACGACCACCTAGCGAGAACAGCGTGCACTTCCTGAGGGACAAGCCTAACAGGAGCCTGTTGGTTGCTCGAGTCACAGCGTGTAGAACAAAATCCAGAGCATCTATTTCTGACCATCCTATGAGAGTGACAATCAGCAATTGGTCCTGAAGAATGAGGATGAGAGCGTACCGGTCGAAATATCTGGGGTAGGTATCGCTCCACTAAGGCTCGCCACTATCTCTTCACGCAAATCTTGAATCATAAATGTCAACGACTGGGTCATTAGTCTGACGAGCGTCTGGGTATCTTCCGAGAGCGGGGTATCGTAGTGGCCAACGAGGGACAACAGCAGTGCGTCGGCGTCATCATCGGGGACGATACAAGCCACCTCTTCCTCAGGCGCTTTCCGAAGCTCCTCGATGTGCTGCGTTGAGGTGATGACGACGAGCCATCGGTTCAACGTCGATATCTTGAATATTCTCGGCTGGAACTGTGCACGCCAACTTTAGTGAACGAATGGCAGAAATGACGAATGCCAGGGAGACCGAAGAGACCTTTTCGTATCCTCCCCGCAGGAGAGCTGGGCCGGTGTAGAGGAACTTTAACGCGTCGATGTATGAAAGGAGATAGCTGGAGTGTCCTATCGGTCGGATGTGTTTCAACTGCGCATCGGAGCGCGCGCTCTTCAGTGAAGCCGCCGAACCTCGAGAGACGCGTCTTTACTTACGTTTGGTTCGACCCGTTCGCTCGAGAGTAAGAGATAAAAGGCGAGCAGGACACCTAGAACGATGAATATCAGACTAGACCCTTCATCTTGGGCGTCCATCGGGTGGTGCAGCCCCGGTCGGCGTTGAGTCAAGGCGGAGGCGAGCGAGGGTAGTGTGTGAGTGGATGAGGAATGACCCGCGTGCCGTCATTAACTACCAAAAGCCTCCGTCCCGCGATAAGATAAGATGCCGCCCCTAATGTGCCTTTAGCTGCCGATTGTGGCCCGGACATCCGAGTTCTAGCGCATACGAGCTCTCCTCTGGTATGTCATTCCACCGACGGAAGTCTGTATGACAGTAGTCTCCGAGGACAGAAAATCGACTGTCTAAATATACCTGCAACCCTAGATTCGCTGAATGCCCCAAAGTCCGAGTCGCGACTTCTTCTTGCTCTCCACGTGATGGTCGATCTGAACTGCATTTATCGTCAGAGTCCCACACCCTTCTCTCACATCCACCTTTGTCTGAGCCACACACCACCCACCTACTCATAGATCTCATTCCATCATGTCTGGCGCTCCTGTTCTCGAGAAACTCTCCTCAAACCGAGTCTTTGAAGGAGAGCTCACAAAGTACAAGTTCAAGGTTAGGACTCAGGATCATCGAAGTGGCATAACCTCCTCATCGGCTTCCACAGTCCGCTGCTCTAGGAGGACTCGACGCACAGTTCAATCTCTTCATGCCCCTTAACCCCGGCGGTGCCAAGGTCCCCGTCCTGGTCTACCTCGCCGGTTTGACATGCACAGAAGATAATGGGTCAGCACACGCGCTTAGTCGTACTTCCTAGGCATCTAACAATCTGCCATGTCTCAGAGCACAAAAGGGCGGCTTTTTCGGCGTCGCTGCCTCCCAAAACATTGCGATTTTGTTCCCAGATACCTCGCCCCGCGGTGCAGGCGTACCGGGTGAAGACGACGACTGGGATTTCGGCACCGGCGCTGGATTCTACATCAACGCAACGAAGCCCGAATACGCGAAGAACTACAACATGGCCACCCATATCACCGTCGAGCTCCCCAAGGTCATAGAGGCAGCTGGCATTGCCATCGTTTGTGATGTTCCTCGGCGATGATGTCATCCGTGCGCTAATGGCGGTTGATCGCAGGACTGGAAGCGACAATCAATATTCGGACATAGCATGGGCGGACATGGAGCTTTGACGCTCTACCTTTCATCAACGACAAAACAGTACCGATCAGCGTCTGCTTTTGCCCCCATCTCCAATCCCACCAAGTGTCCTTGGGGAGAGAAGGCATTCAAAGGATATCTTGAAGGCGGGCTCCCAGAGGGTGCCAAATACGATGCCACGGAACTCATCTCCAAAGCCACAGAACCCCTTCACATCCTGGTGGACTATGTGCGTAAATTTTTGCTCGTCAGGAAGCATGGAAGAAATATATCTCCGTTCTAGGGAACTGGCGACAACTTTTACAAGCAAGGCCAAATTCTTCCAGAGAACTTTTTGAAGAGCGCGCGTGATGCTGGCTACGACGAATTCCAAGTTCGGGTCAGAAGCCAAGAAGGCTACGACCACAGCTACTACTTTGTATGTCTCCCGATTTCCTCCCTTTATTCGATATCTCATGAAAATTTAGATATCGACATTCGCATCTGATCACGTCCACTGTGAGTTGTCAATATCTTCCATATTCACTTGTTTACCTTCTTTTAGTCCACGCAAACTTCTTGAAAGCGTGAGCGAAGGACCATCGCGAAAATGGAATCTCAATAATATTTCGTTGTACAGTAGGAAACAGCCAGGAATATAGGGAGGCTGAGTATCATGAGGGCCCATTTACAAAATAATTTGTTTCTTCTATTATCACCCGTGAAGCCTACGGAGTTGCGACCCTCAGTCGATATAAAGCCTCAAGATCTTCAAGTTCGCTGTGGATCCAGTCACTATCAAGTGCGGAGTATACGGTCGCACGATGGGCAGGGTTCTGGACGAGCAATGACCCAACCAATGATCGAGCTTAATACACCATCAGTGACAGGGGGGAAGAAAGGCAAATCATTGGACTCACCATCGAGCAATCGTGACCATGGATCTTGGAAGTATTCAACTTCCCCACGGACGATTCTTTCTTTGAGTTTTCGATCGTCTTGACCGTATTGGCTTTGAGAAATGTCCGGTTCCTCTGACTGTCCGGTGCAGGTTATCCAATTGCTTGACGCTCTGGATCCATGATCAAAGGGATGGCTCCCTCTAAAACACGCAAGATGTGACTTAATGCGATGAAAACTCAGAAGACGGCACTCACGATAGCATGATGTACAAAATCACACCAGCGCTCCAACAATCCGAGGGCATTCTGGAGTTAAGAAATTTCAGAACGACGTTGAATCAGATTTGTTCAAGCGCTCTGGATATGTACCCGATGTATCCTAAGTGCTTGTTGTCCAAGGCAAGAATGCCCTCGGGTGGCAGGTAAGATACTGTACCACAGACGTTGAAAGTTTCTTGGTAAGAATTAGGTCGTGCAAGACCAAAGTCAGCAATGAGGATGCGAGGATACGGCCCAGGATGATAGAGGAGGATATTTTCCGGCTACAAAACTATCAGCACATATGCAAGTGGTGGGTGAGAAAATATGCCTTTAGATCTAAAGGACAATGGCGTTAGCGGGGTTCATGGAACCTCCTTGCATAGCGCACCTCTATGCGAAATCAATTTATCGTGCAGGTACTTGAGCCCTTGGAGAAGCTGATACATGATATACTTTGCCTCCGCCTCGCATATGCGATTTCCAGTGCCTGTCGTGTGCGTGATGTATGTGAAGAGATCTCCTCCAGTGCATAACTGAAGGAAGATATGGCTAGCCAATGGAAGAAGGTCAGCTGTAGCACAATATATCATCCATAAGAATGAGCAACATGAATTTATTGTTCTCCTCCGTGTCGTATATCTCATTGATATTGGGCTAAACGGACACCCGTCAGATTCATTGGAGGAAGAGCCTGAGAGCAAGATGACCCTCACATGTTTCAATGTCATCAAAATTCTGACTTCCTTCATTACTTGTCCGACTTCATGTTCCCTTCTTGTCCTTATACTTTTACAGGCGACTTGTCTGTGTCGCGAGGGATCGAGAGCAAGATGGACTGTCGCAAAGGAGCCTGTCCCAAGACATTGTGAGGTTACTATGTAGTTGCCGATGCGCTTTGAATGAGGTTGTCAGCATGAACCTTAGACGCATACATGAAGTGATCAACCTTTTGCGCGGGCTGCAAGGGAGGCGTGGGTTCGAAAAGAGTCATCTTGTCGGAAGGCTTTTTGAGGACGTAAACGCAAGTGAAAGCTACCCGTCCAACACATTGAGATAGACGTAAAAAGAAAGTTGAACCGGAAACTTACAAAGAGACTTGGGAAGCTGAATAACATCGCTATCCATGAGTATAATCGCGGTTTTTTTGATCGGTTCGCCATTGAGCGTTATCCCATTTCTTGAGATATCCTTTCATGCCCAGGTCTTGGCACTTCTTTTAGTCGTAGGATTTGTGTAATCATACCTGGCACGAGACAATAACACCATTGCTCGGAGAGCGTACGCTATCGAGAAAATAATTTGTTAGTGGTCTCCGCAGGAGAGAGTCGCCAGGTACGCACGCATATAGTTTACAGTGAACACCGGACACCAGAGCGTCGTCGACGACGTAAGAGCTACGGATTATTTAGCAAGACTCGACTCATCGAGGCTCAATTTTTGATGAGCACCAAAGCTCTGGGTCTCTCCCAATGATCGCAGGTTTGCTGAACGATAACACGATGACTGTCGAGGGTTAGTCACTCGAAGGTATATCATCCGCCACGAGTGCTGACCTTCAGTTCGTCCATGGTGTTTTGTGACCAATTTGGCGCATATATCAGTCGGTCGGGTTGATACGCGAGTGTTGACTGAATTGTTCCTCTCGCATCGGGAATGTGCTGGAAGCAAGACGGATGAGACGGAGGACCCGAAAAGACAGCAGAGAAGAAACTTACTGCGGCCATGAGACGGGGGTGCAGTACTTGGCATGTCGAAAAGCAATATAAGCCAGAGATGGTGGTCGAGATGAGAGTCTCTGGGGGAAATGCTTCCGCTAACCTCAATTAGGAAATGAATTACATAATTGGAAAATGGGGCGGCAGTACCAGTCCGGACTTCAAGCTTCAGGGTTCAATACAGCAATTGAATAAAGGCACACTGTCAAATCTCCCAAATTTACGGCATAGATGAGCATATAAGATACAAAAATCAGCCCGATGCTCCCTAGCGGACTACAACTTCCCTTCCAACATTGTAAGCCATTGATGGCACTGTTCTGCCACCAGTTTGCCGTGATCTCCAGATTATCAATGACCAGACAGTAACTTACGACAACCAGGACTCACTGATGCAGAAGGCATGAGGAACCCCAGTGGGCCCATGGATTACTTGGCTTGGATGGGTTGGCCCAAACACACGGAGCACTGCTTGTTTCTCCACCCCAACCCAATCATCATGCTCAGCATAATAGAACCACAATTTATCTTCAAATTGTTTCAACGCTTTCGTATCAAGATCTCGCACTGTCCTCATTTCCTCGTAGGCCATGGCCAGAGATGCTGAGACGCTGCTGGAAGAGCTGATGAACTCTTGAAGTACTAATAGTTGATGCCGGGGCCAGGTGGGGAATACGCGCTCCAGAATTTTAGTTGGCAGATACTTCAAAAGGACTGAGAAAGACGATATAATACGTCTGGGAAATGGCGAAAACAATGGCTGTGAAAGGCAGTGTCAAGCAGTCGTCGCAGGAGGGGCTACAAGGGGGGTAATGATGCTCACCGTCAGTTGTTTGCCATTCGGTGTGTCACTCATATTACTTAGAGTAGGAAAGAGGAAAAAGGCTGCATGAATCGCATCATTCCTAGCTTTCAGCATCTTTGAAAGCACACTGTCAGTTCAAAAAGCTTGGGCAAGAAGAAGCGTCTTCACCTGAAGAATAATCCATGACCCGATACTATGTCCAATGGTGACGATCCTTGTACTTTTCGGATAGAAATCACGGATGGCATCCAACACCTCTAATGAAGTTTCAACTTGTAGTGTCAGACTTTCGGCCGGGCTATATGGAGGCGGCTCGGAGGCGTTCAGGATGCCAGGAAAATGGTCCAAATGCGCATGGGCAACAGCCGCTAAGTTCGACGATGCACATCGCACATGAAGTTCAGAAAGAAAAGGGGTGTAGAAATCTGCAAGGCCAGGATTCCCTGTTCGAAGAGGCAATTAGTCCCATGAATGTTCAAAGCAAATCGCTGTTTGCCCACCGGGAATGAAGAGCACAACTACCTCCGGATCTGAAGAGGGCTTACGGGGTGGCCACCATAGTGCATGAGTGGATCCCAGAGAGCCCTTGTGGACAAATTGAGCGGATTGACATAGTGAGTGGTTGATGAGCTGATTGTGATGAAGGAGATGCAAGAAGGGAGGCAAGGACGCCATCTGTTGGTTGTCACGCATTGCCACCGTTACTTAGTCGCGCTCAGTACTCACTGGCAGTACTACTCCAACGCTTCAAGTTACTCTCCATCTAATCAGCTCAATGTCGCGGGCACCACCTTTCCCTACGCGCCGCCGTTCTCCTTCGATATCAGGTGCTACCCCTTATACTTCTCAGCCGTCCTCAGCGCCGGGGACTTCAACGCGGCCATTGCAGATCTCACGTCCTGGTTCAAGACCAACTACTCCAGTTGGCGCCCAGTCTGCTATTTCCCCTTCTTCCTACGCTCCTCCTAACACCGCTCCTCTTGGCCCATCCCGTCCTCACCGATCTGAGCTCAGGGGCCGTGTCGATTATGCTGGTTCTGACCGTGGATCTGTCGCTTCACAGGACCCCCACCGTGATAGCACAGTCGGCATGCCGTATCGCAATCTTCCCAACAATGCCAACAATGGCTCCACCAGGCAGCGGTCTCAACGCCTCAAAAGCCCTACCACAGACGGTGAACAAGAAACAACACCCACTTCTCTCACATCTGCACTATCTGCCTTCCAATCTGCCGGTTCGCGAAGGCGCATAACACCTGACGAAGACGAAGATTATCAGTACCGACGAGAGAGGGAACTCGAACTGGAAGCAGAAATGGCGAGACAACAGCGAATTCAGGAAAGGGCTCCGGGGTTACGCAGTAAAGGTAGCAAACGCGCGGGAGAAATTGACGGTGAGCGTGTGGCCCTCTTGCCTGTCAATTATATCCTTTTGACTGAACAAGCCCGACAGCGGTTCTTGATCAAGTAAAGGATGGCTGGGAATTCGTAATAGACCCTAACGTATGCCAACATCCTTCCACCATTCCACAAGGAACTAAGATGAAACATAGTTTAACAACGTAGACCTGGCGCTACAATTGTTAGACGAGTCCTCCTTGGGAAAGGACATGGATTCCTTCCGGCGGACCAAAAATATGCTGTCTCGGGCTTTGAAAGGATCCGTAGACAGTAAGCTATTTTGACTCTCCCCTCTTGATAGTAGCTTGTGTTAACAGGTGTATCCTAGAACATTATCAGGCATTTGCAGCCTCCTTACCCCATCATGCGTCTCTTCTCTCACATTTGAGTGCTACTCAAACCGAGATATCGGCTGCGCGAACGGCGCTCACAGAAGCTAAGGAAGCTCTCGGCGGCAAACGAACGGACCTTATACAACTATGGAATCGTGGCCAAACTTTGGAGGAGATGATCAAAATTCTAGACCAAATGTACGCTTTTGGTTCTCATTATCGTCATTTCAGTCGTGAAGTTATCTTTTACAGTGAACACTTGAAAACTGTGCCGGACCTATTAGAAACACTGATGTCTGAAAAGCGTCTGCTTCAGGCCTCCATCCTCCTGGTACGAAGTCTCAAAGTCATCAACAAACCAGATATGCACGAGATTGGAGCCGTCTCGGACTTGCGAAGTTACCTCAACTCTCAAGAAACTGTACGCCGTTGTTCTTTGTCGATTTATCCTTTTCTTCTGATTCATTTTAGGCACTACGGGATATCTTAGTTGATGAACTCCAAAGTCATCTATATCTCAAATCGTTTTGGTGTGAATCACGGTGGGCGGCATACGTTCCGAACCAGCAAGGCTGTGAGTCTCCGGCGTCCTAATCCTCGAATGTTCATATTTTCATATTTACACCTATGAAGTCCCAAGGGTTGAGTTTGAAGTAGAAGAAACTGGTCCACAGGCAACAGACTCTGACGCCTCTCCGACCTTTCCAAATTCCCGCCAAACCCGGTTGACTAGGTTTCTGAATTACCTTGGCCTGCGGCCGAACGAACCTCCTTACGACCTCAATGAAAGCAATTTCCCCTCTGCGAATGCCTCAACGTCGATCATACCAATGGCCGCGACTAATGCGAGCTCATTCCTATCATCCAATCCCAATCCCGAAGCCGATTCGTTTGCGTACATGGAAACCTTGCTCGAGTCTCTTGCCGTGCTTGGCAAGCTCGGCAATGCTCTTGACAGCGTTGCCCAGCGGCTTCCAAATGAAATATTTGCCCTCGTGGAAACAACTTTGGACGAGGTCGAAGAAAGAGCAGAGTATGGAAAGCGGAAATCGTCAATCAATTCAACTGGTGGCTTGGGGCGGTCTGATGGAGTCTACACATTCGTCACTGGTCCATCTTCTGCCGGCAACCCAGCTTCAAGGATGAAGGCGCCCCTTCTCAAGGCTTCGACCCTACGGCTCTCCGTGCTGGAATCCCTGGCTAAACGTGTTGACCACGAAATCATTAGAGATCTTTTCTGGACGCTATATTCCAAACTGGATGCTGTTGCACAGGGCTTGCGAGTCGTTACAGAGGTTGCAAACCGGATTGGATCAGTAAGCATCTTGCAACATATCCGCGCTATTAGCTTATCTTGTTATAGAGAAGGGACTACAAAGATTCTTCTGGGACAAAGCCAGCAACGTTATTCCCTTTGTCAGAGATTTGGAATCACGTCCAGGCTGAGGTACTCTTTGCCAACATAGGATGCGACAATAGTTTAACTTGTGTTCCGAAAGGTTAGAACCTTGATTCGAGATTACCTTGTGGACGAACAACAAGGGTCCTCTGCGAGCAGAAACCCTATATCATCTATCAACGAGATCCTTCGGGACGGAAAATTCAACAAAGAACGGATAAAAGTTTGCCCATTTCTTGTTTTCTTCTTCTTGCTACTCACCGGTGTCCGCGCACTTGCAGCCCGTTTTCCGTTTCTCCGACACGGACATGAAGGTGGCCAACAAAGCATTACGGCCTCACGAGGATGGTTTGACAAGAGTGTTGAAAGACACGATGCCAGGTCTAGCACCAAGTGCTGCCAGCGATACCGCCCAAACCATTGTGAGCAGTGCCATGGACGATCGGTTACTAGGAACGGATCAACACCATCGTCTTTTGATTCGCCCTGATGCCTTCCATGTCACGGTCCTGTTTCAGCCGACGCTCAGCTTCCTTCAACACGTCTCAGAAGTTTTGCCTTCAGGAATTGAAGCGGCCCAAGCCTCGAGTGCTGTCTTGGATGAGTTCGTCTTAAAAGTATATTTGCCTCAGCTCGAGGAGAAGGTTCTAGACCTATTTCACGATGCCGTCACTGGTACGTTGGATAACATTTGTGTATTAAGAAATGATAATAACTGAGGTCCTGCAGGTCCTGAAGCATTCCAACCTGACCTCCTCTCCTTGCGACTGTCGCACGAGCCACTTGCAAAAGTAAATGCTAATTGGATTTAAAGCACAACATATGCTCATAACTTTCCAGGCTAGCACACATTTAATGGCCTTGATCAACTCTTTGTGCGCCATGCACAGTACCAGCCCGTTCCATCGAGAAAACTATTCACGGCTGATACTGGGCGTTGTTATACAATTCTACCAACGCTGCAGCGATCGTTTCCAGGCATTGACGACGGCATCTCCAGTCGAAATCGGGCACGAAGCGCGTGTAGCCATAGCAGCGCAGTGGGCGCAAAGATCAGAGCTTCAGCCTACTTTTAGTGAACTTATCAAAATACAGGTAAACTTTCTCGTGCCTACTTTCCGGTGAGATTGTGCTAAGGGCATTTGGGTTTGCAGCCTAGCGACCAAGTGAAGTTGGAACAACTCCATCGTCAAGAGGCCAACATTGAAACGGAACTTCTGGGAAACAAGCAAGTCACTGGAGAAGATCTTCTTGTTTCAACTAGGAATCTTGCAGGCTTAGCGTCCCTCCATCGTAGTGTGGTAGGTGCTATGAATTGTAGCAGACCTTTTTTTTTCATCTCAAGCCGCTGCAGTCCTGGTTCTCATCTGAGCTCAACGCTTTGAAATCTAGACCAGAAGAGGCAATGTCGGCCGTCAGCCCCAGCAATCTGGAACCACTAAGTGGAATGACACCATTCACACCGCACTTGCCGTCAATACCTCCCGAACCAATATTGGACCAACTGAGTCTATCCCTTTCGAGAGAAATGGCATTGTAAGCTCTTTGTGCCAGCGTTTTCTTGATCCTTACTCTAATACGCACCGCAGGCGATTCCAAGCGCTACTTAGGACATATGATCAATTATCTAACCTCATCCTAGACACAATTCGATTGGATCTACGCTGTCGAACAATTCACTACCTGGATTCTGCTATGCGTCACGTTCGTCCTCGTCCGATTATTCAACTTCATTGCTGCGGAACTCAAGTATCGTTCTTGAACTCCAGGGTACTTACGACTCGAGTTATGAAGCCGTGGAGCCCGACCCTTATATCGTCGATCTCAACACTCAACTAATACAATGCAACGAATTCCTTTCAACCGGTCTACCAGAACGAGAGCGACAGTACGTGTGCTTGGAAGCCTCTTGCCTTTCACTGACATGCTTCAGGTACATTTTCTCTGGCCTAGGTCACCTCATGGAACATATGTTGATCAAAAGTGCACGACATCTGCGCCGTCCGAATGACTTTGGGATCAAAAAGATTATGCGAAATATCCTTGCTTTGCAACAAGGGATTAAGACCCTCACGCAGGATCAGCAAGATTCCGAGTTCGAAAGGGCGAAGTCGTATTACTCCCTTTTCTTCATCTCTCCACAGGTCAGTCCCTTCCTTCTTCGTTTCCTGATTCTTTGGCCTGACAGTCGCTCTCTAGGATATGCTCAACGGAATCCGACGAAAGCAAATCTTCACCTTCGATGAGTATCAAGCCATGCTCAACTTGCAATGTGGAGTTGACCCCACCTTGGGGCCAGATGCTGCAGGGAGGGCTGTTGACCGTAATTATAGCATGTATGTGATAGATTTACATGGATTGGAAATGGACAGGTCGGATGCTTCGAAATAGATATCCCTTCTCTGTGATTCCCATTTATTGTACGAGCACCACGTAGTTTGCCCTCTAGCTCCCCTGTTTCTTTTCAGGGTTGTCTAACCAAACCAAAGTGGCTGCATCTGCTTCGGGCATATGTGTTGCACTTCGTTGATATGCTGCAAATGTACGCGGTGATGTTTTAACTGTAAAATTAGGCCCATTCTTCGTTGGGCTACATACAAGGCGTGGCAAGCGCCCTAGAAGTGCCCGATACCTCCGCCGCAGCCATCGAGAATGGTGCCTAAGGTTTGTTTCTTTCTCTGGTAATTCCCGCTCAGTTGAACCTCGACGTTCCCTCCGAGTCAGTTGTCGAGGCCCATACAACTTCCCGATGACGCTTTCGACATCCTGGAGTACGCCATAACCCTGGAGGGCAAGGGGACGAGGCTTCAATTCCTCTGCCTGGGCGTTTTGGAAGGACGTAGTCTCGACCTCGACCTCCAGAGGGGGTAGAACCTTCCTCGTTTCAGTATCGAAGTAACGCCTTCGGATGTTTACTTCCCGACGTTTGCTAAAAGGGCCAAGAAGACGAGCTTCTTCCGATTTTGGGTCAGCACGAGCAGGAAGAGTACGAGGGTGTATCGCTGATTGTCGGTCTAGTGGCTTGGTGGTGCGTGAGTGAGTGCTTGTCAAAAGCGCTCTCATTTCCAAAGATACGACTGGGGGACGCGACTTCTCGACTCCCGGAATTATAGGCTCCGGCAACGGGTCACTTTCAGCGGTTATTACGGACTGTTAGCCATTGAATGAGAACATAAAGCGAGAGGGCAGCATTGAATGCATGTACCTGCATGAGTTCCCACTTGAGTTTCCCTTTCCTCCCGTAAGCAAGGTCAAGAATGTGCTCGAAGGCCTTAACGTCACGTTGGTTGGCTTTCTCGATCTTTCCTACCAGCTGCAAGTTGCGTTAGAAAGACCAGTATGATGAGGTGCGCACTGTTACCTTCTCGACAGTTTTAATATCACGTTCTCTGAACTTTCTTACTGTCAGTGAGAGGATTTTCTGTATATCATCTCTGGCTTTCACTTGAAAGAACTGGCTGGGTGTCATTTCAGTCTCTCGCAATTCGAAGTCTAGAAAGCAACGGACCGCAGATACAAGTGTGGTAGAAGTCTGACTTGGCGCAAATAAGACCTGTAGACGGAGAAGATAGGTTGAGCCCGAGCGTCGACCATGCTGCACGCAAAAGGGCCCCTTGCTGGTGACTGTAAGAAGTCGAGTTTGCAGATGATGATGTCATCAGATTTCGTCTCGATCAAAAACTGCTCATTCAGTACATACCTTGCATTCAGAACTAGCTTCACTTTGAACCTTTGCACTTCAGACTCAGCTGCCGACTCAGTACCCCACTAGAATAACTCGAGATCGGGGAGCAATGGTATGCATTCAGTCTGTACGCAGATGCAATACTGAGACCCTGGATAGGCACCGAAGGGAAGAGATCCAAATCCTAGTGGCCTGGGACGTGCGATCATCAACAGAAAAGTAAAAGATGCTAGAAAGGCGCAAGAGTCAGGATTGGTGAGCATAAATCAGACACACACCTTATATCGACCTTCTAATCCAATTCACTTTCAAGTACTCCGTCGATGTCGATTTGTCATCTCGCCTGAAATCCGTCACTCAAGAGAGGGATCTAGACGAATTTTTCAGCACAGCACAATTAGCTGGCACCGAATTCACAGCAGGTATGAATTTGTCTATAGCTCGACCAAATTATCCTCACTGACGTCCCAGAGAGGCGGAACGTGAAAATAATTCCTCAAACAAGCTCCCCGTCCCACAATCCGTACTTACTCTCCGATCAAGAAGAGAAGAAGATTATCAAGAAGCATGAAGAAAATAAACAACGGTTGCGAGTGCCTAGAAGGCCAGCGTGGACGAAATCTATGTCTACAGCAGAGTTAGATAGGCAGGAAAAGGCTGCCTTTCTTGACTGGCGGCGGGGTCTTGCAGAGTATGATTTATTATCTTAGTCGACTTCCATATCAATGTACTGACTTAGATGTCCGAAGCCTCCAGGATCATGAAAATTTCCTTCTGACTCCGTTTGAACGCAATCTTGAAGTGTGGAGACAACTCTGGCGGGTCCTTGAACGGTCACATCTTGTTGTTCAAATTGTGGACGCTCGAAACCCCTTGCGTTTCCGATGCGAAGATCTGGAAAACTATGTCAGGGACGTTGAAGGAACAGAGGGGGAAGAGGGGACCGGGAAAGGGAAACGGCATAGCATGCTACTGATAAACAAGGCCGACTTGCTGACCGCAAAACAGAGGTACGAACACAGAAGCTGCACTAGCGCCCCTCTAATCTTTGGTTAGACTTCAGTGGGCGGATTACTTTGATACACAAGGCGTTTCTTACGCCTTCTATTCCGCTGCTAACGTTGCCGCTCTTCAGCAAGCACGGAGAGAAGCCGCAGAAGTTGATGATGATAAATTGGGGCCTGAGCCGGACGAGGAGGAAGAGGCAGATGCTGCGATTGTGACCAACCCACCTCAAGAAGAATCCGACCCGCAAGAACCAGCGTCAATGGACGGTGAAGAGGATGAGAATCAAGAAGGGGAAGATTACTTTTCCGCTGAAGAGGACTCTGAAGAAGATCAGGATCCTCGTTCCAAGATTCTAACAGTACAGGAACTGGAAGACATGTTCATAACGCAAGCTCCTCAGTTGTCCGGTATGTCTTTTCAGATTGGTCCCTTTGAGTGCTTCTCATGTTGTCTCCAGAATTTGCGGACTCTACAGGGCAACCTCCTGCAAGGCTGGTAGTTGGACTCGTAGGGTACCCCAATGTCGGGAAATCGAGCACCATCAACTCTCTTCTTGGAGAGAAGAAGGTCAGTGTATCGTCTACACCAGGGAAAACGAAGCATTTCCAGACAGTCCATCTATCTGATTCTATTATGCTATGCGATTGTCCGGGGCTCGTTTTCCCTCAGTTTGCGACGACAAAGGCAGATCTTGTTTGCGACGGCGTCCTCCTAATTGATCAGCTCCGGGAGTACACTGGACCAGTCTCGCTTCTCGTGAGACGGCTTCCTAAGCAAATTCTTGAAAGCGCATATGGCTTATCCATCCGGACGTTTGAAGTTGAAGAAGGAGGGGATGGAAGAGTAACGACAGAAAATTTCCTTATTGCATATGCTAGTATGTCTTTAATGTCTTCAGTTGTCTGCATATCGCTCAATCGTTGTTAGTCGCCCGTGGCTACATGCGCTCAGGCCAGGGAAACCCGGACGAAGCACGGGCTGCTCGATACATTCTGAAAGACTACGTGAATGGGAAACTTCTCTTCTGCCATCCACCTCCAGGAGTGCCCGAGGGCCAATTCAATGAATCAACCTACAAGAACGCACTTGCCCGGTTGGCAGGGAAGAAGCATGCGCCTGTGACACGGGTTGGCAAAGACTCGGACACTTATGTTCCTCCCAACCGTCTCGATTCCAATGACACTAGTCGTACTGTGCAAGGACAAGGAGTGAAATCCCGTTTGGTTGACCGGGCATTTTTTGAATCGAATTCTGGTCTCCATTCTCAGGCCTTCATTCAAGAAAGTGGAAAAGAGTTCACTCGGACGAAGCTCTACCCGCACCAAAATGCTGTCGCGCCTGATGGAACAACCATCAACGCAAAGCAAGCTCAGCTTCTTGCCCTCCTTCAGAATACAGAGACTGGCAAGAAGCACAAGAAGATGAAACGCGTGAAGCAGAGGAGTGGGAAGGGTTATGATATTAACTGATACGCATTAGACTTCCGTACACTGTACAGTGTACTCAATAACGGGCGAATGTCCCGGTGCTGTACCCACTTTCTTGTGTGGTGATCAATTGATCTGTGGCTGAGTACAGCCACCGCGAGCAAAGCGTCAGTGGCACTTACGTAAGGGCAATGTACCCTTTTAGTTTGGCAAGCTATTCTTTAGCCGCGTCCCTCTCAACTGCGACGCGAATCACTCCTTAGGAAGTGTGAAAACGCGTCATGCCCGATTCCTCCACGTCAAAACCCCAGCCATCGACTATTCTAACCGCGTTGTCCGTGTCCTCCACGTCGTCGAAGCTTGTCCTCAAGATACCTCCTGTAACACCCCCCAAACGTCCTTCTCGACGAATACCGTACATCGAACTACCAAGGCTGTCAGCTGCTAAGAAGGTACTGTATAAGCCAGTCGAAGAAACCTCCATGAAGGGTGATTATGAACCACGTGTCGACGAGGTCATTGGTGAACACCGCGATGGCAAGTACCTTTATTATTTTGCTCGCTATGACGGAGGGATAGCCCATAAGGTAGACGCGTCCAAAACATCTCTTTGCCGTTTTCGTTTTACCAACTGTTCCTCGTCTGACAGTTTCCTGCAACGCGTTTTGAAGCCAAGCGTAAGGATCTCGTAGAAGAATATAGTGAGGAAATTTATGCCTGTCTCGCGTTCAATGATTGACGTATTTTCCAGCACGAAAGAAGAGGGAAGGCGCTTTAGCCCCCTTCGACCCAAGTGCCCACTATATCCACCCTCTTTCCCGCGTCAAAATGACAATAAGCATCAAGAGCGATCGTTCTTCTCGTGCATCCAGGTCTGACGACGAAGTCGTCCCAGATTCTGAAGAGGACTACGAAGAAGAAACAGACGACGTTGACGACAACGAGTACAATGGCAGAAGACTCCGCAACCAACCTCCCAGAGCGGCGCGCAAGCCTGCTACCAAGGACCTTCCTTTCAGTCCCAAGAAAACCAAGTCTCGGAAGGTGCTAACAATCATGGACTCGGAGGACAGCGTCAGCGAATTCGACGATGTCGAGGAAGTTCATCCAACCCGGCGGTCTACACGTTCCAGAAAGGCAATAGAAATCAACCTTGTCTCCGACGACGACGAATATATCGACGAAGATGAGCTAGCGCGAAAGCATAAGCAAAAGGGCAAAACAAGCAAAAAAACGTCTCGTCCAAAATCGGCATTGCCCATGTATGGGCATTTCCGCGAAATCAGCACCTTCAAGGACGATCCATTTTCAGATGACGAAGAGAACGAAGCGTTGAGGCGTCACCGTGATCTGTGCGAGAAGTGCCACCTCGGCCCAGCCCATAAGCAACTCGCTGCATTTAAGAAGAGATCAAAAGGGAAAGGGAAGAAGAGGAAAAGGAGTACAGATGATGAGTTCGAGGAGTCAGACAGCGAACAACGATACATCGACCTCGGGGGTTGGGTTCAATGGTAAGCCTATTCCTCTCATAGGTGTGCCTCGAGCTAATGCTAGTCCGGGACGCTTAGCCTCAAATGTCCTGTTGTAGCCCATTGGAAATGTTTAGCAAATACCCAACGCGAAGAGGTATTGAAAGCAGTCCGGGAAAAGGACCGAAAGGAATGGGAAAGGAAAGGCAGCGAAGGTCAACCCCCTCGCAAACGGTCTGAACTAGACATCAATCAAACAACGGAATTTACATGCGGTCAGTGGTGCCAGCCCATCTAGTGTGCGGCGACTTAAGCCTTTTTCTTAGGTTCGTGCATGAGGGGTGGCGTTTGTATGGGATGCATGGAAATTGCATTAGAGCCTGACCCGTCACGCACGAAAACAACAAATGAGGCCGTCACTTCAACAGCCGAAGATGTCTCTATGATAGATGGAACACCTGAAGCTCAAGATGGTGCCGTGCAAAGTCTGGCGCGCGAGCTTCTGTTCCGATGCTTCACCTGCAAACGCCTTGCCCACTACGCCCATTTGCCAAAGCCTTTAGGCTTCGAAGAAAGTTCTACCCCCGACATAGCAGACCACTATCAGACGTCGAAGAGCTGGCTCTGTGCCAATTGTTCGTCGTATAAATATGGACTCGATAAGATCATCGCCTGGCGTCCTTACCCTGCAAATGCTGTTGAAACTCCTCTGCGGCCAGGGGAGTTCCCGAATTACAAAGCCCATCTTCCAAGAGAATATCTCGTAAAGTGGGCAGGGAGGAGCTATCGGCGTACTGAATGGGTTCCTCATATGTGGCTCCTCTCGACAAACACGGCTAAACTGAAGAACTTCGTTTCTGGTGGGACTAAGGTTGAATTGCTCAAGGAACCCCTCAACGAAGACGACAATGCCATGGAAGTGGATGCTCCAGGCGGCCCACCGAAAGCCCTATTTGATTCTAAGCCAGTTTCCCGGGCATCTTCTCTCAAATCAGATGCAATTAACTCAGCTATCGCAGCTCTGCCTGATGCCGAACGTCGCATACCTCCTCCCTGGAAGACGGTTGATCGCGTTTTAGACATCTTACTCTGGCGCAAGAGCTCCAAAAAATCTGCGGGGAAGAAAAAGTCGAAGCGTCCAATTGCTCTCAGCAGTGACGATGACGACGACGACGACGAGATGAAGGAAGTCACATCAGTTGTTTTCGAGAAAGGGCAACAACCGCCTGACAGCCTCACGGAGACAGTCGATGAATGGGAAATACACGACGACCTCGAGAAGAAAGATGCCAATCGAGTAGTGTGGGCCTTCTTTAAATGGAATGAACTTGGATATGAAGAAGGTTGGCCTGCCTTCGTCGAAGCATCAGACATTACTGACACGATACCCTAGCTACATGGGATGCCCCTCCACGTCATGGCGAGCCCGGATACGAAGCCTTCAAGGCGGCCTTCGGGCGATTCGTTGAATCTCGGAACGTTATTATACCGAAACAGGAGAAAAAGTACTGGGATAAGTTCGATGCACGAGATCCAAATGCGTACCGCAGGCAGCACATGTTGAAGGACGCGTCGGATCTCGACTTGGGACAGGCGCCGAATTTCAAACTCATGCCATTTCAGGTGACGCTATGTGTTATGACCTCTGTCTGTCTCGTTACTCATGCGCCTACAGGTTGATGGCTTCAACTGGCTGTGCAACAATTGGTGGACTCATCAACACTGTATCCTTGCAGATGAGATGGGTTTGGTATGGTGTTTACTAACCTTGGGTTTCTTCACCTTTTACTCATTTCCTTGTTTAGGGCAAGACAGTTCAGATAGCCGCATTCTTGGGGAACATAGCGGACAAGTTCAAAGCGTTCCCTGCCCTCGTTGTTGTCCCTAACTCTACTATCACGAATTGGGTTCGAGAAATCGAACGATGGGCGCCTAGACTTCGCGTTGTTCCTTTTTACGGCGACAAGATTGCTCGAGACATTGTCAAACAGTTCGAACTCTTCCATAGCGCTGTGGAACCGGGTAATTTGAAAACCAAATTCCATATCCTTGTTACGACATACGAAACTTTGACCAATGCGAAGGATGTTGGCTCTGTTTTCAAGAGCCAGCCACGTTGGGAGGTACGCGGCACTTTTATCCTTATGTTTACCTGCTGATTCGTTCACAGGTACTTGTTGTTGATGAGGGCCAGAGGTGTGAGTATGCTCGCGTTTTCAGTCTCCATCTCTCTGAGAGGTCTTCAGTGAAAAGCGACAGCAGTCTATTGTTCAAGAAACTCAATGAACTGAATACCGCTCATCGAATAATTATGACTGGGGTGGGTCGCACCTCTGAATTCCACGAACGCCTTACTCAGAAGGTCCCAGACACCGTTAAATAACAACATTCGCGAATTGTTCAACCTTATGAATTTCCTAGATCCAGAGGAATGGAGGGATCTCGAAGCTTTAGAAAAGCAACATGAAGTTTTGGATGAAGAGCTCGTTAAGCAGCTGCATACAAGGCTGAGGCCGTACTTTCTGCGGCGCATCAAGAGTGAGGTCCTCGAATTACCTCCGAAGGTCGGCGTTCACTTGTCAAAGCACGGATGAAACAAATCCTGACGCGGGTTGTTGCGTAGAATGAGGTCATTGTTCCTATCTCTATGGCCCCACTACAAAGAGAGGTGTATCGCTCTATTTTGAGTGAGCGGGATCATACTATGCTTAGCGACATCGCTGACGGCTGTTTGACTAGCACACAACGCAGACATTTTGAAAGGCTTGACCCAACCTGGGGCCGCACAAAATGCACCAGCGAAGACTCGCATCAACAACGTTCTCATGCAATTGCGGAAGTGAGGAACTGTGCTTCTTGCTGAGGAGCTTGCTGATCAAGTAATCAGATGCCTCCAACATCCTTATATCTATGACGAAGATATCGAGCCTCGGGATGTTACCCCACAGGAGATGCACGAGAAGCTTATAGATGCAAGCGGAAAGTTGCGGTTCCTCAAGTCATTGTTGCCGAAGCTCAAAGAGCGTGGACATCGGGTTCTTCTCTTCAGCCAGGCGAGTCCTTCGAGAGTATTGCAATACAAGTACTAACCTTCTCACTCCTTGCTCAATGCAGCTCGTCATAGCATTGAATGTAGTGGAAGACTTTTTGGCAGGAGAGGGTTATAAGTTTCTCCGCTTGGTGCGCCACAGCGTCTGTTTTTGCTACTTGCCTCCGCTTATTTGGACCACGTAGGATGGAAACACCAAGAATAATGTTCGTCAGAAAATAATGGACGAATATAACAAACCTGGCTCGGAGTACTTCATATTCCTTCTTACTACACGGGCTGGGGTAGGTGTCATTTGCTCGCTCTCATGGAACCTACGTTTATTGCGTCTGACAGGGTGTGGGCATAAATCTTTTTGTACGTTTGAATTAAGTTCGCCTTTTCTTCTACCCATAACTTCGCATAGACTGCCGACACCGTCATCATATTTGATCCCGACTTTAATCCTCATCAGGTCAGTGGCTATTTAAAAATATCTGTGGCCCTCTGCTCAAACACAAGACCCAACAGGATCTACAAGTAGAAGTCTCTCAGAACATTCCCTTCTTACACTCACTCCTTTCTCAAGGCGATTGCCCGTGCGTACCGATTTGGACAGAAGAAAACTTGTTTGGTCTTCAAATTGATGGTGAAGGATTCTGCTGAAGGTAAAGACAAGCTCTTTCGTTGTCCGCAATTTAAGCCCACGTCCGTCCGACAGAACGAATAATGCAAATCGGGAAGAAGAAATTGGTCCTTGATCACGTCATTGTCCAGAAAATGGACGATGACGATGAAACGGGAGGAGAGAACGTTCAGTCAATTCTTACATATGGTGCTAAGGCGCTTTTCGAGTCCGAGCAAAATATTCGTGACATTACATGTGAGTCCCCCTGGTTACGTGTTATGGTTTTGAGGACTTCATTCCTGTAGATTCCGACCATGATGTTGACAACCTCATTGAGAAAACCGAGAAAGAAGCTGTTCCTGAAGCCCCGAAAGCTGGTGGCGGTCTCGCCTTCTCCTTCGCCAAAATCTGGGCCGCAGACAAAGATGATCTGGAGGAGGTTGCGGACGATGACCAGGGTGATTCGTGGGCTCAGACCCTCCAGATGATCAACGCGGAACGAGAAAAGGCTCAGATTAAAGACATGGCTCAGTCCGGCAGAGGAGCTCGTCGCCGCGCTGCAGATATAGCCAAGGTTCATTTTTACCCTTTTTCATGAGGTGACTCAACCATGCTAACTTATTTACCTAGACCAGGATGAACATCACCACCAATGGCTCTCAAGTTTTCACCACCACCACCAGCAAGGCCAAGAAGGTGTCGAAGGCTGCCGAATCTGATGGTTCAGCCTACAACCTCTCTGATCGAGAGTCCGAGATTGAATCCGACGACGATAGCGCCGTCGTCGATGAAGATTTTACCTTGGATGTCAGCCGTAGATCTAAGCATCCCTTGAATGCCATCCAAAATAATGGTCATGTCATCACTCATGACTGCGGACTCTGTGGACAGCGCCATGGGTCTGGACAGTGTGCCATGGTTGAACGATCTGAAAATCTTGCCGAGTATCGAGAAATGCTCACTCTTCACGCGGACGATGAGCCTTGGGAAGAAAGGGTACGTTGCCTTATTTTTCTTTACGTAAAATACTGATGTGACGATCCACAGAAGGCCGCCGTTCAGGTCATCGATGAAATCCTGCACGCTAGGGGACATATCTCATTAATCGCTGGGCAGCCGCTACATCCTTTGGCGAAGCCCATTCCTCAGCCTTCCGTTCCGAAAAAAGTCAACGCCTCAAAAGCAATCAGTAAACCTGGTCCCAAGTCTGTCCAAGACAAGATGAAATCATCGAATCATCCGTCTTCTTCGCAGTCTAGTGAATCTGTCAAGAAGAAACCAGTACTATTCGCTATTTCTCAGGCGGGTAAGTGTGTTCTATGTGGGGAATCTGGACCGCATGGAGCGCAGAGTTGTGCCGTAGCCAAATCGGATTCGAGAAGGTAGAGTCTCCCTGATACTCCTACAAACAGACACTCAAAAATTCTTCAGCCTTTCGACGCATATCAGAAATTTAGAAACTATGGGTGATGCTTCTTTCACCCCTACAATCAATGCGTTGCGCAGCCTTTTATCCAGGGCGAAGTCGCAAGAGATTACCAATGGACCAGCGAGCAAGACCGCCTAAACTTACACTAATGAAGTTACTGCACAATATAGTATCTCGACTGTATCACTGTACTGAACTTCCTAGAAAATATTCTTAAACTTACTTGTTCCATAATCCTGTACTGCACCTCTCGCTGGATAGTATTCTGGCGCGTGCATATTTCGTACTTACTGTCCTATATTGGTGACTACCACTTGACAATGCATTGCAACCAAATCGTAACTGGTCCGTTTTACAGTGGCTTTGGATGGATACCATTGTTAGGTTGAGAAAGGTTTCTATATTGACGTCTGTTGACCATCAGCCTTTGTTGATGCTTGGAATATATAATTGGAACTGCAAGTGGCCTACCATGGCTCAATGTCCTCATGAACTCCGTAATCCCTGGTGCCTATACTCAAGGGATAAATCAGTCGGTGGTGACGCTGAAGAGGACGCGCTCCGGTGAAAAGGACTCGGAAGAGAAAGGACCTCGCTTCGACAGGTCTCTGGCACCACCGCTACCACCGATACACTCCGATCTGATTCTGCAGGTTTACACTCATAAATCTCTTAGGCGCCCTGATGTTTCTCCTTCTCAGTACGGCGACAATGAGAGACTTGCTTGCCTCGGAGAGACGTCGTTTGATCTGGCAATAACCACTGCTCTTTTCCAAATCCGGCCACTCCTACCAGCGGGGATCATCTCTGTAAGATCCTGCCACCGACAGAACGCTATCCGGACTGACTAGCAGGCGTAGAAGCAACGGAAACACCTTTTCAAAGACGTAATTACTGTGTGGGTGGCACACTACGGTCTGGTGAAGAAGCTGCGGTGCCATCCAGATGTGTTTCATACCCTTGAGTCGCCCGAGGTGAGTCGCTATCGGATGTCCGGGCCACCTGGAAATCAATGAATGTTGCGTGTACTTAGGAACAAGGTTCTCTGTTTTATGCTTATGTCGGTGGTCTCTTGATGACGTCTGGACAAGAGGCCGTGAATACCTGGATTGACGGCCTATTTTCGCAAGAGAGACCCAGGATTATAGAAGAGCTTGGATCTGACACGGTGGTGACGCCTCCACAAAAGAGGGCCAAGAGTGAAGCCATCTCTCCTGTGCCAAATCAAGGAGCAGGAAGCTCCATATTTTTTGCCTCGCAGCCGCCTCCGTCACCGCCTCCCGTGAAGCCTGAACCATCATCATCCCGCGCAGTATTCGTTTCACCGCCACCTGCACACCTTCCCAACCCGCTAGCCCCAGCGCAGCCGGACATGCCGTTTCTCCCCCTCTTCAACCAAGCGGCAATGCAACGGCGCGTACAGGTTGACTATCTCGCGGAATTTAGTGGGCCACAACATGCCCCTCGGTGGACGGTGAAATGCATAGGTGCGTTGCACGATCGGCGAGTTTCTGGGGAAAAACTAACTGCAGCCAGTGAACGGCATTTGTAAGGGCATTGGAAGTTCGAACCACAAACAGACCGCCAAGGAGGAGGCGGCGCGGAAGGCGTATTACTCGATGGGGTGGACATAAGTCCGGTTTATTGCTCGAATTCAAGCACAGCCGCTAAACCTCTTAAATTTGAGATCATGCCGAGCATGAGCCTGAGAGCGTGACAGAAGGTAAGCGACGGCAGGAGACGGACTCGCAAAGGCATCGACAATGGGTTGCTGATCGCCGGATTGGCGGCGGCATCATTTGTGATGTGGCTGAGGCTCGAAGTCGTTCGCGAACAGTGTCATTGACGCACAATAAATTATCTACATGTGGGTAAAATATATCAAAATTTTGGGTATGGCGTCGGCAGGAAGAGAAAATTTGAGGTCGAGGAGTGTGGAGAGCTCAAAGACAAGCCCACGACATGCTGATGGCAAGCCCACGGGCCGTGTGATGGTGATGGGACACCCTGAACGAGTGAGCTGGCTCGCGAGCTAAGCGAGAATTTAGCGGGCACGCCTGCACGACTCTGCACGAGCACTGAGCTGGCTCCTCCGAGCGTTGATCCACTTAAATTGATCTTAAATTGATCTTAAATCTAGTTTTCTGCACGCTTACCTCCACTTACCTCCACTTATCTCTTAAATTTAACCTCGGAACCCTTAAATTTAGTCAATGGGATCTAAAATTTGGCCCGGAGGACCGGTTTTCATGTAGAGCACATCGTATTTCATGTATTTAGCTGCTTACAATGACGGTAGACAAGGGGCGATGATGTGCGCGGCCCCAGCAAGCGCGCGAGCCCGAAACGCGAGCCGTGAGAAGCCATCACGAGCATCTGTCGGAGCTCGAACGCCTGCCGCTCGGACGTCGAAAGCCACGGAAGCCCCCGAGACACGTGCACACTGTCACGACTTGTGACGGTCATGCCTGACATAAGGCTGACCAAGCTGATGGCCGAGCTGCCGAGACATGGTGAGGTTATTGGCACCGAAAGAGGCAGCGGCCCGGCTCTGGGCCCTTAAATTTTGGGGCATAAGTAGCAGTACATAGCTAGAGTAATCGAGAGTCATTTGATTGAAGATGCTGACTAACGATGAGTGTGACTGCTATTTGAAAATGACGGACTGAGCTGCCTGCTCTGCGAGGCCACTCCCGTCCACCATGGCCGCTCCAACACACCCGCCGCCCCTCCCATACTCCCAGGCAAACCCCATCGATCTCACCGGCGACGACAGCGACGACGACCAGCCCACCATCGACCACTATGTCGCCGCCAGATATGCCAAACGCCCTCGCACAGATCCTCCGCGACCCCCCTTCCCCGACTATGCTCAATCGCCATTTGTCAACCCCCCCTCTCCTGCGACAATGAACTCGACGATGTTCCCTTTCACTGCGCGCTCTCCCCAGCCCTCGCTGTCCACACCTTCTATATTTGCTCCGCAGACTCAGCACCACTTCTCTGCCTTTACAACACCACTCACCCAGTCAACATATCGGCCGGCATTTGCACCACCTTTGCCCTATCTCGCGCCACGCCCAGACCAGTTCCTTCCTTCGCCGCCTAGAAACCCTGCTTATCAGCCCATTCGCCAGCCGGAGCCCATTCCCTCGCCCGTGCCGGAGCGTCAAGTTATAGACCTCACAGACTCACCCTCCCCGCCGCCCACAACCCCGCCACGTCAATCATCTCAGCCGCCGCTGCCCGCCGAACTGCCGCCTAAGACGCCCGTTTGCATCGGCCAACTTTCCGTGACTGCCTTGGTTCTTTATCCGGTTCAGTTTTTGGCGCCCCGGAATCCAGGAGAAACCGAATGGGCGTATGTGAGACTGCAGTACGAACATAATCCCAACAAGCCCGCGAGCAAGGAAACTATCCATATCCGCGCGCCGTCCGCAAAGAGCGCGGATGGCGAAACTTTACCAGGGGACAACTTTGGCGTCATCGAGCAGAAAGTAGCGGATTCACTAGGGCCTATGCTGGGGAAGGGTTTGATTCGATTGGATGCGAAGATTCGTAAAGGGACTGGGAACGTACGCCTTGTTCATTACTTGTGCTGATTGCGCCATTTGCTGATTGTAGCTCATCAAGTTGCCCATTCTACCCCTTCAAATGCTGGTTTACACGCCCAAAGGCAATATACCCGTCGTTGGAAATTATCTCCGACAATGCAGTCTGCTCCTCGACCATCCTACCCCTCCTTGCGATATGCAACGCTTGTCACAGTATCATTATTTCAATCCACACGATCCACCTGCAGAAGGGCATAATCGCACTATCATGGCCAACAATAGACTGAATGTTCTTACGCAAAGGGACCAATCGCGGTGGATCACGCCCTCCTCGAGTTCTAAAAGTGTTGAGGTGCAGAGAAGTCAGGTCGATGAACTATTTCAGAGCATAAAGGACGATGATGGATTGTCTGAGACTGAGCCAAGTGTGTGCTTTCACCTCTTTTCCAGCTTCTCACCTACGCGTTTGCAGAGACAAGACAATCTCTAACTTTTACATTCTTTCTCTCATTAAAGGCCCTGAAGTTGCAACCAAGCTATACCCTCATCAGAAGAAGGCTCTAACTTTCCTTCTAGAACGGGAAAGAGAACAACCCGGGGCTGATGGGTTTTCGTCCTTATGGCAAAGGAAGATACATCCCTTGACTCAACGGCCCTCCTGGTTGCATCTCGTTACGCAGAAGGAAGTGTATGAACCACCTCAGGAAGCCAAAGGCGCCATTTTGGCCGACGATGTAGGTCTCCGTTGCCTTTCTGTTTGCACCTAACTGACAGCTATGATTTCGAAAGATGGGTCTCGGCAAAACCATTACTTGCGTCTCCCTGATAGCCAATACCCTTGAGTCATCTCTTGACTTTGCAGTGACTCCTCTAGACCCCCCGCCTCCACCCCCACCTCGAATCGACGACGAACCAGACGTGTCTCATTTTGCCGGCAGTGTATGGGGAATGCCTGATACCAGCGGGGCCAATTCGACATCTGCGAAGGGGAAGGCAAAGGCGGAAAAGGTGCAGGAGAAGCTCGAAGCCGACTATGCCAGGTGTTGCCGGATTAAAGCTCGGAGTCGTGCGACATTAATCGTCTGCCCACTGTCGACGGTCTCGAATTGGGAGGATCAATTCCGCGAACACTGGAGAGGTGAAGTTATGGTCATTGGAGGAAATGGGGCCTGTTTAGGACATTCCTCTTCATGTACGCCGTCCCATACCCCCAGTGGCTCGCAGACGCCAATGGTCATCGACGATAAGCCGAAGGACGACAGACCTAAGCGCGTTCGCGAGGGACGACCACTGCGCGTCTACGTTTATCACGGCAATGCTCGTCGGCCTGATCCTGCTTTCCTAGGCGATTTCGACGCTGTTATTACTACCTATGCTACCCTTGCCTCCGAGTTCTCGAAGCAAAATCGGAGTCTCATGCCGGCCGAGGATGGAGAGGATGACGGTGGAAGTAGCGACGGCGCTGGCACCATCGATATCGACGAATATGGGAATCAGGTTGTGCGACTTCCCAAACCGAAGAAAAGTGGTACAAAGAGGAAGAAATCAGCCCTCACTCAAGCTAACAACCCTGCAGAAATACCCAGCGCTTTGCAGAGCATTTACTGGTTCCGTGTCGTCCTTGACGAGGCTCAGTATGTACTTCGTCTTTTTATCTATGCTATCGATTCGACTCATTCTTTCGTAGCTGCATCAAAGAGACTGGGACTGTCGCAAGCCGTGCATGCTGTGACCTGATGGCAGATCGGAGGCTGTGCTTAACGGGAACTCCTGTACAGAACAAACTGGACGACGTCTTTGCTCTCCTTAAATTCCTCCGTCTCGAGCCTTTCGACGACAAGAACATCTGGACGGAATATATCGGCAGTCCAGTCAAGTTTGGCCAAGCCCTTGGTGTCGCGCGCCTCCAAACCATCATGAAGTGCATTACTCTCCGTCGGACGAAGGAATCGAAAGCGCCTGATGGGAAGAAGATCCTTTCTCTTCCACCTCGCCGTGATGAGCTGGTCTACCTCAAGTTTGATTCTCAAGAGCAGGAGATATACGACAGATTTTTCAACGAGTCGAAGGCCGAGTTCGCAGACCTGTCTAGCAAGAATGAGGTCATGAAAAACTATGTCGGAATCCTCCAGAAGATCTTGCGGCTTCGCCAAATATGTGATCACTTTGAGCTTGTTCAAGGGAAGGAGCCTGGGCAGGAAAACATCAATTCTGACGGTGTTGGCTCTTATGAGGATATCGTCGCCGCAATCGTGAGGGAGGGTTTCAACAACGCGCGGGCAGCAGCCATCTTCAACATCCTACGCGAATCCGCCACCACCCAATGTGTCGAGTGCGGCTCCGAACTTTGCCTATCATCAGAGCTCAGCCAGGCCGACATGGACGTTGATGCACCTCCCAATGCCCCGAAACGTGGACGACGACCCAAAGGCACTACATCTCGCAGTTCAACACGTGCAAATAGTCCCAACACCCCTCGGCCTGTCCTTACGAAGTGTCAGCACCTCTTCTGCATCGAATGTTATCGCACATCCGTCTGTCCTGGTTGGCCCAATGTTGATATCAGCGTTCGGCGTTGTTGCTCTGCCTGTCTAACTGGTCTCTGTCCTGCTGACGCCTTCGAGGTCAAACCTGATTCAGTGATAGAAGGCGCCCAGAAGAAAAAGACCCAGAAACGCGAAAAGAGGCAGAAAGGTGGATCCCTAGAGAATTTCACTCCCTCGACGAAGGTCAAAGCGTTAATGAGAGATCTCGTCCAATTTTCGCGGATGAATTCGCACTCGGTCAATTATGATCCAGAGTTGGAAATGACGAACAGTCAAGGCATGAGGATAGAGTGCGATATCGTGAAAACGGTCGTCTTGTTCGTTTTTCTTTCCCTCCCTCGATATTCTAGCTGAGTATCTCTCCAGTTCTCAATGGACATCCATGCTCGACAAGTTGGTGCCACTTAATCCCATTTATTTCTCTTCACTGACTTCAATTCCAGAGTGGAGGATGCCTTGGAATCTGCCGGTATACGCTACGACCGACTAGATGGCACCATGAAGCGGGACGAGCGGACGCGTGCCATGGACGCTCTGAAACACGATCCAGGTTGCGAGGTCCTACTTGTAAGCTTGAAAGCAGGAGGCGTTGGTTTGAACCTCACTGCTGCTCAACGTGTATATCTCATGGATCCCTACTGGTACGCCTGATCTTCGTGGGTGCGAACTTACGTGCTCACTAATCCGTGCTCTAGGAACCCAGCCGTGGAAAACCAAGCCGTAGATAGAATCGTGAGTCGTTTCTCGCTGAAGAGCCCTTACTCAGGTCCTGACATGAGCATGCAGCATCGTCTTGGTCAGACACGCCCAGTCACGACAGTCAAATTCATTATCGAGAACTCCATCGAAGCCCGACTATTAGAAGTGCAGCGCAAGAAGACTGAATTGGCAAATATGACCCTTGGCCAGACCTATACCAAGTCAGAGTTGCTGCAGCGACGTCTGGACGAGCTTGCGCAACTGTTTGGTGCCTGAATTAACATATCTACTACTCCTTTAGATTCCTATAGTGTTGTAATACAATTCTACAGCTATCCAGTATGTGTTGTCTAAATCTATAGCCTGTATTCTGATCCTCAGACTAATTCACCCAATATCTTGTCCTCCTTCCATGTAAATTTGTAAATGGGCGGCTATCCGTTATCGACTATAAGCGTTGTCCAAACACACGAAGCCCGAGCCCGAGCGACAATATCACACATGATCAGAAGGCAAAGTGAGCGGCATTTTTGCGGGTGCCGAACAAGTAGACTTCGTCAGATATGTCAACAAACTTCACATTATCAAGCATGATTACACGCACCCACGACCTGGCTGACAAAAAGGCCAATAGTTACCCCCGCAGCGACGGTGATCATGCGAAGAGCAAGTGAAAACCCGCTCGAGTATTGTTCGGCAGAGCTATGATAGGTCTGAGTAACACCGCCACCTTGGGCGATACCGGACTAGAAAGATCATGTCTTCAAGATGTTTCGACTATGACCCCAGGTGGAAGAGCACTCACTGGCACCAGAAATAGCACTCCAGTCACCATCGAAGTGAACGCTGTCCCGCGCACAACACGAGAATAGATGTTGCCGAGAGACCCGATCACAAAAGCACCAGCAGCAGACACGATATCCGTTCTCCCTGGAAGCACGAGACTAGCTGCACGATTTGCCGCGTAGGCACAGCACGAAAATAACACCATTACAGGTAACTGAAGGCTGCGCCAATATTGGAGATTCGAAAGCGATGAGCAGATCGAATAAATTGGGACCAGGAAGAAAAGGTTCCACCAAGGCAGAGGCTGTCTCCACCATGGCCAGGTAGGATCGCGAATGCAACCTGCAGCGGATTCACTCAGTGTCGACCTCGAAATTTGGCTGTATTCTTTACCCTTTACTGTGTGGTCCGGTAAATTGGCCCCTGCATGGCCTTGAGCAAGGACACCACTGATCGGCATGAAAGGTGAAGTCCCGTTGGACGCAATAAATTGGCCGTGCGTATAATTGAGCCTCTGGGGGAAAGTGCTGCGGAAGTAATTCCGTCGAGCCTGGCTATCGATGACGAGGTAGAAATCCGAGCCGATTGTAAGACCGAAACCCTGAAACAACATGCGTTAGTAGGAATACCGAAAGTTGAAATAGCCTGATCCCACCAGGAAGAGGGTGTAAATAATGGCATATACAATTCTCACTGAACCGCAGAAAATGTTTTTCGACATGAGTTCCAACGCGCTAATTACTGAAAAGACGTTAAGTCGGTTGAATACGAGTAGAATCCAAAGTAAACGTACGAACTGTAAATCCAGGAAGGATGACAACAACACCAGCTGATGAAATAGCGCTATAACAGAAGATATCCCCAGGAATATTGCTCAAACCCCTCGCCACAAAGGCGACAACTATGGAGACAGAGATCCTTTATGATGGTGGAGATAAATCAACGATCGAGATAAATATACGCACGATTTGCTTACTCGTAGACATTGGCATACATCGAACTTTTGTTCGCCGCGTTTAAGCCCAAATACTGTAAAACACATGCGCAAGCACCACTAATCCACATATCAAGAATAGAGCCTCCGAAAGACAGCCCGCAGATGATAGAGGCGCACACAAAAGCAAAGAAACACCGCAATTTCAGAGAATAGATGGGAGGGGTGCGGAGTATCTGCCGTAGCGCCTCTGCTCCTGCTTGAGCGCCTATTTGGTCGTGAAGGACGTCACGATAGACTTCGTGCACTTTGTGCAGGGATGTGAGAGCGATACGACCACGGGAGCGCACAAAATAAGTACGTGATGATTTACGCTCCTGGTCGTAGAGGGAGATAATGATGATATTTGGGAGATGGACGAATTCTTGGACGGTTGTTTGTGTTCAGTTATCAATCGCGAACAGAGAAAACGTGCCTGCTTGAGCATCCAAGATTCTGGAGGCCGCTTGTAATTGAGATTCGATCCGGTGAGAGGGTGCGCCAAAGGTAAGGAGTGCCTTAGCAAGCTTCAGAATGAAGTGTCTTCTGTTCACGATCTCTGTACAATTCTTTAGTGTTTGCCTTGATGCAGGTTGGACATGATGACCAACCTTCCACATTTTTGGTGATGACTCCAGAGCTTTGCCGGCGGTTAAGGAAGGAGGACGAAGGGATTTGACTGATGGTTTTAAGGAGTCCATTCGACTTAGTCTTGCCAGAGGGCTGGAAAGGACTTATTCCGGGCCTTGGTCCGGGACTTTCATGTTGCCCGCTAGCGTTTTGATTTTGTTCCACGGCTAAATTGACAAAGGCGAGATCCAGTAAATGATAAAACCACGCTTTTATATGACTTACACTGAGTCTGCTGATCCATAGAGCTGGTATGGGTGATATGGTGGTGGAGAGGAAAGGCGCGGCTATGCACCCATAAGCGGATAACGTATAAACAACCCATTTTCGGAAGTCCTCACGGTTGTTTGCCCCACTTTGTGCCTGAGACCGTGACCTAGAACGAAAGCGCTGGCATTGAAGTACATAGACAGGAAGGATACACTTTAGAGGGCGTCGTTTTGAACGTGGGGAGGGTATTCATCCGCGTGGATATCAGTACACATAGAAGAGCTGGTACAAGGGAAACAGGAAAGAGATGTCCTTGATGTTAAAGGGAAATATAGCAAGAGGAACAGTAGGTTGAGAGAATAGAGGGTACTACCAGATTTGGGGTGCAGCCGGGAGGTATTCCGTAGGGATGATGAAGGCGTCCATGCCGTGCTGAGAAAATGATTGTCCTCCAAGACTTTGGTCCGAGATCCAGACAGGAAGCTGGGCAACATCGGTCCGGTCGAGCGTCTCGAGGATTTGATCCGCTTCCGTGAAGGTTGGATGCCCAACATGTTGGGTAAACATTTGCGGCATTTGGTTCATCGCCGGAACATGTCCGGCATGGTGCATAGACACGTCTGCACGATAGGTTGTTTCGTAGACTGGAGAGAAAGGTTCTACCGCTCTGTATTGTGTGTTTGTGACTGCAGGAGCGTGGGGGTTCGGCGCTTGGTCCACGGGCATGATTAGGGATCTCTGCGAGTCGCGAGACACCTTCGGAGAGCGGGAAGTTTGTCTTCTTTTCGACCGCTTTAGCATCAACTGCAACGTCAATGCATAGCGCTTTCCAGGAACTACGCAAACAATGAGACAAGAGCTAACGGAGACATAAGAAACGCACTTTCGGCCATGAGACGCGCGAGGCGATCGACTCGGTCTCTGACTTCGACAATGTCACAATCATTGGGGCTCGTTCGCAGTCAGACTTGAACTCGATTCGTCCATGACAATAGAATACTTACAATAGTCGCGCAAGGCGTAGAAGAAGAGACGCCGCAAAAGTAGCAGTGGCGTGGGTATAGTGCACGGCTGTATTGAAGCATAAGACAAAAATATAAGGTCAGATTGACTGACATACCATATTTCATGCCTTCTCTGTATGCTGGACTATTTACCGTGATGTCCAATCCTTTGCTAGCAATTTCAATAGATCGAATGGCGAGCTCCTTCTGGGCAGGAGGCATGTTTTGCACATCTTCTGGTCCATTGATGCCTCTGAGTGCAGTTGCATTGTGGAAAAGTTCGGCGTGAAGATGCTGAATTTCAAGACTTTGTCGGTAGAAGGCTATAAGTTCTGAGTCTACTGTCCTGATTTGCTTTAATTACAAAACACTGACCGGCATTTTCATACTTCCTCGAGAAGGCAACATCCCAGGAAGAATACCAGTGCTTGAAATCGACGTCTGCTCTGCGCAATTGTTCCAAATGTTCGGGCTTCACGGGACCCTCAAGAGGGCAAAGGGCATCATGTACTCGCTCACGGATTGCGATCAGTTCGACCGTAGACACCAATCTCATGTCATCTTCTATCGCCAAAGGATGGTTCAGAAGATAGCGACAATCTCGTATGCTCTCGTCGTCTTTGAGTACAGCAGGTCGTCCTGTACCATAGGATAGTCTGTGAAATCAATTCAGCGCCATGTCTGTTACCTCTGCAATGAACCTACTGATGCTCGAATAAATAGAGACAGAACCAAGTCCTGGAGGCAATCACTAGATGCCGATCTTCATTAGGGTCCACTTTGTTTGTGTTCATACGCTTGAGAAGCTTTGGCCAGGCTTTGTGCATCGCTATATATGGTTGTTTTAAGTTAGCCAAGGTACCATGCTTGATGCGCGTTTTGTCCACGAACATAGTTCCATTGCCATTCGTACGGCGTGGCCACCACTCAGCCAACCATTGTCCGACCAACCGGAGACAAGAACTAAATATAGGGTTAGAAGAAGACCAGCTAAGGAAATATCATGTACGCACTCATGGATTGGACCGCCTCACTCCGCGTAACTGGTGCAAACAGTGTAGCCGAGGAGATCTTCTGAACTTCCTCGAGGCAACTACGGTGTGTTTCGGATATTGCACCTAGGCAGGCGACGTGAATATTCATCTTCTTTCCAGAAAAAAAAAGCTGCTATACCTCCACCGTCACGGACACGAGCGGCCACCATGCATATTGCATCCACAGCAAACGGTGATCTGTCGTGTAAAGCCTCATAGGTGTCCGTGCTTGAATCAAAGACGGGCCTAACAGAACGAGATAGGAATGAGAAGCTATGTTTGAGTCCAAGTTGCTTTGCACTCCTTACAGGAAAGTTGAACACCCATGATAGAAGCTGAGAATCAGGGCAATTCAAACATTTAGAGTCACTGGATTAAAACTTGTATGAAAGAGCCCACATTTTGAAAAGTTCCCTCGCCTCTTCTTCGGCGATGATAGCCTTAGTAACGACTAAAGAATTCCAGGTAAGCCACACAGTCAAGGAGAGAGGGGTACATCAGTACGCACCGTCTTGGAAAGCTGGAGTCTGTACCACCTTATGGCGTGTCTTTCGCCTTTTGTTGGGTCTGGATTGTCGCTCGGGCGATGGTGTCCTCGTTCGACTGTGAGGTTCACTCCCATCTCCGTTTCCGTTCTATTCAACGACGTGAGACTTGAAGGTGCCTGAGACAGGAGTAACCTTGCCTTGGATGCTCTTTGAATAGCAACGTCTGCTAAGCCGCGTAAAACTTCCCATGGTGCAACAAGACCAGTCGCCGGCAACCCATCGTCATCTTCTTCAATGTCAGAAGAGTCAGCGCTGGTGACATTTGACGACGGCGGCGCTTGTCTTTTGGAACCAGAACTAGGGCCAGGGTGTTTTCCCGCCGTTGAAGTCCTTTGGAAGCTTGGATCGGTTTGCTGATAACGCAAAGACGAGACATTGCTCTGTTGGGAGACTGGTGGGCCCATAGCCTGAATACTTGAAAATGGAGGAAGTACCGGGCCTTGAGAAGACTGGGTATGTGCATTGTAAGGCTGACCACCCTGAGCCCCCTGCCCATAGTTTCCGTACATTGGAGAGAGATGAGCAGAATGCATATCGTCCGGAGGCCCTGATGGAGATGATTGGACTTGATAGACGTTTGGTAAAGACGGACGATGCTGTTTTACAGAGGAGCTAGATGAAGTGAAAGAGTTACCTCCAGGTGGAGAAACATGTTGGTGGCCAGCGGTGGGTGTTGAAAGAGAAGGGGAGGTAAGGCTTGGCGATTGCTGGAATGAAGAGGAGGCGAAGGTAGAGGGTGATCGGGCTGGTAATCCCCCTCCTCGCACGCTATGTAGAATCTCTGAGAGGGTGCTTAAGATGCTGCCTTGGGTCGCACGAATATCAGCAACATGGGCTTCAAGGTTGCGAATGCGTCTGGGGAAAATGGCGTCAAGAGATGGACAAGAGCTCCGGGGTTGGCGAGAACGCACTCTAGGCCAGCTTCACCGGTGAGAGTAGCTTCCCGTGAGGGTTTCTCGAAAAGACATTCGAGGCCGGAATTCCGACAGCGCCTACAGGGAGGGTTGTCGGCGCCTTCGCATCGCATTTTCTGCTTCCTGCATGCATTCTGATCGGAGTCGATTAGTTCGGGCGCGTCGTTTCTGCACGAATTGGCGCAAACTCACGCAAGCACCTGAAACGGGTGAGGATCGATATTTGTGGGGATTAGCCGTGGACACTTACGAGGAACTCTGTTCAATGTTTTGGGAACAGGCTTGATGTCGCGTTTCTCGTTCTTGTCATCCTCCTCCTGCTTCTTGATGACTGGGCCCGCAGACGAAGGGGAGTCCATGGTACTTCGGAACGGCGCCTGCGGTGGTGGGTGCGGGGAAAGATGGGTTCACAAGGAGGCACGGGATGATTTGCAATTCAGGATCAACCTCTGCCGCCTGCCGCTACGGGCCAAACAGAGCCAAGCAGGGCACAGGGACCCTTACCGTCCCGCTTTGGGTTAGGCCCCTTAAACCAAAATGCTCATGTCTACCGTCTCCCGCGTCGTAAGGTGCGTCGTTCTCCCGCCCTCCCGCCCCCCGCCAGACTGACCGTTCCCAGCGCCTGGTTTGCGTTTCTACTGCCGTGCTATGCCACCTTCAAGGCCCTCGCGCGAGGCCCGCTGTCTCAGGGCGAGATCCAGAAGTGGGCCATGTACTGGTCAGTGATTGGCGCGTTCATGGCGTTTGAATATCTTGCGGAGTGGCTGATCAGCTGGCAAGTCATCCCGCCCACGAGTTCGGTTCAACCCAGCTGACATACCCTTCCAGGTTGCCGTTCTACTGGGAGCTCAAGACCGCCTTCCTGCTCTTCATTTCTTTGCCGCAGACGCAGGTTTGTTCATCCCCCGAGTCTCATTCCGTCCCTCCTGATCTGACACCATATTAGGGCTCCACATACATATACAACGCATACCTCCAACCCTTTCTGGCACGCAACGAGGAGAATTTCGATGCTGGCATCGTGGCAATCCACCGTAACGTGTTAACCTTTGTGCAGGAAAAGTTGACAGCGCTCTGGGAGCTACTCTGGTCTCTTAGCGCCAAACAACGTCCCCAGTCCGGGACACAGTCGGCTGCACCTCAGAACGCGCCGCCCTTGTCCTGGCTCTTTTCGAATGACGTGGTCCGCACCGCCTTGAACACTTTGCACACTACTGCCACGTCTCAGTCACGACCCGGCGACTTGGCTTCCTCTCGCGAAAATAGTAACTCTGGCTACGTGAGCAGCTCAAGCACCCGTTCGGAGGTAACACAACAGACACCTCCCTTCCCTGTTCCCCAGCACTATCATGCAGAATAAATTTAAGCGGCGCACCCTCCCGTAATTAACTATCTTATTAGTTAACGGTATAGAACGTGTTCGATGTTCTCGCTATGATCCCAGTCGCTGCCGTCGGAAGGCGCTCTCTACATCCGCCGCCGTGTACTCTAGTGTAATCCCGCTATCGCCATACAACTGAGATGTTCTTGATGACCAAGTGTCTGTTAGCTTGAGGAATTCCTCTTCGCATGCCTTCCAAACACCAGCAAGCGCCTTTCCAGGTCCGGACGCATTGCCTTCCTCTTTGTCGGATCCCTCCGTAAAGTGCTTCTCCACTCGTTTCGCTAGAACGTCGACCTGCTTCTTGATATCCTTGGAATTGTAGTCCTTGACAACCTTCCGCAGTGCCCCTTTGTTGAAGTTCGCGCTGGAGGTGATGTCGCTGGAATCTTTTGCTACACGATCAAGACCTTCAAAGAAGTCCTACAAAATTATCAGAGAAAACGGCTGTGCCAACCGTTCTGAGCCACCTACAATGATTTTCCCGAAAGGTCTGCGGAAGATGATTTTTATGTACGCTGACAGACTCTCGTCATACATTGCCTCAGCCCGCCGAGAAGCAGCAATGAGAGAGGCGACGTCCATCTGAGAAATGTCGGTGACGAAATAATGCATGTTTTCTTGAACCGAGTATGAGAACATGATGAAGACTCAGTGTTCCATAGAACTTACCAATCAGGATAACATGATAATTTAGTTGGCCCTTATCCTCGCCTTCGCCTTCTAGCTTCGCGATTTGCTTGAGCGAATCGAACATCGCCTGGGTAATTCTCTCATAGGCCGAGTCCACGCTGGTTCGTATCTCCAAGGCGTTGGCTCCGATGAGTTGATTCTCCACCCGCGAGGCATAGACAGAGAAGTGCTTAACGAAGTGAGCAACGCCCTTGCGTTTCTTGCTGGTCAACTTTGTCTGCTCGATGCCCTTGAGTTGATCGGCCTGAAGAAGATGAAAACGAGGACCGTTCTGAACAAAGAACGACACCCACAATGTGACGGTCAAAGCTGATTTTCAGACGTGAATGTTGCTTCTCTAACAAATTGAGAACAAAAGGGTTGCCCTTCTCTTCGGCTTCCTGTAAGAAGCGTTCCAGGAAGGCTAGAATCCCAACGATTTCGCTTTACAGCGCAACACTGTCAGTACAACGCACAATCGTGAAGGAATAGCATGTCCTTACAGGTTGTCCTTGGTCAGCGCGGCATCGAGCCACGCTTTCAACTCGGCAGGCAAGAATCCGAAAATCAGGTCCAGAGCGCCGCGGATAAGCTTTAGAGTTGTTTGACTCAACGAAGCGGACCGGGCAGCTTGTCTTCGGAAGTAGTTGTCCAAATCCATGTAGTCGGCGTACGTTAGTCCACCATCGTTGATTTGCAAGAAGTCTGCGATGAATTCGTCTTCGTGGTAGATCAAGTTGGCAATTTGTTCCATGAAAAGCCCAAAGACCTGCGGCGACAGTTTTAGCAATAAACAGATAAAGATAAAGACGGAGACGACCTCTGAAGCTCGCATGTCTCCATCGGATTGCTTCTCTCTGTCTTTTTGTCTGCTTTCGATAGGCGACCGTATGAGAGTACCTGCCCGACGCATACCAGCTGCGCCTCTTGCAGCGAGCGGTGTTGACACTGTCCCAAAACCTGTAAATTTATGAGCGAACATTGCACTTATGACCTATGACAATGCTACCTTGATCTTGTTCGTCCTCAGGCATCCTTTTGACGAGTTCTAGATGGGATGATAGCAACGCCTTTATTTGCGTGCTGTGTAGATCGCTCGCGGCCGAGAAATAGCTCTATAGACCGCAACTTCAATAGGTGAGAAGGGTACAAGAAAATTAGGCATACGGCGCATAGTTTGCTATAGACAGCTTCATCCATTTCTCTCAAATAGAGCATGAGGCCAGAATACCGTCCGAGATAGCTCTCGATGTCAGTATGTGGTGTGGCGACTGGTCGTGATGTTGAAGTCCTCGTTAATCCAGAGCTATCCCCAAGAAGCATTTTCGACTGATAATTGGGCTATTCAGGAACGGCGAATACGATGTGGTTATACGTCACTCTGACCTGTGCAACGAACATAATGGATAAAAAGTCGAACATCCGCTTGCAGAACTGAGAGTTATGCGTGCGGTATTCTTGTAATCGTTCCATGGTCGCCGCCATGTCTGCAGTGGAAACATAAAATAAGAACGCAGAGCTTGTCGGTGATAACGGTGTTCGTACCAGTGTCTCGTCCAGCTTGCAGAGCTTTGTACAGCTGAACAGCAGCTCCTTCTAGACGTCGAATACCTTGCGCCTTCTCCAGAGATTCTTGCGTGAGCGTGGTAAGCGCCTCTTGGTCGACATGAACAGTTCGCTAAGAAATTTCAAGGTCAGTGCACGACGACCTGGGAAAAAGGAGTTCTGCACCAAAAGGTTTTGCAATTCTCCTAGCAGAGCTCTTTGATTTTGTGTTTGGACTTGTAGGCCACGGTTTTGAGATTGGATATACAAGATATCGTCATTCACCGCCTACTGAGAGGTTAAAGAGCAACAAAGCAAGCAACTGAGTTGACCTCACGTTTAGATGAATCTTGTAGGTTGAGAGAAGGGTGTCGGTGTTATCTAGCTCGGCGACGGCCTCGTCAATATATTTCATGACAACAGCAACACGATCATCAGACTCCAGGAAGGAATGGATGTTGGCCTGCAATACGCTATCAGAAACTGAAGTCCGAGGTAGTTCTGTGTTCGCACCCTTTCAAGAGCCATCAACTCATCTAGCAACCTGGCCTCAATCATGTCCACAGCTCCCTTGGTCATTTTTCTCCCAATGACGTCCTCACTCGCCCATTCGTAACCTTCAATCATCTCTTCGACATTAGCCAACGTCGCTTGAGCATTCTCCTCTTCCCCATCTCCGTCAATCTGCCCATCGGTACCTAGAATTAAACGATCGAGCATTGCTTGATTAGACGGGTCAAAGTATGATATGCGAGCTTTCTGGTCTCTCCGGTTGGTGACATCTGAAGGCGTTGTAATATTTTCCGTCCGTGAGGGCACAGTGCGAGCTCTTGCCGAAGGTGTCGGTGAAGCGTTGTTCGTACGACTGGGGACACGTTGTCTGGGAACAGTTGGACTTGCTTGTTTTGTTCTGATATTAATTTAGCACTTCATCCGCCCAACAGAGTGCCAACTGACCGTGCAACTGCCGCTTCTGCACGACTTGATGTTGATGCCGCATTGGACGGCCGTCGGGGTTGGGGCTGAAGGGGCGCAACAGGAGGCGGTACCGTTATTGATGGCGGTCTACGTTCGCGCTCGCGGAAAGAGTTTGCTGGGGACTGAGAGCGTGGAACAGCGGATCCATTTCGAACACGAGGTCCCCCCACTGGGGAAGGAGCACGCCGTGGAGGCTCGGAAACATTTAAAGGGATGGTGCGTGAGGGTTGCTGAGACTGCAGCGCCTGTGAACGCGGAATTCGGCCTGTGCCAGTGCTACTCGTTGGCGATGGTGTTCTCCGTCTTGAGACTTTTGGAGCAGCCTGTCCGTTGACCACTCCCGAAGGTCTATAGTCGTCTACGCCGTCGAGCTTTAGGGAAGGTGTCTGGCCGCCTGGTAGAGTACGAAATGTGCGGACGAGTGCTTCCAGAAAGCTGGCTTGATCATCCTTATTCTCTGTCTGCCATCTGTACGTCCTTGACAGTGTCACGTTGAACGCCAGGGGCTAGAGCGGATAAGCCAACCGAGCTAGCACAAAAAGTCGATTTGACTTACATTGACCACTTGCACCCCTTGAAGTTCTGCTAATCGCCAGGTCTTTCCAACGGAGAAGGTCCCGTTCGTATTCAGTTTGGATTTGTGAATGAACCCAGTTCCGTTATTGGCCTCTGTGGCGGGACCGCGTCATCTACGACTTTCTGTCATGAAGATACATCGCGACATACGAGACAGCAGGATGTATCGTGGTTTGCGCCCTCCCGCTTCGCCAGCGTCTTCCCAGATCTTGACATGCGAAACGTAGGTCTCCTCAAGGTTTCCAGCAGCATTGCGTCTTGAGAAGACGGAGGATATTATGCGCTGACGCTGATCTGCCATGATAATTGGACGGTGTGGATGAACAAAAGGGCACTAGGGATAACAAGGTGACATTCAGATAGAGGTGTACATGGTCGTCAGGAGCGCGTAGTTGTTCTATAAGCGGACAAACACAATACCGGCAAGTGCCGCGAACAACAATTACAAGAGGTCAGAGGCGAGTGACATACCTTGTTCCTCTCCTTATATTGCGGCAAGACTAGGGGTGCTTGCTAGGATCGATCCACTCCTTCATCTGCTTTCTTTCTATGCGCTAGTCGCTCCTCTTATCCACACCTTCTTTCAGTCCTCTTTACGATTCACTAATGACCCAGCAAGCACCCTCCAGCCCCCTTCACTTCTTGGCCAACGTTATTTCTGATATGTATGTCGACCTGTCCTCGCGCTCCCAGTCGCCCTCTTCCTCGTATTCCTCGGCTGGTCCATCCTCTCCTCAGTCAGCACACTCTTATCCTGCCCCAAAGTCCTTTCTTGACGCCATCTACATCTCCCGTCTGCACATCCCCTGCAGTTTCGCCGAGACAGTGCATCCTACTGTGCACACTCCCTTAAAACACTCCACGTCTACCAACCAGGCCCCTCAGTCTCCCACCATCGTTCCTTTTCGCCACAAAACGGCCAAACGCGCCCGCAAGACGACCGACGTGAATCTAAAGACTAGGATGCAGATGAAGACCCGGCGGAAAGAACTCATGGAAAAGGCCTCCAAAATCAAATCCCTCGATAACTCTCCTGTCAACGAACGGCAATTGCTTGTCCTCCGCATGATTTATGATGAAATTACCATGTACCCCTGCGAAGCATGGATGGTGTTGGTCGCCATCATCATTCATCGGTCAGTCCATGATGTCTGTCAAACCCCTTTCTGGGCACTAACTGATGGACATAGAGCGTATAAGCAGGTCAAGAACTGGTTCTCGAACGAGAGGCAGAAGAACAAGCCAATGAAAGACACGATCAATACCGTCCCCTGCGAAACAGAGGAAGGGGACAAAGTCCGCATGCGCAATACGGCTTTGTCGGTTTGTCAAGAATGGTCCGACTCGTTTTTCGAAGAGGTCGCAATGATCTACAACTATCGAGTGCAGCGCAACTCCCACTTTAGAGAGGAAGTCATCAGAAGGCCGCCCACCATTTCTGATCTCCACGCTTGACTTGCTTATCTTCTTTCTTGACATTTGCCAGATTCCGGGCTTCCCGTCCTTACTTTATGACTGGTTTTCATACCACTAACGACTCATCAGACACTACCTCCGCATAATCCGCTCATTTTAACTAATCTATAGCATATTAATTGGCGCTGCATTACGAATACTACACGCAGCCGACTGTAATCCAACCTATATACCATCTTGATACCACTACTTAGGACCAACTTTGTCTAATACACCTACCTAGTACCGTCACTGATGTTAAATCTGATGATATTGTCCTATTCTGCGAAAGCTAAACCAGGGCCTACTGCCCTTTTGGTCTGTACACAGCCTCGCTTCTCCATTGTGTAGGACCTGATATCGTTGGCCTCTCCAGATGATTTCGTCACCAAAAATTGCAAATAAGTATATCGGCAAGGCCAGCACCTCTCGACCAACCCAGGCAAGAATGAAGCCAAACATGCCCTGACTGTTGATCTTGTTACCACCAATGGATGTGTATACATCCAAGTCAATTGAGAGCCAGAGGGTATAATGGAGTAGCGCGAATATCCATGGCGGGAAACCAAAGATTGTTCGACAGCTTAAGCTGCCAAGGACACACACAACCAACGACTCCGTGAACGGTTCCGCGAGAGTCGCTGCTAAAACCATGCGCTTGCGAACCCGTATCCATCGCATGCGTCTCCAGACGTAATCAAGAAACGACATGTTTCCTACCACGTTGCACGCGACATCGGAGGAGAGATCGTGTCGCAGACCGAGTTCGTGCCAAAGAGCACTGGCAATCATGTTGTCTTCGGCGAGAAACTTCCCAAACGCTGCTAGACCATAAACCACGGGTTCATGAGTGCTGGCAATTTGGGACCGAACGGGAATCAAGGAGCCATTCACGCGTTCGAGGTCTGACCGGCGGTATAGGTTGGACTTGCCCACCACGCAGGATTCGACGCCAACAGTGTTGATTGCAATGTACATCTTGGCGTGGTTCGTGTTGAGGAATGCAGCTTCAAGGCGAGACCCGATCTTGTCTTCGTCGATAAGGGCAAAAGGGACGTGGTGGACGAGAGAAATGGTTTTATTTGACCGAGATGTAGGCAATCCCGTGAGGACATCGACGCTTCTCGCAAGGGTTCCGGGGTCGACTATGACACCAGAGTCGATAACCCACAAGATATCATTGGCAGCTGCTCTCACAGGTCGCATTAGGTTGTTCACTTTGGGATTGACGCCTACAACTTCTTCGCCTGCAAACGCGAGAGATCCGTTTAACCGAGTGAATATACGACAAAGAAAGAGGGCTACTCACCAATTATGACAGATGCTTTCACATCCGGATATTTGCTCTTGAGGGCTCGTACAACAGTCAATGCTTGGTCATTCTCGTCTGCGACAGAAAAGATGATTTCATAATTGGGATATTCTTGCTTGAAGGTAGATTCAAGGTTTTCGTATAAGTTCGTGTCGAGTCCCTTCAGGGGCCGGAGTATGGACACCCCTGGAGCAGAGTCAGCTGTCCTTCGTGGAGATGCTGGACATGACCGGTATCTGCGACGGCTTATACGCCTGGTCACTTGTTGGACAGGAGCTTGAGGATAAACAACTTACGCAGCTACAAGTCCAAGAATGCTTATCGCACACATGAAGCAGTACCATATCAGCCCAACCACAGCGAAGACATAGGTCATGGCCTGTCGATTGAAAGCTTGGCTTAAAGTCGGGGAATCGAGGGGTTGTGTGATGTTCATAGTACTAGTTGGACTGGTTCAATACAAATGACGTGACCAGTAATGACAGCCTAAAAGACGCTTCAGCATGTCGACGAACGCGAGAATGCCGGCCTTTTACCTCTCAGCTCATCTCAGAGAAGTTGTGTCCCGGGGGAGAGAGACGCATGCGAAAGTGTCGAGGAAGTGCCAAGCCAAAGGAAGGTAAATTACGTCAGCCAGTCTGATGATCCGACGCTCGTGCCATTTCTGCATCCGTCCGAGATGCTGCCCGAGTGCATCGCACCTCCAGGGCCAGGGAACTTGACTTTACCGAGCACCGGTCATCCCAGTGAATATATGAATAGCGGACCTCTCTACCTCCCACTCGTCTTTGTTCTCTAAACGCAACATGCAACGCGTCAAGCAACTCGCCGCACACCTGTCAGGCTCTTCCACCGGCCTCACTGCACTAGAGGTCAAGCGCCCGGATGACGTCGTCATTACAATGGCCATTCGCTCCCCGCTTTGCAAGGCGAAGAAAGGGGGCTTCAAGGATGCGAGGTATGAAACTACGTGGTTTCATGGATGTCGAGGCTGATAGGCCATCTTAGGACTGACGAGCTGATGCTTCAGATGTTCAACGTGAATGCGTCTCTTGTCGTATTCAATGCAAATCTAATACCTTGAAATTGAACAGAAAGTAATCGCGCATTCTGGCATCGAGCCCGAAGCCATTGGGGACATCTGCGTGGGCACTGTCCTTACGTCCGATCCCGGCTATCTGGCTCGTGCCGCGATGCTTGCTGCTGGATTCCCGGAATCTGTGTCGGTTCAAATAATCAACCGGTTCTGCTCTAGTGGACTAATGGCGGTCACAACGGTCGCAAACCAGGTGAGAAGTGGTCAAATCGAAATTGGCCTTGCTATTGGAATCGAAAACATGTCGGAGAAGTGAGTCCTACCATTGCTAAGACTAACCGTTATTCTCAAATTTTCTGAAGTCCAGACAAAGGCGGTCCTAGCTTCAGCGAACTGATTTCTTGCAACGCCGCAGCTAGAGACTGTCAACAACGCATGGGTTGGACCAGTGAGAACGTTGCTGTTGAATTCAGCGTCACAAGAGAGGAACAGGACGCATTTGCTGCTGAGTCGTTCAAGAGGGCGGAAGAAGCACAGAAGCGGGGCTACTTTGAGAAGGAAATCGTACCTTTCACCGTTCTCCAAAAAACCCCTGGTTCGGATAGTCGGGTGCCCGTAGTCGTAAAGGAGGACGACGGAATCCGCTATGGAACCACCCAGGAGAAGCTTTCGAAGATCAAGTCTGCCTTCCCTCAGTGGGGCAATGGGACGACGACGGGAGGAAATGCCAGCCAGATCACCGATGGCGCCGCTGCTGTGCTTGTGATGACTAGGAGAGAAGCCGAGAGACGTGGTCTGCCCATTCTTGCGAAGCACGTCACTACAGCAGTTGCAGGTACGCCTTTTCAACCTCTTTGTTATCAGAGACCTGATGTGTTTGGATTTCAGGATGCCCGCCGCGTATCATGGGTATCGGCCCTGTATTTGCCATTCCTTTGGCGCTGAAGAATGCTGGACTGGAAATGAAGGACGTTGACTTATTTGAGGTGTGTGACTTCTTACTCCACACAGCGCAAGAACTCACGGCGAAAACACGTACGCAGATCAACGAAGCATTTGCGTCCCAGTGTGTCTACTGTGCAAAGGAACTTCAGATCCCAATGTGAGCCTAATTACGCTCTTCGTATTACCCTCGCTGTCGTGCTTGCTAAATGACAATTTACAGGGATAAGTCTGTGTTTTCTCATTCTGCGAGATATCGATATTCAAGGCTTGCATAGCTCAATGTAAATGGTGGGGCGATTGCATTTGGCCACCCTCTAGATGAGTCATTTTCGGTGCAACCTGAAAGCAAGGAGGCTGATCTTCCAGGGATATCCACGCTGCACTGGGGCACGGCAGATTGTCACTGGTCTCAACGAGCTGCGCCGTCGGCAGGGCAAGGTGAGCTCTCCTGAGCATGTGTGCAGACCCAGACTAGACGCGTTTCTAGGTCCTTCTAACCTCGATGTGCATTGGAACGGGCATGGGTGCTGCAGGGATATTTTTGCGGGAGTGATGTTGTGTGTGGTGCAGCAAGTTTTTTCATGTATATATAACAGAATTATCTCGGGTTGACTGCGGTCAGCGTTTGAAGAGGCTGCTCCAGGCTTGCTGAGATTTTGCACCGCAACAGACTGTCGGATGAGCTGAGAAAGAAGGAACCTCTAGAGACGGAGCACGAGTCCCACGCCACACCTTGAGTCCACATTGCCAACGAGGCCCAACAGCTCTCAGCCTTCTTCTTCTTCTTCCACTCACGATCTCCCTTCTGCTTTCGTCCTCCCATTTTCCTGCCCCCGTCGCTCATTAACTTTTGGGATCTCTCCCCCTAACGTCGTTGCCGCAATGGCAGCCTACAATCCCGTAAACAACCAGAATAATGCTTCACCATATGGATCCGGCGATCCCTACTACAACGAATCTTCTGGTTTTATCACGCCCCACGCCCCTCCCAAAAAGCGCATTAGCAACTGGATCAAGTTCGGTATCCCAGTCCTCATTATTGTTATTGTCGCTGCCGTCGTAGGAGGCGTGCTTGGCAGCCGCAAGAGCAACAACGAAAGCAGCAGCGCCAGCAGTGGTAGCAGCGGGACCGCCGGCGGTGCAGCAGCGGCCAGCTCTGCTGCCAGTGCAAAGCTTGCCATAGGGAGATTTGCAACCGCCACCGACAGCAAGTACATGGTGCCCGTCTACCCTTCCACCGTGAGTCCCGGCTCTTCCTCTATCTGTTGACGGATAAACCAACATGTATATTAGACCAACACCGCTGCTTTCACCTCGCCTACCTTCATCGCATCCACCAACTCCAAGATTGCCTGGCCCGAAGACCCATTCAAACCCGCTAGCCCTACCGTTCTCTCCGTCCGAACAGACCGTCCCCGCCTGATTGCCCCCACGTACAAGTGGGACGCCCTCCCTAATCTCATTGCCAATGACCCCTACCTCAAGGGCTGGAATGACACCATTTTTGGAAATGCCACGGAATACTTCAACCTCCCTCCTGTTGTGTATTTTATGGACGGGGACAGCGGCATTCTTGACAATGCCCGTGAAGTGAAAATGAGGATCAAAGCGTTCGCTTATGCTTACCGTATGTCCAAGGATACGAAGTGGGTTGACAGGGCTTGGGCCGAAGTCTTGGTATGCACACATTTGTTCTCGTCGTTATGCTTGCTTCCTGAATTTTCTTTCGTTTAGAATGCTGCTGGAAATGGCACGACTCCTTTCGGACCTGATGTGGACAAGTGGAATACCGGTCACTTCCTGGACGCTGCTGAGTTCTCGTCCGCCTTCGGAATTGCGTACGATTGGCTCTATGACATGTGGACCGACGACCAAAAGGTCGCAATCAGGTCTACCATGATCAGGTATGGCCTTCAACCCGGTTTGTCCACGTACACGGAAAATGCCAGCTTTGGGTGGTGGAGGAACAACATCACCGGAAATTGGAATTGTGTCTGCAACGGAGGGTTGACTGTTGGTTCCCTCGCTATTTTGGGTGATGACACCACCGGGGTCGCACGTCAACTCCTTGGCTTCACCGTCGACAATGCGAAGGATAATTGCGCATTTGCCGTTGTGGATGATGGATCGTGGGCAGAGACTGCCAACTATTGGTATTTCGGTACCACCGGCCATGCGGAAATGGCGTCGGCGCTCTTGACTGCAACTGGGTCACATTACGGCCTCCTTGACGCCAACACCAACTTCTGGAAGACTGGTCAATACCACATGTACGTCTTCGGTCCCACCAGTCTGTTCGACTACGGCGATCATGGCCCGAACAAGTTCTCCACCACTGCCAACTCGATGTTCCTCTACGCCGACCAATTTGAGCAGCCCTCTTTCGCCCTCCATCAACGCGACCAACATGACGCCGCGGAGCCGTGGAGTATGTTTTGGTATGACCCAACCGTTTCAGGTGCCTTCTGGGATGGTGCCCCCCTCGACCACTTCTTCGACAACTCACTCGATCAATGGGCTTCCATGCGTAGCAGTTGGACAGATGGTGATGCCCTATTCGTGGCTATTAAAGCTGGACGCAACCAAGGCCATCAAACTCACAATGATCTCGACGCTGGTGATTTCGTTCTCGATGCCCTAGGCACCCGATGGGCAGGCGAACTCGGGTCTGGCGATTATCGTGCAACGGCCTACTTCCTCAGCGAGGCTCAAGACGCTGACCGCTGGAAGTACTACCGAAAGATGACTGAGGGTCAGAACACCATTCTCGTCGACCGCGCCAATCAAAACGTACTCGCGGCTCCTTCAGTGAAGCATGACACCTCAGGTACAACCCAGGGTTCCAGCACTGTTATCAACATCCCCGGCGATTCGACAGCCTACTGGACGTCCGACCTCACGTCCGCTTACTTCCAAGCGTAAGTGTGCATTCTCTTAATCTTGTCTCCTATACTAAAGCCTCGTACAGTACTTCGGTCAAGCGTGGTGTCCGTCTGCTCAATGCCCGTCGCCAGGTCCTGCTCCAGGATGAGATAAATGCCCAGGCAGGCGTCCAATGGCGTATGCACACCAATGCTACGGTGACCCTTGACGGTACCTCTGCCAAGCTGGAGTTGGACGGGCAGACCATGGAGGTCTCCATCCTCAATGCTCCCTCTGGCGCGACCTTCTCTACAACAGACGCCGTCCGATTCTCAACTGACCCCACGCCGCCCGTCCCAGATCAGGCCAACCCTGGTGTGACCGTCCTCATCATCGACTTGCCCGCTGGAACCTACAACCTCCAAGTTCTCTTCAACCCGCAATGGCCGGGTATGTCTGCGAGCGACTTCGTGACACCGCCATCTGTGCCTCTCGACAATTGGTCACTGACGAGCCACAACTGATATACCCTATAGCCTTAGGACAAACGTTAGTATTACTTCTTAATCTCATGAGCGGACGTATATTTCTTTCGTTATATGGTCTGTACATTCTGGACAATATATCTTCCCCTCCGACTCTGTACACTATGAGCCTTTCGTGTGCCTCAGGATACCAGTGCAAAGAATCAGGGTGGCGGAGCTCTTTCTATGCAAAATGTGATTGAACATTGAACAAGGATATTATACAACTGGGATATTGTCTACAATTTTCTGGTATTGTCTCTGGTATATGCATCAAAGGAATTCTTTAGGACGCCTGGATGGGTCTCCGCCTGCCTCATCGTACACAATACCGGCAACACGGAATGCGAGTTCTGTCATGGAGACAACTGAAGTAAATGCTCTCGTCGCATGAGGAGAGGACTTACCATCGGCCTGCGATCTCACCGACGCCTCGGCGTAAACCCGAACGACATCCTCCGTCCCGCTTGGTCTAACAAAAGATCGTCCACCTCCGTACCTTCGTACAAGTTCATCGATCCTTGTCTGCAAGCCGTGGGGGCTGACAAGACGACGCTCTGCATCCTCGGTTCTGAACGCGTTCCTGTCACTGACGACGACCTTCACAAGACGGTTGGGAAGATCAGCGTAGAGAGAGTTCCACTCGACGCCCGAATACGACTTGTGGGCAAGGACAACCTCGACCAGAAGCATGTCGGACAGGGCATCACCGACGGTCTGGTTGATCAGTTGTGTTAGATTGATCAGGTGGTTCAAGGCTGTCGACTGCGCGGGTGTCGAAGGCTCGTGCTTGGCAAGCTTTTCTTGAGTTGTTGGAGAGAATAGGACAGTTCCGTGGCCATTAGCCTCGAAATAGACACCGATGTTGTAATGTTCAGCAGCGTGGTGGAGGTGCTTGACGCCTGTAGGAACACATTTCACTGGCAAACGCTAATCGAAGCGTCAGTCAATAAAACGGGGTCATTTCAATCGCACGTACTTCTGACAGATACTTCGTGGAAGCACCGTTTGCATAAGCCGTCTGGACGACCCCGACCTTGATCTCCGAGTCCAGTCCTGCCAGTTTCACAAGGTCGACGATAAAGGCGGCAACGAGCGCGGCGATTTTATCACCGTCCAACATGTAGAAGTGCCCGCGTTCATCGAGATAGTAGTACATGAGACGGTCAGCATCGCCGTCAAGGCTGCAAGCTCGTTGGCCCGGTTTTAGCTTATCCATGAGGTTGGGAGGTAGCCTCTGCGTGGTCTTGACGTAGTCAGCGCCGCAGGACTCGTTCAGCACGCCAGGGGTCGAAGTCGCGATGTTCTCTAGGATGAGTGGGATACTATCCCCGAGGTATTCAGCAAGTTTGGCAGCAGCATGGGCTCCAACTCCGTTGGCACAGTCAACGACGAGCGGTTCTGGCTTCGTTTTACCCGCCTGGTGAGGTGTTATAAACGCATGTTGGTAAAGATAACTAGAGAACATACAACGAGTTTCTTAAAGGCTCCGCTCAGCTTCTTGTAATAACCATCCTCAGAGTCTTCACCATAACTTTCGGGAGTGCCTTTCGTGTTGATCGCCTTCACTAGGTAGTGGAGAATGGGCGTTGTGGTGACTCCGGCATCCCGCGCTTCGACGCCCAAGGCTTTGAATCCATCTTCCAATGCTGCAACGAGAGCCGGTCCTGATGAGCGTGTATCCCTCGCGTATACCACTCGTGCTGGTTTGGAAACATCGATCTTGACGGCTTTCACCAACGCGTCCAGCGCAGTGAGGAACTCATCCGTAGTCGCTGCGTTAGCGAGAACCGTCGCATGGGCTTCCCAAGAGGCTTCTAGCATCTCGCCACGAGGATCGACCAGTTTGACACCATTGTCCTGATTGATTAGACGCGTCAGCGATGCTCGGGCCTCCCTACTGAAGAACAGACCTGCTCAGGATTATGCGAAGCCGTCACCATCACGCCGATAGTCTTACCATCGAGTCTCTTGCTTCGAAGACCAGCGAGAACGCCCACTCGGAACATGACCGAATCGAGGGTGCTTCCTCTGTCGATGGTTCAATAATGCCATCTACGCGTGGTGGCACTGAAGTCCTTACAGGGTCCTGAATCCTGCCGTGCCATATTGGAAGTGACGGTTCGATGGCTTTGGATGAGCGTCGGAGAATGTCTTGAGGGTCTGGAAAGGGAGTTTGGACATGGTGGTGGAGGATTGAGGAAGACCTGCAATATGAATAAGAGTTGGTCGTTGATGCTGTGACGTCGTCGGTCCCGGCCCAGACTCACGGTCCTATAAAAAGACAGCCGATCGGGCGACCCTGGGGTCTCCATTCCCTTCTCAACCTTGCTCTTGTCGCTCGACTCAGGACTGCTAAACCACACGGACACGTATAGTGAAGGACGTGGAGGTTCTTCGATTGGTCCTGTGTAAGTTACATGCACCTCATTCAGCCGACATATCATTCACGATTCTCTGAATGGCAGTCAACAAGCAGTCCACGACTTTGTCTGAAGGGCCGCTGATCTGGCCTCCTGGCCTTCACTGTCAAAGGAAGACAGTGAAGCCGCTGCCGCTTTGTGAGCCTTCAATTCGCAGCCAATGGTAGCCCTCAGAAGAGGCATCCAAAGGGCCAGAACAATGTCGACGTGATTTGCGCATGCAAGTCGAGGGTTGACCTCGTTCCCTTAGGCTTCCACCAAGCAGAATATGTGAAAAGGGATTCTCTTCCCTCACTTCTATCATGGGCTTCCATGGTATCTGTGATTCGGGTGATTCCAAAGACGGTGCAAGAACGCTGCTTCACCCCATACCAGTAGTGCTAGCGTGAAGCCTCTTTGTGCATAACATCTCACTCATTGTAGGTTACAGCCCTCGTTCTTATTCCAAGTTCGTGTCGACGTGGCTTAGCACTGTGAACAGCAATGACATCGTTCCGTTTCAAATACTCCCGGGGCAAACCCGGAGCGTTCCAGACCTTTGCTGACGTCGACGATGTGCACAGTGCGGTGACGTCATTCACATTGTACCACTTTTGGACTTTCCCCCCATTTTGCTGCAACACAACCTCCGAAATTTCGCAAGTCGGCGCTAGTTGCCCTGCGTCATAGTGCGACTCAGCGGCAGAGACTCGTGGCAGTCGTCGCCTGAGCACTTCCACGACATTGTCGCCCACAACGGAACTCAATTCGTGGCCAGGAGCTGTTGACGGAACACTGGAAAATGTAAAAAGACATTTGCTAAACGAGTGTTTCAGCCTGGCAGTGGTCCTCGGTCAGTAATGTGATCTGGACCCCGGCAGCAGCGTGCCTATAAATTCAACAATGCTCCTTTCGGTCACGCTCTTCCTTCCAAAGCTCATACACGCTCGCAGCTTTGCTTTTCCACCACCTACACCCTCCTCGCTGCCATAATTCCAGGACATGTCAAATTCATCACCAACACAACCAACTGATAATACCACTGATCCTATCGCCCTCTACGCCCGCTCATTGTACAACTACACGCTCGCCCTTTGGACAGAGTCTCGGAGGGTCGCGGAGGAGAATGCGCGTGCCCAGCAGGCCGCCGCTGCCCCTCCCGCCAGCCAGCCGCAGGAGGACGAAGAAAGTGGGAAGGAATCCACACAATCATCCACATCGACTTCTTCGGAACCTCAGAAGTAGTTTCGTCTATCCGCATAGCCGCCTAGTCGAAGACGCGGTAGCCTATCTCACCTCAAGATATATCACCATTTCTTTCCACACCTGCTGGTTCGTAACTGTTCACGACGACTACTCATGCGACCCTCTTACGTACTACCGATGCAGTCTTATCTTGCATGAGGCTGAACTCTCGAGACCAACGAAGTCATTCCAAACGCCAACCGATCAAGATGCGCGTCGACCTCTTCAATAAAACTTTCAATTATCGAGGCACGCATTCGTGAATTTGCGCGGCATGCGGAAGGATTTGCTTTTATCTAGTTTCATGACCACCGCAAGATTGTTTTATCGACTACCTCTATTTGCTATGTTGTAAATCACGAAAGTGAAAGAGCCACTCTTGTGTCCCGGCAGCGCGTTGGCCACTTGAGGGACTTATTTCCTAGTACCTACTCAACATCATCGCTGGTTAGATGTCGATGAATAGCTGGGCCTCCACAACGAGGCATCGTTATATATCATTGTGCGCGGCTTGGATTCATGGATCGAGGTGCGCGGACCTCGACTCGATCAACCCTTCAAGGCTGTCCGAGAAGTCGTGTTTTTGCACTCATTCCATAGATGGTGAGTAGTCGAGGTCTTTCCCTTGATACCTGCTAATGAGGGCAACTTGAACACGAGACCAGCAACCAAGACCGTAGTTGTCAATTTGGGTGGTTAGATACCCATGTCAGGGCTTACATAGGGTTAGCATGCTACCGCGGTAGATTCGTTTTCCGGCCTTCAGGAAGATGCCTTTCTGGTCGTTTTCCTGGTCCAGGTCGGTGAGCTGGTATGGTCAACAGCGCCCGGCTCCAGTAGTACTAGACCTGTTGGGTAAGTCTCTGATGCGGTTCGGCTCTCGAGTTATTGACAGCCCATAGAAAGGATGGGGCCCCCAATTTTTCAGAGAGATAGAACTCAACCGAGTAGGTCAATTTACCGCCGTTTGTGCGTGGCATTGGTGAGTAAACCGGAGGTGTCCCCGGCGTTGGCGATGGGGAAGTTCTCTTGAGTACGTCAGTCAGGGTCCGGTTTTTGATCGATCATCACCCGTGAGAGCTATGACGTCAGAGCGACGATTGAGCCAAGCAATGCCAAATATGTACCTGACCGTTTCCTCTTTCAACCACCATGTCCCCTTGCAAGTTGACCTCTACGTCGCACACAGGCGACGCGCTCGTTGTCCACGATACCCTGCCTACGATATTTACGTCTAGCAGTAACGTTATTTGATCACTATGGAGTTGTATGTCGCTCAAGCTTTTTTTGGCATGAGGATGAGAATGCATCGGACCCCTGTAAGCTCCCTTGATTGCAAACGGCTTTTCGCTTATCCCCTGCGTGCAGACTTCAGGAAGAGGCAATCCAAAATCTATTTTAAGTGACTGCGCACATTCAATTCCTTATGCTTCCCCGCACTAGCGACCCACGTTCCTGTTCCGTCTTATATAAGGTGTCCGCCCAACGCGAGCATGGAGCAATTTTTCTCCCAGCCATTGAGCAAGGATGCTTATACCAATATTCCTGACCGCCTTGGCCCTTCATCTGGACATTGGACATGCAGTATTGATTCAGCCGTCGACATATACAGCCCCAGGTGGATTCCCGACTTCAGTGTTTACAAAATATCACAACAGTCCAACTGCGACTTCTGCACAAGTTCAACCAATTGTGTCGGACGTGATTACAGTTGAGTCTCCTCACGTACAGTTGCACTTAGTTCTTTTTCTCACTATCAACAGCATGAAACGTATCCGTTGTCTCTAACGGATCCTAACGATATTCCAGTCAACGACACGATTGACCCTCATCCACTACCCCCGGCAGCTTCTCCATCCCAGCTTCTTATCACCGCCCAAGCTCAATTGAACTCCCTTTTCTCGAGTCCTATTCTCGCGGGAAATTCTTGCGCTCGTTGCCAAGCCGCACTTGAAATTGGAAAGTTCGTGTCGCTTGCAACACCAACTAACGGACCAGCATTCTTCAGCAATTTTTGCAATACCTTTAAGCTCTCGAGTTCTTGCAACGTGACGTACAGTCTTTCAGGGATCGGCTCCGTCATCACGCAAGTTGTGGCTAATGCCGATATTGGTGGCTATGACGGGCAGGTTAGAGGAAACATCCCCAATTCCTCTTGTCACTCTTGCTGAATGAAAGAAACACCGAAAGGCGTTATGTCAGAATTTCTTTAACATGTGCCCCCCTCCGCCAACAGTTGCCTTGAACCTTACTGGATGGTTTGCAAAACCAAAACCGACACCTCTTCCGACTCCGAAGCAGCGGAGTGGAGAACGGTTGAAAGTGTTGCATCTGTCAGACGTCCATCTAGATCCCAGTGAGTCGTGACACTTTATCAAACATCCATATTGGCCTTCGAACACATTTACTCGCAGGATATGCAACTGGAGCCGAAGCTAACTGCAGTTCCGGCACGTGCTGTCGAGCCAACAAACCCAACCCCCTCAGTCCAAACTCTGCTCTTTTACCCGCTCCACGATTCGGAGCTTATCATTGGTCAGTAGAAGAGGATTGCATTGGCCAGATTCTTACACGATCCGTATTAGCGACACACCATTATCTCTGACTCTATCTGGTCTTGAGGCGATACCCGTTCTCACAGGCACTAATGGCAGCGGATTCGCTTGGACATTGTACACTGGAGACATGGTTTCCCATGACCCCGACAATCAGCTTTCGAGGTCAGTCGTCAGCGTTTGATTAAAAAGATAATGTCATCGTAAATGTTCGCATCTAGGCGTTACGTTGAGTATACGGAAGAACGTTGACCATGAACAATCTTCGGAGTGACAGTCAGCTCTAATCCCGCCATAAGTCCATTCTCTATGGCCTATTCAAACGCATGCTTGGTAGCGGGCCTTTATACGCTGCTTTGGGAAATCATGACAGTTACAACCAGTGGAGTCCATTCCTTCAAGTAACTTACACGCAGCTCTCTTATCAATTTGTCTGGACAGGGCTCAGGATGCTCCACATTCTCTTGGAGGAGCGCTTGCTCAGCAATTCAGCTGGTACCCTTCCATAGCAATGAAGACGGATGAGTCTTCTGACCCTATCACAGGAACTACGACCATGTTGCAAGCCTGTGGGAGCATGAGCAATGGCTCCCGCAGTCTGCGGTTCAGTTAGCACGCTCCCATTATTCGGCCTACATGGTCAGACGCGCTGATGGGCTGAGAGTCATCTCTCTGAATACCGACTTGTGTACGAGGCTTTTTTTCTCTTCTCGTGAAGTACCAATACGGATCTGACCTTTTCAATATCAGGGTATCGGTATAGACTTCTTTTGTCAAGGATTTGCGTTTATCATCTGAAAGTTCTTCAGGGCCAATTACTTCAACTACATTAACATGACCAATCCAGATAATTCCGGGATGTTACGATTCCTGACGGATGAATTACAAGATGCGGAAGATGCAGGCGATCGAGGTGAGGAGCAGCGTCATAACTGCCATCATCCGGCGTTCATGAAAGCGTTCTAGTCTGGATCATGGGACACGTCCTTACAGGTTGGGACGGCACAAATCCGTTGAGGAACCCCACCAATCTCTGTAAGTGGCTTTCCTCTGCTACTTCATTCCACTTTCGACGCTTATACGGCTGCCTATAACAAGTTTATCAGATGTAAGTCGAAACGACCAGGCTGAATTATTATTCTGATTTACACATCGAACAGTGTTGATCGCTATTCACCTCATGTCATCGCAAGTAAGTGCCAAGTAGTCTTTCCCGAACCACAGTAAGAAGCGTTTCGGCAGACATCTTTTTTGGGCAGTAAGAAACCTCCTTCCGTGACCCACAATTTGACCCTTGCTTACATTTAGTAAAAGCACGCACGAGGATCAAATGAATGTCCGTCCCAGTGCCTGCGTTACGACATGTTCTAGACTGATTCTCGAGGATCAGATATTCTACACGAACAATGCCACTGAAATGACATCAGAGGCCGCGACAGCGGTTTCATGGGTACGTCTTGTTATCTCCCAGGGCGAGCAAGAGCTATTTCTCACTAATTGTCACAGATAGGCCCTTCGTTGACCCCTAATAATAACCTGAACTCGGGATTCCGTGTGTACGAAGTCGATTCTGCGGTTCGTCAGTTTCTTGCAGTTCTAACGGCTATGAAATGACCCACTCCTTGACAGACGTTCGAAATTATGGACGCGCATACGTTCGTCCTCATTTGATCTTTGACAAGGACTTGCTGCTGATCAATTCTCAACGGTGAGTAGATGGAAGAGTGATGTCGATTCGTTTCCTGCATTGGATCCTCAAGTCGAGTTCGGTCCGACTTACTCTTACGAATACAACACGCGCGAGGCGTATGGAGGCGGTATTCGTGGATGGAGTGCAGACGATCCGCTTAACGCGACGTGGTGGCATCTTGTCACCGAAGGTATGCATTAATTTGTGTGGAAGTGCTCTGGCATGCCCTGACTTCATTTTCACTGTCAGCCATGGAAGCGGGTTCAAGTCTCGTCACGGTTAGGAGGCTGCGATCTTTTTCTCAAACAAAAGCTAACTTTTTTCTTAGACTTTCAACACATTTCAGGGCAAAAGTTCCGTTCAAACACCTCCATGCGTCGGTGACTGCATCGCAGCCAAAGTCTGCTACATCAGAAGCGGTTCCGCCCCAATCGCCATGCAGAACTGCAAGCAAGGTTTTGGATCGGTTCAATAATTATGGGTATTTTGCTTCGGTTGCTACACAGCGTAAATACAATTTTTTGACAGCGTTGGAACCTTATTAACTCTAAAGCTACCTATGTGCGAGCGGGGGTGTTCTCAGCGAAGTACTCGTGCGAGTCGGCGTTCATGACAGCGAGAGCAGGGTTGCTCCTGGCGAGGTTCTGGGCAGCAGTCTGGCCGTAAGCGTGGTCGTCGGTTCCACCGTTGCGAGTGAAGTGGGAGGCCTCGTGGATGATGGTTCCAGCCTTGGAGTCGGTACCGGTGGTGGGAGCGTTCCAGAAAGCATCTAGGGAAGAATGATGGTTGGAATCAATTGGCTCGAATAGAACGAAGGTGCTTACTGCAGAAGTAGATCCTGCCGAAGGTGCCAGCGTAGACATAAGCGTAGGCGCTGTCTGTGCAGGTGCAATCGTAGGTGAAGCTCGAGAAGTCGTTGCCGTTGATCAGGTTGAAGTGGGACTGGACGGTGCTCTTGCGGGCAGCGGTGTAGGTTCCGAACCAGGTGGAGTACCTGTTGGTGGTGGCACTGATACCAACCAGGTAGCTAAAAAAAATCACGGTCAACTGCAATCCCGCCAGGGAGGCTTGAAAAGGGGCCTACTTGTACGACGAAGAAGCGTAGGTCTCAGCTGCGGCAACAGCAGAGTTGATCGCGGTCTGCCTGGCAGCAGAGCATCCGACGAAGGTGGCACGCTTGGAGAGCCGGTGGAGGACTCGTCGCGGCGGGCAATGGCCAGGTTGCCAGACAGCTGGGCGGTGTAGGCGCTAGTCTCCTCAGCATGGACGATACCAATCGAGTCGTCATCCTTCACGATGTAGAAGGTGCTGTCACCCTCAAAGTCGAAGGAGCCGGCTCCGCAAGCAGAGAAGTTGTATCCCTGGGACACTGGTGTGAAGTGAGAAAAACAGCGACTACTTAGATGGGTGAATGGAGTAACTGACGATCGTGGTCAACCTCAATCGAGGCACCAGGTGCAAGGACGGTGTAGGCGCCCTGCTTGGCAGCGACCTCAGGCGAGTACTTGACCTTGACACCAGTGAAGGTGGGACGGGCACCGTTGGCATCAGCGATCCTGAATTTGTTGACCGGGCGCTTAGACAAGAGCGAACGGGGGTCGCTGAGGAGCTTCAAGGTCTCGTCGCCAGTGTTGGTGATGGTAGCCTTGACCGTGAGGTGCTCGACGCCCTTAACAGTGCTTCCGCCTGAAAATGAAAGGATTAGCGTGTAATTGTGGCGAATACCACGTCGGACAATTACCTGACAGAGACAGAGACAGGGCCGGGGTGGCCGAGACAGAAACGGCGGTAAGAACGAGAGAGACCAGCAGGGATTTGACAGAGAACATGTTGGGCGAAGACGAAAGGCTAAATCGACCTTCAGAACCGGTTGCTCAGTGAAGTATTTTATACTGGAGACGAGCAACACAGATCGCTAGAGACATCGCCTTGGCAAAATAGGGAACCATTTGGCGCAGAACCAGGATACACGCGCCGCTTCGACCAGTGTAATGTAGCGACAAGTGGGCCATGAAGACAGCTGATCGGGATATCGAGGGTCCGCATCTGTCCGCATGTTTGTCGACGATGGAGAATCCGCCCATCGATGTTATGGATGGAGGTGCATCAGAGGCTATCAGAGGACATCCGTATTGCCCCACCCGGAATGCGATAGATACCTCAGTAGCGAGAGCCAAGGCGATCGAGGGCTGGAGGACAACATGGAACGCACAGGCGGTAGCAAAATGACCATTGGAGTAGCGTTTAAATGATTGGTAGCCATGTGCGAGGATGACGATAAGTCTTGTCATATGGGAGCTGGTGCTATGGGACCAGCGTGGGTCTGCCAAAGATAGAAGGTGCACCATGCAATCTCGCCGAGGGGACGGAGGATTCCGTCAACAAGATTAGATTAGATAGCCTTTATGACAGTCGTCCCGAACTCCGTTGGTCGGCCTCGGGTCCATGCTCAACCACCAAGACCTGCCGCCTGAAATATGGCTCGATATATTCGACTGGGCCACCTTCAACCCAAACATCATCACCAATGCCTCTACGCCGTTCACACCCATTCCAGACTCTACACGGGACCCCAACCTCCAAGTTCGCGCTGCCCTTGCCTCAGTCTGTCGCACATGGCGTAAATGGGCAGCGCAATCATTATACCAGGACGTCAAGATAAGGAGAGATGCACATGCTCTCAAACAGGCGCTAGAGAGATACCAACATGCAGCTGCGTCCTACGGGCAGTTGGTGCGTTCGTTGTCTAGCTTTCTCCGTATGCACGCGCGTTTCTGACCGGTCACGAGCAGGTTCGTCGTGTGGTCTTGCCTTATCAGAGTACAGTGACAGGTCCTTCTCGGACGCTCGAGTCTGTTGAGATCTTGAAGCTGTGCCCGCATCTCCATACACTCCAACGGCCCCAGCACTCTCTAGCTGACCCTCTCTCTTTCGACTATGAGGCGGAATGCCCTCCCTTTCCATCCCTGCGGCGTCTAGACTGGTGGCACCATAATGAAGCAGACCGAACAGGAGGCATAAATGCTCTCGGCGTCGTTTTGCGTAATGCCCCCCACCTCCGTTATCTCTTCGTAGGCGGTGTTATCAGTCACACCTGCATGGAACCAGGCCGAGTCTCCCTTCCAGACCTCGAAACAGTTCGCCTGCAGGTCAGAAGCGGCATGCTTCTCCGCCAAATGGTTTCGCAGTGGTTCTTACCCTCTCTGAAGCACATCATTCTGGACTCTCCGGTTGTCCGGGATGGTTCGCAAGCCATCTGGGAGACGTTCGGAGAGCAGCTCGAGACCATGGAGTTCGGAAAGCACGTTCGCTTTCTTATCAGTGACTTCCTTACGCCGTGTCTGACAAGTTGTCCCAACCTTAAAGAGCTGAACTATTATATATTTTTCACCTCTCCCCCCGAAAGCGACATCGTCCATTCGAAACTAACCACTGTAGGTCTCCACGCGCACGTCAATGCGCTCCTCGTAGAAGGAGGGTCGGCCTGGAACTTGGTTGAACATCATTTCGAAATACTCACCAGTCCGAACTTGCCAGCTCTGCGACGCATTGTCCTGTATGGTGACTGGAGAGCAGTCCTTCTTCACTCGCGTTTTGTTACAATCAAGGAGATGGTGAAGACGAGCAACAGAATCTTGGAGCTGTCTCATCAAGCTAGACCGTCGAGCCTAGATATAGGTGAAAGTAAGTACGTTTACATATATAATCATGTCTTAACTGGCTGATTGTCTCGTATCCGATGAACCCAAGCCGACAGTTCCTGCTGCGATTACATGGCTATATAGAGCCAAAGAGACGTTTTTACGTCCAGGTCGCTTTAGAATGACATCAGTGCAAACATATCGAAATAGACTCTCTACGGTGAAGCCTGCCTGAGATTCCGATGACACGAACGCAACAAGCCGCACACGTTCTTACCGCCCATTTTTAAAAACCACTCGACTTAGCAAAAGTTCCCATTAACGGCCATCATGTCATGGCGCAGCACTGGCCTATTCTTGCCTGAAGATGGGTGAAAGCTATTTTTGATATACTACACTTCTACGTCAAGCACCGAGTTCATTTACCAACTTTCCTTCGGATCGAGTGGCACCTCGTCAACAGCTCCGCCAAAGAACAACTATTAGCCAATTCAAATGTCTACAAGCCATCCGAGTATCCGTGTGTGGGAGCCGCGAAACGTCTTCTATTCTACTTTTACCACAGGAAGCCGTATCTTGCACGATTCGGAGACCCGACACACTGTCGTAAATACAAGTGGCATTCACATATAAACCCTCGACTCCATGAAGACGTTATATATCCCTTCTTGACAGGTCCCACTTACCTTAGGACCGTATGGCTTTATCTCCCAAAGACTTCACTGTGGCCATCGTCGGTGGTGGAATGTGTGGACTGGCTTGGTGAGTTCTCCCAGGGTGAATTATAATCCGAATGTGTTCTAACGCCGCTCACAGTGCTATTGTTCTCAATAGATCTGGGATTGACGTTAACGTATTCGAGGCAGCTGTGAGTAACGAATGTTATTCTCCCCCTGGATCACGTTTGACGCTTGCATTCCTCCAGACGAAATTTGGTGAAGTTGGTGCTGGTGTTGGCTTCGGTGCAGATCCCCGATTTCTCCAGAGATACTCCCGTGACTAATCGTTCATAGGGCCTAATTCTCTGCGAGCCTTGAAAGGGTTGGGTCTCTATGACACTGTTCTTAAGGCTGCGAATGAACCTCCCAATATGCGTTTATTTCGCTTCATAGCTGGGACCGGCGACCATGAGCTCATCTACGACGTAAGCACCATACTTCAACTGCAATGTCTTATAAACCTCTTTGTTTTGTAGTATGTGAACCTGGCTAAGAGCGAAGAAGATCACACTGGCTTTGGAATTTATCGGTACTTCCTCCTTCCATTTCGTTTGCTGAGTAACCCTAGTTAACCAACCACCGTCTTTCTCAGACCAGCCTTCCTCGATGCTCTCACACCTTTAATGGACCCAGCCAGAACGCGCTTCAACAAACGCTGTGTCTCCGTCGAGAAAGCGGACTCTGGTCGACAGCTCCTTCGATTCGCAGACGGGTCGACCTTCGAGGCCGACCTTGTCATTGGCGCCGACGGTATCAGAAGTGTCGCCCGGAAAGTCATCGTTGGGGACGAGAGCAGCTGTCTCGGGTTCTCCAATACTGTCGCGTACCGAGGGCTGGTCCCAATTGATGTGTTAAAGGCGAAGGGTATGAAGGTCCCTGTTCATACTCGTCCGCATTGTTGGATTGGCCTTGGGAAGGTGAGGGTTTTTTGGTGGCTCGTGCATGAGTTACTGGATGCCAGGCGCTAAACGCCTTTCCTTTAGCACTTGATAACCTTCCCAATGAGGAACGACACACTCGTAAGTGATTGACCTCTTAATTTGATGGAAACTACTTAACACCAGCTTATCCAGCTAAACATCGTGGCGTTTATAAGTAGTCCCGATGGATTAAAGTTGTCACCAGAGCATCCCCAACCTTGGGTACGAACAGCCCCCCAGCAAGAACTTCTTGACGGGTTTCAAGGTTTCGGGAACGATGCCATGACGGTTTTGAAGCATATCAAGACACCCAGCCTCTGGTCCATTCATACCTTGCATCCCCCTTTGAAGAGCTTCGTGGCTGGTAGAGTCGTGCTTGTCGGCGATGCGGTGAGTGGCGGAGCAATCGACTTTGTCCCTACTTATTTTGTCGATCAGGCCCATGGGATGTTGCCACATCTCGGTGCTGGCGTCGGTCAAGGTTTCGAGGACGTCTACACACTCTATAGAGTACTTACTCACCCCGCGACCAAAAAGACCAATCTCGAGGTATGTGTTACACTCTAATGGAATGCTAGAATACACTCTCTGACTGGCTTCTTGTAGACCGCGCTTGCAATCTACGACGACATGAGACCCTCCCGGGCCAACATGGTTCTTGAGGGAAGCATCAAGGCTGGCAATGTTTACGACGGATTCGGAGAATCCAAGTACTCTGCTGAGGACGTGGTCACTCACCTGACAGGGCAGTGGGACCCTGTGTGGTTCTACGACATAGTTGCAGAGGTTTCCGACACCCTCAAGCAGAGGGAAAACGAACTTTTCTCCTTGGCTACGTCATAGATGTGACATTTGGGTGATAAGTGTTATATAAACGATGTGGGATTCAGAAGCGTCCGGAATGACATGATATCCCTTCTTCTCCCACCCCGCGATGCGAGAGATCCTCCCATCGTGTTTCTGCTCTTCGAGACTGGCCTCCAACAGCTCTCAGCACCTACAGCTAGGTTCTGAGGGATGTCTGCCACGGTCCAGCCTGCCCGAGTTGCCGATGGCACAAGCACAAACACAACGCAACTCTAACCCCCTACTTTCCACCACTACTTGACCCTATTCAATCTACGGTCTATTCCTGGCTGGAGATTGGTCAAAGCTATCTTTGGTCATGTTGCTACACCCCCACGTCAAGCGCCAAATCCATACGCACACCAAAGTCCTCCGTATCGAGGGCCACAGACTGGCGACTCGCCAACTACTCTGCCGAAGAACAACTATTAGCCATTGCAAAATGTCTACAAGCCGACCGAATATCCGTGGGTGGAAGCAGCATTCGCATACACTTATACCCTCGACGCCAGGAAGATGTTTGATACGTCTCCCTTCTCGACAGTTCTCAACTCATCTTAGGACCGAATGGCATCGAACAAAGAGTTCACTGTCGACGGCAGCTGCTTCGATCCGCGGACCTTCGAAGCGGACCTTGTCATCGATGCCGATGGCATCAAGAGAAAGACCGTTGTCGGGGACGACAATACCTGTCTCGGCTTCTCCAATACTGTGGCGTATCGGGCGATTGTGCCTATAGACGTCTTGAAGGCGGAGGGAGTAAAGGTCCCTGTTGGCACTCGTCCGCATTGTTGGGCTGGCCTCGGGAAGGTGAGGGTGTTGTTCTTGAGTAGTGCATATAAGTTGTTGGCTGCTGAGTACTGAGCACTTTATCCCAGCACTTGATAACCGTCCCAATGAAGAACGACACGCTCGTAAGCGTGTTTGACCTTTCAATCTGATAGCAACTAGAGTACTGAACAGTGTACCTAGTTGAACGTAGCGGCGCATAGCAGTGGCCTCGATGGACCAAAATCGTCTCCAGAGTATCCTCAACCCTGGGTTCCAACCATCTCTCGGCAAGAACTCCTTGACGGGTTTCAAGGATTCGGGAAGGACTTTTGAAGCATATCCAGGCACCCAGTGTTTGGTCCATTTATACTTTGCATCCTCCTTTGAAAAGCTTTGTGGCTGGCAAAGTCGTACTTGTGGGCGATGCGGTAAGCTTCTGAGCCATTGGTTTTTCTTGTTGCTTATTGTGCGCATCGTAGCGTTAGGCCCATGCGATGACGCCACACCTTGGCGCTGGTGCCGGTCAAGGCTTCGAGGACATCTACACCCTCTACCGACTACTCACTCACCCTTCGACCGCAAAGTTCAATGTCGAGGTACGTATTACACCTCGTTGATGTGTTTGAATCTCATCCCTCAGTATCTCCTTGCAGAGGGCACTCGCAATTTATGACGAGGTAAGACCCTCTCGGGCTAACATGGTTTTTGAGCAAAGCATCAAGACTGGAAATGTCTACGATGGATTTGGAGAGTCCAAGTACTCAGTTAAGGACATGGTCGCTCAGCTGCTGGGCGGTGGGACCTTGTGCGGTTCTAGGTTGAGGTTTCCGACACAATCAGGCAGAGGGAAAATGAACTAACATATTCAGCTACTTAGAGGTACTATTATTACGAGATTTACATGATACTTCTGTGGTATTAAAAAGCATCCGGGATGAGACGATACCCCAGCCTCTCCCACTTCGCGAGGCGAGAGGTCCTTCCATCCAGCTCCTCCCTCTCAATCGTCTTCGAGCCATAGTGCACCTCCAACAGCTGAAGCTCCAGGCAAACGGCCGTTCCTTGCGGGATATTCCCCGCACTGTCGGCTGGGGGGCAACCAGCACAATTGTGTCTAGTAGCCAGAGAAAAACTGACTATTTTTGGTGCTGAGCCTCCGTCGGTAATGAAGTGCCGCGAGTCCATCACGCCGTGGTGCTGGATCCCCGCTTCGTGAATTTTGCAGAACGCTATCATCAGACGACGGCTGGAAAATGAGACAACGGTAATTAGCGCCGGAACGAATCATGTGCATGTTGATTGGGCGCTTACTGGTATTCAGCCGACCTCGTGCAGTTCTCCTTGGGCTTGCATGGGAGCTCCTCCAAGAGCAAGCCCGCGAACCGAACGCGGCTATCATTGGTAGTGCCCTCGTAGTACCCATAGCACCTCGGAACAATGGTGCCTTGGAGAGGCAGAAGCTCTTGCTTATAGATGCTCGCCTCATTCCTGAGCATCTCGATGGAGGTCATATCTCCGTTGTTGGTCTGCGCCCATTTAAGAACGGCTTTCAAGGGGGTGACTGGCTCGGTGAACCTGAGAGAGACGACGGAACCCTGGATATGGCCGCTGACAACAGCTTTCAGGGTACTACGGTCATTCTGCGATGCTCCAGCTGCGCGAAGCATGCCGGGGAAGGTGGCAGGGAGAAGGGGCGAGCCTATGATAATGAGATTGGAAGCGGACGGGAAGAGTGACTTTGCAGCCGGCATCGTGTACTAGTTGAGGTGCAGAGACTTTATGACAGGAACAAGGAGGGGATGATGAATGGGTGGTTGTGTTATCCCCTACTATTTATATGGCTGCGATACCAGGTGGCACGCTTGGGACTTCTGTAGCATTTGACGCTCTGACGTCCATGCGTTCGAAAAAGGCCAAGCAGATATTTGCCATTTATAGAAGGGGCTGGGCCACAAGCTATTCCATAGTGTGGCGCAGAGTGTGGGGTCACGCTTCGATCATAGCCTTAACGGGAAGCGGCCACACAACTAATAATCACCTTCGGGGGCTCATTTTGGCCACCGGTTACCACACAAAGAGCCGGGTGTCCTTTTGGCTAACGGCAGTTGATAGGCGCCCTGGTTGACTTTGAGTGGATCGTGACGTCGCATATTAAAAAGTTTGTTCAGAGATGAAGCTAGCCCGTCACGAATACCTTTGCTTGTCCTTTCAATATTACGGATCCTGCGACGTCATCCAGGGTGACCCTCAGCTCTCCCCCGCGCGGACTGACTTGTCTGGCTTTGACCTCTACTCCAGGTTTGATTCCATGCTTGGAAAGCCAATAAGGCGTCAGCGTCCCATGCGCCGATCCACAGACGTGGTCCTCTCCGCTAGGAACCATGCCCGGGGAGATTATGCGTGACATAAATTCCTCCTCACCGCTGGATGAAGCGGAAGTAAAGATATTGACATTGTAGCCATTTCCAATCTATGACGGCATGTGAGCACGAAGGAGGGGATATAAGGTAAATAGGCCAGACCAATGCATTGGCGTCAATTGACGATCCCGCCAGGTTCTCGTTTTCATCGATTTCTGTCATTAAGTCTGGTGGATCACGTAGACGGTCAGTCATTTTCGATCTTCAGAAAAATAGAATATAGCTTACATGAGCTATAGACGCTTCCTCCTGTCTTCATGTCGTTGATCTTCACATTTCGACTGAACGCCTTATTGACATAAGATTTCAGTCTAGCTTTCTCCTCATCGGAGACATCGTCAGGGACAGTCGAAGGTATCTTGAGTTCAATGAATCCATTCTCTCTTTTGATGGCTGTCAAAGTGTTTCCGTATAAATTCTTGAAATGGATGGTGTCTACCTCGCTCGATGCTGCCTCTGGCAATTCGAATATCACTTTCGCAGCGGCGAGCGTGCCATGGCCGCATATCTGCTCGCCATTGGTGGCAAAGAAGCGGACGCTGTAAACAGTCGCTTTGGGGTCATCAGATGGGAGGGGTACGGGGGAGACTACTGAGATCATGGGCTGATTAAGCGTCTGCGCAATCTTCCCGAGGTAGTCTGGGGGCAGCGTCGGGTCCAGGAAAATAATGCCGGCAGGGTTTCCCCCAAACGCGCTTGAAGAGAACGCGGTAACAAGGGAGAATTGCGTCGCATTGCTTGCCATGGGGATCGACACGATCTGGGGTGGGAGATTTGAGAACAGAAAGATCCGAGCGGACTCGAGTTTTATAAGGGACGCGCAATACCTGTTCAGGTGGAACGCCAAGCGATCTGCAGATGACTCATTCAATTTTCGGCTTTAAAGTTGCGTCGGACTCGTCGAGATGTGTATCATGTCAGACTATGGGTGGGTATGTACTGGGGTCTATAAAATGAGTAGGGTGAGTGGTGGTACAAAGACAACATGAGAGGGGGTAGTAAATGATAGCATCGACAAAATAGCTGGGGGATGAATGAGACTGGGATAATAAAATATACACTGCACTTCAGAGAGTAATCTGCAAAAAAAATATAATGTGGTCTACCAGAATAAGGTATTCATACATTCTGGCGCCAATCAGCATCAAGGAGGCGAATCCTGCGCCGGTCAAGACGGCGTTTCCATTCGCGCATTTCGCCTTGGACTCCAGCTTCTTGAGCCATGGAGGAAATGCCTTTCCGGAGCCAGCGGACGTCTCTCGTCCGTATGACGGCGAGGTGCGGAAGGAGTGGAAAGAGTCGTTCGAGGACTCTCCAGAACTCGGCATTTGGGCGAGGGATGGAGAGAATCTTGAGATGGTGGGGCTCAGTCAGGACGATATTCGGAAGTGGCATTTCGAGGGATAGATGGTTGAGGTTAGGCGTACACATTAGGAGGTTCGTGGGTGACGGTCGGAGTCTCGTTGGCCATGATTTGGGTGTGAATAATAGCAGGGAATAGAGATCGGCACCATGGGTAGTAATGAATTCTGATACGAGTGAGGCTGGGTATGGAATGTCCTCAAATGGTGTTACAGTCAGCTTTCGCAGTACAGGTAAAGGCGAGTGTAGAAGGGCGAGCATGAGTGGTGAGTAATGCATGGAGAGCAGGGTCAACAGACGAAGTTTGGGTAACGCTAGCGGGCTGAACGTGATCATGGGGGGAAGGTTGGTCTCTGTAAAGTCAAATTCGAGTTCTGTCAGATCGAGGCCTTGACCAACAATCTCCAATACTTCAAGGTTGGGGCAGCTCCTGAGAAGCTGCACGAAAGGGTCGTCATCTGGAGCTGGAGAGTGGGTTGGGATGTAGCTGAGCCCAGAGAGAGACCGTATGTTAACGGCACCTTCTCTGTGTACCAACGACGAGAGAGCTCTCCGGCTGAGCACAAAGGATGGGCTGATGGAGAAGGTCGACAAAAATGGCACCAATGGGAAGAGCTGGGTGAGGAGAGAGTCGAGGAGGAGTGCTTGTGCCTGCCCTTCGAAGACTAAACTAGATAGATCCACGGTTTGCACCCAACGGCCAGGCGTGGAGTATGGGATGCGCCTGATAGAATCCCATTTTTGGTCCGCAGCATACAGCTTCTTGGTGAATTTCTCGAGGCCTGCTGTGCTTGTGAAGTGTACCGACGCATACAATAGCGGCAAAGTGATGTCCTACCCAAAGGTCGTCGTTAGCACACTTGCATCGGACAACACTGTGGAGATTACATGGAACGACTTAGAGATTTTGAGAAGCGACCAGGACCAAGCTGTCGTCTCACTCTCCACCGGCACCCTCAACCCTAAAGCAAATGCGATGATGTCCGACCATATCTCGGCTGGTAGAGGCTTCACAGGCTTGGGCTCGGGCAAGAGAGGCAGGAGAAGAAGGGACCCGGAGAATCTCTCGTAGGGCCTGGGGCGGAGAAGAATGGTGGTATTGCACGAGCTCATGCAGGTGGAGGATGGGAGCAGACGGGCGACCCTTGATGAGCAAATCACAACATGGCGTGAACTGGCGACATTGGGGCGAAGACATCAGGCGAGGCTCCGAATCTCCTGCTTTTCCCGGAAGCGTCGGTCCGCGTCACGAACGCGCTTGTCACACACGCCGCGTTAGAGCGGGAAATGCATTCAAGCTCAAGACCCAAGTGTGATACGTCCACTACTTATTACCTAAGATACCACCCATTTCCTCGACAAATCTATCGTAATCGCTCTTCACTTCGCGCTTCGGTGGGGTTGGCTTGGGAGGAGCAGGACCAAACTGGTTTTTCAAAGCACTAACGAGGTCAGGCCTGGCAGGTCCCGCTTGAGGCGCCTCCTGCTCATCAACTTCAGGGGCAGCGAGGCCAACGGATGGGGCGGCATCTAGTTTAGAGCTGACTCCTGATGTAGGGGCCCTTTTCCGCTTCAGAGTGCTGGGAACGAAGGAGGTCGCCTCTTTCTTCAAATCGCGCAGCTGAGGTTCTGCAAACACTGTAGCTGCTGCCATTCGGCTGCTGCAATAGGCTTCGCAGGTAAAGATGGATTCGCAACCAGCGTGCTTTTTCCAGGGTTGGCGGGCAGTGACGGATGAGGAGTGAATTGACTAGCACGGTGTGCTTGGAAGGTTTGATGAGGGACGGAGGAGAGAGGATCTTGCAGGGCCGATGCACTTTGCTGTCGAGGCAAGAATTTAGGTGGAGGAGGTGGGAATATGCTAGGAGGAAACGGCGGTAAAGTGGCGTTCGGAAATGGCGGAAGTCGTGGTGGCGGCGGAGGTGGAGGTCCATTCCATCCACCCATTGTCACGTACGGAAAAGGTGGCGGTGGAGGTGGCGGTACGGCCGGGGCACCAATAGGGAGACCAGCGGGAGGTGGCGGAGGTGGGAGGAATGATTCGTTGGTAACTGGAAAACCGGCAGGTGGAAGGGGTGGAAGGGGTGGAATTGGCATATTTGCCGCCATTTGTGGAGGAAAACCAGGCGGAAGCGGGGGCATGCCGGAAAACATGGGAGGTGGCATTGGAACGTGAGCTGGCATAGGCGGCATGGGTGCATTTTCATCTATGCAACCCTGTTCAACACCACGAACATGAAATACAATTTCGATATACGCACATTCCTTTTCCCGTCCTGATGGTGGTCCTTCTGGCATAGGAATGTCATCGTCACTAGTGACTTCTTCAGTGCCTGGCGGAAGTCCGAACGGCAGTGGAATATCGTCTTCATCTCCTTCGTTTACGTCTTCCATTTCTACATCACTGTCGATCTCGTCCGGTCTCAAGGCTGTGATTAAAGCACGCGTCAGCAGCTTCTCTGTGATATAGGCAAATATGCAAAGTACTCACGTCGCTCAACGTATGGCATACCAGGCGGTGCTACGCCGAACGGGTTCATCACGGAGTCATAGTAGATGCTGCGCTCTGGATGTCGAGGAAGACCATTCTTCTTGAAGAGGTTCCGTTTTCTAAGTGGCAATTCAGGTTCAGGTTCTCCTTCCTTCCTGCGCCGATATACAAGACGCCTGGCCTCCGGATGTTCGGCGACAAATTCTGCCTTCTTCCTATTGATGTTCTCCAACTCGGCCTTGAGTTCTGCGAGCTTTCCTGCATCAGAGCGACTCTCTTCGAGTTCCTTTATCGCGCTCTCGAGGTCTGATGGTCGGTCAGAAACGCCACGGGAGTTTGGGTAGTGAACCAACCTGACGTATCCTTTTTCACGATAGCCAAATCGCGTGTTTTTGCCCGCTCAGCTTTGTTCTACTGCAAAACACGTTCATTAGGTTGATGGGCAGGGAACTGGCATGAGTGAACTGTGCCTTTTTGAGCTCTTTCTTGCGTTGAGCTTTGCCTACAATTTGATGAGAACCGGTGTAACAGTCAAACGTGCACAGAACGTACGATATGCATCCGCTGGGTTGAGGTTCTTCTTCGCCATGGTGCAAGTTGTTGAAACTTGAGAGACCCGATTTCCGTGGCGGAAGCGATCCGGCCCCGCGCACGTGCCTGGCGGCCTTGAGTCATGGCATCGACGGTATCCTCTTCCGCTCTCACATCCTTCTAGTGCAGGTCCTCCTGTGCGCTGGTTGGTCGCACTTCTACCTCCTCGAAAGGCACCCCCACCTCAATCGACAGACAATCCTAGTGCAACCCAATGACGAGCACACCTGGCACCGTCCAGGTTACCACACCCAAACGCGTATCCAAGATGCCCTCCAACCAGGTCAATGTGAATGATCTCCTCAACTTTACGCTGCCCCCGAGGCAGTCGCGACCCACCACGAATTTACCGCGCAGGAGTAGGAAGACGGGCACTGCGCAGGGCGTATGGAATAAGGAACGTAAGTCGCCGATTACACGCCCTAGGTATCCGTTCTTCAATCTAACTGTCTAATCCAATCCAGGGTTTGTCAATGCACAGTACAGGTTTGTTATGAACCCCACAGGCGATTATACGGTACACTTCGCTGACCCGGACATGTAAGCCATTTGTTCTCCCGGTCAGATAGCAATTGATTAAAGCTCGGATTCTAGCTTCTTCCAATGGCATGATATTCTGCAGGTCGTAGTACCTCGCTCGTCGGCTTTGGCGGCGGCGGCGGCTTCTGGAGAGCTCGCTACCCAAGAGGAAGGCTACACGACCTGCCCAATCTGTCTCTCACCTCCTGCAGCACCTCGAATGACCAAGTGTGGTCATGTAAGTATTTATAAAATTACTTTCTTGATCAACCACTCTTATCTATGACACTACAGGTGTTTTGTCTCCCTTGCATCCTGCACTATTTAAGCACATCAGAGAACAAATGGGCACGGTGCCCGATTTGCTTTGATTCGGTGAATGAGAGGCAACTGAAGAGCGTCAAGTGGTACACTGGACCCGCACAGTTAGACGAAGACACTGACACTAGCCACCCCCACGCGTCGTCGTCGTCATCTTCTGTGGTCAATGACGCCTTCGAGACCAGTCCGAAGGAGGGATCATCACTCCTTATGAAACTCATCCAGCGGCCTCAAATCACCACACTTGCCCTTCCTCGCTCTCATACATGGCCCTCCGACTTGTTATCTCCACATCAAGCACCCTTCCACTTCCTACCCGATGTTTTCAGCTTTGCAAAGTTCATGCTCGCAACACCAGCGTATCTCATATCTGATCTAACTCAAGATTTGGATGAGCTGGCATCTGAACGGCGGATGCTGTCGGCGATGAACGATCCTCTAGGCGTGATGTTCATAGACGGTGCCGATCGGAAAGTTCGAGAGCAGATTGCCAAAGCTGCTGCTCTGGAGACACCGCTTCTCAAGGAACAGATCGAGAAGACGCAGAGAGACCTGCTGGAGATTGAAGAGCGCGTCGCTTACCAGGCGCGTCGAAAGAAGGCTGAAGAGGATGCAGCTCTGATTACGGCAGAGCCTTCATCGGAGGTTCCGCATGACTTCCTTGCTTTTCGTTCCAATGGCCTGAACAGCCAGTTGCCACAAGTGCAACCTACACCGACGCCGTCCCGACAACCTTCACAAGGTCGTAATCAACCCCGCCAGCGTCGAAATATTAACCCTCCACCTCCATCAACGTCCGCGTACTATTATTACCAAGCCGCATCCGGCCTTCCCCTCTTCCTCCATCCTCTAGACATCAGAATCCTTCTTTCCCACTTCCACAGCTACTCCTCATTCCCCGATGTTATCACTGTGCGCGTCGATTCCGTGGCTGAAGGCACTGTAAACGACGACCTCCGCAAGCGGTGTAAGTACCTCGCGCATATGCCTGAGGGTGCAGATGTCGTCTTTGTCGAGGCCGACTTGACGGGCGTTGTAGGCAAGGAAGGTTTGAAGAACTTCGAGGGGCCCTTGAAGATGCGCACCGCGCGGAGAAAGGAGAAGAGCAAGAAGGAGGACAGAGCAAGGATGCGTGCGGAGGACAAGGAACGCGAGAGGATCAACCAGAGCTGGTCTGCGGCGTGGTCAGGCGCGTCTGTGGCCTCGTCGACTCCCATAAACCTGGCTGACCTACCCACGGAGGATTTCTCTGCGCTGGGGGACGTGTCTGTACCTGTGCAGCCGCAGCTTGCTACCGCACACCCAACGACCCCGGTACAGACCTCGGGGGCATGGGGTGGAAGGAGCTTTGCGTCCGCCATCCATTCGAACTCGCCTCGTCCGGCCACCGGCGCTCAGCGATCGAGGGTGCAGGCTACGGAGGATGAGTGGGACCTTGATGTCGCGTGGCATGAGCTAGAACAACAGAACGGCGGCGGTGGGAGGAGGAAACGCGCTAACAAGCTGGTTGTGCTTGGAAGTGGAGGCGGTGGTGCAAGACGGCGATGATCAGTCATCTCTCCGCAGAAGTAGGACGGTGGGGGGCTTTCGGTCAGGGTTCTTCTAATACTCTTTTCTTTCATTCGGTTTCTCTCTGCTCAGCAATGTACTCTACGATTTCTCATCGCCGCCTGAACGTTTTCCAAGTTCTCTAGCCAAGCACAGCGCCGTTACTTAGATCATCGGAAATACCGACACATACAGCCCATTCCTTTTCCAGTGTAGCAACTGTACAACACCGCAAGTACCGTAAATCTAATTATATCGTCCTTTCGGAGGCTGAAGAACCGTTTGATTGGTATTATTATTACTACTCAGCTTGACTTGACTACGGAAGCTGCCTATGGAACGGCGGTATCTGCCATGAAGACATGGTATCCAAAAGACTGTGTCCAGGAGACACGGAGACCGGAGTGGATGCGTGGAACTGAAAGCTAGAAAAAGAAAGGGATGCGGGTACTAAGAACAGGAGGAAAAGATGATAATATAGATGGATACAACATATGCAACGACACATCGAGTTGGATTTACAACGCGGAATCTCCAGCAACGTCTCCGCAGGGGAATCTTTGGATCCGGATATACGCAAGGTAGGGAGGCAAAGGTGATATTTGGGAGCAGAGAAGCGGAACAGGCCATGTGAACGTTTGTAGATGGGCTCCATATAATATTAAAGAAAGAAAAAAGTTCGAGGGGGGAGTGAACAAGAAAGGGCATAGCTTGTCGTAAGCAATGAGGTAAGATGTCGTTGTCGTGATGATAACCAAGCTATTTCAGACCGTCGGCGGGCTGACGGCAGCAAGGACATGATTGTAGATGGGTTGGATGCACGCCACGAAGACGTGGCTTGTTTTAGATGATTTGCAGATAATTCGATGGTGCAACTGTAGAAGTGATGTAAATCCAAAGGCAAGAAAAAAAATATAGGGGCGACGCACTTCCGGTCTGTCCATCTGCTTTCTTTGCCTGCCACCACTTCCCTTGCTTGTCCACAATGTCGAGAATTTCACCCTTGATGAATGAGATTTCATTTGGATCCTCAGGGTTGGCGGTGTCTATGGGGCATGATCAGGGTATGCAAGAAAAGGAAGTGAAACAACAACGCACAAGCATACATAGCCTTCGCCTTGTATAGATACGACTCAGCTGGCTGCGCCGCGGGTTCGTTACTTGTTGCCTGGGGAGAGTTTCCTGCGCCGACGCCCGCCATGAGCGGTGAGCTTGGGCCGTTATCGGCGCCGCCGATGGACCCTCCGCCTCCTACGCTGGTCTGGTTATGGATGCTCCCTGGACCGCCGGTGCCCGTCATACTTCTCATGTTGTCGTTGAGGCTACCGCCAAAGCTGTTCTGGTTACGGAGGGTTGCAGGATTCGGACTACCATATGGGTTGCCGCCGAGCTTGGAGTCGTAGCCATCGTGCGAGCCAATGCCTCCGCCAGAGCCGTAGTTGGTCTGGTACCCGTTAGATTGCATGCCGTGCATGGAGGACTGGGTACGTGTTCGGCGGCGGCGCGAGGGCGGGGTAAGGCCGCCCGTGCCGAGCATGTTGAAGATATGGAGGGCGAGGGAGTCCTCTTCCGATGTGAAGTAGAGAACCCAGAGGATGTCGACGATAGAGAGGATGAGCCAGCCGGCGCCCATGGCGTTAAGCGAGCCGACGGAGGCGAAGATGCCGAGTGTTGTGCCTTCTACTGCGAATACGATGGAGACGGCACCAAAGATGGATATTTGGGTACGGTGCATAGATATTGAGTCGGTCGCCAATGTATAGAGAACGCCGAGGATGAGGAAGAGCTGTAGGAAGATGGCGAACCATAGTGATCCAACGGCAATACGACCAACTTGGAGGGCATTAGCTAGGGCGCTGAATATGACGACGATACTGACCTTGGGAGGTGACTATGCATTGGGATATGAAGGCGGTGAACCATCCAGCCTGCAGTGGTTCAGTTTGCTGCAAATGAAAAAGGAGAGAATACACACAATAGCCAGAAATGTGGTGAAGAGAAAGAGGTAGTGGGTGAGGATTGGGGTGAAGTCGAGGCCGTCATTGGCGCGGGGAGGCATGGCTGGGAGATGGGGGGAAGAGAACGCGAATGACCAGATTTGCACAGCAGCCCACACAAGGCACTTGCACTTTCCCACGCCCTCTCTTCAACAGCCAGGACAGCCTTCGTCGCCACCCACCTTCTATTCCGTCGAGCGGCGCGTCTTCCCCCGCAGTCGTACGACTAGCACCGCCAGCTTGATCTTGTACAGCCATATCCAAATGAAAGCACTGCACCTCACGCGAGTTCCCTAAAAACTCAGAGGCACACCAGCCCCTAGGCCTCATTCCATCAGACTCAGCTCTTCCGCGCTGTACAGACTTCTGGTGCCATCATAGCCAGCCAATTCTCCCTGGGTGCAGTAGGATGCAATCCCGCTCAATGCCTACATCATCAAATGACCGACACGTCGAATCATCCATCGACAAGAATCCCTTTGACAAGTCCAAGTTGACATCAATAAAAATATCACGGGCGCCTATCCTTCATACTGCCATTCCAACAAATGCAAACCCCGCATCTTTCCCTTCACGACGACGTGGTTCTCGTGCGTTGTGACCAGCTTGAACCCGTTCTTCAGGAACACCTTGACGCTCCCTTCGTTGCCGGTGAATGCGGTAGCCCACACATGGCGGACACCCATACGTGGGACTGCCCAGTCGTTCAACAAAGTACGGATTACGTCCGTCATGATCCCTCGTCCATGGTGAGAAGGAGCCAACCAATCTGCACCCGATTAATTCAAAAAGGATCACAAAATTCGAATAACGCTCACCTCCGATGGTCCAAATGATACTTGGGTCGCCAACAGCAAGAGCGTTATTTTCCTCCTCTCTCTTTTTCTTGTTCTCCCAGTCTACCCCGTTAGGCCCCATCAATTCTCCGTTTTCGCATCTGATGATACTAATGCCCCCCAAGAACACTTCTTCGCTACCTCGGACCTCCCGGATCGACCATACAGGGCATTCCCCGACAATTATCGGGGCTGCAGCTGGGTCAGCATCCTTAAGATGCTGAATGACCTCGTCTGCTGGAGGCTTGATTCGTGCAAGAAAGTCCTTGCTATCCTCTATGTTTAGATGTTAACAAGATGTCGCTATAACGAGGCGGTGAGGGGATGGGACGCACGGAGAGTATAGGGATACGGTGGACCGGACAACCAGTCGCACACGCGTGGATCATTTAGATATGGGATAAGGAGAGGTTCGTCTTCCCATCGTGGCGGAGTCAAGATGATGTTTGGAAATTTTCGCAATCGAAGAAAGACCTCTCCAGTCTTCGCGTTGAGTTCGAGCAGATGAAGTTGTGGATTCGCCATTCTACGCAGCAAACTTCGGGGTGAAAAGGATGGTCGTATTCACGAAACAGGTGAATGGAGCTTTTGTATCATCTCTGATGACTCGAACTGATGATTATCCGTTTAAGGACGCATAACTAGACGAAAGAGATACTACAACTGGCATTTGACTCCGGTAGAATCGCAATGCTATCTCGAAGATCAAGAATATTTCCCAGTCGTCTATTGAAACAGTATCACACCTGGGGCATGTCAGACGACGAGAGCATGAACCTCATGTTCCGTCCTCTAATTGCCATTCGAAGACGTGCAAACCCCTCATTTCCCCTCTTACGACCGCGAACTCGTCTATTGTGCGGACCATTTTGAATCCGTTCTTCTCAAACACTCTCACACTGCCGTGGTTGCCCATGCATGCGCCTGTCAACATCCGGCGAACACCCATACGCGGGATAGCCCACTCATGCAACAGGGTGTCCATCGCATCTGTCATGATTCCCTGCCCATGATGACTTGGTGAAAGAAAGTCTGGTGCAGGGATATTCAAACATTGGTCGATGGCATGCGGGTAATGCAACTACTAGGACGAACCTCCAAAACTCCAGATAATATTTGGATCTCCAAGTTTAAGACTTCTGTTTTCGGCCTCTGTCCATTGCATATTCCCAGTCGATGGTATTGGTACCCATCAGCTCGCCGTGGAAGCATCGCCCTATTGCAATGTTTCCGAGGAAGATGTCCGAACCGTCTTCCTGCAATTCACGGATGTAGGACACAGGCGCTCCGTTTACCATCTTCAAAGTCTCGGAACCTTGGGCATCCTTCAACTCCTGAAGGATGACGTCGGATGGTGGTTTGTGTTTCTGGAGTCGTTCCTCTGCATCCTCTGTCGGAGTCAGTTTGGTGTAGGGCTATGGAAGATGATTCGGATTTACTCAAGAAAAAGGGAAAAGGCGGTGTCAACATCCAGTGATATACGCGCTTGTCATTGAACAAAGGAACGAGGGACGACGCATCCTCCCATCGCATGGGAGTCAGGATGATGTTCTTGTGTTTCCTCAAACGCAGAAACGGCTCCTGCGTTCTCGGGTTCACCTCCAAAGGGAAGAGTTGGTCGGGCGCCATGTTTTTCGAGTCAGTGGCATAGTCATTCTGAGCCTTTTTATCCTTGAAATAGGAATAACATGACTCGACGGCGCTGTAACTGATTCATGTTGAGGGAAACAATGGGCATTTCATCCGGCGTCGCGGCCCTCGCCGATCGGATAAAGGCGGTGTCATGTGATGCGGCACCGAACCTGCCCTACACCCAAAAAGATCGATAAGACAAGGATTTGTCAACCGCAAAACCTTATCCCTCCCTGTCAACAGTGAAAGTGCCCGCACCCAGCTGTGCAAAAGCAATCTCCATCATCGAGATTGTTCTGCCCTCCAAACCCTGCTTATTTTTTCTATCGACCCCCAGTAACAGCCAGTCACCATGGTGTACGTTCTTATCGCGCTCGCTCGTCGACGATGTGCTCACCGATGCCCTTGATCGCAACAGTAACTTCACAGTAGGTCAGTCGACGTCGAGCCCACTCCTCAACCTTCTCGATGTTCACTCGCCTCTCCTCCAGACCAGATTCGTCAGCTAATGGACAAGCCGACGAACATCCGTAACATGAGTGTTATTGCTCATGGTGAGTAAATTTTATCGTCCTAGACATCCAGAACACCACCTGAAAAGTTGTCTCACCTACAGTCGATCACGGAAAGTCCACCCTGACCGATTCCCTGGTCTCAAAAGCCGGCATTATCGCCTCAGCCAAGGCTGGTGATGTGCGGTTTACAGATACAAGAGAAGACGAGAAGGAGCGTGGTATCACGATCAAGTCGACTGCCATCTCCATGTACTTCGAGGTTGACAAGGAGGACCTTTCTGCTATCAATCAAAAAACCAACGGTCGGTTCCTTGTTCGAGAATTGCTATCCTCTATGTGGATGCTTATTCCGTACCCCTTGTCGCCGCTTTTAGGACACGAATTCTTGATCAACTTGATTGACTCTCCCGGACACGTCGATTTCTCCTCTGAGGTCACTGCTGCTCTCCGTGTTACCGACGGTGCCCTCGTCGTCGTCGATTGCATTGAAGGTGTTTGCGTGCAAACAGAAACTGTGCTCCGTCAAGCCCTTGGTGAGCGTATCAAGCCCGTCGTCATCATCAACAAGGTCGATCGTGCCCTTCTCGAACTTCAAGTCGACAAGGAGTCGCTCTACCAATCGTTCCAACGTACAATCGAAAACGTTAATGTCATCATCTCAACGTACCACGATGTTGCCCTTGGTGATGTCCAAGTCTACCCTGATCAAGGAACCGTCGCCTTCGGTTCAGGTCTTCACGGTTGGGGTTTCACCCTCCGTCAATTCGCCAATCGATATGCAAAGAAATTCGGTGTCGACAAGGCCAAGATGATGACCAAACTCTGGGGTGATAACTACTTCAACCCGGCCACCCGCAAGTGGACCACCGTCGGTACCGACGCCAATGGCAAATCTCTCGAACGTGCCTTCAACACGTTCGTCCTCGACCCCATCTTCAAGATCTTCGATGCCGTCATGAACTTCAAGAAGGATGCCATCGGTCCCATGCTCGAGAAGCTCGACGTCAAGCTCGCTGCTGATGAGCGTGATCTTGAGGGCAAGGCCCTCCTCAAGGTTGTCATGCGCAAGTTCTTGCCCGCTGGTGACTCTCTCTTGGAGATGATAGTCATTAACCTTCCTTCGCCTGCTACTGCTCAACGTTACCGTGTTGAGACCCTCTACGAAGGTCCTATGGACGATGAGTCTGCTATCGGCATCCGCGATTGTGACCCTGCTGGTCCCCTCGTCCTCTACGTCTCCAAGATGGTGCCCACCTCCGACAAGGGACGCTTCTACGCCTTTGGTCGTGTCTTCTCCGGAACGGTCAAGTCCGGACCCAAAATCCGTATCCAAGGTCCCAACTACCTCCCCGGAAAGAAGGACGACCTTTTCGTCAAGTCCATCCAACGTACCGTGCTCATGATGGGTCGTTACATCGAGCCCATTGAGGACTGCCCTGCCGGTAACATCGTCGGTCTCGTCGGTATTGATCAGTTCTTGCTCAAGAGCGGTACCCTTACCACCTCTGAGACCGCCCACAACATGAGGGTCATGAGGTTCTCCGTCTCTCCTGTCGTGCAAGTCGCCGTCGAGGTCAAGAACGCTGCCGACCTGCCGAAGCTCGTCGAAGGTCTTAAGCGTCTGTCCAAGTCAGATCCTTGCGTCCAGGCCTGGATTTCAGAAACCGGAGAGCATATCGTCGCTGGTGCTGGTGAGCTGCACTTGGAAATCTGCTTGAAGGTAAATAGTCTATTACCCACGAAGACGGAACTTCATCTTATTTCACTTTGTAGGATCTCCAAGAAGACCACGCTGGTGTTCCTCTCAAGATCTCCGACCCCGTCGTTCCTTATCGTGAGACTGTGAAGGCTGAGTCTTCGATCGTTGCTCTGTCGAAGTCACAGAACAAGCACAATCGCCTCTTCGTCAAGGCCATGCCCATCGACGAGGAGCTTACCAAGGCCATTGAGTCCGGAAAGGTCAACGCTCGTGACGATTTCAAAGTCCGTGCCCGTGTCCTCGCCGACGAATACGGCTGGGATGTTACCGACGCCAGGAAGATTTGGTGTTTCGGTCCCGACACGACTGGCCCCAACTTGTTGGTCGACGTCACCAAGGGAGTTCAGTATCTCAACGAAATCAAGGACTCTTGCGTTGCTGCCTTCCAGTGGGCGACCAAGGAGGGTGTCACTTGCGAAGAAAACATGCGTGGTGTCCGCGTCAACGTGCTTGATGTTACTGTAAGATAGTCAATTTTGGTTGCTAAACGCTGCAGACCTAAACATGTTTCTTACAGCTGCACACTGACGCCATCCACCGTGGTGGAGGACAGATCATCCCGACCATGCGTCGCGCCACCTACGCTGCCTGCTTGCTCGCCACCCCCTCGTTGCAAGAACCCATCTACCTTGGTATGTCCATGTCTATGCATAGGTTGCGGTTTTGTTCTAACACCGCGATCACAGTCGAAATTCAGTGCCCTGAAACCGCCATCGGTGGTATCTACAGTTGTCTGAACAAGCGTCGTGGCCAAGTCTTCAGCGAAGAGCAAAGGCCAGGAACCCCCATGTTCACAGTCAAGGCCTTCCTTCCCGTCGCCGAGTCCTTCGGCTTCAACGGAGAGCTGCGCTCGCACACCGCCGGCCAGGCCTTCCCCCAGTGCGTGTTTGACCACTGGGAGGTGATGAACGGCTCGCCGCTCGAGAAGGGCAGCAAGATGGAGGAGTTGGTGACGAAGATCCGTGTGCGCAAGGGTCTCAAGCCCGAAATCCCGTCCCTCGACACCTACTACGACAAGCTCTAATGATACTTCTCCACATGATATGTAGTTTTTTGGTAGAACACAATTTGTTGTACACCGCAGCGGAATGCATTCCTTTTCCGACTCGGCGTGGGAAGTGTGACTATGTGACGGATTTGGTCTGACTTGAAGAGCGCGGCAGGAATGTTCTGTTCTCCCAGTTTCCTGCTCGCTCGCTTTTTCTCTTATTCATTACATTTCTTAAACCCCGTCCTTCGCTCTTCCCGGCATCCTCCTCTTCCATCCACCGCGCCTTCCTACTCCACTGACCAAGACACTCGGAATCACTATCTTTTCAACAATGGCCGCCTCCCTTTCTGGCTTATCTGCCTCCGTCACCCGCATTCTCTACCTTACCGGCTTTCCCAAGGAACTCAAGACAAAGGACATACAGACAGCATTCTCGGAGTATGAGTCTCAATCCGGCGGCTTCAAGATCAAGTGGAGGGACGACACCAGTCTCCTCATCGTCTTTCAGGACGCTTCAGTTGGTGCGTCTCATCTTCCTCCGCACCCGCACTGCATTATTTGTGCTTTGCACTACCCGTATACACCATACTCATTGCCCAATTCCTGCAGCGAAGCGCGCTTATTTGAACACCCTTGCTTTTCCTCCGGCGATCCTTACATCATCAGGAAGAGTCGCGGCGACGATCAAGCCATACGATGGGCCAGATGCGCAGAGCGTCATCCAGACAGTCAATTCACGGGGGCAGCACAACCTCAATAACCCCTCACGCTCGCATCACCCCCGTGCAGCATCTGTCTCTGTTTTCCCCAACGCCCGCAGCAACTCTGGCTCCAACGGATATCCGAACACCAACGGCAATCACTTCCAGCGTAATAACGCTGCTACCGCACCTAGTGGCCAGCAGAACGCTACGCCTCCAGAACGCAGCGATCAACCATCACCAACGCTGCCAAACCTTCCATCCCATCCAACATTGAACGCGCTCATCAGCTCGTCTTTAGGCGAAGCCGTCGCTGGTACGAGCTCGGGTCTTCCCTCCGACCCAGCCATCTTAGCGACGAGCTTGCAGCAGCAGCCAGATTCCCTGAGCGGACCTAGGATCGGAGACCCAGGCAAGCGCATGCTGGGTGCGGCGTTGGGTGTGAGGCACCCAGGACTTGGGCCACGAGTGCTTAGTGGCAGCGGCGGCCCTGCGAATAGCAAGGGCATCGACCATATGAGGGATGTTCAGAGGGCGATGGGAGGCCTCGTTGTTGCCGAGTAATGCCCTGATACTGGTATCCACTCCTAACTTTCCCGGCATATCTCTCCCGTTCGTTTTTCGTGTTGTCCGATTGGTTTTCTTACATTTTTTGTACACCTTTCGCCTGTAGTGTTACTGTTACTGTCGATAATATTTCCTTTCCATTTTTCCCTTCGAGTACACTTTATTATTATATTCCGCCCGTGCCTTTGGTCGTCCTGTGATGGGTGAGAGGTATGAGAGGCTGAGAGCAGCTGCTGGTTCTTTCTACATTCCGGAGAAGTAATAACCAAAATATCGACTCATTCTTCCTTGAGATACGTTTGGCTCTGTTCGTGTATTGTGTCCCTGGCGTCATACGATCAGCAGTTCCGGGGTTGCGCACCTTCTTCAGATACTCACACTATCTCTGCTCCCATACATAGCCAGTGGTAATTCTGATAGAAATGTCTCGAGGACACATCTGTTGCCTGCCTCAGAAAACTCCCTCTGTAGGCGGAAAAAGTTATTTAAATGGCCCCTGTCCTGAGAATTTACGGACTGTTTTGGCGCACACTCAATTTCCATATCTGAGACCGAGCCGGCGCTTCCTTGCTTCCTTCGTTTACTCCCTTTCCGGACACTTCAGAAGCAACGCTCCCAACCCGACCATCGTGTCTACTGCTTACCCTCCTTTTTCAAACGCTTGAGCCATGACGCAGACAGACATAGATACGTCGGGCTTTCCGACAGGGTACTTCGTCGTGTGCTCCATAGGATCGAACAGACTGCTAGATGTAACCATGGATGACATCGAGGACGGGACGGAGATCGCTCTGTGGCCTGAGAAGGAGAAATCGCTGGTCGAAAGTGCGTGAAGACCGCGGTTTGGGGCCCGTTCTCTCACTGATCGTCGTGCGTGTGCCGATGTGATAGGTTTCCGAGACCCCGACACCAACAACCAGGTGAGATGCCACCCGTTGGGGCAGCAAGATATCCTCTGACGAACCCCTGCTGACAGGTTTTCTTCATCGACACCGCTGGTGCTCTCTGCTCTCGGTCGGCGGGCCATGCGATCGATGTCGAAGGTGACTGCGGAGACTTCGTACCGCATTTACGACTTAACTCAAGATACCTCTATCTATCCTTCATCAGGCGACCGTCTTGTCCTGCGTCACAGACGACCCGTCTCCTTTCCATTCCCCAACTCGTATGCACACCCTCTCCCCAAGTTCTCCTACTCTGCCAAAACAGGCGAGATAAGCGTTCACTTCGCCTGCGATCCCGCCTACCCCGGCCCCGAAACGGCTCCTTCAACTGCCTGGCAAGGTAAAACCTACCTGCTCACCTCGGTTCCTAAACGAAAACCGAGGACCATCATTGATGATGCGTCAGCCTTCATTGCCTCGAACATCCTAACGCCCATCTCCTTCCTCACGGGAACCCAGGCGCCAGCGCAGGCCCAGCCTGACGAGGTCTTCGGCGCCGATATAGACCTCAATGAAGATGAGCTTGTGGAGGAGGAGAGAAGTGAAGAGGCAGAAATAGACAACGACCCCGAGCTTGCAAGGAAAGTAAGGATCGTCACTGCGCCCACTGCAGAAAAGGACATGCTGGACCTGTTGTTGTCCGAGAAAGCAAGGAATAGACGGAGGTGGGTTATCTCTCCGTTGAGAACCACGAATGCGAAGACACCATCGTAATATCGGAACATAAGTGCATATTACTTTGTTCGGAGGAGGAACTCGAACTGGAGACTCAAATGGGGAGAGATACGTAACCATTAGCGGAAGGTTTTGCCCTCTTGTTGTATTTTTACTGAGTTTGGATTAAATTTTCCGTGTTCCGTGTTCTGGAGATGGGAACACAGAATCGCCCCACAGCGCCAAGACGCGCCAAGACAGTTCTGTTAGTTGCATGTGGCACATCACGTGCATCACGCGACGTAGATATGCTGCTTGTCACGCCAATAGTGGGCCTTGCGAACGAACTAGAATGAACTCGTAAGTACTCTTCTCGTTAATCCTTGATAGACAACCTACCGAAATCATCTTTGCACCAAGCACATAACATCGGCCCGATGTCGTCCAACATCTTTGTGCAATCATTCACCCACCTCAAGGACAAACCCAATGCAGACAAGGCTCTCGAGATGTTGAAGAAGATAGCATCCCTAGTCAAGCCGATAATGCGCAAGCATGGATGGGTCCTCCCTGTTCTCTCAGAATTCTTCCCAGACCAGCAGAATTTGCTCGGTGGGTATCCGCATTACTGGCGTTCGGGCGTCTAATTATTGACGACCCTTTGAATAGGGCTTAGTACGCATCGCGCGCTCTCTTTAGTGGACGTGGCTTAAAGGATGCGACAGATGTGAACATGGGACAGAATATTCTGGTCAGATTGAGACCTGCCCATTCCCCAGACTGGTTTCTTCCTCTTGAAGAGGTGGTCCAGACGATGCTTCACGAAGTGAGTTTCGCGCATATATGCCATTGGAACACTCTTTTAACCCTCTTAGCTTACACACAATGTTCACGGACCCCACGACGACAAGTTCTACAAGTTTCTCGCGGGCCTACAGGATGAATATGACGCTCTGCAGCGCTCAGGGTATGCAGGCGAGGGATTCTATTCTGAGGGCAGGCGTCTCGGAATCAGTGTCTCCCATAATGTTCCCCAGCACATGGCGCGATCCAAAGCACTTGAAGCAGCCGAGAAACGCCTACAGACTTCTCGGGTGTTAGGGAGTGGAGGGAGACTTGGAGGAGCAACAAGAAATTCAAACTTGAGTCCGAGGGAATTGGCCGCACGAGTGAGCGTTTCTTTTTTCGGTCTTCGCATGGTACCCCCTAAACTTGTCATTTTCAATCAAGGCCGCCGAGCAAAGGTTACGCGACGAAAAGTCGTGTGCATCTGGCGCTGTTGCTCGACGTGAAGCGGAGAAGGCCGCACAGGAGAGCGTAGAGAGTAAGGTCATTGACCTGACTTTGGACGACGACGACGACTATCCCGTAGTGGGGTCGGACGATGATATCGTCATTGTAAAGGATGTGCATCCGAAGCAGGGTGTTTCGGCCAACTCTTCGAGGGTGAAGTCACAAATCCCCAAAACACTGTCAAGTGGACCCGTCCGGTCGTTGAAACCACAAAATCAATCTACATCGAAATCATCCAACAAGTCCGACGATCTCAGGTCAAAGCCGTATCCGGTTCGACCAAAACAGCCACATCCTACGAAGTCTAGTACGGCTGAATGGTCATGTTCAACTTGTACGCTTCTCAATGCGGCTCTCGCTTTGCAGTGCGACGCTTGCGGGATGCGTAAGCCTCTTGATAGGCAGGCCGGTTGGACTTGCCTTGCCTGTGGCGAAGCTGGAAATCTACCTGACCTGTGGAGCTGTAAATGGTGCAGGGAAATCAAGGTGCAAAGTTGAGACGTATCATAATGGTCAAGGACTTATGTACCTCCATCTTTTTCTTTCATATTTCTTTGCTATCTCATCGTTTTGCCATTTCTCCACACGCTACATATCTCCAGTTTATGTATTTGAGTCACCAAGCATTAAGGAAGTGCTGTGGTTATGCGGAATAATTTAACATTTTGGCAGGAGTCATTGGATTCGACTGTCTGATAGAAAGAAGTGCGCTCAAATCCCAGCCTCAGCTCCTCAGTGCGCAGATCTGCGCCTAGACTAGGGTATTGGCCTGGCATTCATTTCAAAAGGACACTTGGCACTTACCGCGAACATTCGTCAGAAATCGATTAAGGGTGGTTCCATTTCTGACGGTCAACGCAATTAGAATGCTAGTGGAGGTACGATCACCTGCATGTTCGAGAGCGAGCTTTATCGTGCCGACCAGGGAAGGAATGAGCAAAGGGTCAAAAACCTATTCCGTATTAACGAGGTAAAGGTGTCCCCAGAGAATATCACCCACCACATCTGCTCCAAGCACTAGCTCTGGTTTCACCGTTCCATGGAGAAGGGCAGCAAGGGAGTCCGATTGTTCTGGATCTATTGATTCAGACCAATCAAGCTTTATGCACTGGAGATCTGGATGAGAAGAGGATAGATCTATATCGGGGCGTTCTCAAAAAAAAAATCGAGACCATCATAATCGATCGATGTCCTTACTGCACGGTAGGTTCATGTTGTCCCGACAACGCCCGAGGACGTCGTCGTTAACATCTGTAAGCCATATGGAGCCAGAAGGAGAAGAGGAAGCGGTTTGCAAGGTTAGCTGCTGCAAACTGGCGACTATGATACCGAGGAACCCGACGCCAGACCCAAGTTCCAAGATTCGTTTATGGGAAACAATCTCTGTTCGATAAACACAAACATGAGTACAAATTGTGAGAACCATTCGCGACTCTTGCCTGGATTGTGAATGAGATATTGGGCAAGTACAAAGCTCGCGAGCCATGTTCTCAGGCCGGTTGTACCGCCCTCGATCGTGGTTCGAGATTCGAAGAGAGTCGAGATTTGATACTTCTCAAGATTTCCTGCTTGTGGTATAGAAACTGGCAATCTCTCTGACCTCCAGAAGTGGGTGATATAGGATTGAGAGGGAAGACGGTGTTGCAAGGGAACCCCTGCACCGCATACTTGTGATCGATTCCCGGCCGAGGTGGATCCAGTCACACTAACAAAAAGGCTTTGGTGAGCAGCAGCATATACAGCGATGAAGTAACCCACGTCCCAGAGGGGGGCATGAGGTCGAGATAGTGTTCGTAAATTCGAGTATCAACTTCGAACTCTACCTACTGAAGCGTCGTCGCAAATGATCAGACACATGTACAAAAGACAAAAGCTATCGCGATACATACATCCAAGTCACCCCTTATTCTCGCTAGGCCCTCGAGACTTTCAATGGCCCATTTCCAGAAGCGCTTCTGGTATTGGCTTGAAGGAGGAAACTGCTGAAAATGGCGATTGAGAAGGATGGCGTTGAGGAGAAAATCGTTAACGGCATTGGCTGATAAGTGAGATGGAAAATGCAGTTCATTTGGAGGCACCAAGGAAGAGAAACCTCGCAGAAGAGAAAACAGCTGGCCGTCCATGCGATGTAGATGAGAGAAACTTGATCACGCTCTGTCAGTGGCATATGCAGAGCGCGCCGCAGCTCCACGGTCATGTGACTTCTACCTTGTCAAATTTTCTGTGCTAGCGCAATTCGCAATGCTCTCTCGTCCGGTTTTCGTCTTGCGACCACGTCTCCGCGCTGCCTCTCGCCCTGTGGCAAGCTCCTCGTGCATACTACAGAAGCGGACTATTGTATCCTCTCTTCCTCGCCGTAATGAAGCCAATGTCGAGTCGGAGGCCACCGGAACGGAGATGGACTTCGAGGACATGGATGACCTGATGGGCTCTCCTCAGAGCGAAGGATCTGAGCCGGCCAACTACCGCGAGTTCATGGAGAAGATTGGTCACAAGTATCGCTATGCGAGTCCAAGGCGCTACCTTGGAGAGCAGGTTCGTCTTGTTTGATGCGTCTCTTACTGTTGCTGACTCTCCTACAGCCATTCCCGATGAACCCGTCCTTCAAACCACCTCCGCCCATCTCTGACGCGCAACGCGACGCTATGTACAAGATCTACATGATGGATCCTAAACGAAATGGCGTTCGTCGACTGGCCAAGCGAACCAACATGAGCATCAAACGTGTAGACGCTATCCTCCGGCTGAAAGGTCTCGAGAATGCATGGAAAGAGGTTCGTATTATTTCCGTGTGTATTATCCATACTGTGGATATTTCTATGATGGTATCAACGATTAGTCTTTAAGACACCGACATGGTTTCAATTTCTTTTTATATTGCTGACGCCCTCTCCTCTTTTGCGAAACACCTCTAACATTTTCGCTCTTCTACAGGTAACGTTTTTGTCACAGGTGTGCTCTTTGAAAAGCTGATCGTTTCCCTGTACGGTCGTTTTTTGTGTAGGAGGTTAGTACCTTTTTTCCCACCAGTCCACCATAAGATGAGACATAAGTATCATTCGCGAAGTGGAAGACCATCTGTGGCGCCTTACATCGCCCAGAACATGGTTATAACCGTTTCAACCCCATCTGAACCCCCTTGCCTCTTCGAATGTCTGCTGATGTTGATGAATCGTACTGTTTTTAGGGCAAGCAACTTCAAACCGGGTTCCAAGTTGGCATGGATAAGCTCTTGGGTGCGCAAACCCATAGCGCCGTCGATAATCTCTACAAAGTGGTTGCTGAATCCGAGATGTTACTGAAAAAGTGGCATAGCCGCCCTCGCTTCGGCTTCCACCACCCTAACAACGTCGAGCATGTTGACTTTAGGCAACCTGACGTGAACGTAGAACGTGCCGATGTGCATCGAGCGGATATGCTGGAGGAGGATGAACAACGAGATGCGGCACGTTATCGATACGAACGCCTGTACTGGGAGTCCATTCCGGAATCTGCCCGAGTGAGTCCTTCAGAATGTCAGAAATGATTGACAAGATATCTGACGTATACCTTAGGAGCCGATTCTACCAACTATCTTGCAGCACGTCAAGCAAAAGGCGGAGCTGAAGAAGCTAGAGAACGATATCAAAGCCAATAAGAAATACATGACACCTGGACCGGCTTTGCCTTTCCTCAAGCGACCCAATAAGCCTGTTTTCATCAAATCCAGGCTCAACCGTCCCTCTACTAAATTCGTCGACGTCGGCGCTCAGTTCATGGACATCGACGAGCGCATCAAGCGAATCGCAGTTTCAGATCGCAAGGCCAGGATTCGAGCTAGAAGGGCGGCCGAGAAGAAACTTGCGCAGGGTTTGTAGTCGTCACTCCTCTTTATGTATTTACTGTCTTGTCGCCGCTAATTGCATTCTAATATCGTCGATCGAGCATTCATATACCTTAAAAAACCACCTTTCATCACTCTAGAAATTCTAGAATCTTGCCGAGGAACCCTCGACAGCGACGTCATAAACGGTAATCCTCCCAAAGAAGTCTGAACTCTCCTCGAAGACGAGTTTGAGGGCGATCACTCCTTCGGTCAGCAGATCTGGTTGACTGGGAACCAGCTCGAACATTTGGCGCCGATTTACGTCTTCCGGAAATATTGTGGTGAATGGTCGCCAGTCTTTCTTCCCAGATTCATCTGTCGGAATGCAAATTGCACATCGCGTTCCAACGAAGCCACCTTGAAAGGTGATAGAAACGCGTTTGGGTATCACTCTGTTTGTGAAGCCTAGTTGTATGAACTGAGGTAAACCCTGGATGTTTCGGAATGACTAATGAAGGGTGAACATAGTTGTAGTGCGAAGGTGTACCATACCTGCTGTGAGGTCCAGCATGTCTCTGGGCTCCCATCAATCAGGTTCCTTTTTCCATTGGCCTTCTCGAGGGTGGAGCTGACTCTGGGGTCTCGTTGGTATGGCGTCAGACAGAGAGATGAGGACGTACTTAATAGAGGTCTCCTCGTTGATGAGGGAACTGAGCTCGCCGCCTGTCATCGCCGTGCAGAACAAACAGGCGAGGATAAAGTTTTGTCGTGAGAATGTCCCTCTCATTGCGCCCTTTAAGATGCCTCTTGCTCACAGATACAGACAACCATGTCCCCGCCCCAGACGATGCCTCAATGGCTCTCAGTAGCCCTGTCATCGGAGAAGCACCTGAACACCGTCCTGCGCGTACTGACGAACCGCGAATCAAAACGCGACAGTGCCCGCACTGCATCGCAGCTCAAAGCCCTCGACGACAAATCACAGCCCAATGAAATGCGATCTCCTCTCGCGTTTCTCTTTCGACGTAGCAAAGACGCCCTTCCGCAACTTGTGGACCACTACGCAGTTACCGCAGGCGCGCACGAAGCTCATCACCATTTCAACCGTTATGTCGACATAATACCCTACGATCGAACGCGTGTTGGGGTCCATGAGGGATCCCTGGGGCAAGGGACGGAACGAGATGGAATCTGGGAAGGCCGCTACTTGAATGCGAGCTGGGTGTTGGAGAGATTTGGACGCAAGTGGTGGATCGCGACACAGGCGCCGCTGAAGCATACCGCCCATGCGTTCCTGAGCGCCATTTTGCAATCTGTCATGAGGCCGCCAGTCGAAGGACCGCCTTCTCAATTAGACACCTCTTCTCCAATAAGCCGAGTTCGCACCGTCGTCCAGTTGACGCGAAATATGGAAGGCGGTCGCAAGAAGGCCGATGCGTACTTCCCAACGGAGGTTGGGCGTTCCGTTGTCGTCTCTCCAGAACCAGGGCACGATGGCCCTCCCCTCAAAGTCACTCTGCTGGAAACGAAAACGATCCGAGCATCCCACTGCATCGAAAGCACGGTATCTATCATCCCCATTCATCGCACAGGTAAGTCCGTGCTTATCATGAATTGGACAAACAGCCAAAGCTAACAAAAATCGCAATGAAGACCACAAAGGAGAAAACGACGACGAAGTAGTTGTTTTTCGGCATATGCTTTATACGTCCTGGCCTGACCATGGAATCCCTGAACCCGAAGATCGAGAGAGTCTCCTTTCCTTCATCCGTCTCGTCGACAACACAAATCGCATTATTTCGTCGTCTTCAAGAGGCAAATCCACGCCTCTTAATAACACGGCGGGTGAATTAGACTCCGACCCACCTATCATGGTCGGCTGTTCTGCCGGTGTTGGGCGAACTGGAACCTTCATCGCGATCTCATCGTTGTTGCGATCCTACAGCTTCTTACCACCCGCAGCGCGCCCGACTCCTGCATCTGTCATTCATGCATCCCCCTTGGGACCTCTTCCTGAAGAACTTGAAGAAGACGAGATCGCGCAGGAGATAGATTCGTTAAGAGAACAACGTCCGAGCATGGTTCAGAGAAAGGAGCAGATATTTCTCATATACGAGCTCTTGGCAGATGCTTTCTCCGAAAACAATTAGATTATCTTCAACTTTCTGCATCACATCTATCATCGGTCAAGCTACGATTGCTACTCGCCTCTCGCGACCTTCTCTGGGTCGTGTTGAAGGCCGATATTTGTCGGAATCACGGTCCGATTGCGCAATGTCGGTCGCCACTCTTGCGTTCACAGGACGTCATCGAGGCTCTAGTTTACTGCACCCAATCCCCTCTTCGGCTTTGCTTGATTCATCAGTCGTTCACTGATTGTTGCAGGATGCAACCATGCGGTATATATTTAGCTCAGTCGTGGACAGTTCACCGATCTGAGGAACACCCCTCGCTAAGCCGGGAAGGAGGAAACCCAGAGAATAACGTTATTCAGAGATCCGTCAAATCAACGGATGATTGATGAATCATCTGTAAGTGGAAGTCCAGACAAAGTTCCCCGTCGGACCCCATTTAGCAACACGGTACATGTTCTTGCGTACTACTTATACGCGCGTGTGGGTGCCTTCCCCCTTTCCAATTTCCCGCCCGCAGTTTGTGAACCACCCCCATCACTTCTCGTACTATATACCGCTCCGTAAAATGTCTCTCCCGTCTACCGTTGACGCGATCACGATCCCTCATGTATGATCGTCGCGCTCGCCTGACTATCTACACTTTGGATCTCATATCAGTTTGATTCGATTACAGTACGGGGGATTTGAAGTCATACAAAAGACGACGATCCCCTTTCCTAAGCAAAACCCTGGCGATGTCCTCATCAAGGTGCGTTCGCCGTTGTATCTATCTGGATCCCACAGTTGGTGTTCACCCTGCTCATTGCCTCGGTGCATTAGGTAGAATATTGTGGGATCAACTTTATAGACACATACTACAGGTTAGTGGCGTGACCTTCCTCATGTACCGGCGGCCGGGGTCCCTCACTTGCTTGCGTCCAGACAGGGCCTCTACAAATACAAGGAGTTCCCCGGTGTATTGGGCAAAGAAACTAGCGGAACCATCATAGCCCTCCCGACAGACGAAGCCGTCCTGAATGACACGACGTACAAGAGTCAAGGGTTCAAAATTGGAGGCAAAGTCGTAGCCGTGCGTTTTCCCCTGAATAACTAGGAACAGCCGAATGACCTTCAGTACCTGGCAGGATTTCCTGGGTTCGCACGCAACCTACATTTCCGTGCCATGGAAATTCGTCTATCCAGTCCCGGATTCCATCTCGACTGAGGTGGCGGCCGCTGCAGCCTTGCAAGGGCTGACCGCGATCACCTTCTTCGAGGAAGCGTACAAGGTCAAGAAGGGGGATACTATCCTTGTACACACGGTCGCTGGAGGTCTCGGCTTGCTTTTCGCACAATTGGGCAGACGCGTGGGTGCCATCGTCATTGGGACAACCTCTACACCTGAGAAGGCGGAACTCGCCAAGAAGAACGGAGCGGACCATGTCATCTTGTATCCGGTAGAGGACACGGTACAGAGTGTCCTGGAACTTACCAACGGCGAGGGCGTCGATGCGATTTTTGATGGAGTTGGAAAGGACACGTACGTTTCTTCTTGTTTCTTGAAGACGAAGGCGAGCGCCGACCAGTGGCTCCTTAGGTTTGATAATAACTTCAAAGTTATCAAAAGAAAGGGGACGATCGTCTCCGTCGGCAATGCATCTGGAGCCGTAGAACCTTTCTCGCTATTCAAGCTCGTCGACAGGAACGTGAAATTGTTGCGTCCAACGTGAGTGAGCATCTTGTAAAAAGGATCCCTCAAGGCTGACGAACTTGCAGCATGAGCAACTACGTCTACACTGCAGAGGAAGCGGCATACTATGGCCGAGTGCTCTTCGGTTTGGTAGAGAAGGGAGAATTGAACATCAAGATTTTCAAAGAATATCCGTTCACGGCCGAAGGTGTTCAGGAAGCCCAACGTGACCTTACTGGAGGAAAGACGACTGGCAAACTCTTAATCAAGATTTAATATGTAGTATGATATATTTTACATTACTCTTTTTTTTCCTGCTTTCTGAATAATACGAACACGGTATGGTTGACCTTTCCTTAGTTCGCTTCTCCTTTAGTACAGTGTGATGGCAGTACCCGGCGTTCCCGTTCGAAAACAGGCCTCGTCCCCTTTGAGTCGCGGCGGTATGGGCAGACAAGTAGGCCTCCGCCTCTTCGCTTAATTGACTATTCCTGCGTCACGATTTTTATCTTGGTCTCAGTCGCGGAGGTGCAGGGTCCACTACGGGAGATGAAGGCTTGCCCAATAAAGCAGATAATTCCTTTTTGAGCACAAGCCCACAAAACGTGATAGCCTCCATGAACACGAGGCATTTTGATCCCGAGCCCAAAAAAGCCATTGCAGGTTCCATGCAGGTCTCCAGAAATAGGTATGGAAAATGTGTAGAGCCTGTGCTAATGTTCCTCTCCACCTCACCTCGGCGGATGCGGCCTCGCTCCACAAAAACTCCGGAATTGAACCAAATCGAAGACATAAGCGCTCGATGGGTGTATTGTCTTGTAGAGTCAAGGGGGTTACGGCATGGGATCAATATTAGAAACAGTAGGGGTGATTCGAGTAGCCGAATGAGGATGATTGTTCACTACAGGAATCTAAAACGAGTCACACAAAGTTTGTGGAAAGAATAGGCAGAGATATTGTACCTGAGAGCTGCGTGGTTACATAACAAGAGGTCGTTTGGTCAACAAGAGGTCGTTTGATCAAAATACAACCAATACAACCTCTGACTGGACACGATGGAACCAATTGCTGATTATGAACAAGACATTTGGACCCCGATGTAAAAATCAAATATAGCCCCAGAATGGAAACAGGTATTATTTTCAGAACCTTACTTGTAGGCTTTTGAACGGAAAGTTGGGTAGAGTTTTGCAATTATAATGTAGAAGCATGAGCACTGGCGTGGACTCGGAACCAGGCAAGCAAACTGTCGAAACCCTGGCAACCAGCTGAAAAGATTTTTGTCTTGAGGGAAAACATTAGGGGAGGTGATAGGTTGTTACGGCTGTACGAGATATCTGAGCGCTGTTGCAGTTGGTATTGGGAGGCAGTTGCAAGTTGGCGGACGACTCGGAGTCGGGCTGGGTTTGTGGGAACACCGCCAACGACAAAGGGCAGCTGCTTATATAAGAATCTCTTGCATTACGCCGCTGCATCTTGTCCTATTCCGCTCGTCCTCAGCTCTCACAACCACACCCTTCGCGGGTCCCGTCTAACCGAGACATATTTGGCCACGATTCCACAAACGACAAGGATTGAAGCACACACCCTTTTCAGAGCTGTAGCCAACGATCGCTACTTGATCCTAGCCATTTCGATTGCGTGCGCATTACCACTCAATATCCGACGTACGTCTGCCATATTGAACACACAGTCAGCGCGTCATAGCTTCATATACGCAGCGCAGACCCCAAGTCTTGATTCCTCCTCCAACCATGGACAACCCCGAAGCGCCGAAAGCCAGACGTCCACTACCAACCCCTGGAGCATCTGCCTCCCAGAGGCCGAACACTCCAATATTGACCTCATCTCCTGTACCTGCGAGCAGTTTCTATGCGTCTTCAAAGCCCCCACCCCTTCCATCACGACCTCGAAACCCAGGCTCGACACACACAGCCTATGTGCCACCTTCGACGGACCCTCCACGCTACGCATCGCCAACTCCGGGCTATCGTGAACCTGAACTTATTACAGAAGACAGCTTTCAGGATGATGACGATGTCCCCGACCTTATTCCTCAAACCGACACCTGGAATGCCCATGAAAATTGGCACCAGAATTCGGATTGGGCAAATCAACCGTCATGGGATGCACAAGACACCTCCGGCTGGAATGGTGTCCCTAGTTCCTCAAACACGGGATTGGATTTCGACGCAATGGATTATCTCAACTCGAATCGCATTGATCAAGAGTTTACAATTGATGGTAGGGCAAATAGGGAAGAGATTAATTGGTGGAACCCAGAAGAACGCGCCAAACACAATCGGCCAGGACCTGGCATTCTTCCTCCCATTCTCGCTGAAGAGCTTCACGATCCCAATCATTCCTTGTTCTCCGTCAACGTTTCCACACCTTCCATCGCACTCTCAGTCTCACATTCCTCTTCTTCAGGCGTTCAGTCCTCTCCAGGCGCTCTTTCATCGTCGTCCACCTCTGCAAGTGAAGCGCCTCAGCCATCAGAGACCGAAGTACGGAAGGCGGTACCCCATCCGAATGCATATTATTGCCCGAAAGAGAACGGATGGATCATTCTTAGCTGGAAACCTTCCTCTGTCGCACCTCCTCTTGCCCGTTCCTATCACGAAGGCGCAAATCCCCCGCTTCCAGACCAAGCCCGTCGCCGACGTACCGCGTCTTGCATAGAGGACGGTGAACAGCCTTTCGGAAAGATGAATAAAACCCATCACTTCCACAAGTATGAAAGGGCTGTAGATAGTCACAAGCTAACGCCACCTTTCCGACGGGATGAATGGCAATCCCTTGAAAATGTCAAACAGAAGCGACGTGTCGGTGCTATCATGAACTCTAACTTGGATATTAGTGCCATGGGTGCCGACTCGCTGGACGAGAGCACTGAAGATGCTGCGGAAGACGAGGGAAGGCTCCTTGATCTATATGTCTGCTGTCAATGTTCGTTCTATTGTGTCGCCTCTGGCGTTATTCCAGGCGTTATTCCTCGCAAACACATTGAAGAACTCATTCGTGACAAGAAGGGGCATCCACCTGTCGGGAAAACACCTGAACAAGCGGTTGCTACCGCCTTCGAAACCTTTTTAACGTAAGCCCTTTGAGCATTCATTTCTCTATCCTCTCTGAATCACCGCCTCGTCCAGCGCCATTGAAAATAAGATGTGGAAGGGCAATAATCGAATGATTAAAGTAACCAGCTCAGGTTTTCAAGCGAAGGTTGGTTGGAACCCCAATATGTGAGCCTTTTAACTGTTCTAGAGGCGTTGGCCTTACTTTTCGTAGTAAACGCATGTTCGAAATTCTCGGATTCATGGAAGAAACTCTTGAACGCGACAGCACGCTGAAACCCCCATCGATTGACGCTTCTTCTCCCTGTGGCAAGCTGAATCGACGTAAACTCCTCCGTGCATGGGTGGAGATAGGTGCTTGGCTTTCAGATTACAAGCGGGTCCACGGTAATGTTTGTGTGTATTGTAACTACGCTTCAAACTAACGTTCCTCTAGCATCCCATTTCAAGGAAGCAAAAGAGTTCAAGCTTTATGTTCAACTCGATAGCGCGCGGGAAATGTATCAAAGCGCAGTTGGTGCCCACCCTGATCAAAGTTAGTCTTTATTCTCTGCTTATCATCTCGAGTTCTAAGAGGATGCGTTAGTACCGCGAGGAGGCTTGTCTGAGTCAATGTTAGACGCGGTTGGCCATCTTCACGCTTCATGGACAGGACTTGGCTTGACACCGACAACCTACTCGTGCGGTATGTTTCTGTCTTTGAGGTAGTCTTTGGTCTCTTATCTCCTTTCAGAGCTTCTTGCGTTTGCCTACCTTGCACAGTGTCGGTGCGATCCTGCAGGGACTCCGAAGTATTTCACGCACTTCACCAACATCTTGAAACAACTTCAGGAATACGGCAGCTGCCCTCCCGCGCTCCAAGAATTATTGGTCATGGAGCAATCTCGAGAACGGTTCACGCTCGAAGACATTTCTACAGCTGCCGCACAGCTCGGATTCGGCTCAGAAAACCCCCTCGCCGTTGAATACGACGAAGACATCCCAGACGATTTCGTTGAGAATGCCTGGAGAGATTGTGTCAAGCGGTCTTGGAGGGATCACGAACACGGTACAGAAAACCACCGGCTTGCCAATGAAGCCTTCAGGATTCTTGCAGAGTCTAGGGGTAGTGTCAGATTGAGGACCGTTTGGGAAAACGGCAAGAACAAATTTATGAATCCTGACAAAGCCTATGACACCCTGGAAGTTCCTAAGGACGTTGAAGATTACATGTTGATCACGGTTTATAGCATGAGGGTCGGTGATGCTCCTTCGTGTAATCTCGAGACTTCTCTTAACAAAATCACAGCTCGAGGAAACCCCAACGCAACTGGACAAGATGCGAGAAGCGATGACAGTCATCGCTGAAGTTCGAGATAGCGGACGACTGCGGCAATTTGTTGCGACCGGTGTTGACCGTATGTTCTTCTCTTACCCTTGATAGTGAAATTCTCATCTCCTTTCAAGCGGGTGAAATCATTGCTCCAACACGTCCTGATTTGCCTCGTGGCCTCAATCAACTGGGTAATACATGCTATCTCAATTCATTATTGCAGGTAAAGAAGATCCTTTACTTTCAAGCATCAACTCTTACACGTTCCCTTAGTATTTCTACACCATCAAGGAGCTTCGCGAAGCCGTGTTGCCCATGTCGAAACTCGACCTGAAGGCGCTTGCTGACGAAAAATTGACTGATGAAGACTTGAAGAGACATCGCGTCGGTGGGAGACTCGTAACACGACGTGAAATTATTCGCTCTCGGAAGTGTGAGTTTCAAAGCTTCTTCCGACGTCTTCAATAGCTACAACGTCGTTGCAGTTATCAACCAATTGGCGGATCTGTTCTACAACCTGGAATACTGCGAGACTGCCGCCGTGACTCCAACGATTGAACTAGCGAAGCTCGCTCTCGTCACATCAAGAGATGAAGAGGAAGATGAAGTTGATAGAGGTGGTACAGACTCTTCGAACGATACTGATGCAACTCTGGTGGAAGATGGTCCTTCTCGATCATCATTCCATCCAACGCAATCTCCTGGAAAGTCAGTGCTAGGCAAACGCCCCCGAGATATCGACCGTCAGCGAAGCCAGATGGATGTTGATAGCCCGATATCCCAATCACCTCCAGAGAAGGATGGTTTCGTTGTTGTATCCTTCAAGGAGAAGTCTTCAGAGCCTCATTCCCCAACTCACTCAAGGACAGATGCATCCTCGTCGAAAGTGTATTCCACAGACGAGGATGGCGATGTTAGAATGGCAGCTCCTTCCCCGCAGAAACCCTCCCCTCCCCCTCGGAAGCGTGCAGAAGCCTCTGATTCCACCATGATGTTTGGTGGGTCTTGCATTCACAATTTTCGTCATTATATGTCTGAACCCCTTGTTAGGAAAACAACACGACGTTGCAGAATGCATGGATAATTGCATGTTCCAGATCGAGACTGCGCTACTAAGGTTTGACGACATCAGCGAGACTCAAGATAAGACAAGCGTTGTCAAAAGGTAAGCACCCTTTTTTTTCACGAGAACGCATACTCATATCGAACCTATCCAGACTCTTCTATGGCAAAATTCGACAGCGTCTCACAAGTACGGAATCTCGGTCCTCAATACACGAAAAGGAAGATCTCTTTTCCCATCTACCTGTAAACGTCACGAACGATGGTGTGGACATTTACGACGGGCTGAGCGGATATTTTGATGATATGGTCGAGTATGAGGGACGTAAGGCTAGGATGGAAGTCACCTTGGTCGATTTGCCTCCTCTCCTGCAAATCCAACTGCAGGTTAGTCTTTATGTCCTCTGCTCCTTCGAGCTTTTCTCATGTGTGATGGTAGCGAGTGCAATTCAACCGCGAAACTCTTCAGCCGTACAAGTCTCAAGCATATGTCAAATTTGGCGAGAACCTGTACATGGATCGTTTCATGGATACAGCAGATCCAGCCAAAAAATCGAAGTCCAAAGCAATCCAGGCGGAGCTCACTGCTTGCAGGGAAAGAGTGCGCCTTCTTGTCGAGGGAAAGGTAATCACTGAACCTTTATGTCAGGAGTGTGACTGACTGGTTCTTTCAGGATACACCTTACGCATCTTCGTTGGAGCATACTCGCAACTTTTTGTCGGGTCTGAAGGCACAGACTGTCTCTGGGATCGACGACGATCTCCTTCAACAAATGGGCGACGAGCAAAACAGGGTTCGCGGAGAGATAGATCATCTGCGAGCCCGTGTCGATAAGCTCAAGGATGAACTCGAGGCCATCTGGCGCGATAGCACCGAGGTGGCCTATGAGCTTACCTCCGTCTTCATTCATCGAGGATCATCTCCGTCATGGGGGCATTATTTCTTCTATTCCCGACACCTACCTGGAAGTCCCGATTCCTGGTTTAAATACAACGACTCGGACGTATCTGTTGTCTCCAAAGAGGAAGTACTCGCTGATACCACTGGATCCACTGCCAACCCTTACCTGGTTTGTCTCTCCACCCTGTTGTTTGGATTATACTAACTAGTCTGTAGCTCGTGTTTGCCCGTAAAGGATCAGACGTCGTCGACACTGTAAAACGCTTTGACCTCTCACAGCTGGACTCTGCTTGAACTATATTATTGATTTTGGAATAATACTGCATTTGTATAGTAGATTGCATTGTATCAAGCTTACTTATAGAACGAGCCCACACCAGGGATGTACATTGGCACGTATACTTATTTGATTACTGCTGCAATGCCAGCAATCTAGCGAAATTTAACGCGTCGTTACAGAGGATTCAGAATTACCTCGGTCAACGTTTCCATTCCCTTCAAGTTCTTCGTCACTCTCGTGCAGGTCCGACGATGCCTATGCTCGATCGCCGCTGCATGGAACTGTCCCTGGCGTCGTGCCAAATGCTTCATTCGGGAGAAAAATCACGTCGACTTCGAAGGACGAATTCGATGTTCATATGGCACATGTGAAGGCGTAGTTATCGACATTGTCGCATTGTCGCAAGGACCAAGGGCTATGATCGAGGGCCCCATCGCTGTGATGGCTGGAACTACGTAGTGGCCAGTTTACTGAGACTTGTGGTACGAAAAGCACTGCCATTAGTGATAAAGCTAAATATACGGCGTACCATTCAAAAGGCGTATGGGCATGCACCAAGGAGCACACTTACACTTCTTATGCTGCGTCCTCACCATGATGATCCTCAGCTTTGCTTGTGGAAGCATCACTCTCTCCCTCCTGCTTGGCCCTCTCCTCCTCGACTCCAAGGATTGACAGGAGAGTGTCGAGGTCGTTTATGACGTTATCCAGTTTAGATTCCATGCCCTGGGCCATCGTGTCTGCGCTTGCGAGCCGTTCGAGGAGCTCAGCCACGTCCTCGCCACCCAACAGTAAGGGGTACTCCTCAACCAGCTGTGATACATGAGAAATTTCTCGCTCAGCTTCATGGATCGCAGTCTCCGCTTCAGTAATGAGCTGTTTAGGAGAGTCGTCGGGCCCGCTTGGATGAGATTTGCCCTCGGACATGATGGACGGTTGGTTGGTTGGTTGGTTGGAAGAGACAAGTGTGAGCTGCCCGATTCGAATTCCGATCAGCCATGGTCTCTCTCCAACCACATCTTACCGCCCTTCTGAAATCCCTACCGCTGTCGCCGGTCGACCAGACTAAGCTCCACGAACTTGTCACTCGTACCATCTCCGAGGTCAAAGACAAGTCTACGCCAGACAACCGGAAGAGCCAGTGGGAATACCTGCTCAAAAATGACATCTTCCTGCTAGCGGCACGTCTCATTCTATCGTTGTTCTTCCACAATGCCGCTAACCTTTCTCTGAACTCTGCTATAGGCCACTGAGGGCACGGCTCTAAAGGATGATGAGAGCAAGTACTATGATGCATTACGCGACAAACTCGACCTCGCGCTGGCATTTACGGAACAAGGTTGGCGGCATCTGCACGTCAGATTAGCAGACGCTCATGAATCTCTGCCGCGCAGATGCATGTGAACAGACCTTTCCATTCACCGTTCTTCAGGACCTGCTCGAGACTCAAACCATAGCTTCGTGCTCTCACATCTTCTCGTGGATCGAGGCTCGTGCTGCTAGATTGACTGAAGGCATGGTACCACAGAAGGGAAAGGCTCTCATCCTCCTACGAACATTGAACGACCTTTTGCGGCGCCTCTCGAAGACAGGGACAACCACGATATTCTGCGGTCGGATTTTGACTTTTCTGAGTGGCGTGTTCCCCCTCGGAGAACGGAGCGGTGTCAACCTTCGTGGAGAGTACGGACCAACTTGGGAGGGTGTGCAGTTCTCGCCGAAGACAAAGAAGGAAAGTGATATGGAGATGAAAGTCGACGAACATCCTGCCTCAGTGTCGAAAGAAGAACTTTCTGGAGACGACAAGATGCAGGTGGACACGACGAAATCTCTTACGCCCCAGGAAAAGAAAGAAGGTAAGTCCCTTGTCCGTGAATAGAGATTGCAGCTGTTTACGTCTCCCTTGTAGACTTCTATAACACTTTTTGGTCCCTTCAACTATACTTCTCCAAGCCACCCATATTTGCCAATAAGGACTCTTTCACGGACTTCAAGGAGGCAGTAAACAAAGTCATGCCCATCGTCAAGGAGGCTACCGCGAAGGAACGGGCGATGATGGGCAGCAGAGGAGGGGCCAACGCTAATACCCTGAAGCGCAAACGAGAACCAGACGAGGAGACCAACTCCACCGAGTACTTCTTTGCTAAATTCCTAACCAGCCCCGACCTCCTTGATCTTGAGGTAAGATGTTAATCCCAAATCCCACCTTTATAAGTCGCTCGATATATACAGGTCGCCGATACACATTTCCGCCGCCAATTTCTTTTCCAACTGCTGATTCTTTTAAACCACCTATCAAACTTCACCAAAGCCGCAAAGGGCGCCTGGACCACAGCACGCAATCGCTCTCTGCAAATGGAATTCACTCTTGAAGATTCGGAGGCCCAATGGGTTCAGGAATCAACAACCAAAGTTGTAGAAGAACTTCGCCAAACCACTCCGAACGGTCGAATATTTGCAGACACTGTATGTGCGATATTGGAACGGGAGAAGAATTGGGTGAAATGGAAGAATGAGCTCTGTACACCATTCGATAAGGAGCCTTGGTCCGAGGAAGTAGATGGCCAGAAGGTTGGTCTGGTGGAGTCTACACGGCATATCCGAGAAAACTTGCGCCAACCGCCTCCAGAGTGGAAATGGGCTCTCGGCACTGAATCATTGACAGAAATCTGGGAAATGGGGTACAGCAGTCTGCGTGATTTACGGGACCCTATTCAGTAAGATCCTGCATATTATTTTCTACATGTTGGCTTGGCTCTTATTCCTAATTTTAGACCAGGCGATGTGAAGGATTTCGTCAAGAAAATCAAGCAAGAGGACGCCCGGATCAATATGAAGAAGCAGAAACTGGAGAGAATGGCGAGAGCTAGGACCGCCGCGAGCGCGAATGCGACTTCTAATCTCCCCGCGATTGTCGTCTCATCAGAGTCTGCCCCAACCAGCAAACCAGAGACACCTGGTCCTCGGCCAGAAGCCAGTACTAGCGGCCTGGCGGCACCGCGGCCCGTGCCAGCTGCAGGAAGCTCACCGCTACATCCATCTCTTCCACCAAAGCCTGGGACACCGTCAAAACCCGCATCTTCATCGCAAGAACCTCCCAAAAATGCCACGCCAACACCAAACATTGTACCTGCTGCCTCCCCAGCACCCGTGTCAACGTCGATTCCACCACATGCACCTGTGGATCCAGAGATAGCTAAATATGAGGAGGTATTTGCCATATCATTCTGTTGTTCGAGATTCTTCTACCCCGTTATCCAGAATAAGCAACGATGGGCATGGCTCGCCCTCCGCACGGCCCGCGACCAGTATTTGCAGCACTTCGGGAAGATCGGTACAGGAGATGTTGAGGCCTTGGCTCAGGAGATTGAGAAAGAAAAGGAGAAAAGGCTGAAAGGAGATGATGGAACTGGGGCTGCAATGACCGACGAACAGGGATCTGGAAGCCCCGCATCGACGCAAGTTGCAGAAGGGGGCGAGCCCTCGCAGAAGGACGGAGACGGGGACATAAAGATGGAAGCATAACTGGGATATGGATATAGATAGCCGCTCCTGTATACCCGTGATCGGTTGCTCTGACATAAAAGTGTAACCTGATCCGATCTCTCAAACATCAAATCAACGCTTGCTCTTGTTCCAACGCGTTCATCACCCATGGCCTCCCTCAAAGTATGTCGACGCGTCTTCCTCTCTGCATCATCCTGACCGCATCAGAACGTGCTCGTGACAGGCGGCGCAGGCTACGTCGGTGCGCCGATTTTCCTCATCGATTTGTTTCAATCCTCAACCGCGCTTTGTGTTCCAGGTTCGCATGTCATCTATGTCCTCCAGAAAACCCGGCGATACAAGGTCATTTCCATCGACAACAACCACAACTCGCTTTCAGCCGCTTTGGCACGTGTCTCGCAACTCTCCAAGAGTGAACTGCCAGCAGATGCCACCGAGATTGACTGGCTGAGCACAGAGATCGACTCACACACCTGCGATCTAACGAAGCCAGAACAGATTCGAGCAGTATTTGAGAAATATGGTAAGGGCGGTATCTGGGGCGTGATTCATATTGCAGTGCGTTCCAAATTTTATCTTCTTGGTGCCAATGTTCAAGCTGTCCCCACCAGGCCTACAAAGCCGTTGGCGAATCGACGGAAATCCCCCTAACATACTATGCCAACAACGTCAGCGCATCCATCTCCCTCCTTCAAATTATGGACGAGTTCGATTGCAATCGGATAGTCTACTCCTCTTCGGCGACAGTCTATGGAACACCGCCTATCATCCCCATACCCGAAACCACCAGGCTGCAGGCTGACAGCCCGTATGGAAAAACTAAGGTCATGACTGAAACGATTATTGAGGATATGTGTCGCGGTAAGCAAGATCCCATTTAGTTGATGCACGAGTTCGGGGACTAATTCTGTGCTAGCCGACAAAAAATGGTGCGCCTTATCACTGCGATATTTCAAGTGAGTCATTTCCCCTTTCGCTCCGTTCCTCAACGCTGACGATACTTAGCCCTGCTGGCGCACATCCCTCGGGGATGATTGGTGAAGAACCCCGTGGGCGACCCGGGAATTTGTTGCCGCTGCTGGCCCACATGGCCGTCGGACGCGTTAAAGATGCTGTTCTGAAGGTGTTCGGCAATGATTACCCTACGCCGTGCGTTTCACGCATTTTCATGCTAGCTACGCAGCTCATGACGAGACAGTGACGGCACTTGCGTGCGGGATTATCTCCACATCATGGACCTGGCGTCTGGCCATGTCCTCGCTCTCAACGCTCTGGGCCCTGACTCGGCGGTGTTCCCATCTGATGCTCCAGCCTTCTTCAAGGCGTACAATTTGGGCAAGGGAAAGGGTGTTAGTGTCCTTCAGATTGTGGAAGCGATGCGGAAAGCAACTGGCTTCGACTACAAGTATGAGATCATAGGCAGGAGGTCAGTGCTCTATGCTCGAAGCTTGGATCAACATTGATGCTTTGTCAGAGGTGGCGACGTTCCTGACCTGACCGCTGACCCGACTCTGGCGGAGAAAGAGTTGGGATTCACGGCGCCTGCAGATCTAGAGACGATGTGCCGCGATTTATGGAACTTCCAATCCAAACACCCTCTTGGTTACAGCGAGCAGTAGTGGACGCGCTTTTTTACGAGCCATAGTTGATGCGAAATACAAGAATGGACTACTTCTTTCCCTTAGATTTCATACTATTAGCAAGATATTAACCACAATTCTAGTTGTGTTATCATTCACCTTTCTTACTCTTCCGTTCATAGTGCCACCTTTTATTTTAGGTGTATTACCCATCTCTTAATTTTGCGAACTGGCTAGCTGAGTGTGTAAGGGTGTGCTAACACTTCGTTAGGGCAGCTGTTCCTGGTAAGTCGCCAATGCCTGATTCCCAACTTGCCTATTGCTTACCCTTCTTCACAGGACTCGACTGAACGAGAATGCCTCGCGTTAAAAAATTAAGTCATACATAGTTTCGACCGCGCCACCTGCAAATTCTCTTTTACTCACACTGATGTGCCTTGGGCTCGTCTTGCTACAAGACTCATGATGTACGTCCAAACATTATTTTCAAGGTTCATATGATGATTTGGAAAACGCCAGGTTTTACTTTAGGGATTATTGAGAAACCGACGTTTGATCTTCCAATGTCACTCCCCGTGCATGAACCCAATTTTCGTGGCATGTGCGAGGCGAAGGCTCCACCTGAACGCAAGGCGAAGGAATAGGACGATTTGGAGGAAATTTCCCATGTTGAAGCGGACCAATGGATGAAGGTACTTCCTCGTCCTCGCGAACTATTTTTACGTATGATTTTTTGGCTCTAAAGAGAAGCCAGAAGGCGAAGAAGTTTCAAAATTGAATCTATGAGAGACGTTATCACAAGAGGGTCTGATCTACCTGGCTTATTCTTACTATTTATACAGGCATGTGGTTGGATCAGCTGAAGAGCGAAGACACCCCTCGCTGTGATGGGTCTTGGTGTGCTAGGTAGGTGATCGACCCATGGGCGTTGTGCCCGTCCAGCTAATCTACCTCTTCTATCAATGACAGAGGACAAATACCCGGACAATGTTCCAGGAACCGCGTTGCTTTCGGAACTCGGAATCGTACGTGGGCAAGAGGCGAGCAATAAACCAACGATTTACCGCGGTGTTCCCTGTTGCTTATGCCTTAGGCAGATCGTGATAGGAGAAGCCGCGAACTTGAAACGGGGTAGTGGAAGATACAGTCATGTCGTACTCGTCCCACAACCATCGGATGACCCTAACGATCCGTTCGTTTCTGAACTCGCCCACCGTTCATCCTTTTCATCCGGAATTTCAGGTTAAATTGGCCGAGATGGAAGAAAGAGGCTTGCTTCTGGACTCTGTACGCGCATCAGTCAAGTTCGCCGTCAACTCTTGACGTCAATTCCAGCGTTTTTATGGCCTCTCTCGACGGCGCTCTCTCTCCAATGGTTGGCCCGGGTTATGTCCTTCTTGCAGAGCAATTTGGAGTTAGCGTCGATGTGGTGGCGTCTTCGTTTGGCACCATTTTACTCGGATTAGGCTCCTTTATGTGAGTCCATCTTGTGCTACCCGCCTCTTGCTAGCTCTCAATTCGCTCAGGATGTTCCAGAACGTTTTGGCGACGAAATTCGGGCACCGTATCGTGTATCTGATATCTGTGTTCCTGGTACGTCGTCTTTGGTGTGTTCGACATTCCTTTATTCGATACGTTCGGTCTAGATGTTCCTCTCCTGCGTCTGGTGTGCGCTCAGCCCGAATTTAGCATCTGTCAGAGCTTCTCGCCTGTTCCAAGGGTTGGGGATGTCTTCTCTTCAATCGTAAGTCCAGGCGTATTTGACAGGTGCTGAGAGCTCCATGGTCTTAATGTTCCTCAGTCTGGTGGCATCAACAATTGAACAGATTTACTTGTAAGAAGAATCCCTCAGTGCTGACAGCCCTCGGATGAACTATTTGTCAGCGTACACGAACGAGGAAGTCGGACTGTCATCTGGAGCTTTGCAATAATGTCTGGGATCACCCTGTAAGTATTGTATGGAAGTCCGTTGAAGGCCCGCTCTGACACGTTCAGGATAGTGGACCTCTGTTGTACAGTTATGTTGTCCAGAACCTATCGTGGCAGATGGGGTTTTGGCTGGTGACTATTCCATTCGGAATCTCTTTGGTCCTGACTTTTTTCTTCGTGCCTGAGGTAAGGAAAAGGATCTGCTTCATTCTGAGGCTCAACGAAATTGAATCTCATCTGGTAGACCTCATACATTAGGGAAGTGACGGTCAATCCCGCAGCTAATGAGACAGAGAAGCAAGCTATCGAAGATGTGGAGTCGTCCCAAGAAGCTCGTATACCCGCACGGAAGAGCTTCGTCTCTGGGCTCCAGCTTTACCATGGCACCTTCACCAAGACCAACGTCATCAAGATCTTCGTACGGCCCTTCCCTTTCTTGATCTCCCCAGTGGTACGCCAGATCAACCCTTTGGGTTTTCACTGTCTGAACACATTCTGTAGACATGGTTTTTATTCCTAGTTCTTGGAATGCAGACTGTGTGGTTGAGTACGGACTCTCGAAATCACCCGTTTCCTTCTGTCATTCACGTATTCCTCAGGTCTTATGCCCATTTGTTCCGCGACGATCTTCACGATTGAATACGACTTCGACGCCACAGAAATTGTGTGTATACGTAAAACGATGTGCTGTCAGAGCACGCACAAATACTTCCTTTTCATCCTGTAGGGCTTAACGAACTTGGGTGGCATTGTTGCTGTCGTGCTCGCGGTATGTACCGGTGGGCCTTTGACAGACTGGGGAACGGTATGGATGTCAAAACGCAACAAAGGAATATACGAGCCCGAATTCCGTATTATCTTCCTCACGACGATGCTGTTTGGAGTTTTTGGGTACGCAGGATGGGCAGGTAAAGGGGATTGTACCAATCTTTCCGACCCACCCTGATGTCGCATTTCCTATAGTTGGCACAACAAGGAATATGCCTTGGATTGGAGCGGTTCTGTGTCTTGCGTTAGTAACAACTTTCCGAATGTTTACTGCCCCGACGCCTAACATTTCATCCCTTTAGAATGCCAAACTATTGCATGGTCATATCCGGATCAGCTGCGATTACCTACCTCCTTGACACTCACGGTGACGATGCGCTTCATGTTCTGGCCATCGTCAACTTCGCCAAGAATATGGTCCTCTATGGGTTTACATTCTTCGCGAACGGATTCATCGAAAGCCGCGGTGTGAAGAATGCGCTCCTAATACTTGCCGGACTGCAGGCCGCCTGCTGGGCGTCAACAATCCCCATGTACATATTTGGCAAGCGCGTTAGGTCCTGGGTAGGTGTGCCAGGTCTCCTTCCGCTCCAAAGAGGCTCAAATTTCGTTAGGTTGCTCGCCATCCACGGCTCTTTATCATTGCTGGTGCCGAGAACAACTGACATTTAACTTCAGTGGAAATCCTAAAATCAGTTCCCTTTGTACACGCTGAGCAAAAACTATGTCAAGATATATTTTCGTTCCAGATATTGGAAAGTGTACAAAAATGATACCTGCTACTTGCTTTCGTAAATCGTACCCATTCCTTGATTTTACCAACTGTTTAGCCGACTACGTAAGGGGGTGCTGATACTAGGCTATCGTGAGCAATTGTCCCTCGTAAGCAGCCTATGAATGACTCTCCCTTTGCATATTCAAGTTATCTACCTTTCCTTATTCAACAGGACTCAATTGACTGTGAATACCTCGCATGAACATCGGTTCACATATCTTCGACCACACTACCTACAGGTTCTAATCTGTTCTCCTTGGTACCACGGACACCCTTGCGGAATCTCGGTATGCGTCTTGCTACGTAACGATTCATGATGCACGTCTACAATTTCCTCTTCAGAGCGCATGTGACGAATTCAAACATCCCAGGTTCTACCATCGGGATAATGAGAAACTGATGTTTGATCTTCCAATACTCCTTCCCCTCCATAGACTTGGCTCTCATGCCATGCGCGAGGCGACGTGTCTCCACATCAATATAAGGCTACCATAGACCTGGAGCGATTTGGACAATTTCTTTCCCATGTCGAGGCGAGCCATTGTATGAAGGCACTTCCTCGGCCACGCGAGCTGTCATTTTGGTGCCCTAAGGAGAAACCAGAAGACGAAGAAGCCACGGCGCCTCACCTGTGAGAGACTTTATCAAAGGAGGCTCTGAACTAGTTGGCCTGCCATTCAACTATTTATACAGGCTTGAGCTGAGGGACGAAAACATCCTTCGCCACGATGGGTCTCGGTGTTCTAGGTAGGTGATTGCCTATGGACGCTGCACACACCCAGCTAACCTCTTTTTTATCCAGAGGACAAATACCTGGAGAAGGTTCCAGGAACTGCTTTACTTTCGGAAATCGGAATCGTAAGCGGGGAAGAGGTAGGCAATAATTCAACCATCGTTTAGGGAATCTTGCTTTGCTCATATTTCATACAGGTCGTGATAGCAGAAGCCATCACCTTGAAACACGGAACTGGAAGATCCACGCGCGTGGTACTCGTCCCACAGCCATCAGATGATCCTAACGACCCGTTCGTTGCTGAGCCTCCCCGACGTTTATCGTTTTCATTCGGGTTTTCAGGTTGAATTGGCCGAGATGGAAGAAAGAGGCTTGCTTCTGGACTCTGTCAGTCCCTGAGTCAAGTCCTTTGCCTTCAACCCTTGACATGAATTTAGCGTATTGTTGGCCACTCTCGATGGTGCACTCGGTCCTATGGTTGGCCCCGGTTACGTCCTTCTCGCAGAACAGTTCGGCGTCAGCGTCGATGAGGTGGCTTCCTCTTTTGGCACCATGTTGCTTGGACTGGGCTCCTTTATGTGCGCCCGCCTTTTTTGCGAACACCGTATTTCCTAACCATTTCTTTCAGGCTATTCCAGAACGTATTCGCCACCAAATTTGGGCACCGTATCGTTTTTCTGACGTCTGTATTTCTGGTACGCCCCTTTTTTTTCCGTTTGACTTTATTTATTTAATGTGTTCGTACTAGATGTTTATGTCATGCATCTGGTGTGCGCTTAGTCCGAACCTGGCATCTATCAACGCTTCCCGCCTGTTCCAAGGGTTCGGGATGGCCTCTGTCCAAAGGTGCGTTCAAGCTTATTTGCCTGCTCCTGAGGCTCACAGATGCCATCTCCTTCAGTCTGGTAGCGTCGACTATCGAGCATATTTTTTTGTAAGTTAGAACCCCCGATGCTCACGTCCTCTCTTTGATCTGCCTTTTTGCAGCGTACATGAGCGGGGAAGCAGGGCCACCATCTGGAGTTTCGCAATTATGGCTGGGATCACCCTGTAAGTGTTGCCTAGAAATTTATAGAGGCATTTCTTGACGGCTTGTTCTAGTGGACCTCTGTTGTACAGTTATGTTGTCCAGAACCTATCGTGGCAAATGGGGTTCTGGCTGGTGACGATTCCATTCGGCATATCTTTTCTCCTGACGTTTTTCTTCGTACATGAGGTAGGCGGACGTATCAAATTTGTTTCCAAGGACTCAGCAAGATTGACTCTCATCCAGACATTGTACATCAGGGAAGTAAAGGGCCATACCCCAGTGAACAAATCAGAGAAACCTGTCATCGAAGAAGTGGAGTCGTCACGAGGGCCTCGGATACCCGCAAGGAAGAGCTTTGTCTCTGGGCTCAAGCCGTACCATGGCACCTTCACCAAGACTAATGTCATCAGGATCTTCTTACGGCCCTTCCCTTTCTTGATCTCGCCTGTGGTATGTGAAATCTTGCTTTGTCCGATATCACTCCATGGTCATGTTTTCAACAGACATGGTTTTTAATCCTGGTTCTAGCCATGCAGGCTGTATGGTTAAGTAGGAATTCTCGAAACAGCCCCGTTCTTCCCTTCATTTACGTCTCTTTCAGGTCTCATGCCTATTTGTTCCGCAACGATCTTTACAATTGAATACAACTTCAACGCTACGCAAATTGTACGCATACCTAAAGCCAAGTGTTTCTAGAACGCGCACCAATGCCTACTTCTCGTCTTTTAGGGCTTAACCAACTTGAGCGGTTTTGTCGCCATCGTGCTTGCAGTATGCACTGGAGGGCCCTTGACGGACTGGGGATCGGTATGGATGTCAAAACGCAACAAAGGAATATATGAACCCGAATTCCGTATCATCTTTTTCACGACGATGCTGCTCGGAGTTTTTGGGTACGCAGGATGGGCAGGTCAGGGCAACCCTATCGACACTCTAGACTCCCTCTAATATTTTGCTTTTGATAGTTGGTACGACCAGGAATATGCCCTGGATTGGGGCGGTCTTATGCCTTGCGTTAGTCAAAAGGTTCCATTTACTCGTTACCTCTAAGCCTAATGTCTTCATCCCGGTAGACTGCCAAATTATTGCATGGTCATATCTGGATCTGCTTCGATTTCCTACCTGCTCGACACTCACGGAAACGATGCGATTCATGTTCTGGCCCTCGTCAACTTCGCTAAGAACATGGTCCTCTATGGATTTACATTCTTCGCAAACGGTTTTATTGAAAGCCGCGGCGTGAAGGATTCACTCTTGATACTTTCCGGACTACAGGCCGCCTGTTGGGTGTCGACAATCCCAATGTACATATTTGGCAAACGCGTTAGGTCCTGGGTAAGTCTCCGAGGCCACCTTCCGCTCTAAGGGGCTTAAAATCCGTTAGATCGCTCGCAATCCGCGCGTTTTTACTATTGCGGATTCCAAGGACAATTGACGGTCAAGTTAAGAAGTATCGATTTCCTTTGTACGCCTATGGTGCAACTTCAGGTCCGTTCCAGATATCGAAGGGTATACAAAAATGATAACTATTGCTCGCTTGCGTGAATCGCTTCCTCGCCTCCAAAAGCTCCTTCTTGTAGCTGTCTGCCTCTGACTCGTCCATGAGACCTTCTACATTGTTTAAAATCTTCTCTATCACTTCGTTTGGCAACCGTTTATCCAGGTTGTCGTCCAGCGCTTTATGAATCCAATCTTTCTGCTGAGGAGCAACGACCGAGGTTGACACAATCGGCCTGATTTCTGGATCGACCAGGAAGAATCGAATAACCGTTATGTGACCTTGTTTAGAAGGATCCCTCAACTCGAATGACGTTTGTCGATGCTGATAGATATTCGGGAAAACGAGGCTCAAGCCTGGTCGCACAGGCACCTCTCCGATATATTGATGGCACGAGTCGCCGTCTTCAATGCCCCACGTTCGCAAAGTAGCTCCAGCATCTCCCGCTGAAAAGCCCTTAGGGTATGTCACGGCCATGCGGAACTGGATCGAAGTGTTTGTAATGTTGTCCTATGGATAGATCAGTACAAGCTCGCTGACTCCGAGATAGAAGCCTATGTACCGTCGATAAGCAATGGAAGCCACATGCAACGATTCGCTCACTCCGCATTCCTTCCACATGCCAAGGAAAGACTGAGAATCGTGGTTCATCAGGAGTCTGAGAAGACATTATTCCGAGAGGCCCAGTATTGAAAAGGAAGGCTTACTAGGGTTATATTGACTATGCTTACGATAACTTGGACAACTCTGTTTCTCAGCGTGACTGTATGTCTTCGGTTCTCGAGGCCGCCAGGATAACCTGTTGATGGAACATCGGGAAGGTTGATTGGTCGATTGAGGGCCCACTGTCGCATCTCTCGTTCGTAGTTGACCCAGCCTTCGTCGTCGTCTGAGTGGTCTGGGGGCTCGGGTTCCTCCCAGACTGTGTATCGACAACTGCCTGGAATCCGTTGCACGAGAGGGTTATTTCGGTGCAGATCTGTTAGAGTGTGCTCGAAAAGCGGCATGAAGCCTGCCAAGAGCTTCTGGAGGAGAACATAAGTTCCAGAGTGTCGAGTTGGGTCAAGATTATTGATGTAGGATAGAAATTTGACAGAAGAGCAGTCGGCCGAAACAAAGACGTCGGAAGGGAGCAGAGCAAATGTGGGAGAAACTGTATAGATGTCGGTGGAAGGCGGAGGAGGGATGGGTCGGTAACTCCTTCCATTGAGGTGGGAAACAAGTGTTTGATTGTACACCAGAGGATAACGTTGGTGGTCTATGATATCTATAGTCATGTTATCCTCGTTCCGTTGCAACAGGGCTTTGATTTTGTCCAACGATTGTTGCAAGGCCAACCTTGTCTCTTCGTCCAACAGAGATTCAGATTCCCAAACGCGTTCGAAGCAGGAGACCTGACTAGAAAGCAATATTATACAGTGTATATTACATGTAAATAAGAAATGGCAGAATTCTTACCATCGATGTTTCTCGTCTCGAAGCGCCGCATAACCTTCAAGCTCATCCAGGATGTAGTCAATCTTGTACTAGTTCAGCGGATAAAGATGAATGGCGAGCAGAATAGCTTACTTGTCTGGCAGAAAGCTTGACTTCCGCATGAGAAGATGGAGTCTTCACCCTCCATGTCCGGTCCACGGCCGAGCCGAACCACGCATTCCTGATACCAGAGTCCAGACGGCCTTTCCACCACCCCGGGGAGCGTCGGATTTCAACCGAAAATTGCAACATGGCCAGCTCAGTAATCTGGAGTAAGTCCCGGCTTCATAAGTCGCGCCGTATGTATTGGTTTGCATCGCGAGCTCACAGTTCTTGGGGCGTCTTCGGTGAGTGATCGGGTCAGAGATTGAGGAGTGCAGAAGTGGCAATGTTCTTTACCTCCGACTCCTCCAAGATAATGAATACCGAATAAAAAAGGGTGTCTGTAGCCTCTGTAGTGATCTGCCGGCGTTGCATTTGGCATATTGGCAAGGTGAAAGCAGTTTGGCTTTCGACAAGCCCGGGTTATGATGCGATCAGCTGACGTAATCCGGGGCCCCTCAGAGTACGACGGGTCTCTCTTACTACTTGATCACCGCCATCATCTTTGTATCAGCCATATTATGGTCCGCATACTTGTGCTATTTTATGGGAATTCACCTCTTATTTATCTTTATGCAGTCTGTATGGGAAGTTCGCCTGTCCACCTCCAAGGGTTTACCCTACTACTTCAACACACAGACCAAGCAATCGACGTGGGACAAGCCTTCTGAATTAACCGACGAACAAGTCAAACAACTTCCTGGTGCCAAGGAATATTTGAGTGGAGGGAGAAAGCCAGCTGGCGCTCATGCCGGACAGGTCAGAGCTAGCCATTTGTTGGTGAAGCATAAGGATAGCCGGCGCCCGTCGAGTTGGAAGGAGGTATTGTGCAGCATCTTCTTCAATTCAACATCTTGTTCTAATCCACAATCCCAGAGCAACATAACTCGCACCAAGGAGGAAGCCATTGAGATCTTGAAGGGATACGAAGCGGAAATTAATGGCTCTCCGGAAAAGTTCGCCGAACTCGCCACGAAACATTCCGATTGCTCTTCTCATTCGAATGGTGGTGACCTTGGCTGGTTTGGGCACGGCCAGATGCAAAAGGCTTTCGAGGATGCGACTTATGCTTTGGAGGTCGACAAAATCAGCCCGGTGATCTCGTCTGACAGCGGTGTTCACCTTATTTTGCGAACTGGGTAAACGGGTCCAGTAAAGGAGAAAGAAACAATTGTATAAATCAAGGAACTTCTACAGAATATACTATTATTGCTAATGAGCTGGGTTTGGGAGGAGAACAGTCGCCTCCTCTACTTATAGGTCAATACCAGATAAGCTTGGCGGTATGATTGCCCTGAGTCATGATGCTGTCATAGCAAGATCAGGAACAACTTCCCTTTCGCCGCCAAACAGTATAGCGAACATGTCACCTAGATGGGTTATTCCCTCTCCTTGAACTAACGGCGTCAACGCCATATTTTCCTTCGTGCTCATCGCAATTTCGCCGAGTTCAGTGGGTTTAAACAAGCTTTACAGCCTGAGGTTCGCTAAATTGTGGTATCTCACCAACTCCAAAGGATCTCCCCAGAAGCTGAGCGTCTTCTTCCAGCGCAACCTCGTCAAAATCTATTCCTTCCTGTCAAGATACGCCCAGTCCTAAACCTTTCATTCGCCAAGCCTCATGTTGTCGACGCTATCTTCGGTTCTTCCCAAGCTCCCAGTTGCAATCCCACAGGACGTAATCCTGCTCTCTCCCTATGGATGGACTCTTTTTGCGCTCATCTTTGCTCTTGTCCTTGCTGGTTACGCCCTCCCAGGGGAAAAGCAATCGTCAAGTGATTCGCGAAAGAAAGTCGTTGAAGCATCATCAACCATGCTAGTTGCGTCTTGGCAGGTCTCGACCAACACGCCCCCTTCACCTGGACATGTGAGCGTATCGAAGATTCTCGTCCATCCAATCAAGGTACGTATACTTGAATACGTCGTTCTACTAACATGTGCTCACTTTATTCTGCGTCTTTGCTTCCTGGCTTCCAAAACTCAAATTTGCGATATGGTGGAACTCATAACAACAGAGTTGCCGAGGCATTTCTGTTCAGACTGCTCGTTTCACTCCTGAAGGATTAGAGGCAAGTGTGTAATGCCTAAGAATGAATTCTATCAATTAACTGTTTCGTCAGAACGATAGGCTTTGGTGCATTATCGACGCTGTCAAGGTCAACGTGGTGACGGCCAGAGAGATCGGAAAGGCATGTCTCAGCGACTCAAGGGACAGTTATCTACTGAGTGCTAACGCGTTAACCAGATGGTCCTTATCACTCCTTCTATCGAAACGGATGGTACGCTCAAGATCGCTTTCCCGAAAGAATCGGGCTGTGAAGAACTCTCGATACCTTTAAGACCAACCGAAGATACGCTGAAGACATGGGATATGTGGGTTCGCCTTCCGATAATCTATTTTTATGTCAATGATACCTCTTCTAATAGTCTACCCAACATCATCATGTGGCCCACGCATCCTGCGATGGACGGTTATATTTGCGAATCAATTATCGGGCCAAAAGGCACTGCTTCAGTAGTGTTGTCCAAGTTTATTGGACGCCCGGTACATCTGGCTTTCAAAGGTCCTCAACCTCGCCGCATAGATCCAACCACAGCTGTTCCAGATCTCGTCGCAACCGCAAAATATCAAGATATGTATCCACTACTCGTTTTATCCGAAGAAAGCACAGGTGCTATCGAGAAGGAGCTCCGTGGACATGTCGGTACTCAAGGCATAGAAGAAAGATGGAAGACCGATCGTATAGTCATAGAAAGGTTCGTACCCCTTTCACCTATGTCATTCAAGCCGTTGAAGGGTTTCCGCCGCCTCTCATGAGCGTTACCTGCTTGATTCTCCCTATACTGCAGCGGAGGGGGTCACCCGAACTCATCCGTTTTCAATTCCAATTTCGTTAGATTCCGGCCAAATATTATCTTCAGAGGCGGCGGGCCTTTTGCTGAGGACAACTGGCGGGAAATACAAATCGGCACCGAAGGCGCTCCGCGTATAACCCTCGTGTCCAAGTGCACGAGATGTCTTGTAGGTCTTGGTTGCTTGTTCACCCCCGAAAAATGAACTGATCATAAGTTGAATTACAGTTGCCTAATGTTAGCCCAGAGACAGGAGAGCGAGACAAAGCCGTCCCGTACAAGGTACTGATGAAGTTCAGAATGGGGCTCGAATCGAAGCATAGAATGAAGGCTTGTGTAGGATGCAACGGGGTGCCCTCCGGGGATGGAATAGTGAGGGTTGGGGATCCGGTCTACATCAGGAAGATGGCTTAGAGTGCTAAGACGTTATGGACTTTCTGCCATCGATGCGTCCGAGCTGGCCGCTTTTTACTTGATGTCGGATCCTCATTCAACTATACGTGCGGAGTTACGATTTGTTGGAGATAATGAAGGAACGTCCACCAGGTTCCGCCGCTGCAAAGTCAGTAACGTGGGCTTGAGGTGACTGAACGGGGAAATGGCGGATGAGTTGTGATCCATGTACCGGACCGTAAGCATGGTGAGCGCTCTCGATTTGGACGTTGTGGTGTTCAGGCACAAGAATAACTTTGCGTGCAACCTGAGATATAAAAACTGGCCCTCCTGATAAGCTTGATGCACGGTCCTTTCAATAGACGGCAATTATCGCTAGAACTGACGACGGATTGGACAGGCGGCAGAGTTTGAGCACCTGTGAGCAGAGATATGTATTGGTCACGTGTGGGTATTGATTGGCCGGGTTGATGGGGGTTGGCTCGACCACACTTGCCATCCTCCTCATCCTTGTCTCGCCTGTCCCCACCCTGCCCTGCCGCAACGGCCTTTGGCCATCTGCTATATTATGGCAAGGTCGAAATGGATATCATTTAAGGCTCAGGAGCAACTTGAACGCGCAGCGAAGGCTGCGGCCACCACTGCGCCTCCGGCACTTCCACAATCATCAGCGGATGCGAAGAAGTTCGGGCTCGAGAATGTGCGCTTCGACTCTTACTTATGTTAATACCGTTTGCCTAATGATAAGTTATATTATGTATGCCATAGTTCGGTAACATCTGGTAGGCACCATTGCGACCGCTTTCCAACGCGTTTAACAAACCAATCACAGTTACGCCAACTCGGTCCTCCAAGCCTTATACTTCTGCACCCCATTCCGAGATCTGCTCCTGCAAGATGTGGATTCTGCGTCCCAGCTTCCTGCACAAGAAAGCTCTCCGGTTATTCCCCCGACTCTGAGTAAGCCAGCGCCGCCCCTCGTACCCGTGAGACGGAAACCAGAACGCAAGCCCTCGACATCTGCAGTCGCTCCCTCCCAGAATGCAGGCCATCCTATACCTGCATCACCTCCCACACTCTACTCCGCCCTCCAGTCTTTGTTTCTGCACATCTCGACAAATCCTGGTGACAAAGGAACAGTATCACCGCGCGTCTTCATTGAGAAGTTGAAGGAATTGAACGAGCATTTTCGCCCGACGACGCATCAGGATGCGCACGAATTCTTGAACTACCTGCTAAACCAGGTGGTAGAGGAGATAGAGACTGAGAGGAGGCAGACGCAGAATGGGGTCAATGGGGAAGATCGTGAGTTCGTTGATCCTTAACCTTGTTCACCTCTGAGCGCTGTACAGTGTCAAGCTCTATAGCCACTCTGGGGTCAAAAACACCACCGACAGTTCTGACTGCGACGACGAGTTCAAACTCAGGCACTCATCCGCAGGATGCCACGCTTGTGCACAAGCTATTTGAAGGGGTGTTGACTAGCGAGACACGCTGTTTAACCTGCGAGACTGTAAGTTCTACTTTCTTCTTCTTCCTGCACTTCTTAAGTCTCTGTAGGTATCTTCTCGAGACGAATCCTTCCTGGACCTTTCCATTGACATTGAACAAAACTCGAGTGTAACTGCTTGCCTCCGACAATTCAGTGCGAGCGAAATGCTCTGTCAGAAGAACAAATTCTTCTGTGATTCATGTTATGACTTGCAGGAAGCGGAGAAAAGGTGAGGTTTAGATCATTTATTGACTTTTTTGTTTCTCATGAGTACTTAATTTCTTATACATATCCTGACAGAATGAAAATCAAGAAGTTGCCCAATGTGTTGGCTCTCCATCTGAAGCGGTTCAAGATCCAAGAAGAAGATGGAAGATACATCAAGCTTGCTTATCGAGTTGCTTTCCCTTTCGAACTTCGACTATTTAATACTGTAGACGACCTGGACGACGCGGATCGCCTGTATAATCTGTTCGCTATTGTAGTTCATATCGGAAAGTGCGTAACGACGTTCTGCTTCTGCGATCCTCACTCACGTTATCGTAGCGGGCCTCATCATGGACATTATATCTCTATAATCAAAACCGCCGGAACCTGGCTTGTATTCGACGACGACAACGTATATCCCATACCGGAAGGCGACATACCCAAATATTTTGGCGACCCCAACTCTGGCCAACGGGATGTAAATGGCTCTGCATATGTACTGTACTATCAAGCTGTAGACATTGATCATGCCGCCCTTGGACTTCGCTTACCTCCTCCACCACAAGCAACACCAGAAGCTTTGACAAATTCGATACCTCCTCTTCAACGATCCCCCGCACTCTCTCATCAAGTTCCCAATCTACCTCCAGGCCTCAATATACTTCCCCCCTCCAATGGCGATGCTGACCACTCCGTTCTTCCCCCACCACAATTGCCACCCTCTAATCCATCTTCAATCTCCTCTCCCTCCATATCACCACCTCCACCACCAGAAGTCTCCTCTCCGCTCCCTCCAGTACCTCCTCCCACTTCCACAACACCTGTAACTCCTAGTTTTGGGAGACAGATATTCAATACTATTCGACGAGCACCTTCAATGACAGCGTCAAGGAGTGTGTCGGGTAGTGGGAGCGATCATCGAAAATCTGCGACGGAAAAGTCACCACGACCTTCAACGTCGACGCCTTCTTTCGTTGCCACGATCGAGAGCAACGAGGAAATTCCTCCGCTACCTCCTATGCCACTCTTGCCACTACAGACAAACCTTCCACACCAGCCCCAGCAACATTCGCCAGTGGTCACGACTCCAATAGCTGTTCCCCAGGTCAACGAACCAGCGAAGGAGGAGAAAGAGAAGACCAAATCATCGGGTAACTGGTTTACCAAGAAGCGGAAGAGTCTGAAAATAGGGGACAAGTCCCGACCAGACAGTCCTGCGGCGGAACTGCCTCCGTCGCCCTTCTTGCATGGAGACGAATTCCAGCAGTCCAGCTCCAAGTCATCGACATCGTCGAATGTCCATGCACTGAAACCACTGCGACGGCCGTCGGAAAATGGGGCTGCAGAGGTCATTGGCCTACATCCAGATTCAAGATGGATGAATTCATCCTCGCCTTCTGGAAAGGAGCGTAATCGTCGATCGAATGGGTTTGACGGTACACACTCTCAGGGCTCGCGCTCCTCATCACCCAGCTCGACGTCCTTGTCGACGCATGCGCAAGGCCTGTCTACAAGACCAGCAGCCCAACCGTCCACCTCGCTGTCATCCAATGGTTCTGGCCCAAAGCTGGAATTCCCGCCACCACGCAAGGCATCGCTAGTGCCATCGTCTGCTGACTGGAAGCGCACCAGTGTCGACCGCAAGAGAAGCTTGGACCTCAAGGCGAGGTCGACGATGCCAGCTGGAGTCACACCTCCATTGGCCTCGTTCAACAAAGACGCGGACCTACCGCCGTTACCTCCTACGCATAAACACTCGCAAAGACCAAGCATAAGCAATGGGCATTTCTTCGTGAGCGAGCCGGAAAGTATATTGAAGGGGAAGTCACGGTCAACGGAAAACGATACTCCCTCCCCTCTTCAAGCGTCTCCGCTCAGACAAGCGTCTTCTCCACCAGTTTCGCTAGCAGCATCAATAGGCGCGAATACCAGCTCGGGAAGTGCCACATCAGGAAGCTCCAACCTCAAACGGGCTACGCGCAAACTGAGCCTAACGGCGCCTATCCTAGGCTTTGGCAAAAACAAGGACCGGGAGAAGGAAAGGGCACGGGAGCGAGAAAAAGACAGGGTTTCGCCAAGCGCATTCAATCACAGGTTCTAACTTCCTATGGCCCACTACTATTGTACGTACAACGAACGGATAGACAGTACTTAAACAATCAATATTAATCAATCCTAAATGCGCATCGGAGCTGTTGCTGTCGAAAGAAATTTAAGTAATTCGACCTCTATGGAAGGAGGGTGTAACAAGATTCTTATTCTTTAAACGATTACATGCTAGGTACAGCTGGCAAAATATAAGAAGTCCAAGGAGTGCGAGGGATGCTAGCATGTTAGCGATAGCGATACAACGAAGGTGACGGTCAGATAGTAATACAAAGGTCTCTAGATCCAAGTCCATGCACCAGTACTCACTGACCCAACAAATATGCTGCGATTTCAGGTTTCGGGTCAATTAAACTCGTCCTCCACTGGTATGCGAGTCGATGATGGGGCTCCAGGACGGGCGCAAGGTCATAAACGTAGATGCGCTGGTTGCCATCAGAAGCGAGGCAGATCCTGCCGCTGTTCTCATCCCAAGTGATCGCTGCAAGGCCTCCATCTTTGTTGACATCGTCGACGAGGTTTCCACACCGCTCGATATATCTGAACGCGAAATCGCAATCTCTGTCGTCCTTTTCGACCGCCATGACCGGCTCGATGATGTCGTCCGTCGGGTACAACGTCCCAAAGCGTTTTTCAGGGAAAAGGAACCTGCGGAACCCGACGATAGGAGGCGCGTCTGTGCCATCTTTGTCGTATTCGTAAAATAGCGTCCTCTCCGCCCCGGGTAAGGCGCGCTCGAAGTAGTTTCGGTTGGAGTGGTGGTACGGTCGCAGAGAGATGGATTTGTAGATGAACTTGTCGTTTGGTCCATTCCGCCATTCGACTTCTGGCTCAGGCCTGAAGTACCAGTAGGTTGCACCTTTGGGGTTTTCAGAAGGTGCAAATACCCAAATCGTTGGAGGGCAATATTCTCTCCGGAGGATGTCTGGGTGGTCGGGGCCAGTCTTCCTCGCAAAGTTGGCGGGATCGGAGATCGTGAATTCTGTGTTGAGGCCCCATTTGTCTTCGCACTCCCATGCATATTTCGGTCGTACTCGATGATATCCTGGCTGCCCAGGTACACTGTAGATCTCGAAAGCGTGAGTTTCGGGCGTCCCTGGGATCGTTGAGATGGAGCGGATGACGAGGATATCGTTTTGGGAAGGGAGGAATCGTAAAGCGCGAATGCGGTGAGGCTACAGAAAGAGCATCAGTGTCTGTATGAACTAGAGCAGAGTTTAAGACATACCCGGCCTTCAAACCCAGGAACGTCCTCGAAGCAAAAAGTCACCTTCCTTCCTGTGTTGAGCTCGACCAAAGCGACAGACTGGTTCCGGACTGCAAAGCCCATGTGCGGTTGATTGTCGACCGAGAAAAGGGATGCTGAATGAATTTCTGCTGGCAATTCATGTCTGAATACATCGCGGAACGGTGCTTCAAGCGTATAGGCTGCTGCGAGGTAGTTTTCCTTGGCTCCGTGAGGATTCAGGTCTGGTCGGATCAACTCTTCGACCGCGTCCAGACGCATGTGTATACAGCAGGCATCGTATATCAGAGGATGGTGGGTATCAATTGGAGTCGTGTGTCCGTAATCAGATACGTCGATGCTAAAGAGGACGTTAGTTCACGTTGCGTCGCGGTTGAAAATACGCACTAGGGTGGGGCCCCGTTTTCGAATCGTCTACGAACATACGAAATCATCATGCCGGGAACTCCTTTGTAGTCCATGTATTGTGCTTGGATGTCGTAAACCTTGAAGAAAGTAGGTAAGCGGGCGAGTAGTCGTGAACCGTACATCACGTCCAGCGCATAGACGAGAATGTAAAATCGATAATTGCATTTGTCCTTTGCGGACGCGACGAGAAATTTGCCCCCAGGTACCAACTTGAGGTCGATGATCTTGTATTGGGAGGCCAAAATTCTGCGTCCCTTTATTCGAGGAATTCCGCGTCGCCAGGAACGTTCGACTGCACAGGCTCGGGTGACGAGAAATTCAATTTCATGATTCGATATTCGCTCGGTGAATTTGAAGGTTGGTCGTAACTGCGCGAGGGGAACGCGCAGCCGTCTCATGTAGCGTTTCCAAATAATAGGCTCATGGGTGAGCAAATAAAATACTTTACACGTCTGAGGAGCCATTAGCGCGCCGCAAACAGTGCATTCTCGCTCGCTCACCTTGCGAAGACTGAGTAGCTCATCAATTAGGAGGTACGGGAAAATATCGTCGACGAAAGTATCAGCTGATAGCTTGAAGATGGGCTTGCCCTTCTTCTGTCGGAAATACAGATTGAAAGCGGCGCGTATTACTGTGTTGGTGACATCCAAGGCCCAAGACATGGTGGTGAAGAACAGAGGGTGACCAGCACAAGAAGGGAAAGAAAAGAAAGCGGCGCAAGTCCGTCGGCGAAGGTTGACCTTTATATTACTGAGCCTCATGAACAGGAGGCGAGCAGTTCCTCAAATACAAGGCGGGGCGTCCGTTTTTAGGCATGATTGTTCTTGCAGAGGGTGAACGTGGAAGGAAGATACGCAACGGATGTTGACCACGGACTGCGTGGGATGTGGTGATCAGGAAAAAGCAGAAGATGGTGCTCGAACAAAAGAAAGCTCCAAAAAGTGACGACAGTGAGATTCGAACTCACGCCCCGAAAGACCAGATTAACCCTGTTGGTTCAACATGAGCATCTAAATGCCCTGGTCCTTAGTCTGGCGCCTTAGACCGCTCGGCCATGTCGCCTTGTCAAAGGAAAAATGTAAAGAAATAGGTATGAGTTTTCGAAATTTGGTAGTTCAAAGTACAACACCGGAAGGTAACGACAGACTACAATTTCACGTTCTGTAGCTCCTCTGAAACGCCTTCCCCTACGAAAGTCTTGTAATCCATACGAATTCCGCGAATGGGAAGCGAATTCCAGTCATGACGAGCGGATGGCTGGATGTCATGTTCAAAGTGTGTTTCAGGAACACCCTGGGTCATCAAACATTCGTCCTGCGGGAACCATCCCGTCATGTCCTTCAATAGAGACTGAAGGTCCTGTAGGAAGCTCAGCAAACGTGACGCGGGAAGGAAACGTCACTTACAGGGTTACAAGTTGAAATTGTCTCTGCCTTCAAGGGGGATTCTTCTTTCCCTTCATGGAGGTGCTTCACGGCAGCATCGTGTGCCTTCTTTAAGGGAAAATACTTCGCTTTTTCTTTGTAGTTCTTCGCCATGTGATTGAGGACTTTCCGAGCAGTATTTGCAGCGATCATTCCGCTGGCAAATTATCTGCCTTTACCTGCCTGAGAAAGCTGACACATCATGTCTTTCGACGATTTTCGCAGCCTTCCCCTTTGTTACCACTAACTATTCAAAAATTGTATTTGGGTTGTAAGGACTAATTGATTCCATGTATTAAATTTGTGAGGGATGGTGCCCCATGAGGGACAGAATGTGAGAGGAGCAGTTAACGAGCCCCTAAAACTACCTGACATTGCACAGCCACTAGCCTTTCTTTTCTTCGTCGCGGAGACACTGAGCGGGTCGCTGCGACTGCAACACAATCCCTAACTCCCCAATTTTGCTTTGTAAAAATTAATAGTAGCACTAGAATAATCACTACACAACAATGTAATTTTTCCTTACATTAGTGCCGGCAGTGCGGCCATTACATTGTCATTGCGACGCATGCTCGGTTCACCCATCTCGAAGCGCACTCTGCGCGCGAGAGAAAATTAGTCACAACTTGGAATGTTGGGGTCATGTCTTTGGCATCATTTGAAACAGTGTGAAAGTATTTTCACACCACTCACAGTCTCCTGTCATTTTACTTCTTTTTCCCTGGTGAAATACCCAGCACTATAATCGGAAAACCGTCAGAGTTGTTATGGTGTCATTAGAATTCAATACACACCTTTCTCACACTTTTGAATATGAATTTAGGGCCGGAAACTGGGACTTGGTATAAAGCGATCGCTGCTGCGGGCTGTAGAAAGAATCTAGTCATTCGTATCAACTTGACAATCAATACACACCTTTGAATATGAATTTAGGGCCGAGAACTAATCGCTGCCGCGAGGTTAGTAACGACCGTGCAGGAGACGACACGATACGTACTGTTTCATAGATTACTACAATTGCCCTACAGCTTTAGGACTGGAAATTGGGACTTGGTACAAACTCATCGCTGCTGCGGGCCTGCAACATGAACATGCTGGCGAATGGTTGGCCAAAGGTAATGAAGATGGCAGTATGACGATGACGAGAGCAGAGAACAGCGACTGTTGGATTATGCGGGGATTCAGCTACAAGATTGAATTGGCAGAAAATGAAACTATCATGCTTCAAAATCCGACAACAACGACGTAGCCAAGGGAGTTGCTGAGAGACGAATAGGCGCAAATCGTTGATGAGGCCGGAGAGGGAGGAAACGACAGATTCCGCGAGAATAACCACGACAGCGGGACAACGACGCTGAGGACGGCATTCAAGGGGAGGGGTCCTGGGCAAAGAGCAAGGGTGGTGGAGGTCGCTGTCCACGACGACAGGGTGAAGGTTCAACTCGGTGGGGAGAAGAGGGGTGGGTGAGGAACAGATAGTGGATGACGTTGCGGGCGGCGATGGCAATGAGTTCACACTGGCAGAGCCTCTACCGGATCGTAGTGCCCAACGCATTCTTGGGCGCCTATTGGTGACAGCGTTTGACTTCGACGAGGTCTCGGCTTTCTGTTCGATTCTCATGGGTGACTATGTACGATATGATTTACATTGGACTCTTGTACATTGTACCTACGCAAAAAAGCTATTAGCATATTTTACTAAATAAACGAGCAACGTATGTCAAACGGTCTACTCTAAAAATACAAACCCGATACATGTAATTTATTTTTCATTCATTAGTCCGAAGCCCTTTCGACACTCGCCCGTATCATTTCGATCCTCACCCCGTTGTCCCTCAGGCGATCCACCCTAACCGCCTGGTCGCGTGCAATCCGCGCACCGACGTACTCCACCATGACGAACTTCAAGCATGACGGCCGAATCGTGCTCGGGCTCTCCCAACCATCGCTGTCACACTCCGTCGAGTCCGCCTCCTTCCACCTAAGCTCGAGCATCTTAATCATACTTTCGAGGTCATCGATCCGGCACACGAGGAACTCAAGCTTTGGGAGGAGCTCTCCCGCCGCCATCTGCGGGAGCGCCGTGCGTGGTAGAAGATTGTCGACTCCAATGTGGAGGGCTTTGAGCGAGGGCAGGGCATTAATCAGGTCCGACACCGCTGCGGCCTCGAGGTCGGCGTCAGCGATCTTGAGTCCCTCGAGCTCACAGCACGAGCGCGTGAGGAAGGTCACAAGGGCTTGGTGCGGAAACGTCCTCAGCCTCCATTGCGCGAAGGAGATGCTAAGCTCTTTCAGGTTGGGTAAATAGAGGGGTTCGAAGAAGGCTTCGACGTCCCGTTGGAGGTTGGTTTGGATTGCGGAGGGTTGTGACTCGTAGTCGAACTCGATGTGGAGGGTGCTGAGGAGGGGTAGTTCGATGCGTTTAGAGGGTGATTCCAGAGAGTTGGTGCGTGAAAGTCCACATATATCTAAGTGGCAGTCAACGAGCCTGCGGCATCTCTTCAGGATGCTGTGGCATTCGGATATTAGTAGCGGTGTTTTCGTGCACCGAAATCGAGTAAGCTTTTCGTAAGGACACAGATTCCTCGTCCAGAGGCCAATTCGACGGCCGAAGTTGTTTAGTTCGAAGTCTGTTAGTCGTGGAGCATTAGTGAGAAATGGGGATTTAGCGTTCTTCGTAGGGTTAGGCGTCGACCGGTTGTCACGATCCATTGCCAAAGAAATTGATTCGAGTAAAGTGAAAGAAAGCGCTGGCATATTGAGGAGTGCGACGAGCTCGCGTTTGGCGAGGCAGAGACTAAGCTGCCTGAAGCGCCTAGTATTCGGAAGCACCAAGCGCTCGAAAAAGGCGCCCAAAACATCCGCATGATCCTTCCTCATCCCCCCGCAAGTACGAGGGCCCGACCACCTGCTTATCGTCAACGAGAGCGGCTTCGTCGACCCCGCCCTCGCGAACCACTCCTCCACCACGCTCATCGTGCGATAGGGGTCAGTCGCCTTGGTGTACAATAACACCACATCTGTCCAGAGCTCGGGAGTATTCAGCGCGACTATGCGCCACCTGGAGCACGTATGGCACAGGGCGAGCGGGGTGCCTGCCGCGGTGCTGCCCCCATTCCGGCCCCGGGGTGTCGGAGGTGGGGGCAGGTGGGTGGGGAAGTGGGCTCCATTGAAGGCGAGGGTGAAAATGTATGCGAGGAGCTCAGCGGGGAGGTACTTGTGTGGCGCAAGCGCGGTGTCGTAAGCGGAGATGAGAGATGTGAGCGTCTTGCGCCGCCGCCGCCTATTGGAGATGTCGTGAATTTGCTGGCTGGCGAACGGGGAGGAGGGTGGTGTCTGACTATCGTCATTGTCGACGAGCTCAAGCTCCGTGAGCGCTATCTGTGCATCCAAGAGCGCCAGCTCGCTCCGTGCGGCTGCTCGCTGCTTCACGAGCTGGTTCCGGTCGTCATCTGGTAAAACTTCATTTGTCGAGAGGGCACGAGGATCGAGCATGTGCTGCTGGGTCGTCTGTCTGTTGTGTCTCAGTCTAGGAGAGAGTGGTAGTTATACTTAGATAGGTGCTACAGGATCATGTTAGCTTGATCTGCAGGCACCTGTCGCGCAGACGCACATGGGAGGTGGTGAAGGGGCAGAGGCCAAGGATGGTGATCGAACGCGTGGTGGGCGGCTGCGGAGAACGCACGGCCCACGGGCGCTCAGAATGTTCACCGGAGGATCTTGCCAAGCAGGTGCCAACAATTGGTTGAAGTCAGGGCAAAGTACTACAACGTTCAATTCGGTCGAGATTTTTGGGTACAAAACATTTCCTGTACATAAAATAGTACACCGCCGATGAAAGCAAGAAGTGTCCACTAGATATTGTACAGAAAGCCTAGGCAGACCAGTCAGCAAAAAGCAAGTACAAACTACAAGGACGAAGAAAGTGGGAAGAAAGCTACACAAGGGCCTCGCCGACGGTGAAATGGACGTGATCGCCTTCGCCGAGGGTGAGCCTGACGGGGAGACGGGGATCGATCCTGACGGGTGCACTGGATCCGACGTAGAAGTCGCCACGGCTGAAGTTGCGGGTGATGGCGGCGGCCTCTTCCTCGGTTAGATTGCGCGGGCGCTTGTTAGGCCGGAATGTGGAGGTGGATGCCCCGGTGAAGGTGCCGTTGTAATCATAGTACTGTTGGTGATTCAGGTTGGGAGTCGTCTGGAGTGTTGCATACATCGGGGGTGGTGCAAACTGGACGTTGGTGGCGGAAGCTGTTGCGTCGTCAGTGATGATAACGATGACGATAACGAAGAACGCACGAGTGGAGGCATGGTGGGTATGGTCCTGGGCGTCTGGGTCTGGGTATGCACAGGTTGCGCCCAAGCCTCGTTTGAGACAGCTCTGTGTGGGTGGTGAGCGACGCAAAATTGGGATGTCTTGTGCGTGTATTACCTGACAGGGGAGGACCTCTGAGCACCTTGTTTTGCCAGTGTGACAAGCGACGCACGCGCGCCGAACGGACGGGGCTTTGGCTGTGATCGCTGGGTTGGAGACCGGCGGCGTTGGGGGAGGAGGGGGACTCACGCTTGCGGGCAGACTCGGGCTGGGAGAGCGGCTGGGCGTTGAGCTGGACGTCCTGCTGCTGGAGCTGCTGCTGGAGCTGCTGGGCATCGAGGGTCGGCGCCGCGTCCTGGGCCGGTTCGTCTGTGGGGATGGCCGACATTCTGGGGGGACGGAGGGCAATGCGGGCCACAAACGGGCAACCACCGAACATCGTCACTCTCCGGCACACTCCGCCCTGTCACGATCACAGTCACCCCGGCTACATTCCAGCCCGGATCCGGTCCACTCCTTCTTAATACCTGTCTCAGCGCCTCTCTTCATCCCCGCCATGCCGCACTCGCCTCTCCCAAGACCAGTCCCCTTCTCAGAGTTCGAGTTCTCCTTCGACCCCTCCCTCTCAAATATCTTCCCAAACCCACCGCCGCTCCCTTCATCCGCAGATCTCTTCTCCCCTGCAGAGACAACAGATCTGCTCGGCTTCCTCGACAACTTCAACGACTTTGGTTGGGACTTTGCCAACACATCAAACGAATATGTCCCCGAGCAACCGACGTACGAGCACGTACCGAACACAATCGCGCCGTACTCAAACCCACATCTGAACACCGTCCCCGAGCCTTCCACATCCACTCGTTCCCGTGCTACACGGGGCTCGACGCGGGGCACCCAGCAATCATCACACATACAAGACGAGCGTCCACCAGAGTTCGACACACGCGCGCCGAGCAAACCACAGAGCGTAGCTTCCGATTCATCCTCCAATGCGACCACACCTACCTTCTCAGCAGCGAGTGCCGACGCCTCTTCCGCCCGTAGCTCCAGCCGGTCCAAACCCCTCCTCTCCACGCCCCAGAAACGCCTCAACCATATCATGTCAGAGCAGAAACGGCGCAATGCCATCCGCGACGGGTACGCCCAGCTGATTAGCCTCCTCGCACCAGCGGGCTCCGCGCCAGGCATCGGCATGCCCACCCGCGGGCGACCCAAAGGCAGTGGTAGTCGCGGGAAGGGTCAAACCAAAGGGAAGAGTGGTGTGCTATTCCGCGCTGTCGAGTACTGTCGCTGGCTCGAGGAAGGCCGCGACTCGCTGCGGGAGGAGGTCTCCAGAGTCGAGGCGGCCGCCGGCATCCGACCACCCTCATCATGATCTATGATCGCCACCACGTTCTGTTCTTTATCTACGCGCTTTCGGTCCCTCGCTGTCGACACCCACGACTTGTTTATTAATCACCCTCCCCAAGATACCACGATTTGTTGTATAGCTTTGTTCAAAAGTACGGCCATCGAGCAGCAGCAGTAGCATAGTTTGTATTTCTATACTTGCACCGACGACATACCACTTTTTTTTCTTTCGAAGTTCCTCCGCACGGCGGCCTGGTGGTGCTTGGGTGCCCTGATTTCGATCATCCGCCCCACATGGCGCGTTGTTCTCGGATGCACGGCCGCCAAAGTGGCGTCGCGAGCGACGCGTCCCTGGGTCGCGATAATTTACATCACCTGACGGAAGAAGCATGTGGGGAAAACACATGCCTCCTGCTCCTGTACCACCACCTGCACCTCCGCCGCCGCCTCCACCAGCACCTCCGAAAGCGTGGCCTGTCCCGAAGCTCCTCCTCCGTGTCGACGACCTCGAGCATGACGGCGCAGACGTCTTCTTCCAGGCCGTTCAGCCGAAGCAGGCCATGTATGACGCTGTGATGGCCTCGTTCAGGTGGTTGTACACCCCAGAGACCGTTCCGAAGACGTACGTCAAGTTATCTTAAGGGGAACTACGTCATTGACCACAACCTTCCTGCACTTTCTCACTGACTGCTCAGGGTACAGCAGATCCTGCTCGTCTTGCGCGTCATGGACGGCGTGGCGGTCACGTTTGGCACGGAGTCGCTCAAGGAGATCCATTTCTCGCTGGACCATATCAAGCGGTCGGCGCATCGGGCGCGCGAGGAGATTATGGGTGTCCTCGTGCATGAGGTCGTGCATTGCTTTCAGCATAATGCGCTCGGTTCGTGTCCAGGGGGATTGATTGAGGGGATTGCTGGTGCGTTGGTTGTCCTTGTCGTCGTCGTCAACGTACATGCCCAGGGGCTATTTCGCAGACTTCGTCCGCCTACACGAGAACCTGTCGCCTCCTCACTGGAGACGGAGAGGTGGAGGCGACTGGGACGACGGGTACGAGAAGACGGCGTACTTCCTCGATTGGATCGAGACTCGCTATGGCGAAGGTTCGATCTGCGAGCTGAACGAGTGCATGAAGGACGAGAAGTACCATCGACGCGTCTTCAAGGAGGTTACGGGTCGACCGGTGAGGAAGCTATGGGCCATATATTGCAAGAGCCTGGAAGAAACCGAGACGTCCGATGGCTATACCGTTGTGGGGGATCCGTAAGGAAGGCGGAGGGCCGAATTGCTGATTGTAGGTCGGGTAGACTTCGGAACCGGGGAATAAATGTTAGTCTGAAGCAAGTCGGAAGGCTGTTGCTCCTTGGCCTCTAGCTTCGGTGTAATGGCGGTGAGTGACAGATTGCGAAAGGTGTGAACTGCCAAACCAGCAGGATTCCGCATAGCTGCCAATAGAGATATCGGGATAAGGAAAGCAGTGTGGTGGATGAAGCAATCCTTTCGGAGAAGGGGACAAGTAGAGGAATGGGTAAGGATGTCTTCTTGGTTTTTGTGCTATGCAGAGTTCCGCCAAATTGGATCTATGGCGTTCGTTAGTCAGCTGGCCAGGTTTGCACCGACTTTCTTTTAAGTAACCGGGTTGGGGTCTCTATAAAGGCCTATACGCCTCAGAGGCTGATTTGCACAGCGTGTACATCTTCTAGTGATTAGGATGGCTAATGTAGGCGGAGGAGAGCTTGATCGAGAGCACCGCCACCTCCTTCCCAAGAAGGAATAAGCGCCCACCCCGACACGGAGGCACATGATCGAGGGAAATCGGCGGAGATCTGGGTGATCTTCCTCCGCTTTCGGCGGTCGCCTGCTCTGATTAGCGCATTGATATACCTGAGCTTCCCTTGCTCGTTCCTTCTCCCCGTTCCGCTACCATGTCTCTCTCCTTCGAGCCCCTCCTCCCGCCATCCGTCCTCCACGGCGCGCCGTACGATCAATATGAGGACACCTACGCCTATGGGTCGCCAACCGGCCACGCGCCGAGCTGGTTCCAGGACTGGGAATTCAATTCTCTGCAACACCAACATCACCAGCAGGTCGGCCCCTCGAGCCAGGTCGTACAGCACATGGGAACGGGTCAACTTCACCAGGCGCCGCTCAACCACCATATATCTTACGAGCTGAATGCTCCCAGTTACACTTCTATGCAGTATCACCACCAACAGCAGCACGTTCAGACCGCCATTGCGCCGCCTCCCCCGGCGTTTGACGGGATGGAGTACTTCAACTTCGACTTCGACCCCAGCCCTAGTGTGGCGTCCAACAAGCCCGTGGAGCAGTACCCGGCCCCTCCGACAATCGACCCTTTGCTCGACAGCGATAGTCAACTTCGGCAGTCGACGCCGACGCCTGCAACCCTTGTGCCCATGCCGCAGAGACCACCCGGGTTTATCGATCCTCGTGTCGTATTCGATCGCCTGCCCAAAGAGGTGCACGATCGGATTTGCGCCTTCCTTGAGCCCAAGGATATCGTGAAATGGAGCAGGGTAAGTGCTTCTCCAGTGGTCATCTCTAGTCATATTTGCTCATGCACGACGTGGAAAGATTCGCAGAAGCGCCTGGATGTACACCATGCGCCAACGTAGTATCTGGTTCAAGGCCCTTCAGAGAATGTGCCATTCCAATGCCGTCCCTGTCTACTTCTATCCCACGGAAAACGACGTGCAGGCGTTCCACCACTACCGAATCACGACCTGGCCCGATGTTATCCTCTGGTCTATGCGAAAGCAGCCGGAAGGATGCTTCAACCACTGCCGACGCAATTTCGACGTCCGCGAGTCGGGCGCAGAAGCCAAGCTCAAGTCTGTGGTGTCCAACAAGCACGTCGGGCTGGCCACCTGCCTCATCCCTGGGGGGCGATACCTGATAACGGACGACGGGAACCGGATGTTCATCTGGGACCTGGGCGTGGGTGGGAGGATGCCGTTCAAATGGGTCAATATGATCACCCACGTTCATCCGAGAAGGAATCGTCCGATGAAGCCCACGCTGGAGGTGTATCGGTCACCAAATGCTATGGATTTCAGAGTTGTCGTTTTCTTCGACCGCCTCAAGTGAGTGTCCCGCTCGGTGTCTTGGAGAGACGTAGCTGACACAGTTGGCTTAGGGATCGCCTTGGGAGGTATCACATTTACGATGTTCATGCCGAAGTTGGAGGCGGGAAAGAAAATGTCCGCCTTCTAGCAGCTGGATCAGAGTATCAGAAGGGCACGCTCCATTCTTTCAAATTCGACATGCTGGCCACCTTGACGAGCAACACGCTCAAGATTTGGAATTACGTGGAAGACATTTCTGTCACCTGGACCGTCCACAATGATCCTCCAGCCAAACTTGTAGGTTTCCTCTTGCTCGATTTGAGCGAGCTTCTATCTGACGCTTTTCATTTCTTAAGATTATGTTTACAAAGACAAGGTCAATTATCCTCGTGCATATGCACGGGTACGCAGTATGGGATATCCCAGGCTTCCTCTTCGACCGCGCGCTGCCGGTGCAACCATCGCCTCATCCTTCTCGCGTTGTCCCTCCTCGCCAATACCTTCCCGTAAACTTCACGGCACACATGTCCGTGGACACAGGAACGATGAAAGGGCCCTATAGTGCACCTGTCTTCGATAAGCCTCCAGTGTGGTACGAAGACTTTGGCAACCACCCACTTGTGTTCGACCTCGTACGGAATCGCACGGGCAAGGGCAAGTGCCAGCTACGCTGGCGGTATGAACTGGTCATCCCGCCGCTTGAGGACCTCGTCGCTTCCCCCGCAATCGAGTGCATAGCGCGGTTCGTCGTTCCGAATGGATGGACGGAGTTGCGCAATGTGGGTTTCTGTAACGACCAGATCCTGCTGGTTGGTATGTTCGAGCGTGGGGCTGGGGTGGTCTCTGCTCCCGCGATGTCTCGTTCCGTCCGCCCACAGATAGATAATACCCCATATACCGGCATCCTTTTCCAGCGGCGTCGCCCCATGTTAGGCGACGACTTTGTGTTCGACCCTGTGACGGGACGCGTATGTTACGAGGCCGCACCGTATAACATCGCAGTTCTAGATTATTTCGAGTTGTAGCTGGATTTATTTTTGCTTTCATATTGTTTTCGGGATCTTCTTGTTGCTTTCGTCGTTGTTCACCATTTATCCTTTTGTATCACTAGTCTCCGCTGTTCGTTTGCTTTCGGTCCCATCCCTTCGTTCTTCGCCTTCCATCCTGTATTTTATGTCCTTTACTTATCGTGTATCTATAGTAGCAGCCGTTGTAATCGATTTGTACTACTCTACTCAGACATTCGCACGTTCATCTGCGCCGGTGATCATGGTGGACCCACAGACGCCTATCGGACTCTTTTCGGAAACTTCCGTTTTGGTTCAGCCTCGCGGTTATTAAGCTTGAGCTTGAACACTTGGCTCTGAACTGCTGCGCTTACTGCGGCAAAGCCCGCTGAAGGTTATATATATCTGGAGGCTATCCTACGTACTGCTGTTCTACTGAGTTTTGACAGAGCCTTCTAGTCAGTGATTTGTCCTCCCTTCCATTCTGCGCCACTCAATCGCCAACTGCCAGACTAATCATAGATCTGCAGACCGAGGCAAAACGTTCCAACCTCCGAGTCGGCATTGAGGATGACAGGATATCATTCCAATGGATCGCTCTACATCGCCCTTTACGAAACATCAGAGAAGCACAAGTACCACTGGGCGTTCGCGATACCACTGGACGGTGATCTCGGTGGAAAAGTCCAATTGTTCCACGTTCGCGCCTGCAACGGCGATTGGGTGGAGGGTCATGAGGTCGTCAGTCTTCTCAACCCCCGTGAGGGCGAGCGGTTCGTATGCTGTGTCGCCCTTCCACGTCTACTGGTGGAAATGGATTCTGTCATCGATATCCTGCTCAAACAGTCGTCGAGAAGAGGGGATTATCCGCTGACGGCTTTCCATGGCGTGTAGTCTTGCTCACAGTGGCTCATGCGGACGCTTGGTGTCCTCATCGAGAAATCGGCTATCGCGAGAGACAAGAGCTTATCGACTACTTATCCACGATGGAGAGATTGGTATTATCATGAAGTTTGTAAACGGGGAGATGATGCGATGGCAATCCGGGAGAAGGAACCTTGGTAGATGGAGTACGCGTTTTGTCCCTTCTCTAAGTAGAATCCGTTCGATCTTGTGTGAATCGAGAAAGACGAATCTAGGATCAAAATTTTATAAACGAGGGCTCCAATATTTTGTTGAAATAAGCTCGGGAATCCAAATCGAGATAAGATGAGATTTCCGTTTGACCTCGGTGAGCTCGTGAGGCAAACGGATAGTAGCTACGGTACATAGTATCCTACTTATATACTATAGTGTAGTCTACGAAATAAAAGGGGATAAATGTAAAATGGAGCCCACAGCTCCAGAGAATGTAGAACCAAAATGATAAGAGAGATGTACCTATGTTGGGTGCATTGCGCACGCTCGCACAGCCTCCCAATATTCTAACATATTTTTTCTTTAAGCGCTATTTTCTTCATCTATGTAACGCGAAGCCCAACTGCGCGCCAAGAACTGTGATGATCACGTGACACAATAATGATCCGATTCATTGATTTGAATTTGTCGCCGGCTCTCTTCAGGTTCTTGTTGAGGAGGCGTTCTCCTTTCAATTTACATCTTCCTTTTCAACGAGCAGCCGGACGAGTCACGAAATCCTCCGCAAAACTCTGTCCTTTCTTCTCTGAAGACTCCTTATACGACTCTCCAATTGTTCGAAAATGACATTGCTATCTACCAGCCGACCTTTTCTCTACCTTCTTCTCAATCAGCTCAATCTCCAGCCGAGGCATTCCAGGATTTTCTTCTCGACTGATCAACAACGACTTCTAATATGAAGCATTGAATCTGCGTGGATACAATGGCTCGACATCATCGGGCAGTGCTATGGACAACCCGGGGGTTCGTGACGGTGGGAGGCACCTAAGATAAAGGATACGGATTGGGTGTTCTATGTGTGTGCATATCCCTTCATCTCTAGCAACACGATGTCCCCTACCCCTCCGTCCACCTCTTGGCCTATCCCTAAACTCACTTATCGCATCGCAGAGGGCGACACAGAGCATCCAGGCGTCGAGATATTCCTGAATGCCATCAAACCTGAGGAAGCTTTGCTCAAAGCCGTGGTTGCCAACTTTGAGGCTCTGTACACGCGAGAGATGCTTCCAAATCAGTCCGTATTACTCGCTGAACAGGATGATCAGTCGTTCTAACAGGCAAACAGCATCGAAGAGATAACATTGGTTTTGGAATCGATTCCCGGGGTTGCGTACTTGGGCGACGTAATGCCTTCCAGCTCAAAGCAGCAGATCCACTACAGCCTTCAGTATGTGCAGCAGACTGCAGATCGCGCTGCAGATGAGATTATCGGCGTCCTTGTGTTCGAGATCTTCCACGTCTACAATCGCATTACAAACACTACGTGTCCAAGTGGATTCATTGACGGCCTGGCAGGTGAGTCGCCCGGCCATCCTTGTCGAATCTTGCCTAACGATGGATGCTAGATTATGTCCGTCTGAAAGCGGGTTACGCCCCTCCTCACTGGGACAAGCAACCTAGAGATGACTGGGAGGCTGGTAACGAAAGCACAGCATACTTCCTCGACTGGATAGAGAAGCGCCCGAACGGGACAGGCACGATCCACAAACTATACGAATACGCCTTACAGCTGAACGACCAGGAGTTCAACGAAAATATATTTGAGATGCTTACAGGAGAAACTGTCGATATGCTTTGGGAACAATACTGTGATTCCGTGAACGGCACGGATAACACCACGACCCTAGGAGACTTGTCACAATGGCCGATACCGAAGTTCAACTTACGGATTGAAGATCTTGACCATGAAGGAGCAGATATATTCCTCGGTGCCGTGAAACCGAAAGAGGCCTTGCGCGAGGCGGTTATGGCAAGCTTTAACCACCTGTATACACTCCAAACTGTCCCAAGAAAGTTAGTTAATTTCCTTGTTCTGCCCCTCAAGATGAAATGCTCATCAAGCACGTTGTACCTCTTCTCAGTGTTAAGACCATCACTCTAGTGCTTCGATCAATGGGCGGTGTAGCGCACACAACAGGAGGGATGTCCCACAAAGAAATTCACTATTCCCTGGAATACGTCAAGGTAAAGGCGGATGTCGCCCGCGAAGAAATCATGGGGGTACTCGTTCATGAAGTTGTGCATTGTTACCAGCATACTGCCCATGGGACGTGTCCTGGAGGGCTCATTGAGGGAATAGCTGGTCGGTTCACTGTTTTCACCCGTCCATTCAATGAATGCTAATTCTCAGTGAAACCCAGACTACGTTCGCCTGCGTGACGGCCGTGCACCAGCTCATTGGCGGCAGAGCTCAAACGGCTGCTGGGACGCGGGATATGACACGACAGGCTATTTCCTTGACTGGATCGAAAGCAACCACGAAAGCGCCACCATCTCGAAACTAAATGCCCTCATGAAGAGCTGCAAGTACAATGAAGAAATTTTGTTCAAGGAGGTCACTTGGAAATCTGTCAATGATCTTTGGTCCCAGTATGGTGACTTCTTGAAAGCAAAGGAACAGAAGGCCGAGCCAATGTCTGTTGGGCAGTAGATGAGGGGGGTCGCCATACCCAGGATCCAGGAAACACTAATATAGCCCTAATCAACCACCTTTGGACGTCCAGGAGTGGACAATAGGGGTGGAATCTTGGTGAGATATCTGTACCCCCGCCAGTTCCTTGGACCTGGATAACCGTCGTCCTTTCCACTGGGTTAGGATACCCAGCACACACGATCCAGGCCTACGAAAGACGTGATGGAAGAGGGACATTTACTTTGAGAGGTAACATAAATGATACATAAGAAAAGCAACCCAGAAAACCTAGAGGCTACAGAACGGCAAGAACCCAATTGTCGATTGTGACGTCGTGAAAGAGGTAATACATATGTGACGCTGCGAGCGAGAATATGCGAAGAGAACGAAGAGCAGGATGTGCAAGGATAACGGAGAGCAAAGAGCAAATGTGGATGGATAGAGAGATTGAGATATTCGTCAAGTAAGAATAAGGATAGAAAGCCATGCCAAAGAAACAGACCAGCAAAGAGCCTATCCGACCTCTTCCTCTTCTTGTAGTGCACGGGCTAGGAAGTCGTCCTCTTCGTCCTCTTCATATTCGTCCTCGTCGTCGCTGTCATCTTCTGTCATGTCGTCCTGTGGTTGTGATATTCTCGGACTAGGTCGTGCAGAGCCGTTGCTCGATGGTGTTGAGGTAATGTCATCAGCAGTCGTACCCTCCTTCAGCCTTGACTGACCGGTGCGTTCTGCAGCCAGTTTCTTCCTCTTCGCTAAAGGAGAATGTAGGTAGCCATCGTCTCCGTTAGCAACGCCTCCGTCCGACGGTGTTATGCTGCGTAATCGCTTTCGGGTCTTCGGAGTGTTATTCACGCTCCTGTCCAAAGTCAGCCTCGAGCGGCCACAACACAATTAAGCGAAACTCACCCAGTCGCACTGTTCGCGTCCTCCGTCCACTCATCCTCGGACGCGTTCATCGAATAACTCCTTTCGCTCCTGCCCTCATCCTCATCGTCGCTCTCATTCATCGCGGCCTCGACCTCATCGTTGATGTCATCCCAATTGATGTTGGAGAGCTGGAGCGCACCTGTCCCCTTCATGTCGGATGCTGGTTCCTGGTCCCAGTCGTCCGAGTCGACGTCGAGGTCGGAGGATGCGAGTTGGCTGTTGTGGTCGGCGATGGGGCTTGAGCTTGGGCCGCCGGGATTGGGAGGGTCGTCGAGCAGGTAGGGTTTCTCGTCTTGCCGCTGCCAGAGAGCGATGGAGTCGGTGAACCAGGCGAGCCAGACGATCTTGATGCCGCCGCGCTTTCGCGCCATGTCGACTTTAACAGTCCCGCGCTGTGGGTGCAAGCGTATTGTTATTGTCCGAATCAGTCAATCATCCCATCAGCAGAGAACAAGATAAGAATAAGGACAAGGAGACATGTTTCACATGGCCCAACAGGCAATCAAGGTCAAGGAAAATGTTCGGCATGCCTCGCCTCATAATTGTTTGACGTACCTTTGCGGCGACTACGTGCGTGATGTCGTTCGTCAGCTCTGTTGAACAGCGAGCACCGAACATGTGTGCCATCCGCCAGATTTCCGTCGTTTCGGGCTTCGTATCCAATGGAATTACACTTGAGAACAGGATATGGACTCCTTCGAACACTTCGGACCTCAGCCGAGGTATGATACGCTGGGACCGTCAGTATGCTTGCAGGGACCGCGTCTTGAGACTGACGTACTGTTACATCATACGCTCTACTCGAAGGCCCTGTCTTCCGTCTGGCGTTCTCGGGTGAACGCGCATCATATACGGCAAAAAATCGCGAGTGGACCTCGTTCAAGAGCTGGAGGATACAACATCAATCTGTGACCTATCAGGACGCACATGACACTCACTTTGCCTATCCTGCCCAACTCGTAATCATCATTCTTTAGCAGGGCTTTCTTGGGCAGCTTCTCGGGCTTTGGTGACGGCTCTTTGACTGGGACAGTACTGGATGCTTGCTGTTGTGTCTGTGCCTCGTGTTCTTGCAACTCTTCCTGCTTCTTCGCCAGGGGTCGCTGCTCTAGCTGAGCATCAAGAGCAGCGTTGTTCTTCGTCTGCATAACAGTCGTTTCTAGCTCCGCCTTCTCAACTTCAGCTGGCGTCAGGGGAATAGATGGCGATGTATCGACTGGTGTAGGAGGTGGTACATCCCCGACGGCTACTGAAGAACTCGATGATCCGTTTGGCCCGTCGGTAGCTTTGACATCTGGAGTAGAGATTGGTACGGCGGTTGTTAGCGGTTCAATTTTCGGCAGGAAAGATGAATTGATGTCGCCGATTCCGACAAAGAAGTCGTCTATCCCGAGATTAGCGTCCGTTCTAACAGCATAAAGGCACCAAACGTACATGGAATGACCTTGATAAGATTTGGACTCCACTCCCATACGTCAGCTCGGTCGTCGATGATCACAACCATCGAAGTGTCACAGGGAAACAATCTTTGCAGACTTTTCTGTGTTAAACCTGAATGATGATTGAGAATCGGTTTAGGGGGAACGAATTGTTGAACGAATTGTTGGACGTACTGCCACTCTCGTCTCTGCTCAATATCCGTCCTCCGAAAACACTTCCATCCGGATCAATGCCGCGCACACTTCTTCCGCATATGCTCGAGTTCCCATGGTATATACGTGCATCTCGTACTTCTTGGCCGTCTCGCGCAAGAAGTCTTTCCATCCCGGACTGAGAGAGGGATTGAAGGGATAAGATGGTTGCAAAGCAGGAAAGTTAAAGTCCACTCACCGTGGCTTGATGTAGTACATGCACCCTTCGTTTTCGACCATTTTCTGCTTGCCCTTGCCTCGATGTGCGTTACGCAGTGCTGGTGGACCGAAAGACTCTGGGCCTAGCCTGAAGCTTTTCACATCCTTGAGGGCTTCCCAGTTTGGGTTGCACTCGTCGTCGGCATCATCTGGAGTCTCGCCTGTTTCTTTGGGAGTCGGCGGTGCCTTACTGGTCTGCCTTGCCTCCCATGCTTCGCCCTCTGCTATCCATTCGCCGACTGTGGGGTCAACTGTAGCATGGACAATGGTTTGATCAAGATCGACGATGAGGGAGAGCTTTCGGGATTTGAGAAGGTGATCTGCAGTCTCCCGCTCGATGCGCTGGGCCTCCTCGAATGACACGGTGGGTCCGAACGCGGAGTGGGTCATCTGAATAGACGCACGCGAGGCGTCAGAGAAGCCTGTGTAATCAACGCTGAGAAATGGTCAGCAACGCGACTCTCTTTCTCGAGTTATAATCTCGTGTGCAGACTAGGCTTACTTGGTCATATCCTTTCCGCATAGCACGCAAAGGCCGCCGAGCTGTATGCCGTGTTTGCACGGCTCGATGACCACAACGACGGCCTTGTCTTTAGCTTTCTTCTGTGAAATGACATCGCCGGGCTTTATATTCCAGGCGCTGAGGGTGCCCTCGATGGCGGAGTCCCAGGTGCCGAACCGCGTCTCTGGCTGTGCATCCGGAGTTGGTGGGAGATATACGAAGGAATAGCTGAGGAGACGAGTGCCGCGTTTAAGCTCGGACTTTGGCTGTGCGTCGAGTGAAGTGACCTTTATTGGGTAGGGAAACGTATGGGGCAGATAGAGCTCAGTTGGACTAGAGTCCATGATCGTGTTCGCGCGCAGAGCAGCAGGGTGTTTTCCGTTCAACCTCCTCCGTCGGAGTTCGGACCCACTTTCCTATTTAGGCATTCTCTCTACAACATCTCGCCGACCAGCGACCTCCGCAGTCCCTCTCTCTCTGCTTTGTACCCGTCGACCAGCATCTGCACGCCCTCCAGCACAACCTCTCGCGTAAGCTCCTTTGCTCCCCATTCGACTCTGCCAGCAAGGACGACGAGATGCGTGCCCCACTGGACCACAGCCCTCCTCGCGTCCTCGACTTCGGGCTCACCATGCTGCTTGTACTCTCTAAAGAAATTCTGCAGCACAAGTGAAGCCGTCTCTGTGCACACGTCTGGATGGAATCGCCTCAGAAGGTGTATCTCGGCACAGAATTGCCCAACATCGATCCCTGTCAACCCGGTCTTTGTGAGCTCCCAGTCAAGAATGTAGATGTGCTTCAGGTTGCCGCCCTCGTCCAGCGCGACCATCAGGTTTCCTGGCCAGAAGTCACCCATGACGAACTGAAGCAAGTGTCAATGTAAGGTATGGCCAATGAAAAACAACCTACTGAATCTTCCACGCCCATGATTGTGCTCGTGGTTTCTGCAACCAACGCATCGATCACCTTCAAGTCATCTTCGTTTACCTCCAACGGCGGGTCAGAAAGCTTCGGAACATCACTCGCAATGCCCGTCAGTGTATCCTTGAGCCTCCCGTAGAATGCCCACGCGCTCATCGCCTTCGCTTGCGCGTTTCCCTTCACCGATCCACACAACTCCTGGTTTCCCTTACCCCACCGATGCATCCCTCCAAGGAACGCCCCCAGAGCAGCCCCAATCTGCTGCGCCATCTCCAAGGATGGCCTCCCTTGCTTCATGAAGTCCTTCAGCGCCACCGAGTCGGCACCAGTGTCGTCCATGACGATTGCGTGGACACCTTGGTCGAAGAGGTACACCTCAGGTACTGTCACGACCGAATCAACGGGCGCCCAGGCGCGTACGCGACGCAACGCCTCGACTTCGTAGATCTGTGTACAGTGTACATTTTTGCACGGCCGAATCCCCGAAACAGAGCGCGAAATGCGACCGCGGTATTCCAGAAATGCCGCAGCCAATAATCAGGACAAAGACCGACGGATCCAGGAAGACCAGAAGAAACACGAAAGATAAGCAAAAGAAAAAGGTCAGCTTCTCAAATTCGTACCCCAGGTGGAGTAGCAACTGGGAACAAGTTGAAGTCGAAGCACCCACCTGCCTCTCAAGCCCAAACGCAAGCGCATGGTAATCCTTCACATACGGCTTCGCATGCTTGAACACGAGCGTCTCCTTGCCCTTATACGGCACCTCCAATCGCAGCCGAAACACATAATTCGCCGTGCCCCCAGACAGCGCCCGCACCTCGGTGCTGGCGAACGGGGTTTTGGCGAGATATGTGCGGACGTCTTCTGCCAGCGACAGGTCCAGGTCCCGGGGGTTTGCGCTGGGAAGGGCGTTTGCCGCAAGAAGGGTGTTTGCCGGTTCCGTTTGGGTGTTTTGCGTTTGAGTTGGCAAATTCGGGAACGTTAACGAGATCTGGGGTTGGGAAGAGGGTGCTCCGGATAGTCTGCGCGCGTCGGGGGAGTTTCCTGTTGAGGTAGTGTCTGGCATCTTGTTTTTTGGCCGATGAGGACTCGGGAGGGGGCGTTATTGCTGATTGTGGGTTTTTGAATTGAGGGCGGATTTTGTGCGTTCTGTGCTGATCTTGTAGTGTGATTTCTAGTGTTCCGTTAGCGGTTGGACCTTGGGGATGCGACTTTGGTGGATGAACGTTCTTGCGAGAGAGGAGTGAAGAACTTTGGACTTGAGCTCAAGTCCGTTCTTTCCGTCCTGACTAAATAGATCGAGCAAGCGGGACCGAATCGCGTGCCAGAGCATACTGTAGCAGGTGATGAGTCAAGGACTTCAAACTTATCCTTACCACGCAATAATTGCCCTGTAGCGTCGGGTTTGGGTGATCGTTATCTGATTTCTGGACGAACGCCACAGGCACGAGCCTTTCGCGAATCGCTCGTACTTGGTTATACCTGGGTTATACCGTCGAGATGCGGAGCAGAAAAGTCGATGCAAATGTATATGTATTGCCAACAACAAGCAAGTAGCATGGCATATATATAAAACATAATGCGCGGTGGGTTATGGAATTCATGGAAATGTGCAATCTCTATAGATAACCGAATGCAATGTGCGTTGACGGAAAATCGAAAGTCGAGCAAGGAGCAACGTTATAACGGGATTGGGGGTGGAAGTCTAGTAGCACGCGCCGAGGGGTACGGAGGAACTGAGGAATTGAGGGGCGATAGGGGCGACTCGATGTAGTCAAAACCCAAATAGAGGCGGGGGTGGGGTACGGGGTGGGACAAGGGGGCATATGTGGAGAATTGGAATCGAGGGGCAGGAGACGGACGGAGGCATAATAGGGTACTCCGATCCTTCAGAATCAAAGCGGTGGTGGAATGGTACAGATGAAGTACACAGCGAAGAAGAGAGAAGACGTCCGAAACCCAGTGAGATGTAGATGATACACCATGCGAGAGAAAGAAAGAAAAAAGAAAGAGCGCAGAAACAAGGATATTGAGCAGAGAAAGAAAAAGAAGGAAGAAAAACCCATTATAAAGGTGCATGAAGAACATCTACACTATGCAATAGCGTGTGCATGGATGATGGAACGGAGCGGAATAAAATGCCAGAGAAGAGCGGCGAACGTCATCAAAGAAAGGTGTGAAAGATGTCGACGAAGGATGGAGAACAATGAGGAAGAATGGCGGCAGCGACACGACATGCACGAGGCGAGTGACTCTATCCAGATCACAACGCGTCCGTCCTTCACACCGCCCGCAGCCGTGTCGCCCTTCACAAAAGAGAGAAGAAAAAAGTTCAGGCAGCAACAACAGCATACCTCCCCGTCTTCTCTTCCTCTTCCTCCACCTAACAACCATTCATCAACATGGGCGCCTGCTGCTGCTGCCCCGACCCACGACTCAACAAACTCCTCCCCACACCCTCATAGGCAACACCCACCACCCTTTCCCTCCCACCCCCAAGCGCCGTCTCGCGCCCACACCCCTCCCACTTCACCCCCCTCCTCCACACCACATTATGCAACGCCTTCAGCCTTAGGTACGCGGGGTTGCCTACGCTCCGTATCCGCCATGTTATCTGACCCACCCCCGCGGAGAGGAGACACGGCTCGGGCTCGGAGGCGGGGTACATGGTGTGCAGCTCAGAGAGCGCGTGGAAGCGGAAGGGCGAGCGTGTTGGGGTGGGGATGGGCTGGAAGTGGAGTTTGTAGGGCAGGGGATCGGGGAGGGGTGTTCGTGGAGGTGCAGTTGGAGGGAAGGGGCAGGTGAGTTGGATGTAGCGTGGTAGGGGTTCGCAAGGGGCGGAAGTGTCGTGGGATGGGGAGGACGAGCGTTCATCGGAACTTGAGGCGACAGCGGGCGCTACCGGGCAGAGGAACTTCGCGACGTCCTGTACAGACGCTCGACTTCCCGCCGGTCGCAGTTTAGGTCTCGGCGCCTGTGCGACCGCCAGCGTGTCCTGCTTCGCCGAATCTGCCTCATAAGCCAGCGGATCGCGATCGTCAAACGAGTCGCACGACGCCGCCACGCTGAACAGGGCCACCGTCACATACGCGTTCTGGAACCCCCGCGCGAGCTCGACGAACTTGGACATGCGACGCGCGAGAGCACCAGCGCCCTCTTTCGCTGCCCTGACCTGGCTGGTGCTGCGCTGCCTCCCGGGGTACGATATCGGCGCGGTCTTTACCGGTTGTGGAAGAGGCAGTGGGCCGTCTGCGAGGGCGATGGGGGTAGAGCGGGTTCGTGGTCGACATGAATGACGTAGGCGTGGGGGTGATGAGGTGAAAGAATCAGAGAGACCCGACCCAGACATCCATGACTTGGGCCTCGAAGAGATGAACCACGCCGATTTGGGGGTGCTGATAGGGGACGACGAAGGCGTCGTAAGATCCGTGCTCGAGGATGACGCAGAGGATACGCCGCGGAATGATAGCCATGATGAAGTTCTCGGTACGGAGGAGGACGAGGAAGACGAAATGGTAGAGGTTGGGGAGGAAAGGGGGCTGGTGGAAGAACAGGCGAGACATGGGAGTGGTCTGCGGGGCTCGGCGGGCTGCTTGCCCTTGCGGTTCTTACGCTCCTCGTCGCTCCGTTGGATATCGGCAAGAAGGGCGTTGAGCAGCAGTGCGTCTCTCCGCTGCTGCTTCGGCTGGCTGTGCGTCCGTGATCGTGATCGGCTGGTAACGGGGCTGGTACAGCGTTGTCGCTGTATGCGCTCCTCGTTGGTGATGGGAAAAAGAGCACCCTCCATGCTCCTAAGCACATCTGTGAAGGGTATTGAACATGAGTCGTCGAATGTCTGCGCGGGGAATATGGGTCGAGTGTTGAGGGGTATGGGCACCGACGGGGAGGGTGATGTGCGTGGTTTGTGCGCACGCGACGACGAGCTCGCTGGCATGAAGTCGTAGACGAAATGGTCCTGCTGTCGGACGGTGCGGGTGTTGGCGGCGTTGGAGAGGTGCTCGTAGCTGACGACCTTGCGATCTACTCGTGCGCGACTTCGCTGTGCTGCCCGTTGGATCTCAGCCGCTTTTGCCGCCCGTCGTCGTTCCTCCTCTGCTGCCCGCCGCCTCTCCTGCTCTTCTTTTCTCCGTTTCCGCTCTTCCTCCTCTAATCTTCTCCTCTCTCTTCTTCGCAAGACCGCTAACCGTTCCTCCCGCATACGCCGCTTCTCGTCCTCCCACTTTCGCTCACACGTTCTCAGTCTCTCTAGTCTTCTGCATTCCTCTATCCGCTCCACCTCGCGTGCCTGCATCTCCTTGACCATCATCTCATCTCTGTCGTCCATGAGCCGTCCATTCGGCACAAAGCAAAAATCAAAGTCTTCGTCTTGCACAGCTGCTATCCGTGGGTCGTCGTCTGAGGTGACCTCGATGCCCTTGAGTCGTAATAGGAGAATCTTGGCGAGGTGGATGTCGTCGAGAGCATATGCCACATGTACCTGGTCCTCGAGCGAGCGTGGGGGCGAGGGCGGTGAGTCGTAGTAGTCGGGTGACATTGACGCCGAGCTGGGTGGCGAGGGCGACTCTGAGCGCATGAAGGGCGGTGCGTAGGCAGCTCGCATTGGTAGTGGCGAGACGATGGGAATTATGGTCTCGTCTGACGGGATGTGGGTGGTATGAATGGAAGAGGAATGATGTGTGTTGACGCTGTGTTTGGACAAAGATGGGCTGGAATCGGGCTGTGTGGGACGATTTGGAAATGGCGTGTCGTGTGCGCGTCCAAGCGCCTGTTGTGTCCGTTCCGTCTCGACAGGTGGCGGTAGGGCCCATTTCTCGGACATGGCGTCACACGACAAAAAGCGACGCTCCTCGGAAGCCTGGCGGGCGAGTGCGGTTGAGGAGACCTGGCGGGAGCGGCCACGGCGGTGGGCCATTGAGAAGTCGCGAGGGGTGAGCGGGGGGAGGGGACGGAGGGTGAGCATGGTGGGGGCTATAAGGAGGGCGAGGAGGTGGCAACTCTTGGTTGTTGCGAGGAGCGCAGAGATAACAGGACGCTCCCTCTGCCCCCGGCCGCGGCAATCCCCGCGCTCCTTATCCTCCAATCAGCGGCCCGGCAACTCACGACAGCCCCCCGATCACAGATCTCCAATGAATGTCCGCAAGTTGGCCACTACTTTCCCACACCGGTTCCGTCTTCACCTCCTTCTGGCCTTCCTCCGCTGCGTCCACATTGTGCTCAACAACCATCACTAGGCCTTTCGAACGTTCTGGCTGCAGACCAGAGCGCCAGAAGGCGGCTGACAGACAGCGCCCTCGTCCATCTTCATCACCATCTTCATCACCGTTCCTATACGTACACACAACACAAACTAGGCTTCCCTCTGCTGTCATGCCGCTGGGCCTTGGCTACTCTATACTATTCTGTGATCCCTACGGAATACATAGCTTTGCGGCATGGTCCTATATGCCTCCGGCCGCGGAACTCTGTCTGACTGGGTGTTCAACAAACGCCCTTACGCTTTCTCCCACTGTCAAAATCCTGAAACGTCGGCATCGCCGCCATGAAGGCGTTCGCGGCAGACCAGGGTCGGGCCTGTACGTACTCTTCTCCAGCATATCATCCATAAGTATACGCCCTTGAGAAAAGCCCTCGTGAACCGTTTTACCCTTCGCGGCATGGATGCCTAGCGCCGCAACTGCCAACCCGTATCCGCATATCTCTGGCTCTGCGCTTTCACCCCTTGCACTGTGTCGGAAACGAAGGAACAGTCGACAATCGGACGAAATGAACCATGAAAGTGCAATTCCAGATATGCGATAGCGTTCATTAGCGCCTGCAGGCGCTGCGCAGAGTACACGCTCACCTTTGCCCCGTCTCGAGGTTCACCGACGGCAGAATTGCCTTATCGCCCTTTCACAGCAGACGTGTCGCCGCAGCGCCACGTTTTCCGCACCTTCACGCCACTTCGCCGTCCAGCACCGCCGGAATTTCCATACCTCTTTTTCTCGGAAATTGGATTCCTTTTGTTTTGACTCGCAAAGACGCAGTCTCAGTTTGAACCTTGTTGTAAGCTCTTTTGTCTATCTTTCATTTGCGTTTAAGGTCCCCGATAATGCAGCATACTCTATTCTGTGAAGGTCTCTGCCACTTACTATTAGTCGCCGGACAGGACTCAATTTAGTGGAATGAACAAACGGCGTTCATTCGACGAGTCCAAGACGCCTTTGACTCTCCTGCCCTGAGCAATCCTCATAAAATAGGCTTTGAAGCGCCCAACCCTCTGCCTTCCCGCCCAGAGCAAGAGTCAATCCCCGCATGTAAGTACAGGCGATTGGTGGACCAGGAACCTCAAAAGTATGTCCAACAACAGAACAAAACTCCAGCTTCTAGACAGGAACAGGGAAGAGTTGCTGGGGTTTAGCTCAGGTCTTTTCGAATGTAAACTCGCATGTATGTTCAACAAGCTTTCACTCAAAGTGTTGACTACTGCCTACGACGTTCGCAAGGTTCGAACGGTGCACAAAGCATGAAGCTCTCCTGTCTCGCTCCTTCCTCTTCTTCCCCTTCTTCCTCTTCCTATTCTCATGGACACCTATACATAGTGTTCACCATGACATAGCTCTGCCTGCCAAGAGATACAGGACAGGATCCGTTCGTTGAACGAACCTTGAGAAGTTCTGAGAGACAGAGCGTCTAGATAGCCAGCCTCTTCCTTTCCCAGCCTGCCAGTTCCCAGTATCACCATCCACTCTTCAGTTCAGGATTAGACTGAGCGTACAGCATGCGAATGAGCCCGAGGGTCCATCCCACCAGTCCCGATTCCCTTCTCGATGGCTCGTCTCGTCCTACTAAACCCTTCCCCACGTCTCCTCCCCTATCTCCAAGCGCCGTCCTCCCAGCGCTAACTTTCCGAATTCCGACATGTCACACAGCTCCAGGCCCCCACGCAGAGTTGTTACTCACGCCCACCTGGCCCCTCAGGCAGACTGAGGCGTGCCCCCCTTCGCCCTCCCGCGATGGAAGGTGGGAGACGAGCGTGTGGGTCCAACGCTAAAACTTGCCTTTGCGAATGCGGTGTGCTGGGAGTAGGGTACACCCTGCTTGCGAGGTTCGCGCGATCATATAGGACGTCTGGATGGATGAGTAGGGGTGGGATATCAGCAAGTGCGATGATTCTTTGTTGAGTTGAAGGAGATGGGGAGAGATGGATGAGGATGAGGGCCTGGGCGGACGGATTGGGGATGTTCCCTTTTGCGGTGCATCTTTGGCTCTTTGTTCAACAGTTCAACTTTGTTGGCGCACAAGGCGCGCGGCGTGCGCTCTGAGCGCGATATTCGGGGAAAGCGTATGAATCTTCTGGCGTCATGAATCAAATAGATATCTACGCGAGCGGCGGGCGGTGAGCAGTGAGCGCTACACTCTCGTAACCTTTGTGCCGGGCTGCTCTGGGCTATATTCACTAGACTCTGAATACGCATCTCTGAATACATTCGTATCTGTATCAGTAGAAGTCCGTACAGTGGAACACATATCAATCGAACGAACGCGTCCCGGCGGCCTTGGACTGATATGATTCATTCGGGCTCGCCACGGCGGGAACCTTTGAAGTTCGGAATACAAAGGTGTGTACGTACGCTCAACACAGTGCCACACTTGTCCGTTGATTCAAGAGCTTTGCAAGTTATGAATAGCGCGGGCACGGCATCGCGATATGGTGGGCGTTGGGTGGGCCGACGGCGTCGATCGAGGACGTTTTATGACTCTTTCGTCAAACATCGGCTCAAAAAGCAGCGCTGACAACAAATATAGGATTCGTGGCGCTGTTTCTTAGTGAGCACAGGCACCTAGCCATCTTTCTTCGTCCAGAAATTCCGAGAGGTCCCGAGACGCCTATGCAGAGGCCGCCAGACGTCGCACAAGCTCTCAGATCACCCGCCGTTCGCGCAATTGACGTCTAACAGACATATTAGTATAGCAATAATAGTACGAAGATTAGTATGTCAATCTCCCGGAATTTAGCCCCGCATAAAGCCTAGATAACTCGAGAGATAGCATCGATGTGTATCTGCCCTTGATTATCGACGTTGGACGCCGTCGTTTTATTTTAGGCAGCCTGAACCTTGGCAGATAACAAGTGAACGTTTGAACCCTTGTTCTTCTTGTGGGTTGTCAGACATGTCAGCGTTCGAAGGGGCTATGACGCGTTATCACTTCTCTAGCACACTATCTTTACGCGTCTCCGTCAGAGTTATTTGCAGAACCACTTTGCGTGTTCACAAAGGCGCCTGTCTGCACGGCTGCCCAGGCTCGGCCCAGGGTTTAGACGGTCAGATGTTCGTGTCATGCACTCACGACGCGAGGTTTGTTATCTTTCATTTCTGCAGGCTAAACGAGCAGGAGCTGAAGAAGTTGGAACGCTTCCATACCCTTCCTCACGCAGGATGAATTCGAAGTTTCATCTCCCACTACTTATCTGAATAAAACATAGAGGTCATATGCGGAGTTATGAGTGAACGGATGACGAATTTACCCTTCTTCCGATCCACCCTGCCCCAGCCACGTTCCCAGACCGCATCAACAGGAAACCCACCTTGCTCCGGATACAAGGAGTCTGAGCGTCTACCGGCGCCTCGAGGCGCGCTGAACCGTGCGACACCGCACGCGAGTCCTCTTATCTACCCGCCGCGTGGGCGACCAAGATGGATACATAGATGACACTGCTCTCCGAGGTGGAGAGGGTTGGGATAGACAGCCTCGTGGCTACTCGGGGGTGAGGCAGTGATGATGATCCGGTCAGTATGTATAGGTAGGCTTGTCTTCGGGGCGAGCTATAGTCGCTCTCGTGGGCTTGCTCTGTGACTCGAGTATGATGCTTAGAAGACGACGCTCGGATCCTCAACCCTCTTTAACCTGCCTCCTTACCGAGCAAGGATAACGTCCTGACCACCCAGGGTCGGAGGGTCGAGTCGGATCGGCCACGGTACGCGATGCATGATCCTTTAAAGAATTGCTTACACTTCTCGGTCGTCAACCGCTTCTGCCGTGCGAGTGCCAGATGGGGCGAATCCTGAACGGTCGATGGTTCTAGGAAGTGTCGAAACGTAACACGAGTGGGATGGGCTCGGCTTCGGGGTGTTGAGATTGAATTGTAGTTGAGCGACTTCGAGGCCGTCGGGATCGTCCCGGCCGCGGCCCTGCGCCACACTGGTTACAATAATTTCCCGAGAAGGCAAATGCGTGGAAATGGCGGGACATCGGAATCCGTCAGCCGCTATTCCGCCGTGTCATAATGTCCTTTCGTCCTAAGGTGCTGAACAACCGGATTCCGCGCGGAAATTAATCCTGTAATCCTATACATAAGTAGTCCGAAAAAATTCCCGTAAACCGCGTCCTAGCTATAGGAGGATGTTCAGGTCGATAAGATACGGATAAAGTTTGTGGGAGGTCCTACTCTGTCCTAGAGTCACCATCGGAAAAATGATCTCTTCTGCTTCCCTTGATCTCCGGAAGCCTCTTTTGCTTGCTCTTTGGCGGCCTTTTCCGCTGCTGCCTTCGCTGCTGCCTCCTGTGCAGCAGCAATTTCTTCTGGGGTCGGCGCAGCTATCGGTCGATATATGTCCCCAGCATCCCAGCTCATCGGCAGTAAGGCGACAGGAAGTACCCATGTCGCCGTTAAAACAACTCCGTTTCCTGAGACGAACCATAAGAAAATCACACAATTTGAAGGTATGTTCCTATGAAAAACTGCTTACCTTTGTCAAGAGATCGTATCCGATCCCAACTCCATGCAATGAAGACCCCGATGTAGCTGGTAACAGGACTCATTCGTTTTAAAATTGTAACAGCAGGCCTGAACTGTACGGGAACTAGCATCATTGGAATCTTGTCAAGCAACCACTTCAGAGCAGTCGTGATCATAGCAGCGCGTGCCGTCGCTTTGAGGGACGTCGCGTTGAGTTTAACCATGACTGCAGGTGGGAGGTAGAGGCGATAACCCCACCACGTTGTGAGTAATGACAATTGTGTCGTTGAGGGGACCCAGATGTGCTTCTCGACGACCTGCTCACTGTGCCGTTCAGGAGACCTTCCTTTCGCGGTCCCAGACTTGGGTTCGGACGGCTTGCTCGTACTTGCCCTTGGGCCATCTATATACTCTAGGATTGTTTCCGATTCGGCAAGCTGGAGTTGGGAATCGTCCTTGGGCTCCAGTGGCGCGTACATCATGAGCCCATCTTCGTCCTCCTCGACCGTGCTTGGAGTGGAGGCAGACTCTCCCCCCTTCCCCCCATCTTTCTTGAGACCGGCCAAAATATTCCATATTCCTGGGCTACCTTCGCCGCTTGGACTAGCTGCTGATGATTCTCTGAGCTTGCCGTTCATAAGCTCCTCCGATGAGAGCATGCGAACTAAGCTTTCGTCTAGCCCAGCAGGGACAGGGGGTGCTGACTGACTCTCATTTCCCTGTGTATCCGCAGTATCCGCATTGGTTGTAGTTGCTGACGAAGAGGTCCCAGGCAATGGAAGTGATTCGATAAGACCTCGAAGTTTCTTCGCAAATGAGATGGGCTCTGGAGGAGGCGGATCCTCGAAGTTAGATTCTGCCAGGGCAACAGGAGTGACGCGTGAAGATCCGAGGAGGTCATCACTGAGCTCCCAGGAGGGTGGAGGGAACACGATGAGTGGTTCCTTCTGACGGTTGACGAAGCTCCCTCCAAAAGACTTGAGACGGGCGATCGCGGTGAGCTTCTGGGTAGGCAGGCGAGGTGTAGACGTGTTGGCGAGTGAGTTATTGCCTTTCGGATTGGTTGAAGACATAGCTATGTGATAGTGCGTTGGGTATAATGTAGAAGAGCAAAGGTATAGTTGGGGGAAAGACAATGGTGTTGAATCTTGATTGTAGTTGTGCAGATGAGGTCAGTGAGTGGATAATAAGATAAGATAAGATGGGCGATTAGAGATGCATCCAGTTCCAGAACTACAAATCATCTCCCATGAGCTTCCGACCAATCCTATGTCCGCAATTTGGTTCATGAAATTCCTCCCTCTCAGAACCACAGAAACATATTACTGGAGCCGTCATCTCAAGGACTTCCGAACCATCTTCCAACTTCATTGCAAAGACTTCCTCGTCATCCATTCCAACATCTTCAAGACCCTTCAGACTTGGTTCGTAGTCTTCCTCGTCTGTTTCGTCAGATGCAACGATTCGCATAATTCGAAACCCATTTCGAGCACTAGCCCTTTGCCTTGCTCGTGTGACTGAGAGCAAGGCAACACCTTCCGCCCACCCCGACTCGAATTCAGCCCGAATCATTGAATACTTGTCTGGTTTAATCGCAGGCGACACGGTGACGCAGATGGTTTTAAGAGTTGGGAGAGAAGGAAAGATCCGGATTTTCGAAGGGGGCTTGTTCTTCTCTTCCGTTCTTTGACCTTCTGACTGTACTCGGGAACTCGCTGCTGCTGGTCGATCAGAATAATCCTGATTACGGAGCGATATGGTCGCCGCCGCTAGACCCTTCCGACCTCGCTTCGCCTTTTTCAAGTTTTTGGTGGCGGTCCTTCGCTCCGCAGGTGCATCGCTGCCTGTCGTTGCAGATACGGATGCGGCCGACAGCTTCACCACCTCCGCCCAAGCTTTTAAGGCCTTTTCACGTTCCTTCGCTCGCCTGGCACCAACGAGAGCGCATCTCTTGCCTAATGCGTTCCACTCTCCATCGAGGAGCTCGCCGCGTAGGATCGCGCAGCCGTCGAGAATGAGATGCTTCAAAGCCGTGAATCGCACCAGGATGGTATCGACTTCGCTCTCCAAAACACCACAGGTTGATACGTCGAGGAATTCCAATGACGCTGGAGCCTTTGAAAGGTTGAAATCGGAATTCGGGGGGGTAGGGACTGGGCTACACAAAGATCTAGCGATGGGTCGTCCAGGAATTCGAAACCGTAGGGCTTTTAGTGAGCGAGAAACGCCATGGGAATGTAGGAATATAGAAAGAGTGTAATCCAGGCGGTGGAAGACCAGTGGTTGAGCAAAGGCATGCTTCTGGATGACTTCAGGTTCCAATGCGTCTTGTACGATAGAAATCGTGGGCAAATGACTTGAGGGCCAACGAGAGATGGCTAGCAAAGTGGAATCAAAGTAGGCACCCTAGGCGGTTCAGAAAGGGGGACAGAAGCTCAGGGAAGAAGCATACCTTCAGAAACTGATAGTACGTCGCCTTCTGCACACTTGTGAAGCGATGAGCAACAGATGAATGAATGACGCAACAGGATCAAAGCTCACTAAGGTCGAAATCTCAAGTTGACATATCGTATTCCAGGAAAAGGCTTAGAGAATAGGTCTTCTAGGTGTTCAGGAGCAAAATTGGTCGGTCCAATTCGTATGCTCATCACGCGAAGTCTGGGGAAGAGGCGGACCAGGTTCAGGAAAACGTCGGCATCCATCTCCCATGTTTCGACATAGAGCTCTTTTACCCAGGCCGCCTTTTGTTCAGGTTCTGATAGTGTGGCTGTGGTGTCTTGACTGTCATCTTGAGTCGTAGTGCGACGACGAAATCGACTGTAGAATCGGATAGCTTGGTCGGGGACGGAGATGCAAAGATTGCGGAAGAGATAATACAGCGGGACCGGTGCCGAAGGAATGGCCCTGCTGACTGCCAGGACAGTTCTTTGACTTTCTCGAGAGGGAACCTGGCGGAAGATTGCCTCGTATAATTCCGCCGGGAGATGCTCAAAGTACATGATGATAATGAGAGAGCATCTTCAAGGTAAGCCCGGAATCTCCGGGATGATGGCTCCACAAGCGAATGTCACCTCAAGCTTCAAGTTTTAAGAGTCAGAAGAAAGCGGATATCCACTACTCCACTACTACTGGGAATATAATTTACCGATTCAAATCCAAACCAGAGGATCCCCCTTGTAGGTGCCATTGACGCTCGTTGTGTGACGGGGCTGGCGAAGGAGGTTGATTTGTCCAGACTGGAGCACCATGAGCACCTGGTGTGCCAACGCCAATCGTCATGCCTCGACCTTGACCACCCATGAAAGCACCCCGTGGCGCAGTCAGTTGTCCGCCAAATATCCCCGGTCTCCTTGCCTGTGGGCCTACTCTCATGCCGGGCTGTAGGTCCATTGGTCTTTGAAGTGAAGGTGTCGGTGGTTGCCCACTATTGTCCCAGTAAGATGGTCGAGCGCTGAATTGTTCAGGTATGTGACTTCTGCGCGAAGAATTTGAGAGGAATGCTGAGTAGCGCCCACTTTCTATTCGCTCGGCGTCCAGCGTTATCCCCTTCTCAGCCATAGTCTTCTCATCAATCCCCAGCATTCTTCGCAACTCCTTGTTCTCCTTCTCTAGCCGTGCAATTTCGCATTCACGTTCCAGCGCCCAGTCCTGCCGACCTTCAAGGCTGCCGTAGCCGCCAGCGCGTTTCTCTTCCAATGTGTCAAGTAGATTCGATAGTTCTTCGAGATCTATCCCCCCAAACCCAGAGCCATCGAAGTCCGGGTCGACATTTTGGTGCGTATCGGCGTCCTCCCCAGCCATGGTCTTCAAGAGACCACGAAGGTAGTGAGCTAATCGTTGGAGCGATAAGTACATATTGGGGTTTGTTGTGAGGTCCAAAGAATGATTTTGATTTTCACGGGATGAAAGCAATGTCTCGTAGTGTCTTGTGAGCGTCAGTTCATGTTGTTGAGCGGCGAGCTGACGACAACTGCGTTAGAGAGCTAAGAATATACTGAGAACAGCTGGGACATACTGCGTGATTGCGGAACTTTGACATGATCGTGTCCATTGTGGCCTCATGCTCCTTCAAAAGAAGACTCAGCTGCTTATTTTCATGGAGGAGTGTTTGGTTTTCGATGATTATTTGGGCATTTAGCCTCTCGAGTTCGGATTCGAAGGTTTCTAATGAGCAAATGAGCTTTATTGTTAGTGAGTAAACAGTCGAAAGAGCACCTTTCGAGATATCCGCATTGACACGACGCAAGGCGAAGCCTGCTGTAGCTTGAGTTGCTTGTTCCTTGATATTATCCAGGTTAGATACCATGATCTTTCCAAGGCCATTGAGCTGACCTTCAGAAGTCCAGCCTGGGATTGTAGAGAATTTGCAAGTTTTTGGTTGTGAGCTAATTGCTCGCTCAGCTCGTTTACGACCTGCCAGACGATGAGAAGTTCGCTTTCCATGATTTGATCGAGATGCCCGAAGTTGGAGGGAAAGGGGGGAGTATGAGGGATTAGTGTTTTCAAAGATGCAGAAGGTGCTTGGAGCTTGCACACTAGCTTGAGAGCGCACAACGCGCTTGGCAATGGCCCGAGGAGTGCTGTCGCGGTAAGGAAGAGTCGCGCTTGGCGTGGCATCCGAATAGATGTTCTGTTTGGTTTCAGGGCAGATGCCAAGCTTCTTTCAGGGGACTTTTAAGCGCCAAAGAGCGCGGCAACACTCGCAACTGTCATGCCTCCCAAAAAGCGCAAAAACGCTGAAGCCGAAGTGGACGACCCTCAAGAGGAGACCTCGACCAAGAAACAGAAGCACCAACCCTCAGAAGCGCATTCTGAGAAGGAGGTCGGGTCGAACTCGACAAAAGGGATACTCGTCCTACCCTCCGGACTTTGGACGGAGACCCTGAAGAACTTGCAGGCTATCGGACCACTTACGCGTGCACCGTCGGACACTCCAGTTCTCCCAGAAACATATCTCGAAAGAACTGACGCACTTCGCGCCCTCTCTCAAGTTTGTGTCGCATATCGACGCGCCTTCTTACCGGTTCTTTGGGAATCTTTCACAGCGTGCTGTTCTGCTCGCGTTTCCGCAAAAACCAAGCCAGGCTCTTTCTACAAACATAATGGAGAGGCTCTTTTGCGCAAGTGTGCTGGGCTTACCGCAAATCCGGAATTGGCGGGTTTTGTTAGGTGAGCAGGCCCTTTGATATCGACATTGGTACCGGCATTGCTGAGACGAGTTTCTTACTTCCCCACTAGAGGGGCCCATGTTATTCTTACGCGATATCAAGCCGCCACACTCATTCCAACCTTCTCAGCAGCTCTCGGCAAACTTCCGAACCTGCACACCCTCCATGTTCTCCACGCCCACACCGCAATGACGACAGCCTTGAAGACCGGGTTTGAAGGAGTCGCCCTGCCACAGATTCGCACCCTGATAATACCGGGCAATGGGCATGAAATATTGCGCAGTTGCCCTCATGTTTTGACTGTACGCTGCACGTCGGAGGATGGTAGCAAGCTCATCACGGTCATTGGAAAACATTGTCTAGATGTTCAAGAAATGCATGGCTTCTGCACAGAGGAAAGCTATATGAAACGTGAGACCAACTACTCAAAGCCAGATACTATGCCTTGCTTGAACTAATATTGTCACATCCTTTTCTTAGGAATCGTGAAAGCAGCCCCGAACCTACGTGTTTTCGAAATCTCCACCTATAATCCAGAGGTAAAATATGCGGCAATTTCTAATGACAAATCTTACTCAACACTGCGACAGAGTGTTGTCCAATTTCTCCCCAAGTTCAAAAATATCAATACCGTGATTATAAGAACTCCTCGCAGCCGTGAAGACAAGCAGGCTGCTGCCCTACAGGCATGCATCAGAACAGTCGTCAAGGGTTTCAAATATTTGCCTCCCTCCAGAGAGGAGAGACGTGTGCGTCTTTGGCACGACGACTGGGAGACGCGACAATCAGAGTCGGGAGGATTCTTCACTGAAGTTGATCTTGAACAGGCATGATGTAGTAATACAAGCAAATATACAAAGAGCAAGTGTACAGATTTTTTAAAATGCATGATGATGAATCTAGTGGTCTACAGGCGAGAGAACAGGAGCTCGTCAAGAAATATGCACCGGACTCTGTGTTACGCAGGAAAACAAACTGCGCGAATTCAATCTGACAACTCGTCTGCGAGGTCGGCATCATCAAGGAGACAGTCAGCGTAATCCTAGTTTATCGGTGAGGACCTTCGGAAAGAAATACAGCCCGGATGCTCACATCCACGTTAACTTCTTCGGTGCGAACTGGAACCAATGGCGACACAGCACACAAAACCTTCAATTGTGATTTAGGCCAGTTGTAAGGCACCGAATTTCTGTCGGGTAATTGCTGTAGACTTGCCTGGGCTGGGGGCTTGGGGGGTGGTTGCTTGCCAGATGGCACCGGCTTAGGCGCTGACGTCGGAGCGCATGCACCAGTGGCTGCGTTCTTGTGCTCAGTCTTCGATATGGGCTCTAAGGTACCAACTTTAGACACAAAAGATGTTGATAAGAGAATTGCGTACGGGAGTTCAAAGCTTTCGCATCTAGAACTGTCGTGACCTTCCGCACTTTGGTGGGCAAATCAAGTGCCTCAACGACACCTTCTGGCCCTTGTATCTCGACAGGCGAAACATTGGCTTCGTTTGCAAGAACACTCTTACCGAGTACCTGATCCAGTTCTGTGTGAAGAGCATCCCAGTTTCGCTCTGGAACAGCAGGCAGACATGCTCCCTGGTTTGCCATAGCGTCGGCACCGTCATTGCCAACATCGCCGCTATGACCTTTGACATACTGAAGCGAGAGCTTTTGACCACTTTTGGCTCGTATCTCGAAGTGTTTGGCAATGCATCGTATGATGCCTGCGTTCTTGACGGGCTCGCCCGAAGCAGTTTTCCAGCCCTTTCCAACCCATTTTTTGACCCAGTGCTGAAAGCCTGCATGCCATGATAAGCAAGGATCACAGCATTAATCCAGAGCAACGCACAATTTATGGAATATTGTGAATCTGTCTTGATTATTAATGGTGTTTTGCTAACTGGTGTGGTTTCAAAAACACGGAGAATAGCCTACAATAGAGAGATAAAACACGCCAAAGATAGCTTTAGTCAAATGCCTCACTATCAGCTCTGCTCGGTTGTTCGTTTGGTCTCCTGGGCATCGCTCAGCAATATTCCTACGAAAGGCTAATGCTTGAGTGCTAGACAGGTCAATGAACACAGACGGTGCCCACCTTGTATCGTTGGGGCCCCACCAAACACCGACGCCTGCTACAGAGCCGACTTTTCCGTTCCCTTTGCAGGCACCATCGCTGTATACCACACTCCACCCAGATTCGTCTTCAACTTCGGAAAAGATACGTTTCTTTCCTTTAACATCCTCACTTGTGTTAGTGGATGAACTCGCTGGACCCGTGGACTCAATCCCGGCCACGAAGTCTTGCGCGAGATTTTGATTCGGGAATTTCTTATATTTTGCATTTGGAAAACCTTTTATCTGTGCTTCACACTCGGTCCTATTGGGGTACGTCACAGCATAGAGAGATTGATATGGTGTGTACCATACCATGTTGTGTATACTCCAGGAATTCTACCTTGGCGCACTGCATAGAAGCCTCCCTTCGCTGTTCGGCTGGAGGACATGGTGGGCGTTGTGTTCTGACGAGCAATGACGGGACGCTTGACGCTGTACAAGAACGAGCGAGTCAGTGACAGAAATCGTGGTAGCTTGGCCAGTTTGGTTCAACGAACTTGTTGCCGAGTCAAAATCACACGCGGACGGCGACGCGTCTGCCAAATTAGACATCACGTGCCACATAGATATATTCTGCACTGCCACTGCACTGCAGTTGCTGCCGAGTCCATCAGTGTTCTGTCCGAAATCACCTCGGGGCTTCACTCCAAGATGGGACACGACACTTGTCCGGCGCTTGTCACTTCTCTTCCTTGCTCTTGGCCATCGTTATCGAACCTCTTCATCGCACGAGCCGCAGCACGCTCCAAGCCAAGAAAAGCCCACGTCGAATCCACCTATAGATGTCGGTTTATGACCCACCATCTCCGGATCTAGGCTATAGGGGAGAACCAGCGATATCAATCTTCTCTGCTTCATCGACCCTCAATACACCTTCGAGCCCACCACCACCCGGTGATGTAGCAGCTTATTTAGCAGGTTTGCTCCCCTCGCATGCTGCGTCCTTTGCCATCTGATCGGTCCATTATAGGCATCACGGTGCAATTGGATCGTCAGGTCAAGGGTGCGGTCTACCTCAAATTGCTGGTGAAAGGTCGCGAACACCTCAAGCTACCTTACAAATATGACTGCACACCGGATACCCCAGTGCACTGGACGCTGGAACCCTATTTGTCAGTCACCTTTTAGACTATCCTTGTCACATCTCTGATCGACTATCCTCAGCACTCTTCGGCAAGGTGCAGAACTTGTAGTGCAAGTTCGAAAGCGTCGACGTTGGCCAAAGAATGCTTTACTTTCCGAAGCCTCGCTGTCTCACCTCGAACTCCAGAACTCTTTGCTGCTAGACGGAGAAAAACGACACCATCCTATGCGCCAAAATCCCTCCATAACTTTGGAACTAGTTTCAGTGAGCAGTCTTTATGTTAGGCACATGCACAAAATGATGCTATCATTTGGCAGGACCCGACCCCATTGCACACCATGCTAGAGGTGGCAGCTGACAAGGCGAGCGAGATTCGGAGTGTTTTGGATCGTCTAGGGAAGTCAAGGAGATTCTTAGACGATTTGGTACGCTATGGTATTGCTGTCGGCGAGGTATGTTCTCCCTCTTGTTTTCGTTGATTCGTCCGTTTCAATGGTCTGCCTAGCTGGATCCTGTAGCCAAGGCAGTAATGGCGTGTGTCGGTGTCGTTTATCATGTAAGGCCGCGTTAACTGCATGGTGAACCGTGCTAATCGGTATTTTGGAACAGAAACTTTTGGAGCAGGATAAATGCCATAAAGTCATTGTGAATCTTGCAGAATCCATGGCTCGTACTTTAGGCTACATAGAAGATGTGGAACAATTCGCAAGGATCAGCCAATTAAGAAAATGCATCGAGGAAGTCCGGCCGCTTATGCAAGACACAACAGATTTTATTGTTGCATTTATAAACAAGAGCAAAATGTGTATGTATTTGACCTTTTCTGTGAATGTAGTTCTCTGATGTACGAAATGCCCCAGCGCACCTTTTCAACTCCTCGGTCGATCATGAGAAAGTGAACGATCTCAAGAAAAGGTTTGAGATATTCCAGCAGCAATTCGATCGAGGAGTAGCTGTCCAGTCAGGAGCGACTATAGAAACCTTGCTTGATGCTATCAGTAAGTTGCTTCGGTGAATAACAAACACACAAACCCTGAATACGTGCCAGGTTCGAGGAAAGATGACGACCTCCTCCAAGAGTTGAAACCGAGAGGCCGTGACAGTCGGTCTACAATTCCAGAATGCATGCGCGGGACAAGATTGGACGTCCTGTCTTCGATTGACGATTGGGTCGACGACTTCAAGGCGCTCAACATTCTTTGGATCCGTGGATTTCCTGGGGTGGGCAAATCTGCAATTGCTGGGTCGCTCATCCAGAAACTCCGTGCTATGAACCGTCTGGGTTCCAACTTCATTTTCGAACGGGCCAAATCCACAACATCGACGCCGAATGCCCTTTGGCGTAGCGTGGCCTTTGATATGTCCCGTCTTTATCCCACGGTGCGCAAGATTGTCATCGAACGATTGGAAGACGAAGAAGTCGACGTTGATTCTTCCAACGTCAAGACTATTTTCCGAAACTTGATCGAGGAGCCACTCCTCGCTTCTTATGACATTCCGATTGGTCGTCTTCCGGTCATTGTTATCGATGCACTCGACGAATGCGGAGGAAACAGAGGCCAGCAATCTACCGACAGAGAGGGACTACTATCTACCCTCAAACGCTGGGCGCGTTTACCCAGCAAGTTCAAGCTTATCGTCACTAGTCGCGGAGAAGACGACATTGAAAGGATCCTTTCGCCCATCGCCGAAACTCTGGACCTATCTTCCGGAACTCAAGTCAAAGCTCAAGCATCAGATGATATACGCCTATTTCTAAAGACCCGTTTCGCGAAGATCACCAAAGGCTATCCCGAATCGCTTGAACCAGATTGGCCCGGTTCCGAAATCATCGACGAGCTGACCCACCGTGCGGCCGGATTGTTCATCTGGGCCAAGACACTCATCGGTTTCGTTAAGGAGGGCGAGCCTAAAAGCCAACTAGACTTGATCATACACAATGGCATAGGTTTAGGCGACGTGGCCCTGCTCTATTCACGTGTCCTCGACAATTCTTTCCGACTTCCTAGTCCCTCAGTCCTCGAATCTTTCCGTGCTATAGCAGGTGCCATGGTTTTTGCCAGGAGGCCTTTGACTCGGAGCGAATGTATAGATCTATTATGTGTCGAGCCTTCCATGTTGGACTTCATTCGACGCGGGCTCCAGCCCGTCATGAACAAGGAGGACGTCCTCCAGTTCAACCACCAGTCTTTTGTCGAATTCCTCCTCGATGCAGACAAATGCCCGCCGCCGTTCCACCTCTTAGAAACCCCCCAACACCACAACTTGACAGTGAAGTGCCTGGAAATTATGAAGGAAAAACTTCATTTCGATATGTGCCAGTTACCGACCTCTCACGTGCGGAATCACCAAATCAACGACCTTGAATCTCGGATCCAAGAATACATCACCACGGCCGTCACGTACGCGTGTCGATTTTGGGTTGACCATCTTCGTGCGGTTCCCTATGAGCCTGGTATATTTGAGACTGTCAAAGAGCTCCTACACGAGAAACTTCTCTATTGGTTTGAAGTTCTCAGTCTTATCAACGATATGAATTCCGCTGCTCCCCTCTTGACGTCCGTGTACGAGTGGTGTGAGGTCTGTCATTCGTTCTACGGGCACAAATATAAGCGTTGACATTTTTTTCTAGCCTAGCCAAGATGGCGAATTCTTATCGTATTTAAAAGATGCTTTAAAGTTTATTGCTGCGTTTGGAGGAGTCATGTCACAAAGCGCACCCCACATCTATCTTTCCGCTCTCCCATTTGCACCTTCGAGGTCGAGGGTTGCCCAACGATTCCTTCCGCAATACCCAGGCACTTTGAGGCTGCAAACCGGCCATCTGACGAACTGGCCTCGTATTCTATTTGTCATCGAAGAACATGAAAAGGCGGTCAATTGTGTAGCATATTCACTTGATGGAAAGCTCATCGTCTCCGGTTCAGGGGATAGAACGGTCTGTGTTTGGGACGCAGAAACAGGAGACCTGGTATCCACGCCGCTGGCAGAAGGGCACGCCAGCTCCGTCAACTCCGTCGCAATCTCTGCAGACAATCGTTGTGTCGCCTCCGGCTCGGACGACTGGACTATCCGACTATGGGATGCTGAAAGTGGAGACATCCTCGCAGAGCCATTAAAGGGCCACGAGAACGTCGTCGCATCTGTAGCATTCTCTCGGAGTGGACGATATGTTGTTTCCGGCTCCCATGATCGAACCATTCGCCTGTGGGACTTGGAGGAAGAAGGCAACATAATTTCGAGAGTCTTCAAAGGGCACACAGCTGGAGTCACGGCGGTCGCATTCTCTAGTGACGACAAGTACGTCACGTCCGGCTCTTTCGACCGAACAGTGTGCGTCTGGGATGTTGAAACCGGGAAAATCGCGAAGGGGCCGTTCGAAGGACATACCAGCTGGGTAAACTGTGTCGCCTTCTCTCCAACTGACAATAATTTGGTCGTCTCTGCCTCTGATGATGAAACCATCCAACTCTGGGATCTATCCGCCGAGGAGGCTATTTGGGATCCATGGGAGGCCCACACCGATAGTGTGACTTCTGTCGCATTTTCTTCCGATGGCAAACGATTAGTTTCAGGTTCGCACGATGAAACCCTGCGCATCTGGGACGTAGCCAGCGGAGAAGTTATCTGTGGGCCTTTTAAGGGTCATACCAACGGTGTTACTTCGGTTTCCTTCTCCTTCGACGGTCGTCGAGTTATGTCCGGCTCTCGTGACGAGACAATCCGTGTTTGGGATGCCGAGTCCAGAGATGAGTCGGACGAGACCCTCTCTTTCACAGCCCACAGCGACGGCGTCACGTCCGTACGTTTTACTCCAGACGGAGGACACATTATATCCGGTTCCGATGACGAAACCATTCGACAGTGGGAAGCAGATAGTGGCATTGAAACAATGAAGATGACCGGGCATAGCAGTTGGATCGACACAGTTGCCGTCTCGCCAGATGGAAAGTATGTTGCTTCCGCGTCCGACGATCAAACTGTTTGCATCTGGAGCCTTGAGACCGGAGAGTTGGCCCGTCCTCCACTCGAGGGACACAGACACGGTGTTACATCCGTCTACTTCTTTCCAGACAGCCGTCGGGTTGTATCCGGTTCCTATGATGAAACTATCAGAATCTGGGACATTGAAACCGGTAAAACCATCTTAGGTCCAATTGAACCCCATACCAGTTGGATTACGACGGTTGCGGTTTCCTCGAATGGCTTGCTCATTGCTTCTGGTTCTTATGACAAATCCGTCAAAGTGATGGATGTAGAGACAGGATTTACCATTGTGGAGCTCAAAGGGCATTCAGGACCCGTTAATTGTATCGCCTTCTCCCCAGATTGCGCCTTCCTCGCTTCCGCGTCTGGTGATAAAACTATTCGTATTTGGGACATGCGGTCAGGAGAACTGGCGTATAGGCCTCTTGAGGGCCACACCAATTCTGTGCTCTGCCTCTCCTTCTCGCCAGATAATCAACTTCTCGCCACCGGCTCGGTTGACAAAACTATCAGAATTTGGGATATTCGAACGGGGGAAGTCATTCTCGGTCCCTTGGAAGGGCATACGGCAGGCATTTTCTCGCTCTCCTTTTCCCCGGATGGCACGCGATTGGTGTCTGCCTCTGAGGATGAGACCATCCGCGTTTGGGATGTGACATCGGAAAGTGTGCTATCCGAGTTGGCGAACGCAGGCCCAATCGAGTTCACTGATGATTCTGGCTTACAAAGTGGCTGGATAGCTGGACCAAATTCATCCTTGCTGTTCTGGGTTCCGCCGTGGAATAGAAGTGGATTATGGTGGCCGAGGAATACTGCAGTCATTTGCAACCTCCCCACAAGGCTTGACTTGAGCTGTTTCGAAAATGGACCAAGTTGGCGGAATTGCCGCGACGATTCAACTCGATAGCAAAATTGCGCATCACAATTATAACAATAATTTGTACGTACTTATCCCTAGGGCATAGATGGTCGCTTCACTTGCACATCCTTACTTCATACCGGGTATTCCAAAGCTAGTCATCACCAAACATGATCTTGAGGTTCTGTATGCTTTCAGGATCAGCCTTTCCGCTCCCACGGAATGCTTCGTTTACGATAGCGGTTTTCCTCTTTTGTATCTGGAGAATCCGTTTTTCGATGGTTTTTGATATCTACGTCCGCGCGTCAGGGTGTGGGGGTGCAGGCAAACGTTCTGATTTCTTACTATGAAGTGCTTGACATAAACCGTTTTGTCCTGCCCGATTCTATGAACCCTATCGATTGCTGCAGTGGAGTGAGTGCGCATTGCTTAGGTGCAGTGTAACAGCGCAGACCTTGGTTCTCTACTGCGGCATTCCACCAACAATCCATCTACCAGATTGTATCAGTAAGACGAATGTATCTCGGGTAAACAATAGAGCCATACCATGAATACGTGATTCGCAGTTGTTAGCTGGAACACGGGGCAAATGAGCTAGTGCAAGTGGAGGCGAAACAATCTTCTTACGTTGAGGCCAACGCCGCCTGCTTTCAAGCTCACAACAAGAACCTTGGGTTTACGGGATGGAGATTTGAAGTCACTGATTGCAGCGCTTTTCTTTTTCACGTCCATGGTTCCGTCGAATCTGTAGTGGTTGAAACGTTCTCGATCCAGCGCGACTTGTATCAAATCAAGAAAACTCGTAAATTGGGAGAAGACCACAGCTCGGAAACAGGGATCTTGGGCCCGCAGCTTGCCTAAACATGCAGAGGCCTGTTTCAGGGAAAACAATCTAAGGGGGCTGAAGCTACCACGTACGAAGGTTTTGAATTAGGGCATCTAGCTTTGTCGAGGACTGGAAGTCATTCTGCCGCAGGACAACGTCAGGCTCAGAAGCCTGTGAGTTTGAAAGGATTGTATTTTTTTCTTTTCGCACGATTTCGACCAATTCCGAGCTCTGCAAGGGAGAAATAGATCAACGTCATGTGGTTGAATGTCCGCAGAAGCTTAGTAACTGACTTGTATAGGGCCGCTATTGCAGGTAGGGCAGTTCGGCTTCTGGTCTCTCTGTTCGCATATGCCAATATGAGATATAATGCAATCTTTGCAGCTACAGCACGCAATGTCAGAAATTAAGTGAATGCAGAACGAAGAAAAGAAAAGCACAATTGATGCATGCAGCGAGGGACAACCATAGGAACTTCCATTTCGTTGAAGTAGATCGGACAATCGGCATTATCTTCTCCCTTGAGGTTTGCCATGAAGTTTTCCGCGAATTCATTGGAACCATCTGGAGTGGTTTGCCCGTCTTCAGCAAAACGCTTGATCAAGTCGTTGACATCGGCTCGACCGTCCTTTTCAGGAGATAATGCGCGCTCGTCATCTTTAATCAAGACTAGAGTTGGATGCAGAACTGCTCGCCGTAATCTGACCAATGAAAAAAAAATAATGGAGGCTTTTCTTTCAAACAGGAATTTCTTCGTACCTCATAAGCATGGCCAAAATGTGCGTGTAATTCTTACCCACAAGCCCCTTCGCGTCAAGTTGCTCAAAATTGCGCTTGGCTAAGTGGTATATGGAGTCATAGATTTTTCTCTCTAGAGGAGTGAACTCTAGTTCTTCCGTTACCACCTTGATGCAATATCAGAACCGAAACTATCACTGAAAGGATCTCTCACCTCCTTTGGTGGCAATTCGACTATTCTCTTCCCATCTGTATCAAGCATGTTCTTCTCCCGCCTAAGAAGAATGCTCTCTAGAATGACTTGGACAACTTCGATGGCCTTTACATCACCCGCGAGGAATGGAAGTGTAATGAACCTGACGAGACAGCAATGAAGTGGAATATAAAAAGAGGGATGCACGAAAGAAACTTGCGATCGAAAGAATGAGAATTCAGACCACGGCTTGAAATCCAGGAACTTGCTGTTTAGTTGCTGAGCGACTTTTTCTAGTTGCGATCCACGTCAACTTACAGAAGTGAATATAGGTCCTCCAGCCGGTTCACAATCGGCGTTCCTAGGTTGTCATGTTAGTAGAAATACTCCGCAGATGAACAGCGAAGTTTTCACCTGTGACAGTCCATCGTCGCTTTGCTGAGAGAGCATACACTGCCTTGGCAGTTTTACTCGTTCGAGATTTACACGAATGAGCCTCGTCGAGAACGACCCGCCACCAATTGACTGAGTATTTTATCAAGCAGAATTTCAAGAGCAGGCTCGTTTGACGCACTTTCAAACACTGGTGGCTTGACGCTTTGGGAATTCTTTATTTTGGCGTGTTCTGATGCAAGAACCCCATAGGATGTGATTACGATTTTCAACGTCCTATTATCGCTATCGTTATCGACGAGAGCCTCAAGATCTAGTCGATTCTGGCCATGCCAAACAAAGACATCGAGCGTTCCAGGTTTACTCGAGCGCTGGAGCTCTTCTGCCCATTGGTTTAACAGAGACGTTGGAGCAACAATTAACGTTGCAGATGGAGATTTGGCAGGCTGAAGGTTCCTGTTGTTCCCCGAGCGGAAGGCGTTATTCAACTTTAGTTGCTTGACTCTCGAATGCACATTCGTATCTCCTGACTCCTCGTTTTGATATGGCATACTTGTTTGTATCAGAGCGGACAGCATAATAGTCTTGCCCATGCCCACTGGAGAAAGAAGGAATTAGCACCTTAAACTGTTATTTGGAAACGTATAACACATACTCTCTATCATAGAAACCGAAATCTATAATCAGCAAACGGGAGTAACAAAATACAAGCCACTGTACCATCACTAACAAAGGGGTTAGCACCAAATCATGGGTGTCAAAGATACTAGACTTGCGCTAGAATCCCACCCTTGCAATTCCTCTCAGCTTTAGGGAAGTCCAAACTCAATTCGCCAGAGTAAGAATTGAAATAAAATAATTTGTCATCGGCAGTCAAGTCGATCATATCGCCGTCGATAACTGGTTCTTGAGGAAAGGTATATCTGCATTACCTTCAGGTCAGGACGTCGGTAAAACTGTTACAACACCTACTGGCTCCAGAGTGGGTGCATAGAGGTTGCTTCTCGCGCGTCGATGGCTCCAGTCTCCAAAGAATGCATCCAACTGCGACGAAATGAATTTTAAAAAAAAACAGACGCTATCTGAGACAGACGTACAAGAGAGCTTGCTTTTGATAACCTCGTAAAGTTAGATTGAAAGATTCTGAAGGTTCCATTTCGCCCATGCTGCGGTCATTATGTTGCGCCCTATATAATCAGTCAGTACGCAAATATATTTCGTGATCGAAATAGAGGTAATTGCTTTGTATAGATAGCATCAATGTCATTGTTGGAGAGATCTTCCCCGTCGTCTACTTCGATTTCTTCGCCATCTCCGACAATCTCCTTTACCTTCTTGCCTGATCGTCGTTTGAGGGGCTCCTCTTGGATCTTGCCCTGCGGTCGCTTGCCTCTGGAACGAGCACCGGCCTGAGGCTTCAATCCCAAAACATCAAATAGCTTTACAGTGGCATTTTTGCGTTCTCGAAGATGACTAAAAGACTACGACGTTAGCAACGAGGACAAGATTGGTTCGCATACGCTAGGGGCTCACACTTCATCTTCTGTCTCGAGGCCCTCGTTGAATCCGAACGATACGGAATCTTCGTCTTTGCCAGACGTTTTGAGCGGTTTGAACGCTCCAGCAAGTAGATATATATGAAGCGTCACAATTAGGCTGACTCCAGTGGTAAGTTTTTCCGGGCAATCTGTCATTATTCCGCGAATCTCAACCATATCTGAAGAATGTCATTTAAAATCATGTTGGAAAAATGAATCGACGACTCACCTAGTTCGAGCAATTTTGCTATCCACCAAGAGACCTCCGTTGGCAATCTGCCAAACTCTTGACGAGACTCAAAATCTTATTGAGTACAACCATACAAATCGCTCACCGAAACCTTTGCTATTGACGAGACGAACGATGCTGTCGGCTTTCTTCTTCTTACTCGGTTTCGCAGGCTGAGGTTTGAGCATCGTGGCCAGTGTTATTTGCTTTTTGCCGTCGGATTTTTTCTTGCCATTTCCTGGCTTCGGCTTAGCAGTTGAGGGCTTTGAAATGTGTTCTTCTTTGTCCCTCTTAACAAGAACAGTGTCGTTTGGTTTGACATACCCTTTCCCAGAAACATTGCTCCACGCATTTGGAACGAGAAGTTCGCCAAGGTACGTACGGGGAAAGCTTGCTTTTGAGGGAGGAAGGGGGTCAGCTGACAGGCGACGCTTCTTGCTGATGTTAGTTGCAGGAGGCGAGTGGGCGTTAGGATGTGCACAAGCTGAAGCGGAAGACTGCGTGTCATTTGAAGATTTTTGTTCACGAGGCTGTTCCACGATTTCAATGTCAGAATCGTTGTCTTCCATAAGCGGTGGGTGCTTGCTAGAAGATGGCAAGTCCACTGGCATGGAGTCTTCTTTTTCGACATCGCTATCATGTAGGAACAAAGGAGGTGGAGGCGACGACCTTGCCGAGGAAGCACCAGTTCTTGGGGTTTGAGGTAAACTTGCACTTGACGGACCAGCATGTGATGCGTCTTCCGACATGGCAAAATCTTCATCATCATCTGAGCCAGCAAAGAATGGCGCCGGTGGGGAGCCTGGAGGCACTTGTGCATCAGCCATGGTCGTGGTGAAGTGAAGACGCGTGAGGAGTCAATTGGACGCGTCAAAGAAGTTTTACTTACATGGAACGCGTCCGATGACTCAGCAGCAACGCCAAATACTATACTTATAAGTATCCAAGCCCCTAACCCGGAGTCACCCAACCGTGCACCAACCATCCCTTGATCCTGCAAGGTTGTTCACACCTCGTGAAGTTTGTATACTTATATCGACACGCTGATAGGTATGACAGAATGGCGTCCGAAAGAAAACCCTTACCGGCCAACTTCAACTGAAGTCCACGTCTGCTGAAATACCCTGTCGAAGAAACGGATTCTCTGTACTTAATTTCCTTGAACTTCGAATTGCCCGTTTCATGTATTGAGACGGTTGCGCCTGGTGCTGGAGCATTTATCTTGACGTCCAAGTCGGACTTCGCCCAAAAACGCGATGATGGCCCTAATAGCGACAAACAACCCCGAAGATTACTTGTAGTTACCCTTCAATCAAATCATCGTCGATTACTTATCCAAAATGCAGCGTGGTTTACCGATGGTATGTCATGTTAATGCTCTTTATCACTATAGCTCACAACTATTTCTAGCAACCAACCGTCGTTTTACTGAAAGAGGGCACAGACACCTCGCAGGGAAAGGCGCAGTTACTCTCCAACATCTCGGCCTGCCTCGCTATCGCAGAGACGCTCTCAAGTACCCTTGGACCTAGAGGAATGGACAAGCTTATAGTAAATGATCGTGGAGAAGCTCAAATCACCAACGATGGCGCGACTATACTGAAGCTTTTGGACATTGTACACCCTGCTGCTCGCACCCTGGTCGACATCGCTCGAGCACAAGACGCAGAAGTTGGAGATGGTACAACAAGTGTCGTTCTTCTGGCTGCGCAGCTGTTGAAGGAAGTTAGAGGGTTTATCGAGGAGGGAGTCAGTCCGCACATCATAATGAAAGGTTTTAGGAAAGCTTCTCAATTGGTACGCGTCACTTTCTTCTGTGAATCGTATACAACGTCCCAACATTTGCCTAGACCCTCGACCAGATCAAGGAACTTCAGGTCACTGTCGACAAGTCAGATCCAGAGTAAAGCCTTCTCCTGCCTGTTGTGACTTTTAACTCACCATTAATTCAGACGGTTCCGGTCTCTACTCCTCAAATGCGCCTCAACCTCAATGTCTTCAAAATTGATTCACTCAGAAAAACCTTTCTTCTCCAAAATGGTAGTAGACGCTATCGAGTGTCTAGATCAAGACGATCTCGACGAGTCTTTGATTGGGGTCAAGAAGGTTGCTGGAGGAGGACTGCAAGACTCTCTGCTTGTCAAGGGCGTGGCGTTCAAGAAGACTTTCACCTATGCTGGTGCCGAACAACAACCAAAGCACTTTGTTGATCCTCTCATTTTGTGTTTGAACGTCGAACTGGAACTCAAAGCGGAGAAGGATAACGCTGAGGTGCGCGTCGACGCGGTCTCAGACTATCAGGCCATCGTGGATGCCGAATGGGAAATCATATATCGCAAACTGCAAGCGATCGAGAGGACGGGTGCTAAAGTCGTCCTCAGCAAACTGCCCATTGGAGATCTTGCGACGCAATGGTTTGCCGATCGCGACATTTTCTGTGCAGGCCGTGTTGCTGCCGGCGATCTACGACGTGTGGTTCAGGCTGCTGGCGGCGCGATTCAGTCAACATGTTCTGACATTGGGAGGGAGCACCTTGGAACTTGTGGGCTCTTCGAGGAACGGCAAATCGGGGGCGAACGATACAATATCTTTGAAGGGTGTCCAAAAGCAAAGACTTGCACCTTGGTTCTGCGTGGCGGCGCTGAACAATTTATCGAAGAGGTCGAGCGCAGTCTGCATGATGCTTTGATGGTCGTCAAACGGGCAGTGAGGAATGGAGAGGTTGTTGCGGGAGGTGGGGCTATTGAGGTGAGCAAAACCGGCGTTCAAACGCGTCATCGTCCTGATCGTTGACCCATTCACCTAGATGGAGTTGTCGGCTCATATCCGCAAGCATGCCCTGAGCATTCCAGGCAAACTCCAGCTTATCATTGCTGCGTTTGCTAAGGCGCTTGAAATTATTCCCCGCCAAATATGCGATAACGCAGGCCTGGATTCGACCGACATTCTCAACAAGTTGCGCATGAAACACGCCAGTGGGGAGATGTGGTACGGAGTCGACGTCGATGGCGCTTCAGGTGTTCGAGACAACATGGAGGCCTTCGTCTGGGAACCAAGTCTCGTCAAGGTCAATGCTATCAGCAGCGCTACTGAGGCCGCTTGCCTAATTCTAAGCGTTGACGAGACGGTCCGGAATCCCCAAAGCGAAGCGGTAAGTTTTGGCTTCTGTCGTAATTATGAGGCGAATTCTGAGATTTTCTCATCAGGCAAATGCTGGTCCGAAAGCACCGCCAGGAACCGCCCAGCGAGCGCTAAGAGGAAGAGGTCGGGGCATGGGTCGCCGATAAAGTACGATACACCGCAAGGTCTTGGCAAGGTATAACTTCATAGATTACTAAAAATAGTATTTCACGCGCTTTGTTGGTCGGTATTGCGCCATTGACCATGTCATGAACGCAATGGAGAGAATTCTCAACGCAATTGATAGGCGTGCTATCTAGCCATGCTGCTTCCCTTTCTTAAATACTCTCCCTTCTCATGTTATCTTCTCCAGCTTCTTCGCGATGGCTACGCGGCTTTTCACGCACGACAAGTCCGCCAACTCCGAGGATGCCTCCGTCGACGAGAAAGGCTCTTTGACACCAGTTGTTACCTCTGTAGACCAAGATTTCGAGAAGGTCCCCCCTCTAGGCGCACCCGTCCATCTCGAGAATCAAGGTGGCTTTTCTGCGGTCTTGACCTACTGGAAAAGGCCGAAGCCTGATCTCGATGCCATTGCCACACAACCTTCCGTCTTCGACAATCACGTCACTCTCGAAACTTACCGTCCTCCTGCAAAGTACGAGAATGCCCATCGGTTCGATGCATTGGCACGCTGGACGTGGAGAGAGGAGAAGGTGCGTTGATCTCTAGTATTGAACGAACGTTGAGCTCCTTATGACTTGTCGACATCTGCCCTGCAGAAACTCGTGCGCAAAGTGGACCTACGCATCATGATTTGGGCCTGCGTTATGTTTCTAGCCCTTGACCTGGATAGAAGCAATATCTCACAAGCCAACTCCGACAACCTGCTTCCAGACCTTGGGCTGACGACCAACGATTTTAATCTGGGGAACACGCTATTCCGTCTATCTTTTTTATCTGCTGGTTAGTCATCCTTCATTCGAAAGATAATCTATTGCGTTCTGACTGCGCGAACCCATTAGAACTCCCTTCTCAACTGGTTTCGAAGCGTATTGGACCGGACGTTTGGGTTCCTTGCCAGGTAAGTAGTGTCCTCTTCTGAAGTCGTTCAACCTCTCACATTGAAAAGATTGTGTTGTGGAGTATTGTATCGTTCTCTCAGTTCTGGCTGTCGGGTCGTTCGAGCTTTTTGGCCTGTCGGTACGTTCACATTAAAAGTCCTTGGTGCCGGGGAGCTCACCCTCAGATCCCAGGTTCCTGCTTGGTTTCTTGCAGGGAGGCTTCATCCCTGACATCGTGCTCTACCTCTCCTACTTCTACACAGGGCCCGAATGTGAGTGCAACTCTTTGAACTCAAGATATAGGTCCTCAATGTCTGCCTAGTGCCCATTCGGCTTGCGTTCTTCTGGTTATCGAATTATATATCCGATATCCTGAGCGCTTTCCTCGCCACTGGCATATTACGCCTTCGTGGTGTTGGTGGGAAGGAGGGATGGCGCTATCTGTTCCTCATCGAAGGCCTAATGACCCTCCTTGTTGGGATAATTTCTTTCTTCCTGATGCCTCCTGGCCCCACCCAGACAAAGGCTTGGTTCCGTCCCAAGGGCTGGTTCACCGACCGGTAGGTGTGTTGCAATATTGAAGAAGTCAAGAGGCTGACGTTTTATTCAATAGGGAAGAAATCATCATGGTCAATCGGTGAGCACTCTCCTTGGCTCCTGCTATATATTCTCCCTTATTCCATCGCTCTAGAGTGCTTCGCGACGACCCTTCGAAATCTGATATGCACAATCGAGAGGGTCTGAACATCAAGATGATTTGGAAATCGATCAAAGATTGGAGACTATGGCCGGTATACGCCCTTGGTCTTGTTCACATGAGTGCGTATTATTTCGCCAAACTCGTTTTTGCCACTTATCAAGCAACGAAATAGTGCCTGTGGGACCGCCCCAAATCTATTTGACTCTGTCTCTTCGAAACCTCGGATTTAACACCACGGAAACGAACTTGCTCGTCATTCCTTCTGTGGTGATCGGAGCTACCATGCTTTTCCTCACTGCTTGGTTCAGTGAACTGGTGAATAGCCGTGTGGCGGCAACCCTCATTCTTCAAATCTGGGCGCTACCTCTCCTGATCGCGCTCTATACCTTCAATTCACAAACGTCTCAGTGGATCTATTTTGCAGTGATCACATTGGTTACTGGGTTCCCATACGTTCACCCGATTCAAGTAGCTTGGGTTTCCAGGAACTCTTATAGTGTCAGACAGAGGTTCGGCCAAGGGGCTCAGCATTTTATGTCGAATCTTACCCTTCTCCGTCGCAGGACCATCTCTGCTAGTGTCTATAATATGTTTGTGCAGACAGGTGCCATCGTTTATGTAGGTTTTCCTCTATCTCGAAATGGTGTTCAACGACTAACTTTATTGCTAGGCCAACATCTATCGCAGCGATGATAGACCGCTATGTAAAGTGGCAACATTCCAAGGCGCATATTGAGTGCTGACTACTGTTTTTCCTATCAGATAAACGCGGAAACCGCCAGCTTATCGCTATTTGTTCGATGAACATTACACTTTATATTTTGACCTACTTTTTCTACCGCACGCTTAATGCGAGACGAGAGAAGAAGTGGAACTCTTGGTCCGCAAAGGTTCGTTTTCTTTCTCTCATTTTT